GACTGTCAATAGCAGTCGTGTGCATACCTCGTGCTGAGCGTTGCAGACTGTCAATAGCAGTCGTGTGCATCGCTGGTGCTGAGTCATATCGACTGTCAATAGTAGTCGTGTACATAGCTGGTCCTGAGCGTTGCGGACTGTCAATAGCAGTCGTGTGCATAGCTTGCGCTGGGCGGTGCTGGTTGTAGTAGCCAGTCGGAATAATGTCACAGTCGGTTCTATCGCTGAGGATGGGTGCTCTTGTTGAGCGTCTTGGGTCACCCGTAGTAAAGGAGCCGAAACTTTGTGGGCTTCTGGACCGAGCTTCTCTTATTTCGTTCAGAGACGACTGGGGATCAGCTACAGATCGTGTATAGCCCGCTGCTGCAGCCAATGGAGTAGGCGTCGGACGAGCGAGGGGAGTCCGGTAATCTTCGGTCGAAGGAGACAGGAGGCGAGAGGCAAGGAAGGGGATACGAGGGTGAGGAGAAGGAGGAGGAGGAGGAGACAGACTGTAAGCTGACGTAGATTGCGGAGGACGGCTAAGATCAGCTCGAGAGTCCCGGACCTGGTGAGGCTCTCGCATGCTAGAGATGTCACCATGGTAATACACTCCAAGGAGGGGCTGGTCGTAGCCGTCACGCGAAGTGCGTGTCCTACCTTGCCACTGGAACCACTCAGGCGGCGGCTGCTTACCAAAACGGCTGTGATGTCGTAGAAAGTCGAGTTCCTCGTCACGCAAGGATGGGACCGCGGCATTTGGGCGCCGACACCGGCGTGAGTCACACCGCGCGCCGTGGCTGGCAATTCTTCGATTGCAATTCCAGCAGCGGGGTTCTGTTTTCAAAAAATCATGGAAAAAAGTCTCGTACTGGTCACCGCTAAGCGGGCCAGCTTGGAAATGCTCTGTTTCCTTGATCCGATAATCGACTGGAGGGTACGGAGTCGGCCAAGTGCCACAGCTTCGGCAGTAGTCGCCATCATATCTAACAGAATAACCACAATGGGAGCAATATGAGGACGAGTAAGACATAGACATTGTATTGCGCAATGCCGACGAAGAGAGAGATTGGTAGGTTGAACAAAGAAGAGGTTGAGAACGCGGTTGCGAACTTGAAAGACCTTGGTGGGCGGTCGCAGGTGAAAGTCTTGGCATTTTGGTAGCTGCCTGCTGGTGACTACCTGAAACCTTCACTTGACATTGAACATACGAGTAGGCCTATTCCGCTCTCGAGGCAATGCATTTTGACACATAACTTCTCTGTTGTCTATCGTTGCTACCACTTCTGGGTCTGCCTATCGTGAAGCAGCCTCAAAAGTCGTTCAGGGGCTCTTTTGACGGATATCATAAGTAGGACTCTTGTCGCATCAGTACACACGACTTTCGCGCTCAGAAAAAGTCAAGCGATGATGTACGGGATAATTCTGAGAGCCTACGAAGACGTTATGACATCGTACGCTCTCGATCTGGACAGCCGCGACGATCTCAGGATGGCAGACTTGTTTGGCACCGCAAATCCGACAGGAATGCTGTAAGTCTTGATAAACGAGACAATGCTGGTCGCCGGAACCAACTAGCTGTGCGACGCTGTGATTATGTTGCTTATTTCCGCGCGGTATTATCGATTGCTATCTCTTCCGTGGTGTTCCCCATTCTCACGATCAGTCTACCTCTTTTAGTCCACATTCACGACCTTGATTCGAGACCTGCAGCGGCGTAATCTGACCTCTACTCAAGCTTCCTCTCCACTGCAGCCTCTTGTCTTCAATACTATCATTGCTGGAGAAGTTCCCTGCGGGTCCTATACATCCAGAGGCGGCTCGGCAGGCGTTGCATTATACCGCCCACCAAGGGCTGGGAAAGGATCTGGGCGTGGGTGGGGTGCAGCTGCTTTCGAAACTGGAACTTGGGTAAGGTAGCTTGACTCGTTGGCGCGGTGCAAGATATGAGGGTGGCGAGGATGGAGTTGAATGTGCTGGTGAAGTCGATATGGTGAAGATGTTGGTGGAGATGTTGGTGAAGATGCCGGAGGAAACTTGATTTGCCTGACAATGTGCTGATCACGTAGCGGCAGTTGATTGCGTTCTGATATGGATTTGCATAATGTTGGCGATGGTGTTGGAGTTTTTGTGCGTTGTGGAGTGCGCGTCAGTCATGTTAAACCTGGTCTGATATTCCTTTTGATATGAGTCTGTTTAGAAGCCTCACAAGTGACATACTGCCCCTGAACGTGGTTTTACTCTGGCAGAGCGTATCTCAGCATTGGTGTGGTGAGAAACAGGGAAGGACATAGGAGGGGCTTTGTTTTTGTTTCGTCAAAGACAGGCAGCAGTATCTGACAGATGGCGGGGCCTAAAAAGAATCTGATGAAGATGCTAGGGAAGACGCCGGCGAGGAGGCTGGCGAGGAGGCTGGCGAGGACGTTGGTGAAGATACTGGGGAAGATGTCGAGTGAAGCCGCTGGTGAAGACGCCGGTGAAGACGCCGGTGAAGATGGCAGTGAAGCCGGTGGTGACGTGGTGTGCTTGAGCAACGATTCTCCGAAGCTGACAGACCAAGTGATGGGCCGGCGGCGGGCTTTACCGGGAGATATACTGGACGGGCTTCGGGTGTTTTTCATGGGCGTATGAGTCGGAATGAAGAGGCACATGCTTGCCAGGCATAAAATTGACCGGTGCGGAGTTTGTAGGCGCGGCGGGGTTAGGTGGAGGCCTGCTGAAAGCAGCTTCATGGCTGGACTTGGAGGAGGTGGCTTGAGGATAGAGAGGCTCATCGGCAGCGGGCTTGGAGGCGTGGTGGTCTTCCATAGTAGACTTGACAGCGCTGGGCTCGGGAAGTAGGTCTCTCTCATCGTCCTAGCCAAGACGTAAATCGTTATCTGCGAGAAGATGACACCTTCTGAGGTTCTTCTCAGCGTGGGAAAGGTGGTTTTCCGCAGACGCCAATTTTCCAGGATTCCACGTCCGTTGTCAATTTGAGTCTTCACTAGAGTATAGGGGCGTGGCGAAGGTTGAAGTTTTGTAGGACTTTGACGCGTATTAACGTTGGTCTGCCTCGATCTCATGGGATGTGGTGAAGATCTGGACCTCAAGCTCTTTTGCGAGTTGGCCGTCCACCCAAATGCGCACGTCTACCAGTTGCTGCATCGGCATAATGGCCTTGCTTTCCAGGGATGTCGAGGAGCTGGCTGTTCGCTCGGGTTGGAGTGGCTGACGGGAGTCGGAAAATGCGTACCAGGAGTGTCTGTGGTGTTGTAACAGGTCGCAGACTCCGGAAGTTCAGGAAACAGAAGTGGTGGGGTTGAAATATAGCTTCCTCCGTTGGCAAGTGCAGTGCTCTTAAGCTTGCCAAGACAATGATCAGTGAATTGCCCCTGACTGCCGTAGCTTGCCAGCCGCCTCGACCACTTGAGTTACTTGGGGTTTTCACTTGTCTACAGCTTCGATTCCGCTTATCTATTCCTCAGCTCGGAGACTCATCGAGGTGCCTCGTGAGCAGAGATCCGACCGCATTGCTTCACTTCCATAGACCGTTCACCACCCTCGCCTCACAATTTTGACATCAGCATTGGCTCCGTATGTGTTGAACTTACAGTGACTGAATGACATCTGGCCTCGTTCACAGTCTTCAGGTCGTGTAAATCCCCACGCTGTTCGGAGTGTTGCTTCACAAGGCTGCGCACAGCAAATCTGGCGAAGCACCTGAGGGTGGAGGGCCGGCGTTCGAATCATTGTTTGCTCGGGAGCACTAGTAGGCCATAATACCTACACTGCATGATGCTTGTAATGAGCAATAGCAGATGAGATGGATTTTGTCTGATATACTGTATGGAGGGGGCTCCGAAGGACTATGGAGTGGCAGAGTTTGAGTGAGGGAACCGAGAAGGAGGGGAACTATGAGGCAGACTGCAACAATATTGAGGCCCAACAGTGCAGCTGGAGGTTGGGAAACAGACTAGACATGCAATCCATTCTCCTCCTGATGGTGCAACACTGTGATACACCCGGTGCAAGTGGAGAGAAAGTCGATTGTGGCTAGTTGGGGTCACGGGCTCTACTACGTCGTCCCAGCACTCGTAACACCGTGCATAACACTATACACCGCTTCAACCGAGCTGTCGTTGCGTGGATATATCCCTGCATGCCTCTACGGCCATAACACGAGAATAGCGCGCTGGAAATCTTGTTCCGTGTTCGCCATGAGTATTGCTCCGATGACTCTGGAAAGTTGATAGAGGCTGCATGGATCCTCTGTCAGGCTGGTGCAAGTCCATCTCGTAACAGCTTCGAGGCTACCTGCAGTGAGAAGATGCGAATAGTCTGGGTGAAGAGGCAGTAAAGTAGCACTTGGCAGGTTCAAGGACGTCTTCAAGACCTGCAGGCGACTTCCCTCTGGTTGTCTCATCCTCATTCTGGGAAATACATACGGTGATGGCCAGGAAAATGGACTGGTTGATGACAGGTGGCCTTTCGCGAGGACTGTGCCATATGGGAGCAGGTACGGCTCTAAACTTTCTGAAAGCAATTACGGCCGCCTTTGTGCTCCTATCGCCCTCTTCTACACGTTCTGATCTCCATATCCTTGTCTCGTTCCGTCGAAGGACACTCAAGTGTCTCGCGAGGGCGAGCATGGCTCGAATCCTCGATACAAGTGCGGCTCTGATCCCTTTCTTCAGTCTTGTCCTCGTAGGACTTTGGTCGGTGGTTCTGGATGATGACGTCCATGCTGTGTCCCATAATTGCTGAACGGCATGGGCTGCCTATGCTGTTGGCGCAGACGGAGAGGGAGTTCGCGAGGCTACCGTATCTTCAGTGATCGACAAAGTGACAGAGGGCAAGAACTCTCCTGTCGTTCTTGTCAGCCCCTGCTGCCATCGACATTTGAGGGTCCGCCATTTGACTCTCAAGCTGTCCGTCGTCGACGTGAGCCTGACTACCTTCCTCTGCCAGTTAATGACGGTCCTCCACCAGCAGAACGCGCTTACGACGATTCCGGAAGCTTCGACTGCGACGCTAACCCACGCAAGCAAGAATTCGTCAAAGCGAACTTGGCTTGCATGTGGAGTGGTCATTCAGCGATCTCTTGGTCTGAATGTGATGGCCCCGATGGCGGACAAGCCGAGCTTCTCTGCTGTGGATGAATCGGAGTTGGCGACCGAGCTGCACCGCGTGTTGATCGCGTGGCGGCAGTCAAGTGGCCTCCGAATGGGCTTACGACTGGACTTCCGACCATGATATTGGACTTGCCGTGCGTTAGTACCGCCATACCCTCAACCGCGCTCGACCCACTGCCAGGAGCCGCTCGATCAGCCAGACTACTACTCATGGGGTCACCGGTCTACCGACGTTTGTGTCGCACGTATGTACCAGATGACGCGGACAGCGGTTGCCGGAGGGGTTCACGGCTGACTGCCCTTTGATATAGCTTACGGAGGGCATAGCACCGCTCGTCACCGCCGGAAATTGCGATCAAACAGGAAGAATGCGGTCACAGGCCGTCAGGGCGCTTTAACGAGGTAATGCTTCTCGGCCAGGGTGTGAGAGAGGAGTCTCGATGGCCGGACAACTCGTCGAAGGGAGGAAAAGCCTTTTCAGTGTGGTTTAGACAGAGACTTGGCCGGAAACTGAGGTTCGTAGGCGTGCGATACTCTTCCGGTGTCATCGAGATCCGCTGAGAACGTTCGTGACGGTACCTCTCGCCTGCAGGGCACGAAGATCAACATGGCCTCGACCAGCATCGAGCGGCTGTGCATCGGTATGGGAAAGGACGCTCAAGATCTACGTCAAGCACAGGCTCGAGAGCAACGACAAGGTCACCACCATCAGTAAGATGCAGCTGGCGATAAGAGACACGGATATATTCGACAACAATCACCCGCACAAGGCGCACGAGGGCAGGGAGCGGTTCGCGGAGAGGTCACGATCCCCGTTTTAGTCCGCATCCTTGTCCACGATCTTCCTTGCGTTCATCTTCCTCCCCGTGATGCTCCCGTTACGGATGATCGATCCCTCTTTTAATATCGAGCGGCTCCGGCATCTTGTGCAGCTTCATCAACGTCCTGAGCTCGTAGAACGGAGGTGGTTCCTGGGCAGGTTTGTGACCCTGCATCTGTGCATATTCTCGACCAAAATGCCGATGTGGGCGCGACAAGCGGTGCCGTGGGTACAGCTAGGTGTCCGCCGACCCGTTCATGCTCATGGTCCCAATGTAGCTGATGGGGTTCCTGTGCAGGGGCCACTAGGCGTTGTAGGCGTCGATTGTGCTTCTGAGTCTGTTCAACGGCGACCACAGGTGGACGAACATGTCGGCGCTGTTGTTGTTCCACGACACCGTGAAGTGAATTACGTCGAACTCCTCGGCGCCAATGATTCATACGACCACGTACGCCTTCTTGCAGTCGGCCGGGATCGCGATGTGGAGCCAGATGGTGTGGACGAACCCATACCGAACGTTGTACATCTCTGGAAGCCCATTCAGCTTGACGTGCCTGATCAGTATCGACTGTTGTGTGTACCGACACCTTCGAGAACCTCTTCAGAGCCACGGTGATGCGTCTGTATCGTGTTCTAGATTGGATTCGTGTGGTCGCTCATGTCGATTGTGATGTTCTCAGCGAACTTGAAACTCTCAGTTCAGTCTTCAACTTCTCCGGACTCTCGGACACGATTGCGTTGTCGTTCCTGGCCAGGGGATCGCCGTTGAGTAGGTGAACATCGCTCTGCGGTCAAACCTGGAGCACACCCGCTTCATGTTCATGAGCCTACTCACCAAATTGAGCGCCGACACCACCCCGGCGGTGCACTCTATCGGTTGCCAATCCGGATCGTGCACGTCTCCTCATTCGGGAGCATGCCCATCTCCATGACCATATTCCGCTTTCTGATCCCCTCCGAGGTGCTGAGCATGAAAATGGTGCGTCGACGGACACGAACACGCTGCTCGTGCTAATCAGCTCCATGACCTTGTCTGGGTTCGTGGGCACGCCCATGGTTACGATGATGTACGGGTCTTTGTTCGCGGACCTGAGCTGATGCACGATCTCTGTCTCGATATTGGGTGCAAGCGACGATCTGGGTGACAATCTGAAAGGATACCTAAGTAAGGTACCTAGGTAGTGACTGCCAACGCCAGAGGCCCGAAACCGCGAGACCCCGTTTCAATGCACAGCTTGTTACCATGAAGTTTGGTCGGGGAGAATTGTGCCATTCCCCGGTGCAGGGGATTCACCCCGTGTATCGTAAGGTTTGATCCGCAGGGTCCAGGCATCTCCCCGCAGCACTCGTCATGAATAAGAACGAGCTCTGGGTCGCTGAAGCGAACTTGCATACAGCCAAACGTTTCGTCGAGTACCTATACCGAAAACCATGATCATTGTGGCGGCGAGCTTAAGAGTTGCCACACTTCTATGATAAAAGTGCCAACGATGCCCAATGCTGAAGGATCATGAAGGACGGCGAGGATGTCGACACAGTCGATGGGGTTATTGGCGCCTATGTGGGCAATGTCGAGGCCATTGAGATCATCATCGCATTGTTCGCTGGCCTGACGATTTACAACGCCCTGGAGCTTGTTCTTCTCATCTTCATCAACTTCACATCGCACAAGTCGGTCTACTTCTGGAGTCTGATTGTGTCTTGCGCCGGCTTGATCTTGTACGCTGTTGGATTCATGATCAAGTTGCTGGGACTCTGGGATGATCAAGGTAAATGGGCTGGACTTGTTTTGTTGAGTGTCGGATGGTATTGTATGGTCACTGGACAGGCGGTGGTGCTTTGGTCTCGACTGCATCTTGTCGTCACGGGCGAGAAAGGTAGAAGGACTCTCAAATTCACAAAGTGGATGATCATTGGCAACGCCATTGTCCTCCACATCTCAACGTCGGTGGTTACATTTGGCTCCAACGGCAGCTTGGCAACATCGGAGTTTGTCAAGGCGTATAATGTCATCGAGAAGACACAAATGACCGGATTCTGGTTGGTTTGGCCTGGCACGATCGCCCAGCTTCAGTCGCTGACCATCTTTAGCGTCCAGGAGACGATACTTTCGGCCATCTACATTGTCGAAACGCTGAATATCCTTCGCACGTCTTTGCGGAGTGGAACACGAACGATTATGCAACAACTTCTCGTGATCAATGTGGTGATCATCGTCATGGACATGGCATTGCTCAGTATCGAGTATGCGTCGATCTTCTGGCTCGAGACAGTGCTGAAAGGTGTTGTTTATTCGGTGAAGCTCAAGATCGAGTTTGCGATACTTAGTCGACTGATCATGTTCGTGGGAGGTGCGCCAGGCAACACCCAATCACCGACAACAAATGCGGCCACAGTCCAGATCGGTTCGCGAGGTCCGCACGTTCCGGACAGGATTCAGACTGCAGGAGCAGATCCTTCGACTGGGAAAGGGACGAGTATTAGGATTGGCTAGATCTTATGCCAATGTTGTAGGCGTGCTGGTTGATGTAGACTGGCAAAAGCTGGTAAAAGGACCCATCAACATCTATTGCTGGCTCTGGTGACGTGCTGGTCGGGATGGTGTTGAGGGAAAAGGGTGGATACCATGGTGACGAGTTGGGAGAAGCAAAGAGTCGAGCTGTTGCGAGGATCAATCTGGGGATGCGCTCGAAGGAGGCAGAGGGTAGAAAGTTGATCGCACTCGGGTGAGCATGGCAGACTCATTGCTAGGGACCTATGCCTACTCGTGAAGCCATGAATGGCCCGAACCATCGATGAAGGCGCCCGCGCTGAGTGAACAGTTGCAGCCTCTGGTGACGTGCTGGTCGAGATCGTGGCGAAGTAAAAGCGTACGATAGATGTCATGTTGGAGTGTGCTGTGGTCGTATCTTGGAGTGGGGATCGCGATGTGAGAATTGGGCGGTCAGCCAGGGAGCTGGCTAAGCTCAAGTTCAGTGGTCATTGAAGGATGCTACCCTGATTTCCATGATGCAAGAGCAAGGCGATAGAACTGATGACATGCGAAGCGGTCCACGGCAATGCTTGGAACATTGGCATGCTTGCAGCGGTGACGCGATTCGCTCAAACTCGGGTTTCAGCGCTGGAGTGCCGACTGAAGTGTGCCTGGAGGGCGGCTCAAGAGCCTGAAAGACTCAGTGACGTTCGGTCACTCTCTGAATTGTGGGAATGTAGAAGCACAATGGGCTAGAACCAGGACGCTCGCATTTTGGATTTTCGGCGATCTTGCCTTTCAGCTTCTTTTGGTCATTCATGTACTCATGCCGGCATTCAAGCCATTGACCTGCATTTGGTTGTCGTATTCGTCCACCGTCTTAATTGACATGAACGGCCAGCGATCGATAACGAGCACACCGCAGTGCGAGCCTTCTATAAGGGCGAGAGGCGGAACTTGAAGCTCCGTTGGGTTCTTGGTGCTAGGTAGTACCGCCTTGCCAATTGCCTCGAAGGCTGGCCATGAGAAGCAGCTCGTTCGCAACATTTCGCAGCAGAAGCTTTACTTCCAGCTTGTGGTACCTGGCCAAGACGCAAGCAGCAGCGTAAGACGATGAGCTTTAACGCGTCGCTTCTCTTCAAGTCAAGAAAAGGTTTCTTGATTAAGGTAGGTAGGTATCGATGCCAACCCTGCCAGAGTCGTCGTGGACTTTGCCCTTGTCTTCAGCGAACAATATCGATCAGCAAAACCTCGTCCAGCGGAAGTGCTGGCGCGAACCGTTGAAGGCTTACAACTCCCTTCATGATATAGACAGAATTTTCAAGCACCTAGGCCGTCCGAGCATAGCAACAAGCTCACAATTTTGTGAACTCGAAGTGTACAAAAAGTGTGGACGTTTTGGCAACTGGATAGATAGCTCGGCGGAGTTGGCTTATGTTGGGTTTCAGACCGGCAAACCAGATTTATGTGCAAGTGGGAGCGGAAGGTCCGAGTAGTGGAGGGCGGTTTCCAAGTTCTCGAATTCGCCCTCATCACCTTATCGATCCATGGCCGGTAGCCCTTGTCGGAGTCAATGCGACGTTGCGCAACTTTACTGTGCCGAACCTGGCGACAGGCGATGACGAAGATGGACCCGCAGCTCACAGCTATCATCCTGGATGCGAACGCGGTGTGATCTGCTTCTAAGCGTCTGTGGACTTCGGATGGGCATCGAGCAGACGCATTCGCCGAGGTCTACAAGCTTTCCGGATGCTCTTGATATGGCTCTCAAACCGCAAGAAACAAGGCCGTTGCATTTTGTAGATACGAAGTGCTGGGTGTTGAACAGGTATGTAGTTACATTTCAACACGAGCAGGCAGTCTGACACGGATGTTGGCAGTTTGTAGCGGTAAAATTCCGCAATTGCGACCCAGCCCTATGGATCCGTGGCGGCGAAGGCGTACAAAGTAGGTACTATACCGTACCAGGTACTAGACGGCGACGATGGTGCAGCCTCATGCAACCAACACGGCATAGTCGGACAGGTAGGTGGCGGAAGATGGGATGTCGATAGCGTTGGGTGCTGCGTCCCTCCGATGTCAGTCCGATTGCACGATGGCGGTAGCGCGGCCTGGTGCATATCGCTTCGTTATACGCGGGTTCGTCTTCTTATGATCAAGGCGCGTGCCCTGTATAATGTTTTATAAGACCAGGTTCATGATGCGGTACGGTCGACAAACTGGGCGGCAACGTCAAGGATTGTGTTGCCGTGATGAAAAAAGCGCAGTCGGCAGCTCGTCTCTAGTCCCATGAGTGTAGCGAGTACAGCTGCATCTGCGCTGCAAATAGGCGGATCGGATAGCGAATTCAGGATTCGCCGCGTTAGCGGATTCGATAGGATGTCGTGGTGCTGTGCATGCTGGGTTCTTTCGGCATCCCGGAAGCGACAGGATGCATCGCGGCGGCTTGAAATGTGGTGGCGTATGTAACAGAGTCCGCTGGGCCCATAGTATAGTGGTGGCGAGAACGTATCTCCACGACACCACACCATGCAGCATTAATCCGTGGGCCCTCGATCTCGATTTGAGTGGCTAGCCCTGGCTCAATTGTCTCGTCGGGCTGGCGTTCACTCGATGAATCGCTGTATGCGTAAGACTGGACGAGATCACCTTGCGACAAGGATGCACACTCCTCCGCGCTGCACACTCAAACGTACTGTTGCTTTTCTGTAAAACCACATTCCCGTGATAGGTAGGCGAGTGAGCTGGGGATCGCCTCAACGCGATGAGCCACTCGAAGTCGGCTCGTGCCTCTCGAGAGTCATGGCTAGGCAATCTGGTATTATGGCTACTACCTTACGATGTCGGTGTGGTGTGGTGAGCCTTGTAATGACCGGGGTGGTGTGGTTGCAACGCCCTTGCGGTGTACTCCGCGTTGTGTGCGATAAAGTCCAAGCGCCACCACATGGAGAGACTGCTCATCTGCCATAAGCCAAGCGCATGCCGTGTTGTAGGACAGATGAGCCTGCTGCCAGACTGGTATAGTGTAGTGTAGACGACCATGTGGGAGAGAATTGGCGTGCCTCTAGCTGTCACTGGAGTGGCGAGGGCAACGGTGACGGGGCTGCTTGTGGACAGACTAGTGCGCTAGGGCGGCAACCAAGAGGCTGTTTTAGGACTTCGAATTGCTCTGTTCACGTCCACATACGCGGTCACAACTCGGACTGGGCTGGGTGAGGTTAGGCTTCGTACTCGTGGTCGATAGTGGGTATGCGACGATGTCCATGCATGTGGTGTGTCCACGCTCAGAGATCCGACGACAATGACATGCCTCTTTGAGGGCGCCAGCCAGCAAGGCCAGGATCTTGAAGTTCTCGCCATGGGTATCGTACATCAAGTCCGACCCGATCGTGATGGCTGACCCAGAGCTGTTGGTGAGACGATCCCTCCGCAGTCCTTGGGTTGTCCAAGACGCTCAAGCTCCGTGATGATCGCGAGTGTTTTATGGTCAAATCGTAGATCGTCGTTCGCTGAACATCTGGATACCTTTTCCATCTGCTCTTGCTTGTGGGCCTATATGAGTCTCGGCAATCGTCCGTGAGAGGAAGGTAGGAATAGTGAGCCTTCGTTTGATCCCGGCTGCTCTTGCGTGCAGAGTCTTTGGCAGTCCCGAGTCGTCATTTGATCCCGGTTGCTTGCCCTCCAGAGTTTCTAGTGTCCGCGTTTGGTCGGCACAAGTAGGTAGGCACAACGGGGACAGCAGGCGTGTGTTACAGGTGCGTTTCCATGAATTGACTAGTCCAACCCGAACCAGGGACGGTAAAGCCATGCCCTCGATCCGAGGCTGGCGTTGCTGATATAAATGTATCGGCCAGCTCCACAAGTCGAAACTCAACACCATCGCCAAATCAATGGTCGCATAAGAGCACTGCCGTACGCGCAAGGATCCCGAGGACATTTCCTCGTAGTCGGGTCGAGAATGAATGCTTTGGGTGGGGTGAGCACTAGTAAGGTAGCACGTTAATCGTTTAGCACACCGATATATCCTCCGGGGCCATGTCTTACCTTTCTTCCAGTGACAGATACGGTTTCCGTCTCTGGTGGGATCCGATGTTGTCAACCTGTGGAAGCATGCACACAGGTGTAGTTCGTGAATAGGAGGTTCAAGACCGGTCCCGCCGCCACGCCCTCCAGAACATCCGACGTCGAGAGCTGGCTGCTTTTGGATAACTTGCTACAGCATCTTCAACCAGGGTGCTGGTTGATTCACACAGGATGAGCAGAATAGCTCGAAATTGATTTCCGGCCCACCGAAGAACCTTGAAGTTCTGCCCCTTTGTGGTCAATAGGTTCGCGCGGCAAAGGCCTGTGAGTTAGCACTATCCGTAACCCGGGTTGCAACCATGCTAGAGCAGCTCAGGCCGAGGATCTGCTGCAGGTGGTCTGCATTGCATCTTCGTGAAGGCTTTTGGTCTCCGCAACGCGCCTCTCAGTTTCCTGTCCTTTTCATCTCATCCATCCGCCACGGCCATGGCTATTTGCGCTTGCCACAATGTCGTTTCGTACCCTCTCTGGCTTGGCCGGCAGCCACATTACGGTCAAGAGAACGAGAAGCTAACTTCTCATCCGTTCCAGGAGTTGCGTCGACATTGCTATCTTCACCGACCATCGACTCCGTAAAGTCTTCGCGGGAGGCCGAGGAAGAACGCAAGATGTCTTCACCGACCGTCGACTCCGTAAAGTCGTTGCTGGACACCGCCGTTAGATCATCTTTCAAACCTATCCTCTTCATCATCAGGATCCGCTGAAAGATGAGTCGTCATCCAAGCTTAAATTCTTCCTCTTCTTGCCACCATCTGGAGAGGCCGATGTCTTCACGGACCATTAAGTCCGTAAAGCCACGACCGTGTCCTTGTTGGATTTCTTGGAGAAGATAGCGAGAGAATGTGAGCAAAACTAATCACAGAAGGCATCCGTTCCAGAAGTAGCGTTGAACTCCCTGTTATCTTCGCCAGCCATCGATAGTGGAGAGACCTTGCTGGAGAAGAACGCGAGTGAGTGCGAGCAAAACGAATCGCAGAACGTTAAATTCGAGGTTAAGCTTGGGACTGGCCCATTGCTGGTCTGGAAAAGCATGATAGACAACGCAAGTGATTTCGAGCGAGGAGATTGCTGCAGTGACTGCGTAGCACAGAGGTCCTGTGACCTCTTTACCAGGTGGCAGCCGCGTCAATCTGTCGAATCAGGACGTATAAGCCGCAGCCGCAGAGCTAGCAGTGACGACGAACGTCGATAGCAACATACCACAGCGATCTAGCATTCGTAAGAGACGTGACTGGCACCAAAGTGCAGATGATGTATTTCAAGAATGTTGCCTGGTCCAATGACTAGACGCACGTCATGCCGCCAGCGACACTTTGGTAAATGGGCTGGCGTGAAGCTCGATATTGGACTCAACGGATGGGCAATCGCAGACGTAGTACTTTGAGCATCCGATGCCCGCCGCTGACTAGGAAAATCCTGTGATGATATGGGGCTGGTGGCACGATCAAGACTTGCTTAGGCTCCATAAGGTAGTCGCCAGCCCTTCGGTGGCAATGATAACCGCCGTGACGAATTTGCATCTCTTCGAAAACTCATTGGTCCGGCTACGGTGAGAAAGCTTTACATTGATTCGTTCCTGGTAGAGTACTCCCGTCAGTTCAGGTGACGCTCCATGTATCCAGGGTAAAGGAGCAAGAGCGAGCAGATTAGATCCAGTGGTGCGGATTATCCACGCCGGCGTCGAATGCCAGTGAAGCTCAGTGAACACCGGGCGAACGCATCAGTGACGAGATTAACGCCGCGAGGAAGACAAAGAGCGTAGAGCAGTGAACTAGGAGCGGAACAACCGAGCTGATAGCGAGACAGATGTATGAGAGTGAGTCGAGTACATCGAATTATTCGCGGAACGAATTCTTAGTGAAACAACGAACCGGCGATATGATGAACCTTCAGTGGGCTGAACCGAAATTGAGACGAAACTATGGCGATGCTGATCGACAGCGGGATGAATGCATCGACAGCGGATGAATGCATCGACAGCGGATGAATGCATCGACAGCGGGATGAATGCATCGACAGCGAGATGAGCCTTTGAGATGACCCATCAGTAAGATGAGCCTGTGAGATGAGCCACCAGTAAAATGAAGCGGCGAGATGAGGTGATGGGATGAAGCGACGAGATACGACGACGAGATACGACGACGAGATGCGGCAACGAGATGAGCCGACGAGATGAGCCGGCGGGATAAGCCGAGCGGATGAGCCATCAGTGAGATGAGCGGATGGTAAAATTCGATGCGGGCGTGGTGTTGGTTGAAACAACCTCTGCCGGTAATATTCTCACTAGAAAAGTGATTGGGAAGTTCATCAATCATCGAATAGCGTCGAGCATGTCTTCCAAAATGTCGACGACGAGCAAGAGTGCTGTCTGACAGCGTGACCATTGCAAAAGCTTCACGTTGATCCCGACGCGTCTCGACGCGTCTCTGGTGCCTGTGCTGATGCCCTGTGACCAACGAATATTTTCAGATACCACTTTTGAGCTCTCACACGACATTCCTCGGTAGAGACCTTTGAATGATGGGACAAGGCGTCGAATGGAATGCAGGGACCGAGTGAGAGGATAGGAAAACAGCGTGGGAGTCCTTGGTCGTCGGGAACGTGGACAGCAACGATCATGGCGAGCAAGCTCATCGGATGATTGGCATATTGAGGAATCGAAACAATGGGCAAGCTTGCAAAGCTGCGATATTGATGTGCACGATGCTTGAAGGTAGGTCCGCATGATGATTTTGATCAAGAATGATCGAACCTTGGGACAAGCTTGAACAGAAAGTCGCAGGTCTATTCGATTCACCTGGACCTCACTTGGACCTCACTTCCATGCCGCCACAACTACATCTCAATGAATCTATCTCTTCTACCATCCCTTGCTGTGCCATGCCATCCTAGTGCTCCTGAGCAATAATGACTCAAACGCTGGCCCTCCGAACCCTCAAGTGCTTCGCCAGATTGGCTGTGGGCAGTCTTGTCAAGCAAGATGCGCAGTCTTAATCACAGGCCACTCCTTTTCTGCTCGTTAGGATCAGCTTCCACGCGTAGACCGGCCTCTGAAAGTTGCAATTACATTCAGCTGCTGCCATACTGAATGAGTAAAAAGGGTCTGCGCCGGTAACAGCAGCGCTTACCCACCTATTCACGCTCCCTTGCCCTCACCCACAGACCTCCATCCAAATCACTGACCCCGACGCTTATCAATGGAGGTAAACGCCCCCTAAAGTCTCCCCTCTCCACAGCCTGCTTCTCTCCCGTATCTGCCAGCTCGAATTCAAAGCACCGCAGCAATGTGGTGACTACCTTCAAGATATTGGTCGTCGCCATCGTTTTACCAATGCATTGCCGACCTCCAAGCCCAAAGTGCATCAGTATGCGTGACTTGGATGAAGTAGCAGGGTCACTCCAGCGTGATGGGTCAAAAAGATTATGATCTGAGCCCCAGATGTCGGAAGAGTGGTGCAACGCGTGGTTGCAGATGGCAAGAGATGTCTAGAACGGAGTACAAGGTCAGTCCCATTTTGCTAGAGCTTGAGCTGCACTTACGCCTTGCGGGAAGTGGTTTCCGGCAATGTTGATACCCTCTGGCGCAGTTACACGCCGGGCAAGAGGCATTGTGAATACCGGGGTGACGCGGTAGTTCTCCTTTGTGCAATCTCGAAGATATGGTAGGAGAGATTCCAGATTCGTGATTGGATATGCGGCTTCGGCAGCGTCTAACGGAGGAAGATTGTTGATAATCTCGTTTGTACATTGAGCCATGCACGTAGGGTTGTGAAGGAGGTTCCAGAACAGCAGCGTCGTTGTAGCCATCGTGGTATGAGTACCAGCAATGCTAGGCAGGTTTAGTAAACAGCGAAATTTGGAAGGAATTGCTTACATGAACCCGAAAGCCTCAGTTTCAAGGTCCGTCTGGGTCAACCGAGCGCCAGTGTCAGGATCTTTGGCGCGTATAAGAGTGGTGAGGAGATCTTTCCGCTGGGTCTTTTCCAGACCGGTCGAGCCATCTTCAAGCTTTACATCCGTCAGACGTCTGGCAACGCTTTGCGAGGCTAATTCGGCACACTTGCGGCGACCCTCGAAAAGATTTTGAACCGCGGAAATCGGAAGCTTGGGTAGCAGCCACTTTAGCCACGCCGTCGCGCTCGGCCAGGACCCTAACACGGAGCCAAGTAGGGTGTGCTCTTTGACCGGCGGAACTCGTGATCGGTCTCCTGTGAGCTGCAATTCGAACGATTTGCTAAAAGCCAACTCGCCCAAGACATCAATAACATAGCCGTGGAGCATCTCCTTCAGGTCAAAAGCCTGCCCAGTATGACAAGCCTTCAAGATATTGGCTCTAAGGATACTGATGTTCTCGTCGAGATACTGCTCCATATCTTTGATGCTTGTCATGGAGAAAGCGTGGGACATGTGCCTTCGCCTAACGGAGTGATGAGCCTCGTCCGTTGTTCCGAAAACATTGGGATGCGCACCACCGAAAGCGTTGTAGAAGTCGGTTTTGGGCAGTGTCCTGGAAGCTGACTGGTATATGATGGGAACTGCTTCTTCATAGGTAATGCTAAGCTTGTCCGGACCGTATCGAACAACAGGCCCATATTGCTGATGAAGCTCGGTGAGCGTATATGGCTGCTTGAGGGACAAGAATTGATATACCTGCCATAGGTCTGTAACGGACGCTAAGAGAGGACCCGGATATTTCGCCAATGGATGTAGATATCTTTGATAGAGGATGTAGACGGTCAAGTAGACAGCGCCGCAACCGGCCGCTAACAGCGCCGCATTGGCAGGTTCGAGCAACATGATAGTAAGATGAGTGCAGCTGATATTTCCAGCTGAGCTGAGTCTTTATCGAAGCATCGAAAGGAGTGAGGATGTTTCTGGATGACTGGTAGTCGAAAGGGCTGCGTTGGAAGTGATGCCGAGAAGCTTTCGATCCATCGAATCGGAATCGAGCAACCCGCGGTAATCGCAGTGCCCCTCGTGACAATTGGTGGTAGCGACCCCGCGTGGAGCTCAGTGCGGGGGCAGATGGGGCTCCCCCTTTCGAGATCCAGCAACTCTGGCCCACCCCAGGATTGCATGCACAGAATCTGCACAGGGCTGTCGGAATGCGCGGTGCTCAGCTCAGTAGCGACAGATGAGCCCCACCGCGTGACCGAGCTGCGATAGTGACGACGAGCTTGGGTGGCAGGGACGTACGGGACTAAAGCGAGTCGCGCGGCCGATCGAGCAAGACACTTGGCAGCCTCATCATGCAGCTTGCCAAACGTCGACGTGTTGAAGTAGCCTGTAGCCCGTGCCGGCGGAAGAAGGGCAAGTGTAATGGCGAGAGACCTTCTTGCATGAGCTGTCTGCAGGACGGAATCCGCTGTGTTTACGAAACATCTCACAGTCAACCGAATAGAAACGCCGGCGGTGTCAGCAGGTTTAAATTATGACACCATGCACGAAGTCTACCAGCTAACAAGGTCAGGTTTACTGTTCTAGAGCAACGGGTCGTTCAACTAGAGAAGGAGCTCGCTGACATTCGCCAAGCGCCTCTAGCGCAGACCCGTACTCAACTTCCTCCTTCAGAACACCAGGCAGGCACGCAGCAGCCGCGTGGCAACACATCTGGCAGACCGCTGGCCCATCGAGACTCATCACTCGAGGTCAGTGATGAAGAAGCCATCGTCGACACTCTTGCGACTGCTGCGTTTAGCCACGAACCTGAGATTGGGATTGGTCATTTCGGTCCCAGCTCGAACCATGGGTATTTTCGTGCACTTTCGAACATATTTGCCCACCTCCCAGACGATGGCAGCGCAGCAGATCCTAAATCCCTCCATCGGTGGTCACTGGGCCACATCACAGCTTCTGAGCGATCTCCTTCCCGGAACTTGTTAGAGCAGCCACTCGATCCAATGGCAATTCCGGACGATACGACGGCAACCCTGCTCTTCAACCATTTCTTTTCCGCCGTTTCCTGCACCATACCATATGTGAGTCGACCTGTTGTGTTACAACGCTACGCCCGAGCAAGGAGTGAACGTTTCGTCCAGCTCAGCAGAGTGAGAAGAGCGTTTTTCAATATCATATGGGCACATGGCGCAAGTTTCTCCGCAATAGAAGACCCGGAGACATTTTATCGTCGGACTATGGGACTTCTGAACAGCCTTACCGTTCGCGAAGCGGGTGATGAGATGAGTCGGTCTTCACCCTACACTGGTTTGCTTATCACTGACACATAGGTATCAAGTCCGGCTCCTGCTTTTGATTTGTAGCTATCAGCAAAACCATCAAAGATCTGTAGCAAGCTGGACCTTCCACGCTTTGGCAGTCAAGGCGGCATTTCAATCAGGACTCCATGCTCCTTCTACCTATGAGGGTCTGGACGCTGACACCCACCATTTGAGGCTCCAGTTGTGGTTCGGTGTGCTGAATCACGACCGGTAAGGTCCTACCTAGTATCCTCACGTCAATGAAAAAGCTGATTCGTGGCAGGTTTCTCGCCACGGCCTTGGGCCGTCCTTGCTTGATACCTCGCCAACATTGTCGCATCCGCCTTCCGACGCTTCGTAACGCACCTACACATACGGCCAGCTCATACGCGTCGAGAGCAGCAACGTTCGCGATTCACATGGAGTTAGTGCCTAGAAAAAGTATATGACTTTCACTAACATCCCGTCGCAGATCATTCTACGACATCCTCGCAACAACAGTGGAAACGCTCTATGACCACAACATCTCATCTACTCTTCCAAACATGGAAATCATCCTGTCGCAACGGCTTCTGCTACATTTGCGTTTGGAGACTTGGAAGAGCTCGATATCTCCTGCATGGTCTCCAGTGCTAGCCCATGACCTCGAAACCAGTTCTATCGATGCGATCGAATCGGCTTGGCACCATATCCTCCTCTCGATCCACTATCGTCGGGCTCAGCTGCTCATCAACAGACCAGCAGTGCTCTTCACACTGAGGGAATGGGTATTTGGTGATCCGCTTTGTGAAGCCAGCACTGAGACTCTGGTCCGTGTGCTCCAGGAGGACTATAAAGCCGCGAAAGAGCTCGTCAGCGTTGTGAATACTTCATTGCAGGCTGAGAATTTCCTGCGGCGTCACAATATATGGTTCCTGGTGAACTACTCCGGTGGGTTGATCTAGCACAACTGCGTCCGGCGAAGCTAACAGACTTCTCATGTCCAGTATTTGCAGCCTGCGTTCACATGTTTGGACATCTTCTTGCATGTGGGAAGGAGCGAGACATTCTCTTCGCAGCAGAAATCAGTCTTTCGGAGGTTCGCGGGCTGCTACAAACGAGCCTCGAGCTGCTGAAACGTGTCGGTGCCCGGAGCTTGATGAGTCAGAAAGGCGCAGCATGTTTGCTGACCTTTCTTGATGTCTTTGATGCGTTCGGTAGGTCCTGGTGCCATCTAAATTGCTTTTTAAATGGCTGACAGTGTGCACTGTAGTGGCTACCGAGATGACGGCGTCAACGGTGATTTCAGACCAGCTTCCAGACCCCTCAATGGCTCCAGTGTTGGACTCCTCGTCTTTTCAGACGAGCGGACTTCTCTCGGACTTCATTGTACAGGCCACCGATGACTTCTTCTTTGACGGACATTCTACAAATCTCAGCTACGATCAGTATGGCACTTTCTCTTGAAGGAAGACCGTGAAGGACATAAAATATGAGTTGCTGGATCACTCCAAGCAAGATTCCTCCTAAAGTACGCTGTTGAGCCTTGGCGACACGTGACCGTAGGCTGCGCCTAGGCTTGCCTGCTCTCATTCCACATCCCGTACATCTTGCTCCCCCTGCCTTTGCCTCGGAGCGCCGTCCAAGACAGCGAGCTTTATATGGTCTCCACAGACATTCCTGGCCAATCGGAATCGCCCTTCCCGTGCTAGTGTCAAGCCGTTGGAAGCCAAGGATTCATCAAGCCAATCTTGCGGTCTTCAACACCATGAAACGATTGCTTGTACCTTCAAGATGGATCCTTCAGTACTCGGCGCACTCCATCGGGCTCGGATGGTCTTCTCGTTTCTAACAGCTGACTGCATCTCCCGGATAGCACATAACACCTTCCGGAATTGCTGCCTTGATTTGCGAACCATCGCCTCCAGGTTTTCGAGAATACCCCAGACTACCCCGACCGCCCCACAAACTCACATCGGATTCAGAAAGTCCCGTGTATGACCTTGACTTGGATAAGTAGTCGCGTGGGTCACACCGCACTACCGGAAGCCGTCCAGAAGAACAGCACGGAAAATCTCTTCACTTCTTGAGCATTCGCAACGATTCCGGAACCTTTGACCGTGTCAATGTCTCCTCCGACATTGTTGTCTACCATGGACGACAAGCAAGAAGAATATGATGTCCATGTCGAGACTGTCGCTTTCGAGGAGTCAGTCTGGACAGAGGACCAGGAGAAGAAAGTACGACGTCGACTCGACTTCAGGATCATTCCGATAGTGTTCACACTCTATCTTCTATGCTTTCTCGACAGGTAAGCAGCAACGCAGTTCGATCGACCCCGCAGTGTCCATCTGCTAACGCTTTGAACAGGGCCAACATTGGGTAGGCTCGAAAGACGCCGGAATTTCCGCTTGCTGACAGGATCCTAGCAACGCTCGCATCCAGGGTCTTCAGAACGACCTTAGCCTCCATGGCTATCGATTCAACATGTCACTCACAATATTCTATATTGGGTATTTCCTCGTTGAGATTCCATCCAACGTTCTACTCAAGATCCTTGGAGCGAGATATTACCTGCCTGGCATGGTGGTGTCTTTCGGCCTCGTGTCAATGTGCACCGCTTGTAAGCTTTCCCTCGTTGGCCACTCACCTTGGAGTGTTTACGCTAACATCTATTAGTTACAAAGAGTTATGCTGGCCTTCTGGCGTGCAGATTCTTCCTTGGAATCACTGAGGGCGGCCTAATGCCTGGTATTGCCTACTATCTTGCGTGCTTCTATCGCCGGGGAGAGTTGCTCCTCCGAATCGGCTTCTTCATCAATGGCGCTTGCCTCGCTGGCGGGTTTGGAGGACTACTCGCTGCAGGGCTAAGCCAAATCCCTCGCTGGGGCATCTCTAGCACACCGATCCACACCTGGCGCAACATCTTCTTCTTCGAAGGTCTACTCACAATCCTGATAGGTCTGGGGGCAATGTGTTTCACGCCATCAACGCCACTCGAGTGCAAATTTCTCTCCGACCGTGACCGATACATTGCAGCCGAGCGTATCAACCAGGAGTATCAGGAGTCTACACAACGCGGGGTCACAAAGAAAGATATCTACCGTGGTATCTTCAACATCAACACTATCATATGTGGATTTTGTTTCATGGTGAGCACCCCAACGTGTAAATTCCCGAATTCAGTCATTGACCACCGCACTAGTTCGCCAATATCGCGGTTCAGTCACTCGCGCTCTTCATGCCCACAATCCTCGTTGCGTTGGGCTACACCTCCATTCGTGCCCAGCTGTACACCGTCCCAGTGTACGCCGTCGCTACTTGCGTCTCCCTCTTCATGTCCTGGTTGAGCGACCGCATCCGACGACGAGGCATGTTCATCTCGCTCGGGGCTCTGCTGGCAGTGGTGGGGTATGTCATGCTCGCCAACGTTACAAATCCGAATGTCAAGTATGCGGCTGTCTACGTCGCGGCAATCGGGATCTTCTTCATTGGCACCACCGTGCTGGCATGGTGTCTGAATAACGTGGCAGGCAGCTCTCTGCGAGCAGTGGCATCTGCCTACGTGGTAGCCATGGGGAACTTTGGCAGCCTGATTGCCACCTGGGCTTATCTGCCGGCTGATGCGCCGACTTACAAGAAGGGACATTATATTAACATGGGAGCAGAGATCTTGGTGTGCCTCTTAGGCATAGTGGGGATCCTGTATGTGCGATGGGAGAATAGGAAGAGGGATGCAGGGAAGCGAGATGATCGATTGAGTGGTCTTACGCAGGAGGCAGAGCAGGACTTAGGATATCGGCACCCACAGTTCAGGTATATGGAGTGAGCATGAGCGGTGAAGAGGTCTTGGTCTGTAAAGGCATGCATCGGTTCTAATAGCCGCAGAACCGCGAGGCTTTCTGGTCAATTAGGTACCATAGCTTATCTATAGTCCGGCCGTGTCAAGCTTGTGTAGTGCCTCCGAGAGCCTGAACAACCTCGGGGAATTTCGCCTCAAACTGCCTGTCGAATTCGTCAAACCTCTCAATCCCATCCTCCGGAATGGCGTACCACTTTGGACAGCTCTTCACAAAGATGTGCACACCCACGCTCGGAACCTCCCAGCTACTCTCCCGCACCGTCGAAGCCGTGAGATGAGTCTTCCTCGGGTAGCACGCATACTGCAAGGTCAAATTCGAGCCGCAACGCGAGCAGAAGGTTCTTGTCGCAACGGAGCTGAGACCGCAGGTTGAGATGGGTCCAGAGAGTTTCAGACCGTCCTTGGAGACGCCCATCCACGCCATGAACGGTGCGCCGGCTGTCTGTTGGCAGGTGGCGCAATAGCAGAAGTCCAGGTGTTCAGGTGGGGTAGAGCTGGTGAGGGTGTACGTGGCTGCGCCGCAAGCGCAGGCGCCGGAGAGCGATTTTGAAGACATCTATACGTGCAATGGTGTTGAGAGTTCAAGAAGGTCGCTATTGTTTGGTCTGGGTGTTGTTCAAATAGTGAAATGGTAGAAGCCCATATGTGGCGATAGCGAGGGGTGACGAAAGTGCGCACTACGCTCCACAAGATAACGCTCTAATTGGCAGTGCCAATGTTTCATATACGACTCACAACTCTCCTTTCCCATCCGACCAACGCAAGAACGCTGCCTTCCGAGGGCTCTCAACTACGCTACATGCCCTGAACGAACTGCTCGGTACGCGGCAATCTGCCTCCCAGTCTCGAAAGACGGAAACAAACTCCGCGCCAGCTAGCCGGGCATCTCCAACGATGAAGATATCTGCGGACCACCACGAGCAAGTCTCTGACAACACTCCCTAACCATGAAACAACTCCATGGCCCGTCGCATCTCCAGTAGGACTATCTGGCTCTTGAAGGTGTGACGCGTCGTCTCAAAGCCTCCTCATCGCTATGAGACGATCTTCTCTGCAACACGCCTTCTCCATGCGCAGCAAACACCTCTGTAGGGCCTCAATTGCGCCCACCTGAGCAGAGTGCTGGATAATTTGAGTGCGAATCACAGCCAAACCGGCCGGAAATTCAGTCACGGGTGATGGGCACCATCTTGGCTTTTGAACTGCGCCTGTGGAAGTCCGAGTCGGTGTCTTGACAGGGGGCAGCATCTTCTGGTTGGGATATGGCTTGGGGTGGAGCAATTGGCAGAGGTCTCTTGACAATCCGTTGATGATCAGTTGACCGCAAAGGTGTCGGACCACCGTGTTTGAATCTGGCGTCAGAAACGTTTTGCCCGTAGCATGTCGGGTTGAGTGGAGCGGGTTTCTCAAGACCATCGTTGGTTAATGCTGCGAGAGCACAAATAGTCCATGGTGCCACTGGTCGGAAGAACAAGTACTGAGGTACGATATTGATGAGACTTGTTGAAGTGGGGAGATGCCTGGCAACAGCTTGTTCGAAGCAGGAAGCGCCATCTGACTGTGTTGCATAGGAGCGCTCTGATGTGCGATGATCTGTTTCTTTTGGTAGACATGCCTTATTCTCGTCCTCGTCGTTGGCCGATGAGGCTGGTTTAGAGGCAGCATGGTAGTGGTGAACGGACCAGAAGTTGAACTTGAGATTTGCGCTGACTGCAAGGACGGCAAACATAATTGATGAGCCAGAAAGCCTAATGGAAGACGAAAAGGATGCCATTGCGCGGGCTAGTTTGCTGAGGATGATTAGAGGGGCCATGGGCTTTCTTAACCAGACACCAATGAGTGTCAGAGTTCTGAGGCTTTTGGTCTTGTGGCCTTTGAACAAAGACGATCTGAAACCCGTCTCGAATGCGGCTTCCGAGATGCAAGACTCACGATAACAATCCTGAGGTTGTCTTACAAGAAAGAGCCACTTCAAAGACAAAAAGTCAATGTCCGCAGAGCTCGATGGGGGTTGTGAGATGTTGACCACAGCCAGTTTCCATCCGGATGCGCCTGTGTGCTCGGTTGGAGGAGCCACTGGAAGACGATGAGCCGCATGATTTTCTCATTTCATCTCAAGAACCTGTTTTGTGATAACAAAGCCTCGCCGAAATGTGATCCAGCCTCAATAGATAGTGCCGAGACAATGTTGAAAGCGAGGTTCATGGAGTGACTAAGACACGTGGTTAATGTATATGAGATCACTTTCCTGTACGCCATCAGTATATAGCTGGCTCGGCTTGTTAGGTTAAGCTCAGGTTAGCATTGCAGAGCGCGAATAAGCTTCCCTCTTCTAGATACAGCTCACCATGGATCCAAATTGCTTCAACCAACCTTACGGCCCCTTCGACTTTGGTGCAACTCATTGCGACCCTTCTCTTTCGCAACGTCCGATGCTACTACTCACTCTGCAAGAGCCACCTTGGCACCATGCACCACGGAATGCAGATGCGAACCTTGGTTATCAGCTGAATGCAACGCAAAGATACCATGGACCTGTGAATCCGCTCATGCACTGCCAAGGACACGGAAACCTGCAGCCGCAGATCCAATGGACAAGAGCAAGCCTTGGAGCAAACATTGCGGCTCCAACCGACCGGCGGGCAAGGAAGACAAAGAGACGCACTTCACTTGCGAAGCGAAAGCGTGCTAGGCCATCGGCATCGCGGAGGCTTATAGATCATCGACCATTTGCTGATGTCTCCTCGACGGGTATTGATTTTTCTCATGTTACTCATGACTTACCAAATCAAAGGCCACCGGCGCCGGCTCCATGGTCACATTCTGCAATGTCCGCAATTGCTGTCTCGAAATTTGACCCAAATTCGTTCGAGCCATTTGTGGAAGAAGCGACCGACGCGGGGGCCCCTTCAAATAACCCAAATAGTTGTGACGAGAATGTTCCTATGGAGTGGTTTGAGGTCGATCCGGACTTGGAGGTGGAGGTGCCGATTGACCAAGGCGAGATGGATGCTGAGGTCGAGGAATTGAAGAAAATCATGGCGTTGATGGAGGACTGAAGAGGTGCGGGGAGACTGGATCGAGAGGGGCAGCAGGGCTCGGAGACAGCCAAGTCAGGCTGCAAAATGTATGATGTGCCTCCACTAAGCTCCAGGGATCAGGCTCCCAGGCGTCGGTCAAATTTTACCTTATTAATTATGTCTGCTCGATTTTTGTCCCGTAAAAGCGTGGGAGTTCGTCCCATCCTCAATGGGCTTTTCGGTGCCGTGGTGTAGTGGTAGCACGTAACGTTGTGGCAAACAACTCACATATCATATGTGGTTCTCTACGATTCCCGTTCCGACGGCGGTTCGATTCCGCCCGGCGCCAGCTTGTTTTTTGCATTTTTTGGGTCTCAAATGTGTCACCACTGGCAGCTGACTTCAAGATGAGTCGCAGTGGGTGAATTTTCTCGCGGGCTTGGCTTCTCGTCTCCGGTTTGATGCGTGGAGTCCGAGCCCAGGCCGGTCTATGATCTGTGGGTCGCTTTTTGCGTAGCCTGATTAAGGCGCCTGCAAGGCAACCTTCAAGATTCCTTTGTGCCTCAGTCTAGATCTCTGACGGTCACCCTCATCTTTGCCACCATCTCACCATAACGCGACAGTGCCTAACTCTCAGCGGCCGTTGAGTGTTTATCTGAAAGACAGTCAGTCCCACGCGCCGCGTTACGCGCCGCGTTCGGAATGGCAACTTCATCACCCTTATCAGATCTTCCACCCTCCTCGACTTCACAGCCTAATCGACTTGTTGGCTCTGTGCCAAGACCAGTCAAGGAGATCCCCCACGAGCTCGTTCAAAGCCTCCATGCCTATTACGAGGAAGACCTGAATGCCCAAGGTTTCGACTTCGTCCGTGCCATAACAGCAAACAGCGTGTCACCCACTAACAGTCTCGCTCCCGTCTTAATACCACCAGCCTCACATATCGCTCTAGCAGCGACCTTATCCATACATCCAAATACCACGACCCGCACAGAAGATCCCGCCAAGTTAGCACAATCAAAGGCTGCCTTTGAGCTACTGAGACTTTTACAACGTATCGCGGCCTACAATATCCCTTGGCAGCGTGCCTTTCGCTATCGCAAATACGAGAATTTCTTCCACGTCAGTCCAAAGACTAAGCGGGATGTCTACGCTCACATTGACACCAAAAACAAATACACCGAAGCCAACAGCTTATTCAACCGAGCCAATGATTTCTGGGCGGTGGTTGGCTGGGCGTTCAACTGCGCTTGCCTCACAGAAGTGTACGCGTCCAGATGGGCATTTTATGAACCCTTCTTGAACCTCATGCTGGACATACTCGAATCGGACTTCCAGCACCGTGCACAGGAAGACACACTCGACGACAGTCTACTATGGTCGTATATCGAACTCGGCAGCGGCGGGTCTGGTCGATCGAGACGCATCATTCGTGCTATCTTCGCTGATGGGACCACAAGATATCTGAACGAGTTCGCATCGATTTTCAACAAGGAGCTCAGACCACCTGCGAAGACGAAAGAGGAAAGGCCTGTCAAAAGAGAAGCCGACTTCGACAACGATGAGTTCGGAGAATACTTCGATCCGTCCTCCGACAATGTATCCGAGGAGGAGGCTGACACGCGACCCAGTAAGCGCCAACGTAGCACACGGAGATCACAGCCCTCCTCGAAAGCCAGCAACGAAAGCTTGAACGACGCCCACAGCACCGACGACGCCGCCGCCGCCGGTCAAAGCCCAGCTCTAGGATCACCAGAAACACTGCGCCTCCGGGCCCGCCTAATCCGCCTCCTCGCCGAAGTCGTCAATCATCCCAGCCTCTTCGCCCATTCGCCCACGACGTTCGTCGACCGAGACGAGCTGTACACGCTCTTCGTCGAATTCATCAAGCCTTTGCCCCTGCCCATCTTCCAAGAATTCATCCTGCCCAACACGCACACTGGCCGCGCCTTCGACGCTGTCACGCACACCCGCCTCTGCGAAGCCGTCCTGCAGCGCACGCTCGAGAGTAGAGCTCCCGCAATGCCGGACGACGGCGTGCCCACGGCCGAGCGGCTGATTCAATGCTGCCTACCCTACGCGGCCAGCGGCTCTGGTGTCGAGGCGCAGGCCAAGGTGGCGCTGATGATCGAGGCCATGACGAGGAAGGCGTACGAGGAGCGGATGCTGAGCGGCGAGAACGGCGCGGATGTGGAGGTGTTGCGCTGGGCGACGGAGGAGGGTGTCAGGAAGAGGGAGGACTGTGCCAAGGAGGCCATGGGGACGCGGAAGAAGGGGAAGAGGGGCAGTGGGAATGATGATGATGCTGCGTGGACAGCGTTGAGGGAGAGTGGGCAGAGGCTGAGGGCGCTGATTCAGAGAATCCAGTAAGAGGTTCGTAATATAGGAACAGCAGATTTGGCAATATCGTCCTCTACAGCAGCTTGTGAATCCTAGGGAACCTGACAGAAACGGAGTGGCCTGGAACAGGCCGAAGAAGTATATCTCTCGACTTAATACTCGCTTTCGCGACGATATGAACAGAAACGAACAGGAACGTAATTTCTGACTACCCACACACTCGCTCTTAGTGATCTAAAATGTCCTCTCAACCTCTCGTCTCACCGCGGCGGCCTAGGCCCAATAATTTGCCTTCTCGCTCCTCCCACACCCAAACCAGGGCCACCCCGATTTTGACTGTCTCCACCCATATATCCATATTGATGAACATCCCAGCTCTGACCTGGTTGGCTGCCCTGCTGGGCATCTCGAGCGCGCGTCTCTGTCTCCTTCTGTCCCTGCTCCCATTCCCGTTGTCGTTCGCGTTCACGCTCCATCTCTCGCTGTAGCAGCGAGCTGGACGCCCAACCACCCGCCTTCGTCTTGGCTTGCGAGGCTTGCCGGCGTTGATTTTCGAGGTCAACTTCAGTCGTGGTGCTATAGTCTTGTGGTCGATGGGAGGCCACTGGTGCAGGTGCGGGAGCGGTATTAGAAGCAAGGAATCGTTCAGTCCGGCTCGTATTCGGTGCGTATTGGGAGGGATCCGGGAGTGGGCGCGCGGAGACGTCTGCAGGGCGAGAGGGTTTGGTGTTGTAATTCTCCGGGTCTAGTTGGGCTGTTTGCCATTCTTTGCGTAGGTAGTCGCGCTCGGAGCTGTCCCAGTCGTCTTGGTGACTCGTTTGGGCTGGCTGACGTGCTGGTAGGGACGGCGCCATTGGATGTGCTGGAGGAGAAGCTGCGGCGCGACGTTGGGACTCGCGAAGTTCTGCTAGCTGACGTTCGAGCTCGGCTATGCGCTGAGCTTCAGCGGAGGCATCATCCGTCGGAGTTTGTGCAGTCGCAGTTTGGGTATGACCAGCTTGGTACTGGGACAGGAACTGTCCGTTCAAGCGAGCATCGCTGGTTGTTCGTTGCCGCGCACGCTCACGAGCCATGTCATCTTCTCTCTGGCGGGCCTTCTGTGCCTCTCGCTCACGTTCAAGACGTTGTTGTTCTGCTTCAGCAGCTTCTCGCTCATGGCGCAAGCGTTCTTGCTCTTCGAATTGCCGAGCCTGCTCTTCTTTCTCGCGCAGTCTTCTCGTCTCTTCTTCCCATCGACGTTCTTCCTCTAGTCGGGCCTCTTCTTCCTCCCGCCTCCGTCGCTCAGCCGCAGCCTCTCGCTCAGCTTCCTCGCGTTGCTGACGTTCAGCCAATTCGCGCTTCTCTTGTTCCAACCTCTCCTGCAGGCGCTTCTCTTTCTCAGCTAGACTGGGGACAGCTGGCGCTTGAGAGGTAATTTGGCGCCTTGCACCGAATGCAACACCTAAATTGCCTTGACTGGCACCACCCATGTAACCATACTGATGAATGTTCCATGCTGGAACGGTTTTGTCCTGATCATCTCTCTTACTCCAGCTGCTGGTTGGCCCACCCGTGGCTAAGCCGCCGCGGGAAAGACTTGATTGTTTCGTGGGACTAATGCGTCCAGAGTAGGCAGCCTTGTTGAGCGGATTGAAGGTATAGGAGGGAGGGGTTTCACTGGCTGCACTGATGCCCCGCGATCTCGGAGTATTGGTTGTGTAGCCTGGCGACCTGGGACCGGTGCTTGAACCGGTACCTTGTGGGCTCATCGTTGATTTTGTCTTGCCACCCAAAGGAGCTGGAAAATTACCCGGATTCACAGCATTTGCTCGGCGACTGAAAGCAGCAATGCACTGGAGAACTTGCGCGGGGTCTTTTCCATCGTAGAGGTCGACTGTTAGGAAGCGGTCGTGGGAGGGTAGACTTAGAGGAGGCATTTCGCATGCGCGGAGGAAATGCGAGATGTTTTCCATTTGCACGAAGGGCATTGAGGATTCCTTGTACTTGACACCAGGAGAGACAGCGAGATTGACCAGCCTAGGCAGCGGTTAGAGTGGTTCCCAGACTAGATCGTCGGCACTTACTTGCACAGCGCAACACCATCTTTAAGGGCTTCCATGAGATCTCCAGCAGGAAGTCGGTCGCCTAAGATCCCTTCTATCCATGACCGAATCTCGTTCGCAGCAGCAGGCGTGTAACGGTCCAGGCGCATTTTGCGCATGTCCTGGTCGAGGCTGGTTACGGAAGCCATGGCGGGGTCGCAAAATCAGCACGGGGTACGCAGAAGGATGGTATGGCTTTGGGGTGTTCAAAATCCAGAGATATGCATCACAGTGTCAGAGTCGGTATTTACACGATACTGTTGCGAGGTTGGAAGTGGCAGTGAGGAAGACAAGGTTGGCGGAGGAATGCCGTTGGACTGCAGGCTGACGTCGCCGGTCAACCACGGCTCCGCCAAAAAGATGACGGCTTCAAGTGCACTTCGCCATTCGTTTAGGCATCCTTATTTTTGATGTTTGTGACATACGCGTCCTGCTGACAGTCATGGGCCAGTTACGAGAATGGTGGGTGCGATGGAAGATGTTGCGCCTCCCATGGAGGAAGAAGTTCCTCATTGGTAGCTATCCCATTATTGCTTGAAGTGCAGCCACTGATACCAGCAACAGGGCAAGATTTAGCCGGCAATACCTATTGGGAATTCAAAGATGCTCTCAAGGCCGAACGCTACCGTCGGATCGTCCGATACACGAAGAGAACACATCTCAGCGATGCGGGAGTCTCGCCTCAATGGCATCAATGGCTGCGACATACTCGCCCAGAACCACCGTCCATTCAAGAGCAAAGCGCGGATCTTACGAGACAAGCTCAGCTCAAGCATAATGCTGCCTTAGCGGACGCAAGATGGGCTGCTAAAGCTCAGTATATCGAGCAGCCAAAACCGCGAGCCCAAGAAGCTCCTCAATCTGAGGAGATGCCCAAGTCGGATGGGCAGAAGACATCCATCAACCCTGGGTCTGACTACCAGCCAGCTGCCTGGGTGCCAGGTGGACCAGATAAATGAGAGGCGAGTGGCAGCTTGGAAATACGATTTGTTCTCCTCGATCCTTGGACGCTGTCAAGCAGTTTGATGGCTTCAAAGGCGCTCCTGCGAGCGAACCTTAGCCTATTGGCCTCCCAAAAGCCACCACGATTACAACGCGAACATCTCAGGAGCCACATCTGGTTGCAGCTGTGATCTTAACAAATCTGGCGTGTTCAGACAAACAGACTGGGATCCGCAGACTCAGGTGACGGGCCTGCTCCACGACTGCGACACGCAGATTGCGTATAACATAGTTCAAGCGAGGCAGTGCTCTGGTCCATACGCTCCGGTATCAGATAACGCATATCAGACAACATGCCATTCTCGGGTAGGGTGGGTGAGAGACAGCGTGGCTCTCCAAAGGCTTCTCAGCCTAGACGAAGCGTTTGACGATGTTACAGCATGATCCATCACACGACTGAATATACCAGGTCGCTCAGCGAATCCGCAAGCTTGATGACCGCGACAAGGGATCTTGCCATGTTCTTCTGCGGTGGTCGCCAAATCTTTCACCGCCAAGCACGTATTGAGAGCGGTGGTAAAGTCCAAGCGATCTTCTAATCCACTTCACGGTGTTCGCTTCCCAAGCGGGATTCGAGACCATGGTCTGTAACAACGTGCCAGACCTCCTCCAGCACAGCCTCGCCTGATGCCAAGACAACTGAGGTAGACGACGTTTGACGCCTGTTTCAGGCATCGACGATCCGTTACAACTTGCACCACGCCTCCTATTTACCTTGAAAACATGATACACAAACGTCATGCTGAATGGCACTTCGCCGCTAAGGTTGCGTGTGTTGCAACTTAGTGCAATGCACAGCCGCCCTTATGGTTGCGACTTATACATGCCAGTTCTCTGAACTTTTCTGGTCGCTTCAGCGATGCAGCGCATGGACATTCGTGCCTTTCCCTCCTCGCAGCTTATTTACGCTACTGTCGATCATTTTACCTGACATTGAGCCATGGCTCCCACCGCCAACCTGTTCAACAGGTCTCTGACCAAGCGAGCCTCCCTCAAACCCTTAACACCCGCCTCACTGGCCCTTATCATTGTCGGATCGCTGCTAGTAATCTCCATGGCCGCGGTCGGCTTTGTGTACTACCGAAAGAAGCGCGCATCGTCCTCATCGACTCCGATACAGCCGAAACCTGATGAGAGAGCCTCTAGTACGGCATCGGAGGAGCATCAGATGCAGCCCATGGGGCCCGATACTACGACCACAACCAATACCAATGAATCCGACAACTACCGCTACTCAGTCGGCATCATGTCTCGCATGTCATACGGCGGTCCTGCTCGTTCACCACGTATGCCGCGCTCACCAGCAGCCAGCAATCGCTATTCAGTCGGCATGTTGAGCAGAACCTCGATCGATCCTACAGTCTCGTCGCCAAATCCAGACCGCGACCGTAGCCGATCTCGCTCTCGAGCAGAAAAAGACCGAGCATATTCGCGCATGTCGGTGGGGATTATGAGCCGGTCGTCGATGGGTCCACGATCACCTGGTCTGCGCTCGCCAGGACCGCGAAGTCCATTGGGCGCGAACGATCCTCTGATGTCAGCAGGTATCATGAGTAGGGCGTCCATGGGACCGATCAGCCCGCTCCCCAGGAACTTGAGCGTAGCACCCAGCCCGGCGCTGGGCGGGGAGGGTGGCTTCTTGGAACCACCGCCTCCAAGATACTCATGAATATCTCCGATGTATTTTCGACGTAAAAGTTTGGCTTCTGTGTATTTGAAGGAGAGGCTGACGCTTGCCGAGCTGTATACTACGATACTTGGTCCTGTTATGATAGGCAAGCGAATCTGTATGAGCTCTTCTCTCATCTGGCATAGCCCTCTAACACTATCTGACGTGCTCGTCCACGTGACGGATCGTCTCTTTCGAGCAGTTGGCTGTCGGCAAATAGATGCTGGATGACCTGCGGAGTGCTAATTGACAATGTCGTTCAGGGCGTGTGAAGATTTTGCGGGGACATGGCCACCGTATCCCTTGATGGCACCGTGGATATTAAGGTACTGTGGGCTTCTCATTGTCTTACGCCATCGATACCACCACACCATATCAACCAATATGTCAGGCGAGCTCTCCCTATCGGCGCTTCTGAGCACTCTCAACCCAAAGATACAACCCACGACTTTCGTCTGGGCAACTCTAGCAAACAGCACACTTTCGTCGCTTCCTGGTCCTCTAATGGCGTCGGCCCTCTTCACCTTTGCCGAATCCGAAGGTCTAAGCCTAATCGTTCCTCAGGACATCGCCAGAGAGCACAATATTCCATACATCTATCCTTCACGGCAGATTACATTGGATGTCCATTCGAGTCTTGAAGCCGTTGGGTTTATGGCGGCCATCAGTGCAAGGCTGGCAAAGGCAGGATTCAGTTCCAACCCTGTCAGCGCGTATTTCCACGACCATCTATTTGTCAAGGTTGAAGAAGCGGAGAAGATTGTGCAAGTCCTCAAGGACATGGCGAGTGAGGCAGCATAACACGCTGCACTGACGCCATCCCACTTCAGGCAGTATCTCGCCTGGTTTACGTCGGCTTGGCCACCCAACCACAACCCCCCACTCGGATTCTGTATGTGCTGATTAGCAGAAGCCGGGCTACTGGCACGCCTTAATCTAGATTGTGCTGCCTAGCGAGTCAGCCTCGATCAAGGTCGTTCGTATAAAATGGCAGACCTATATTCGAGTTCTCGAGAGCCCACCATCAGCCCATGCCTAGCAGTGAGCCGCGCACTCAGCAACCATACGCTACCATGTTGTATCTGCGTGACGCTGTCAGTCCTTTAAGCGGCGGTTTTGATATCATACACCGAATTACTCTCATACTAGGCACTTGTGTCGTGCTCTATGCCTTTCATATCGTCGTTCAAGGCATCATCAACGTTTATTTTCATCCACTCAGTCATGTGCCAGGGCCGAAGCTATGGATAGCATTCCCCTTTGTGAGGTTTGTGACTGCCATGCGAGGTACGATGGACGAACACATTCGATACTGGCACGGCTTCTATCCGATTATCCGCATCTCACCCAACGAGCTTTCCTTCACCTCGGCCGAGGCCTGGATCGACATCCACGGTCCTAGGAACAATCCTGAACTACCCAGAGACCTCAGCTTCAACCCAGGGCCGGCTAACGATATCATAAGGGCCGACACAACCGAACATAGCCGTTTCCGAAAAGCACTTTCTTATGGATTCTCAGACCGAGGTCTCCGGGCCCAGGAAGATCTCATTCGAGGCTACGTTGACCTGCTCATGACAAAGTTGCGTGATGCTGCTGAGGCGAGTGCGCCATGCGACCTCGTTCTATGGTTCAACTACCTCACCTTCGATATTATCGGCGACCTCGCTTATGGCCAGTCCTTCAACTGCCTCAAGTCCGGAGTCATGCACGAATACATCGCCAATCTTCTCAAAATTATCCCAACCCGGCCTATAGTCAACGGCGCCGCCGAGTTTCCCGTTCTTGCCTTCCTTCTCAAGCACATCCTCATGTCGAAAAGAGTCACGGAGACACGTCAACGCACAATTGACTTTGCCATCTCAACCATAAACAAACGCCTGAACGACGGATCCAAGCAAGGACGTGCCGATTTCGTTGACGCCATGAGCCGCAACAAGGACACCCCCGAGGGATTCACCGAGCTCGAGATGGCCAGCAACGCCCTGATCATCCTAGCCGCCGGCTCCGAAACCACTGCCACCCTGCTCGCCGGCGCGACCTACTTCCTCTTACGCAACCCGCACGCCCTCGCGCGTGCCACGAACGAGGTCCGTACCGCATTTCAGACGCAAGACGACATCACCATCGCCACAACGGCGTCCAAAATACCCTACACGCTCGCCTGCATTGAGGAAACCTTCCGCATCTACCCTCCCGTCGCCAATTCCAACCCACGCGTCACAGTCCGCCCCAGCACAACTATAGCTGGTCTCGCCCTGCCAGCAGGCACCAAAGTCGGCGTCCACCACAGCGCCGCATACTGGTCACCGCGCAACTTCACGCGGCCGCGCGACTTCCTCCCCGAACGCTGGCTGAAGGAGAACCAGCGCGAAGGCGCAGAGTTTGCGCACGATAACAGGGCCGCGCTGCAGCCGTTCAACATGGGGCCGCGGAACTGCATTGGGCAGAATCTTGCGTGGGCGGAGATACGGCTCGTGCTGGCGAGGCTGTTGTGGGGGTTTGACTTGAGTTTTGCGGATGAGGCGGCAACGAGAGATTGGGAGGTGCAGAAGAGCTATACGGTGTGGATCAAGAAGCCGTTGCCGGTCATGTTCAGGGCGAGGGATGATCTTTAACCTGATACTAAACAGCGCCGGGCAGCGGGCACTCCGTTTCGAGTGAGCCTTACAGCCACGGATCAATGATCAATTTCTTCGCACTGACACCCTTCACGATGGTCTCGGTCGCTTTCTGCACGGCGTCAAGCCCACCGACCACTTCCGCCGGCACGCCCCTGATCGAGCCGTTCTTCATTCCCGTCTCCAAAAAACCCCCTTTGCCCATCAGCCACGCGACGTGCGACTTGTTCTCTTCGAGTCCACCCCGAAACAGCATCATCTGCGTCGTGACCCCTTCAGGCGACGCGGGATAGCCCGGTGAAGTTGCCGGCAGCAGCGTCACGATGTGGACGTCCTTCCCTGTCGACCGCCGCTGCGCCTCGGCCAGTTTGTATAGCAGCTCGACTGTGTCCGGGAGTGCAATGGTGTCAAACCAGAAATCAACCGGCAGCTCTGCTTTCAACGACTCCAAGATCTGCGGGTCGTTGCGGTCTAGGACCACGTCTGCGCCGGCCTCCTTCAGCATGGCGTGGTTGTGCTTCGACGCCGTCGTGACAACGGTATAGCCCGCTAGCTTGGCGTAGCGCACGCTCAGCACGCCCATCGCACTGCTCCCGCCCCAAATCAACAACTTCTGTCCCCCACGGTGCTCTGCATCGTCACCCTTCCCCGGATACTGCATGCCGAGGAATTTGAACAGACTCGCCGCAGGGGTCATGCTGTTCGCCGCGACAGCATTCGCGAAGGCCAAGTCAGGGCCGATATCTACCACTTCGCTCACGTCAGCGAGAGTGTAGCGCTGCAGCGACGCGTGGGCTGGGTCGCCGCGCCGTGCGTAGTTGGCCAGGCCGCCGCTCACGCGGTCACCGACGGAGACTTTCGTCACGTTGGCGCCTAGTGCATCGACCGTGCCGGCGCAGGTTGAGCCTAGGATAGCTGGGTAGGTTAGGGGTAAGATGGCCTGGTGGGCGATCTTGCCCTCGGCGGGTTGGATTGCGGCGGCTCGGACCTGTATAAGGAGGGTGTTCGTTAGTTCGATTGGAGGTGAGAGAGGATGGTTGGTGTATACTTTAATGCGGACTTCGTTCTCGCCGGGCTCCCAGAGCTCTGCCTCCTTAATTGTGAAAGGAGCCATCTTCTCCATCTGCCAGGCGGCGAGGTTGGTGTCCTCGGTGGCCATTGTGTTTATTGACCGAAGGAGAGCCGATTTCGATCTAAGCTGTGGACTTAGGCGGGCAAGACGTGCCAGATATCGCATTTACAGGTTCAAATCTACAGCTATGCCGGCCGAGACCTCGTGGATTCAAGTTGGCAGAGTCCTGTCAGACCGGGCCTTGATGTCAGTGACCAAGACTGGATGTATTGGGAGCGCCCAAGCCACCCGTTTCAGGCCCCGTAGGAAAGATGTGGATCGCATCGCGTCCCGGCTAGTCCGTAGAGCCCAGGAAGTATAAGTTTGTATTACGAAGCAAGGCTTCCCGCGACGTACTTCGCCTAGATAGGCTTTAACGCAAATATGAGGGATGCCTGCCAAGCTATCGCCTAGCAGCAGCAGCGATGCGAGCGAATACTAATTTACTCCTCGTTGAAACCACGCAAACGATTTCGTTGAGCTGTGATTGCCTGAGATCGAGGCTCGCCACGTGGTGAGTCCTGGTGAATGGTCCCTCCACATCTCCCCCCACACAGAGTCATCGTCAAGGCCGGAGATATGAAACGTATCGGAGGAGTAGGACCGCGGCTGCAGTGATAACCCCAAGCGAAGAGATATCGATGACCTCCATCCACTCACGATCACTGTCTGGCATTTCCCCACGGCTCCTCCAACTGTGAATTTAGCCGGATAGAATACTCCGTGCTGCTGGGTAAATGGACCGTCGGGGTGATTAACCACATGGGCCATGAACTGGTGTTGGCATATATGGGAGGAGCACATGCTTGTGCCACCGCATGGTCGGGGGAGGGCAAACAGGCCACAGGAGACAGGCGTCTTTTACCTGCCTCAAGCATTCTCCCTAACATTGGCGACCCGTCATGGCATCTTCGGCAACCAGCAATATTGAAGGACCACCCTCTACCGGCGACAACCCGCACAGATATGATGCCGGAGCCCGCATCCCCTCCGTCGACCAACATGGCGACAACCCTGTCACAATCCGCCTCTCGGACGAAGAGCTGCAGACCGGACAGACACACCCCGAGACCGTACAACAGCTCTTGACATACTTCCATCGCGACGGGTTTGTTGTGCTCGAGAATGCCATCCCAGACGACCTCATCGATTCACTATACACGCAGATGGTTTCTGACAATGACATCTACCTCTCCAAACCCTTCCTGCAGTACAATCAAGGCCATCTGACCAAGAACATCTCGCAAATCCCACCCCTAACCCCCAAGCACCTCCACCGTGACTTCTACGCAAACCCCCACATGCTGCGCGTGCTGGAGAACCTCCTGGGCCCATGTCCCGAAATCCGCTTCATCAACTCCAACGTCGCGCTACCACACGCAGACTCAAGGGGTCGGCAGGCCGTGCACAGCGACGTCAACCACCGCTACCCGAGCATCCCATTCGGCATCGTCGTCAACACGTACCTACAGGACAGTGACGCGGCCAACGGCGTGACAGAAGTGTGGTGTGGCACACACGCCGCCTACGACCAAGACTGGCAGCAGGTCGGGCGAGAGACAGGCTGGATCCGCAAGGAGGCCATCCAGCACCGCGGACGGGTGCGCCCACCCGTGCAGCCGCGCGTGCGCAGGGGCGCCATGTGTATCCGTGACCTCCGGCTGTGGCACGCGGGCATGCCGAACCTCTCGGACCGGCATCGCATCATGCTGGCGGTGGACTATTTCGCCGCGTGGTACGAGTGTCCGATGAAGGTGCGGCTGCCGCTGAGTCTGAAGCGGAGGGTGGAGCGGGAGTGGGCCATCAGCACCAAGGGCATCGAGTGGGTGGATGGGGAGGTCGATTACCTGAACCAGCCGTTCTATCTCAACATGACGCAGGATCCCGAGATGTACATTCGGCAGACGGAGCATGGGTTCGAGGACTGGCGCGCCAGAGCGACGGGGAAGTATCCATTTGACAGGGCCAAGGTGACGGAGCAGAATTACTGGACGCCAGACGGCCAGGAATGATGGGAAAGACCGGGGGGAAAGTAGAGGTTCAGGTAGGTTAGGGTAGGGAATGTACCGTTCGGTCTCGAATGCGCGCGAATACGGGACGGGTGCAAATCGGGCAAAAAGGAAAAGGTTTCCCAATGGTATGTACAGGAAATCAGAACCTGCTGGGCTAAGGCCACTGCCTCCAAACTCCATTTTTTTTCCCTTTTCATAGTAGGTCAGAGAAATCAAGCCTGCGGTTCACTTGTGATTCGTGTCAGAAAATTAGGGTTGTCCATCATCGCAGGCAAAAGCCTGGTGCCCGCTGCAGCCACAGAAATGTGGTGGCGCTTGCCAATAACTTCGGCCCTCCCCGTACTCACGTTCCCTCACGTAGGTACCCATCTAAGGGACAGCGATGGGCGGTGTAAACTGGAACGTCACGGGACTCCCCGTCAACTGGACCCAGATCGTCAAGGGATCATTACCGATCTGCTCGGTCTGGAAGCCCTGAGCGTCGGTGGTGATGCCGTTGGGGATGGTGACGGGGACGCGCACGCTGCAGGAGTTGCCGTTGGCGGTGACGGTGGCGCTGGTGATGGTCTGGCCGACCTTGTTCCAGGTGAGGCGGGGCTGGCAGGCGTCGCGGGTCTGGCGGTCGGTGAAGGTGACGGCCAGGTCGGACTGTTGCAGGGTGATGGAGGGCCAGTTGACGAGGCGGGTGAATTCTTGCACAACGGTTTCGACCCAGGCTTGGAAGATGGAGATGGTTGAGGTGACGCCGTTGATGGTGATGGGGTCGACGCCTGGAGAGGTGGGTTAGGAGACGTGATGAGAGGAAGGGGGTTGTTGGTGACGTACCTTGGGTGCGCAGGTTGGCCTGGTGGAACATGTAGCCTTCGTGGAAGAGGCCGAAGAGATGGCGCATGGTATCGGACTTCTCGACGTTGAGCAGGTCGTAGAAATCGCCTTTGCCGGCCGAAGTGTTGATCCATTCCTGGGTCGTGCATGCTGGTGGGCCATGAAGTCAGTCTTTGCCCGGCATGCTGTGTTGATGGATGGATATTCTTACCTGGCTTGTCACAGTTGTAATAGATACGTGTAGCCCAGCGGGGAAGGACGATGTAGCCGTCAAAGTTGTCATTTGCTAGGGACGTGGTGTATGGATACATGTTGTTCTGCTGATTGCGAAGCGCAGGCCGAGTGTCTGTGATGTCAGTACGAGATAGGAATCGGGGAGATGCCACTTACTGTCGCCAACACAGTTGCGGAGACCAGCGTTGGTCCAAGCCCTAAGCACATCACCGTTGTGTAGACCGGTGATGGCAGGTGGGATCAGACCATTGGGTGTGAAACGACCAGCAGTGAAGCCGATTTGCTGAAGCCAAGCCTGGTTGAACTGGATCTCCTTGAGTGCATCGCTATAGGTAGCGTTGTTTAGTTCCAGATGAGTGAAGGTATGGGAGATGTGAATGAATCTGTTCTGGTTGGCAGGGGTGCGGAACCAATTGAAGAGAGGATCCAGAGTGTTGCAAGCAGTCGAGTATCCATAGACCGTAGGCGAGGTAGGCCACAGATTTGTTCCAGTACCAAGAGGTTTCTTGAACTCCAATGGAGTATCTGGCGGCGAGTTGTACTCAATCGGCCCTGGTGCACATACCGCGTCACCGCCAGCAACGAATGTCGAGTACTCGATGTTGCCGTTGCCATTGTGTCCAATCTCAGGCAGATAGAAGGAGCCGGCATTCATCTTGGCTTGAATGGTGGGGACCCAGTTCCAGATGTCTTGCATATCGGCAGGTACCACACGGTAGTCGATATTGGCAGGCTGGTAGAGTGTGGTAGACAGGAACATGTCGTCAATCTGAGTATTGAGATAGACACGACGATATCCACTGTAGAGACCTCTGGTCATCCATGTGATATACTCGTGCTGCAAGAAGTTGCTCGTGGCGGAGAAATCGGTGGCCCAGGAAATAAAGAAGACCATTTGTTCACGGCCAGCAAAGTTGTTGATAACAGCAGCAACACCTTCGGGGGAAGAACCTGCGGCTCGGAACCTGGCAATCTCGGTAGTGGTGGTGGCATCAGCAATGGAGGCCGGATAGTGGTATAGGCCCAATGTAGAGAAGTCGGCGTTAATCCTGAGGCCAGATTGAGGTGTGGTCTGGGTAAAGTACATATTTTGTTCCACACCAGCTGCGCAACAACCAGTGGTGCCGACAAGGGAAGCGCCGAATAGTGGTCCAGGGAAGACATCATACTGTACCATGCGGACACCATACTGGGTTTGATAGTCGTAGAGCTGTTGCCATTGAGCCGGAGTCAGAGCTGACTGGAAGGCTGTGCCATATTGGTAGGAAACTTGGCCAGCAACGATGATACCGCCATAATTTCCGCCGAATGTCGTATTGAGAGTTGGCAGAGGGGCGCCGGTCGATGGCACGTAGAGCAATTCAAACGGAATACCGTAACCGTTGAGACCAGAGGAAGCAGAAGCGCCGTCAACGGCGTTGCGCACGATGATCAGGATGGTCGAGGCTACGAAGTAAGTGCCGTTGGGCGGTGCGCTCGGGGTGGACGATACGGTCGACACGGTAGAAGAGGCGGTGGAGGATTGCAGCACAGACGTGGCTGTAGTGCTGCTCAGACCGGAGCTAGCTGATCGGGAAGAGCTTCCAGATGCGGATGAGACTCGAGAAGACACGGGGCTCGTAGCTGCAGACGAAGCTCGTGTGGTGGTGAGAGTAGTAGGTCCAGTCAGAGTCGGATTGATGGAGGCGCTGCCGGCACTGGAAGTTTGCCGCGACGTTTGCGGCACATTGGAGGTCGTCCGAGGAGGAGATGGGGGAGCAGAGGTGGGACGTGGACCGGCAGTTGTTGTGGGGCTAGTAGGAGTAGTTTTGGGAGCACCTCTCGTGATAGTGAGGAAGCCAGAAAAGGTAATCTCGATCGGGGCGTTGGTAATGGTAATGAGGATACCATTTAAGAAAGCATCGACGACGGTGTTGGAGGGGAAGAAGTAGCTGTAAGTGATCGGGGTCAATTCGACGGTAGCAGGGGTGACAGAGGGGCAGGTGCCCAGTGGATCATCTTGGATGTCCTGGCGAGCAGCCAGATCGAGGCCACGCTCTGCATACTGGTGCTGATGCTGAAGCTGATGGTGATTATGGTGAGCCACGGCACCGGCGGCCAGAAAAGGCAGTAGCGAGAACCTCATGGTCAAGGCGGCGATACAGAACAAGCAACAAGCCAAAGGAGTGACTATACTAAGGAGCGTGGTCCCAAGGCTGGGAAAACAAAGCCGCCGCAGGACGCCGAGAGAGAAGAAGCCGATGAGATCGTTTGAATCGGTCGAGGCACCGGGCTACAGTTATAACGAAGCATTCCTCAGCAGAAGACATGTTTATCACCACCGCGTGCTGGGGTTTGCGGGACATTCTTCCGGTGAAGTCTAACGAACGTTCACGGGCGGGGATGAATGTGACAGCGGCAGGGACAGGCAGGAGGTAAAGAGCCAGTGAGCCGGACGCCAGTCGGCCAGTCGATACAAACCAGAGGTAGGAAGCCGTTAGCATCTAAACACCGTGTAGCTCAAGATGAGGATGGGCGAGGTTCTCATGTAGCGGATTGCGGGTTGGATCGCCAAGACGGGCGAGGCCGCAAAGATGTCGACGGGGTCGACGGGTACTTGTACTCAGTCTTCGCTTGCTCGGTCCGCCTCACAAAGGACCCGAAGAGATTACTTCATCCGAACCACTACCCGCACCGAGTACCCAGAGAATGACAACACCTTCGCACCAGAGATTCTCGTCGAATCGGACCGGTCTAAGTGTCGGCAGATCCGTAGATGGGAGCATGAGCAGACATTTGGTATTTCGAATGCGCAAGCTTCTGCGCGTGGTGCACTGAGACTGACTCAGCAGTTTGATGAGATTGCGAGTGAGTGTTGTTAACCTGATGAGCAATGCTCGGAGATCAAACGTTGAGAATGCGGTGCTACGACTCCAAGTACGACGTGCCAGGTGGAAACCCCCCTGCATGCCAAGCTTTATCGCCAAGCATCCAAAGTCTGGGGCAAAGCGAAGAAAGCGAAGACATGGATCCCATCACGGCCATCAATCGCTCGACATGAATAGGTCTCACCGTGGCGAGAAATTCGAAGACTGATTGCCATCCAGATCATCTTCGAGTCGTCATTCGGAGGATCAGTTGCGGGAAAGGAGACGAAAAAAATAACTCGACGCGCTGACCACGCATGGATCCGTGCTGTCCTTGCCGCCTTTTGCAAATCGTTAAAAGCAGCCGCAGCTATAGTTGATCCAGCGTCAATTTTCTCATCTTGCTGCTTCAAATATTGTCTGACCACGGAGTCAGCCCCGCAAAACATCGACGGACTACCGGCAACGGCTCCTGTCTCACCAGATGAGCCGAAATGTAGAGCCCACAGCCAGAAGTTCTGACATAATAGCCTCGTGGTTGCAGCCAATGCGCGATTTCTATGGGGTAATCGCGACCACGTTTTGCCCTGTGCGCCCGCCCTTTCGAGACGGGCTACTTTGCCGCACTGGGAGCATGATCCAAATATCGTCGTTGACTCTGAATGACATGGCTCCTTCTCCGTGGCCTGGTTCGCGCTGGAGTTGCCTTCAAAAGCGCCGAGCTCCTCCACGATGGCCCTCTCACAGAATGCCATCCTGAGCTGTCGGTAGATTTGCATATCCTAGAGACGTGTGTTGCACAGCTGACGGTGCTGCTTCTTTGCTGCCTGGCTTTCACTTTCATTGCCATCCGTTGTCTGCTCTGTCTCCTCGCTCACGAACCACGCAAACCTGATTGAGACTTCGCCTCACCACCGCCAGTCATGGCTCCCTCAAACCCATACGACATAGACGCCTGGACAAACCCATACACTCCACGTCCTCCCTTTCGCCACCTGCCCGCCCCTGTCGCTCGCTTTTTCGGCTACCGCAGCCCATCCAGCTCCCCTCAGCAACCGCACACCCTCGTCGTCTGGGCTTGCTCCTTTCTTGGCGCGTTCCTCGGTGTCTCCCTTCTCGAAGGTGTATACCTGAATCTGCCAGCACTCTCCGGCCATACGGTACCCACCATCATCGCCTCTTTCGGCGCCAGCGCCATCCTCTCGTACAACACCATCGAAACTCCGCTCGCCCAACCGCGCAATCTGGTCTTTGGCCACTTTCTCAGTGCCCTCATTGGTACCTGCATCACCAAGCTGTTTCATCTACTGCCCTACGCCGAGTTCAACAAGCTGCGCTGGCTGGCCGGTAGCCTGAGTGTCGGAGTCGCAAGCGTTGTTATGGGCATGACCAAGACCGTCCATCCCCCAGCCGGTGCCACCGCATTACTGTGCGCCACCACTGTCGAGATTACCGAGCTGGGTTGGTGGTTCTTGCCGCTGGTGCTGCTTGGGTGCATGTTGATGCTCACGAGTGCGTTGATCATCAACAACGTTGCCCGCAGATATCCGGTCTACTGGTGGACGCCGGCCGACTTGGACAAGGCAAAAGCGGACAGGAAGGCTGGAGATGTTGAGACGGCGAGCCAGGCGAAAAAGGAGGAGGAGGAGAAGACCAAGAAGCAAGAGGACGAAAAATTAAGGAGCCTCAGCCAGACCGACAGCGACTCCGCCACCCGCAGCGAAACAAGTGGCCGAACACCAGGGGAGAACTTGCTGCTGAGCAGAAAGCACCAGATCATGATCGAGGGAGATCGAATCGTCGTGCCGGATTGGATGCATACCGACGAATGGGAGCTGTCCATTCTGGAGACGCTCAGGCAAAGAGTCAGGAACGGCCCGCCCGATACCGCCACGACCAGGCAAGAGCCGTGACGGCCCTGTGGATGCTATATGACAGTGATGTTTAAATCGGGCAAAGCGCGCGAGCATTTCGAAAGAATTCGAAGATGGCGAAAAACAACCAGCAACGAATTCTGTCCACGTCAAGTTTCGAGCAGCACCGAGACTTACGATTCGGACCGCGCCCCAGCACCATGGCTTGCGCAAGATTTATATCGCCACATTTATGGTCCCTCTTGGATGGACAGATTTGCACCATTTTCGCAAGTCATGCCCGTCGGGAAGATACATTGACCATGCTGGACGTGCATTCGTTGCGTAATCGCCGGCGGATCCTTCAATACAGAAACGTGGCCAGCCGACAGACCAGGGAAATGACAGATGCCAGTACGTCAGTGACACGGCGAATCTCGACGAGGGTTGGTTCGCACCCAGGAAGATGCTGATACAACGGGGCCAAGGCAGGGCGGAGAGGGTACGAAGCGCGTAGAGTATAGATTACTGCAAGCAAGACTTCAGGAATGAAGATCGAGACAGAGACAGTAGAGACAGGGGCGGCCTCATACAAACTGTAGTGGGTGTACAGGACTTCAGGACGGGGCAGAGGTAGCTAGCTTGGCATGGATAGAGCATATAATCGCCGCGCTGGCAGACACCGTCGTACTACCATCCAATCTACTGCGCAGTTTCTTCTCTTCCCAAAGTCCCCTCCCCTTCCCACACCCACCGCTTACCGGCAGATGCCACTCAAGGCCTGGGATGGCCCGTCTTCCCAAAGATCTCCTTGACGATCATTTGGCGACAGATGGGATGATAGAAATCCTTGTTCTTCTCAAAGCACGCGACCGCCTCGTTGATGGCGCCCATCTTGACGAGACCACGGTACAGGGGCCGCACGAACTTCATGCGGCCCACTCTTCCCAACAGCTCCGTGACAAAGACGTGCACGTTCCAGTCGCCGGCGGCCATGGCGACCTGCAGGTAGCGGCTGCTGACCTCGACGTTGCGGGTATCCTTGACGTTGTAGATGGCGCCCATGTAGTTGGCGTGGGCGGCGGGGAGGGGCTTGTCAAAGGCCAGTACCTGTTCAAGAAACACGACCATTTGGTTGGCGCTCCAGCCGTCGACGTCGACCCACGTCGGGCCCCAGCTGGCCGGGTCGTCCGGGTTCGTGAAGCGGTACCAGTGCTTGGCTAGCCTGAGGGCCGGGTCGACGAGCTTGGTGTCGTATTTTGGATCCCACTTGGGAAAGCCCGGAGAGTAGAACCAGGTATCCCAGTCGACTTGGTCGAGTTTCTTGGCTTCGTCGGCGTGCTTGTCCGCCGAAAAGAAGTCTAGAAGGGTGGCTTTGAAGTCGTAGCTGTCGAGGGACTTGCCTTTCCATACGGTGAAGTAGTGGGGGATGAATTCGTCGAAGGATTCTTGGCCCAGGAGCTTCTCGAGGTAGTAGAGGAAGACGAAGCCCTTTTCGTAGGGAATGGAGGAAAAGGCATCGTCGGGATCCTTACCCTTGAGGTCGATGACGAGCTTGGTGAACTCATGGTCGTCGCCGTACTGCGCGATGGAGTCGCTCAAGGCTTTCCAGCCGATAATTGCGCTGAAGTCGCGCCATTCGTTTCCGCCGTGGACAATGGCTTGGATACGGCGTTCGAGGTAGGTAGTCCACCCCTCGTTGAGCCAGAAGTGTTCCCAGCTGGCATTGCTGACGAGGTTGCCGGACCAACTGTGTGAGAGCTCATGAGCGATGACGTCGACGTTCTGGCGGTCACCAGAAATGATGGTCGGGGTCGCGAAGGTGTATATGGGATTCTCCATGCCGCCGTACGGGAAGGACGGCGGCAGAACAAGCACATTATATTCGCCCCATGCGTAGGGGTAGACAAGGGATTCTCCTGCCTTCAGGTACTTCTCTGTGTCGGCCTCGAGTTCCCATTTGCATTCCTGCAGCTCATCTGGGCCGGTTGCTACCGTGGACCGAGGCCCGACGGAAGCAAACGATAGGTCACCGGAAGCAATGGCGAAGAGGTAGGCTGGGATTGGGACCTTTTGCTCGAATTTGTACGTTTGGGCGTTGCCATCAGCGGAAGAGGTATCTGGATTCGAGGAGGCTGCAATACCAGAAGCAATGACGGGAAGGGGCGAGTTGACGGTAAAGTCAAAAGTGGCCTTGACGTCCGGCGTATCCTGACAAGGAAAGATGGAACGAGCATGAATCGCTTGACACTGGCTGAACATATACGGATGTTTCTTGTTGGATGTTTGCGCAGGAGTGAGCCACTGTAGAGCTGTGCAAGCAGCTGTTGTGTCCACATCAATGGCTAGGGTAATCGAATCATGAAGTGCAACTGGCTTGTCGAGCTTGACCTTTAGGGCACTGCCGTATGGTTCCATGCGAGGTGCGAGCTCCCACTTCGCAGATTGGTCGTTGACCTTGACTTGCTTGATCTGCACATGGGAAGTGTCAAGAATGATCTCATGGGCCTCAGCTTTAGTGATGGACTCCAGAGTATGTGTGACAGTCCCGGAGAGCTTCTGCTCATTGAACAGGATATCGAAGTTGGTTGAGGTATGCGTCGTACGGAAGTTGTTGTAGTTGGAGAGTGTGTTCGGGTCCCGGGGCTTGTTGATGACAACTTCCGCCATGATTGCTGACTGAGTGTAGTGCTTGGTGTTGGATCTTCCTGGACTCAGCTGGCGTTGTACGTTTCTCGATGATGGTCGAGCGAGGAGCGGGCAGACGACCAGGTAGAAAGCTCGGCGTGCGGCCGGCGGCAGGCTCATCAACCCGATAGAGAATGTATCTCAGCTAAGAAGATGCTTGCTCGTAGTGGTTGCTGTAAGCGGACTGACGTTCAGCGACCCAGACCGACATCAACTAGAAGTCTCAGGGAGGACGGTGAGCGGAGGTACTCTTGGCACATTATACGGCGTTGCCTTAAGCATCGAGACGCAACCTACGCTTTGACTTTGATATTGGAGCTGACGAGATCATGCTTTCAAGTCATCAATTTTCTTGCATTGTTGCTCGCTGTATCTAGACTTGTAGACCTCGTCGGCAAGAATGGCCCTGTTACTCCGTGCCTTTCCGTTGACAGATCAATGGCCGTCCCACACGAGGGCCACTCAAGATCTTGACGTAATGTGGTTCAGTTTGCCTACCGCTTTATTCGCCTCGTTGGCCACAGTAGCCCATCCTAGTCCAGCTCTTGGGTTTTCCTCTGTTTCCTCTTGCCCCTTGAAGAGTAGTGCGGTTCCACTGAGCTGCTCATCCCTTGTAAGTGAACTCGATTCCCGAACCTGATGGTGGCGATCCGTCAACACGTTGTGGATATCCCTTGAAGCGACCCGCCGGCCTGCTGAAATCGTGATGAGCGCGGCGTCTTCGTCCTTCTGGAATGTGCTGCTGAGACTATCGAGCCTCGACTCAGAAGCCTGTGCAGTGGACAGCTCACGGTATGTTTGCAACAACTTGTGGGATGCGTCAATGAGGTCTGCGATATGATCCCCACATGCTTGATGGCCCATGGCTGTGACCTGAACTTTCAGGGTATCTTCATCGACTGAATCATGGCTGATAGCCTCGCTCTTGTCGAGGGGAAGAAGGGCGTTGCGAAGGATCGGGAGCATGAGACGTTGGAAGTGTTTTTGGTCCTCAACGCTGCATTCAAAGTCAGAGCTGAGCTGATGGGTGAAGTGGCTGATTTGGTATGACTTACACCTCATCTTTCACCGCGCTGAGCATGCTCAGAATTTCAGATTCCGTCTCCTCGACTTGATTGCAAAACGCCTGTGGCCAGTTGTCATCTGATGGGGTCCTCGGCTTCTCGAGACTAGTAGAGATGAGAACCGGCCAGGAGAGGTACAGGATGTACCCACATTCTGGCAGCTTCGGCTGTGGTCACACGTCGACCTTTTCTGGCCGGACTGATCAGAGGCTGCTCAGCAGTAAGCTCAGCTTTGCCTGACTTTGAAGCTGATGCTCTGAACTTCTTGGTTCCGGCCTTGGGAAGAGGCGACGCTGTAGATGAGTATTGTCAGTTTCAGCCCGGTAGCAACTAGCAAGTTGATAGGAGAATGTACCTTGTCGCTTTGTCTTGCTCGCCATGTCTGGACAGAAGATCAATCAAATGTCTAATCTATGTCAGAAGTAGAATCATGCAACGTTAGTCGTGCTGATTGCTGAGGCTGCAAGACTGGCAGGTAGGTGATGCAATTGGTGCTTGCAGAAGTCTCGTTCTTGCGTCAGTTATCGCTCATAGTTTGCCTCACTTGCACCTCACTTTGACCTGATTTTACCTGTACTTCAACCCTTGAATGCTGGAGCGCGAAGATTGTCAGTGAATTATCATCTTATTCCCATTCTAAACGAGTGACCGTAGTATAGTCAAAGAAATAACGTCGACACTGTCTGTGCTCCGTAAAAGAGATACCTTACACTCAGGCTATGTCCTTAGCCATCATTCACATCACAATCTGCAATCTCATCTTTTCCCTTCCTCAAAAGTCACCACCATGCATATTCATTTACAACAGGATATCACTAAGATGTCTTAGCGCTGTCTTCATTAACTCATCCTTCCCGTGCTTGCCACAAACGATCAGAAACTGTACCAAATCAAAGCTTCACGCCCCGCAAGGACAAACCGGCAATTAATCATAGTCACAAGGAAAGATGCTGAACTCTTTTCTTAGCCTGGTCCCTCTATTCTCCGCCGTGATTCCCATCCATGTCTTTGTACCGCAGAATGCAAAGTCTAGCGTGTCGTCGATGCTCCGTGTTCGTTTCATATGTTTGTTTGCGGAAGGTTGATGAGGCGAGTCCAGCTCACATCGATGTCTAGGATCCGAGGGACAAGCCCTGGAACCGACCAGCCCATTCGTTGGTCGGTGATTGATTCGAGGCCCGAGAGCCCATGCCAGGTCGCCCACTGGCAAAATTGGGGGCATTTGGGTTGAGTAGGTTGTACGAGGGCTGGTAGTAGTCGCCAAATGGGTCCCCAGGCATGTTACCGCCAAAGGGACCCATGCCAGGGGCAAGGCCCGGAGCCTGGCCTGGCTGAATTCCCGGAGGAAACCCGGGGAAGGGAGGCGCAATATAGCTTCCACGCATGCCCGGTTCAGGCTCGTAGGGGTTGTTGAAGGCCATAGGGTCTGGCTGCTGTCTACCGCCGTAGGGGCGCTGGCGACCGTTTGCACCTTCATTGGCACCGAATGACTGCCCAGCAGGAGCCGGAACAAGACCAAGAGACGCAGTTGGGGTCTGGAACGAAGCAGGATTGATTGCAGACATCCAGATTCTAGTCTTGTAGACTTTGAAGAGATCTGTGACCAGGGAATTGAAGTTAATGTATGAATCGGCAAAGTAATAGAATGTGAGCTTCTTTGAATCCCTAAAGACTGTTAGCGCATGCTTTGCAGGTAGTAAGCAACTCATACAGCTGGAATTCGGCATCGAGGATCTCCATGTTGAGCCGATGCTCCGCGACCTTATGCTGACACACTCGTTTAGCCTTGGCTTCATTGCCTTCCTTCTCTTTGAGAGTCATGATCTCGTGGTTAGCCGCGAGGCGTTTGATCAAACGAGGTTTGAGGTCGCCATGGGATGCATCGTGGGCATTGTGATGATTGGGAGGTCCCATGCCGCCAACAGCACTGCCCTGCTTTGTAGGTAGACCGTTGGGATTCACAACGTTTGGGCCGCCATTTCGACTCTGCTTGGAAAACATCATCAGCCACTTGTAGTGCTCCTCCGCGTAGTGTTCTTTGTAGCGTCGTGCTTCTTCCCAAGTCACGTTGGTGTGCTGTACAGTTCCCAAGTCGATGCCTCGGTCGGCGTCGACGATGACGAGGTCTCCGACACGAACATCTAGGCCACTGCCTTCCTGGACGTAGTAGACGTCGGAACGACAGCATTTGAAATTGACGATATGCAGAGGCTGTGCAGAATGGGGCATGTAGTGCATGGCATAAGGGCTTGCGGTGGTGAATGATTGAACATGCTCCTCGGCGGCTCGTCTCGTGGACTCGTTGACGGTGAAGTAGGCAGCTGCCATATGAATAAGTATTTGAGGTAGACCCTGCGGATAATCAGAAGCGAAATACGTACGATCGTCTCCTTGGGAGTTTTCCAAGTGGATCTGTTTGAAGTATTCGGCGGGTTCTTCGTGATCTGGGTAGTGAGTTCGTGCACTCAATTTGGGGGTACCATAAGGGTGGCGACGCATGGGGCCTATCATACCTTGGGATCCTAGGGACGGATGACGTGTGGGAACATCTGCCATTGAGTGCCGGCGACTCTGAGGGAGTTCGGGTATGCTGCCGAAACCAAGAGAGGTTGACCATTTTGCATTATTGCGATTGGCGTCAAAGTCTGTCGCGCTCTGTCGCTCATATGGGTTGAGAGCTTGTTCGCTCATGCGGCGCATGGTATTATCACGGCGCTGCATGAGTCCCGAGCCAGACATACTCTCTTGATCATCGACTGCGTCATCATACTCCTCTGGCAGCGAGCTTTGAGTGCGGAAAGATCTAAAAGTAGAGCTGGTGGGTGGATTGCTCAGAGCGCTGGTGGAAAAAGTTCGGCTTCCAACTTGGGCAGCTCGGAGCTGAGCATTCTCCTTCTCTAGTCGTTCGATCCGCCGTGCTTGCGAACTGGACATGGTCGTAGTGGTTTGGTAATCTTCGTCACCTTCCTCCTCGTGCAAACGATCGAGACCTGTAGCGTCAACGACCCCTAGTCCTGCAGTGCGAGATGTGCGGCGTTGCAGAGATGGGTATTGTCCCCCCATGCGGTATCTACCAGGTTCGTTTGGCGAACTGGTAGGAGGGGCTGAAGCTAACTCAAGTTGACCGACAGAGTAGGACTGCGAGCGGTAGGTTTTGGGGGTTGGTTGAAGAGGAATAGAAAAAGGGATGCCCCCTTCATTTGTATTCGACATGACTTCCTGGAGGCGTGAGGGTTCTTTGCGCGCATCTTGACTTGACCAGATACTGCCCCAGGGTGTTGCACCGCTGCTACCATTCCAGGCAGAGGCAGCTGAATTGCCCATAGCGTTCCACATTGGCTGTTCACTGGATGGTGTTCCCGGATTTGACGCAGTTGGACTGTATGGCATGGTGCCTGACGCTTTGCGGTTGAGTGTTGCTGTAGCGGTCGGAACGTCGTTCAGCCAAGAGGTTCGGCGAGCTGGCTTGTGTGTTCTGTTAGCTTGTGCTGCCGCTCTACTCTGATCGACCTCGTCATCAGATGAAGCAAGGGCCTCGGAGTCTGGAGTCGACCGACGTACGCCGGGGTTGGACTTTTCGAAAAGAATTGAGGCAGAAGGTTGCTGTGCGCCGAACGCGCCGAACGCCGGCATGCCAGCACGAGGAGCGAACGAGGGCTTGCCTTGAGTGGCACTCATGATGAAGACCGGAAGAAATGATGAAAGTGCTCAGATGCGCAGACGTCGGCGCAGTTCTTGGCGATAGTATGAACGATGTTCTGGTGCGAGAAGTGGTCGAGGACAGCCGTCGAAGTATCACGCGGTGAATATGGTCACGTGACCCTGCAAACCTGAGTTGTCGCAACAGAACAGGAGTTTGGTAACGATCAAAGGCGGGCTCCAAGACCACAGTCTCGCAGCAGGAAAGTTGCTATACTCCAAGTCTCGTCGAGCGCAGCTTCGTTGATGCTGGCCGGAATTGAGGCGAGTCGTTTCGTTTGTTGACTAGGCCACCCAAGAACACGTTCACGTATCAATCAAGAGCGTGAAGGTATGCTCGAGCAAGCCGAGACAAATCGGTGAAGAACTCTCGCAATTCAAGCACGGAATTGAATCTTTCGATTTCAATCCGTCTTGCGTCCTCGTTTCGCGAAGTTCCAGCTGATAGGGCACAGTTGCGACAGACAGGTCGGTCTCGGATCCAATGGCAAACTCAGGCAGTAGAATCGTCGCAGCTGACTGCAATGTCCCTAGGTCGAAATAGCCTGACCAGCAGCTAAAGAGGTCGCCAGAGATACCGCCCTCGACAATTGAAAACAAGACCTGTATTCCAACCTCACGCGACGTTGCCTGACAAGCCCTGAGGTGATCTAATTACCCGCCATTCCCGCACAAAGGCCGAAAGCAAGTGTAAATTCGAGTCGCGGCAGGAGAAAGAGGGGCAGCACACGAACAATCACTGCCCCGCGATGGAATGGTAGAAGTATACGAGGGATGCGACGAAGCAAAAGCAAGGTCCCTTGGATGCAGGAGAAGGTCTGAAAAGGTCTGATGGACGTGAGATGGCGTCCCAAGAGGGGTCGAACCGGGCATGAAGCGCTTACACGAGCTGGGACTGGCGTCGTGGTAAGGTGTTGGCGGGTGGGGAGATGCCTGACACAGGGATTGGAGCACGCCCCGGTTTAGTTCTGTCACCAGCAGTCTTTTTGCGGGGAATCGACGCTTGGGCTTTTGCTTAAGGGTTGAGGGTCCTGGAGCGGGTGGCGCTGGCCCCTCCGCGCTTCACCGGCGAGACATGGTGTTCGACACTCAGCTCTCCTGGTGCTGCTCGGCCAGCGAAATGGTCCCATTGGTCATGCTCCGAGGTTCAAGCAGCAAGAAGAGACGGCACATATGCCGTTGATAATAGCGCCTCCCAAAAGCCTTGCTGTGCTACCTATCACAGATCCGAGCACGCCTTTGCTGCCGTTCGACGTCTGTTCTGGCCGACGGAGGCGGGATCATGACAGGCGATCGCCTTGTTTGTGTGAGGACGATTGCGCGGGGCCTGATTGCCTTTGCGTAAGTTGCTGAGCAAATCGCGCACAGGGCCATCCGGGAGACCTCATGACCACGCGAGCCCACCTGGTCCATACAGGCTTTCTCCGGGGAAGCGAAGTCCAGGCCAGGCTGGCGAGCAGCATGTCGCAGCCCGTTTTCAGTCCCACCTTCGTCGATCCCCAGGTAAAGTTAGGCTTTGCCTAGACCCCAAATGATGCCCGGTGAATACGACGAGGCGTTCCTGGGACCTCGAACGTGCTTCTATTCTACTATACAGAAATATCATTCTTCTCCCGACACCCTCGTACGGCCGACTATGATATAAGGTCCATGGGATGGACACGCCCGTGTAGCTCTTATTCATTCGCGTTCCGGAAAAGACAGGGCCGATAAAATGCTTCGTCGGTCCGCAATCTCTGTCGCACAACACCCAGCCAGGTTATCCATTGTCCTCGTGGGTGGAGTGATTGCCCTTCCCCGCAAACTGCCCAGGATTGCTGGATTGATCGAACGCCACTGGCTGCCGTGTGAGGAGACCGCTTTCGTATGCATGACCCCGAGCTACAACTCTATGGATGCAGCTGTGATCGCGATGATATACATAGTAGCTGCATGCTTGGCGGACTGTGGCAACACAAGGCGCCCGGAGGGCGCAGAAGGTGGTCGATGCTTACGGCGTCCTCTACCCGGCAAAGTCCAAGGAACCTTTGCCAACCGTTGAGGCGACTGCGTCAGGGCCTTTCTGCTGACGCAATTTTTCCTCGAAGCGAGCGAACTCCTTCATGGCAATCTCCTCCTCTTCGTCGAGGACCTGATTCACCCCTTTGACCTCTTCGATCTAATGCTTGTCAGTAGCCAGTCCCAGCTAGGTGTCCTGGACCACTTACATAATGCATCAACATGGACTCAATACCATTCTTAAGAGTAACAGTCGAGGAATCACATGTTCGGCACGCTCCACGCAGCTTGAGATTGACCATACCATTCTCGAAGCCACGGAAGTCGATATCACCTCCGTCTTCTTGAATGGCGGGGCGAATTCTTGTCTCAAGGAGCTCTTTGATCATGGCAACCACCTCATCGTCGTCGTCGTTCACAGCCAATGAATCCTCTTCACTGGATTGACCGTCGTCAGAACCACTCTTATCGCTAATTGTGACCATGGCCTCGCCGGCGGTCACGGCCTCGGTAATCAGACTGAAAATCTCCGGCTTGATATGTGCCCAATTTACATCCCCAGCTTTGGTCACGGTGATAAAGTCTGCCCCGTAGAAGACTGACGAAACGCCATCCACTGCTAGTAATCGAGAGGCAAGCGGCGATGGATGTGGCGGTGACAATGTTGACCGCGGAGAAGTATACTCGACGAATGTGGAGGGGAAGTTCTCGGGGAGAACCTCTTGGTTGGGGAGGAACTTCAGCGCGTCCGCGTTGGGAGTTGTTTGCGTTTGTATAAAGATGCTTCGTGACGAAGGCAGGTTGTGCGAAGTGGTGGATGCGACTTGCTGCTGCTTCCCTGAAATCGTCGGTCGATGGCGGCTATACGATGCGGTAATCGCAGGTATTCTGACCGACTTGTGGAACCCTTTTGCGTGTTGTATGGAGCGGATGCTAGCTGCGACTTGTCCGCCACGGGCCATGCGCCCGAAAGCCCGCGGTAACATTGAACTGTTCATGTTCGTCCTTCGGGAGTGTGGCTGGCCTTTCTTCGGGATAGTGTATAAGGACAATGAGGCTCTCACAATGCGCAAGACTGGGGACAGCGAGGGCAGGGTTGCTATGGATGAAGATGATAGTGTGGAAATGATAGAAACGTAGGATTGTTAATACAATTGCGGCAACGCAGTTTAGTTGGTACGTCATACTCCGGTGAAGCATTTGATCCATGAACGTCATGTGGACAGGAGTAGCAGACTTTACTTGCCACTTTGCCCTGCACTGATAATCATTCGGTGAATTATAGCAGGTGGGACACACCTATCAACCTTTGTTTGTCCCCGGATATAGCAGTGCTATCTACTAATCGAGGCACATGAACATGGCTGACCAGGACTGTGAAGTGTGCAAAGAACCCACTTTCAAATACCGCTGCTCAAAATGTCGAAGTCGAAGGTAGGCCATCATAACAGCTCATTATTTATTGTGTTGATACAAGTCTTTCATACAGTTGTTCGTTACAGTGCTTCAAGTGTCACCAAGCAAGCTGTACTTCCAAGGCCGATGCTGGCGCCAATGGCATTCCCAATCATGCCAAAGGCGTGGTGGATTCCGCTGGTGAGAAGAAGCCCATGAGGGAAGAGCTGGAGCACCTTTTTCAGCAGTATCCGAACCTCCGTGCTAAGCTCAAGAACATTTATGAGCAGACTTTGCATCCCGACTCAAGGCCGAATACCACTGGGCGGTCGCGTTTCAACGCCAGGTGGACGGAGGAAAAAGGATTCGAGGAAGGGCTCAGAAATCTCAAGGTCAAACTTGAGTCTGACTCAGCAGACCAGGACGATCTTAAAGCATTCGTTGCTTTCGTTACCAACAATTCTCCCTCCGGGTGAACTTGTATACATGACGCACTCATCAGGTCATGCCAGCTGGCAGCTGCGGTGGAAGTGGAGGAACCTCCGGAGTTCTACCTTTGGGTGAGGATCGGAAGGTCATTGTCATTCTTCTGGCAATCTGTTTCCGCTTAGGCTGCTGCTTCTCGGGGCTGTCGTTGATGATATCAGGGACTTTCGGCCCTTCAGGAGTCCTATCATCATCGAGATATAGATCGAGAAGTTTGTCAACAGGCGATCTCCGGCCAAAGTATTCGACGAAGCTCTTTCGACGTCGCAGCTGACTTCGGTCTTCCACGTCCGATTGCGTCCGCTCGGGCCGCAGTCGATATGGTCGATAATAAGGCGAGGTTGGGTCAATGTCTGCATCGGTCTGTCTCTCCAATTGCATTACAAAGTTTGAATCGATCCTTCCGCCATATCTATGGGTCAGCAAAGGGTCTGCCCCGTCCTGAAGAGTCAGCATTTCGAGCTCTCTTCGAATTCGATCTTCGCTTGGAGGTGTATAGATTAGAGCAGGCGTCCCTGGTACTGGACTCAGAGCAGACGTGGCAATCGAACTCGACGGGGACAGGTCCGGTATGGGTGGTAGGTCATGTTCTCTGGACATGCCGGAAGGGTGCGAGACAATTACGGTATTTCTTGCAGCTCGTTTGCTTTCCGATATGGTCATATGTCTTCTGTGTCTCTTCCTAAAAGGCGGTTGCAATGGGTCTGTGTCTAGAAAAGATGGTGCTGAAGGCAATCGCGCGCTCTGAACCTGGGGAGGGTCGTCTGTTACAGTCTCCAAGATAGGTACGATGATAGGATGGGGTCGATGCTGACGAGACGGTTTCCGAACTGGCAGAGGCTGTTGATCTGTGGTATCCGTCTTGAATTGGGATTTCACGCTCAATCTAGATCGGAGCGGTGGACTCTGGAATAGAGACGAGGTACGCGGAGGTAGAATGGTAGCTGCCGGCGATTGATCATTATGTTCCTCCGCTTCGTCATCATATGCGTCCAGCAGGTCGAGATTGAAGGCGTCTACCGTACTGGAATGATGTTCCGAGGATCTGGCGCTGCTCCTCTGCGGAAGTGTCTGTGGTTCCACATTCTCCACCAATTTCGAACGGTCTACGTCCCACTCGAGGAGGTCTGCTATGAAATCGCTACTTCTGCTGCCGTGTAGCAGTAGAGGTCTAGGCGGTGACTCCGGCGGTAGCGTCGTGGTGTGCGATAGTCGCTGCGTAGGCATTAGTGTGGTGCAGTGACCTTTTCCAAGGCACACTTACTCTGCTCGACCTAGGACTTGAGTATATGGACGACATGCTTCATCACCATGGTCTCATTCCTGAGCAAGACACCTGTCACACGAAAGGGAGAGCATTCGCTCGCAGAGGGCCTGACGGGCAATTGACATTACGGAAACGAGACGGAAATGCAGGCTTTCGCCCAAAGAATGTTCGAAGACATAAGGAAACTTACCGTAAGCACCAAGCCGCACGACTGGAACAACAAACGAATGATTCAAGCCACGAGGAAGTTAATTCCAGTAAGTGGTGAGCCCTTTGGCAGGAAAGGGGGTGGAGGATTATTTGGCCATGCGCCTGGATGTGGTCAACCAACACGATTTCGGCAATTGCGGCTTGCGAGGCTTTTGCGCCAACAAAGCTATGAAAGGCTGTTGTTGGAAGTTCGACCTGTGCCTTGAGGACGCGGTGATCGACATGAGCTAAACAGAGTTGACTTTGAACGACCCGTTCGTGCTGTAGCTAAGATCAGCATACTCTGTGCATGCTCAGTGAGAGATTGATCCGGCAAAGGTGTAGAAGCAATGAGGACAGTAAGCAACAGCGTTTTACGAGACATTCTCGTCGCGGCTTGGAGTGGCTGGACTGATGGTCAAATTAGGATTCCCTCTGATAAGAAAAGGCCTGGAGCGCCCATGAACTCGGGCTCGGTGGGGAACACGGTTCCTGATCAATGTTGCTGGGCCCATTGCGGGGATCTCCCCCTTGAAGTCTTGACTGCTTGTGTACTCCGTACTGTGTCACGACGTGATACTTTGAAAGCCTATGAACGAGGCTCGGTTATAGTCGGTGGAGAGCTTGTCGTCTCGAGGTAATGGAAAAGTATGCTGTCGTACTTGTAGTGCAGTTACCTGATGGAAAACCCCGCGTAGCAAGCTCTAAGCGAGCCGCAGCATTGTGATGGAAGTGCTCGTGAGTGGATTACCTGATTGACAGGCACATGTCGGCATTCGATCAGTTTCTAGTCTCTGGAGAAGCTTGATGACGACGAAGGTGGTCTTTGGTCGTCATGATCGAAGAAAACAGTCTTCCGGCTGCTATGGATCTGATGCAAGCAGATGCGAGCTGCTGCAAGATGATGCAGCCAGCAAATCAGCAGCGGTGCCCCTGGGACCTGAGTGACTAGCTGGGCCTTAGCCAAGCCGCGGAGCAGGGCTCTGCCTCAGGCTTGCAGGGGCGGCTGCAGCTGCTTGGAAGCTGTTGCCCTAATATTCCAAGCAGCTTCTGTTAGCAGCGTCACAACAGCTATGCTGCGACTGGGTAGTCACAAACGCTCCGACTGGTAGGCAGTTGCAGAGTGTCGCAGTCGCACGGCACAAGGCCATCCGCATCTGCACGAAGCATGCTTTGGCTCGATAGGTAACTTGGCGGGTACTGCTTGGCCCCAAACCGCCTTCCGCCGGCCAGCCTGAGGCCCTAGGCTTGAGCCTTGGGGGCGGCTTGGAGCCGGGGCTTTTTTCTGTGTCTAGGTCCGAGCCCGTATGGAGAGTCCACAATTTTCTTTTTCATCAATTTGACCTCCCTGTCCTGATCCTCACGCCTAGAGTCAGAAGTTTCCTCAGCTTCCTTCTTTCAACCCACCATCCAATCCAAATACCATCATTCGCCTTGTTGCACGAATCACCGTCTGTCGTTGCCTTGCACGCTGGTTTGAGACCCCTTGATTGGGCAGCTCTCACTTGCTCGCTGCCTAGTCTACAACGTCTGAGGGAACCCCCATGCTGGGATCCACCCCCTCACGCACCGACCGCGAGCCTACGATACACAAAACGTCCACTGCTGGCATGGTCGACAACATGCTTGACGTCTGAACCTGTCTGCTACCCAACATGGACTCTCGTTCCAAGAAGTCGCGGTCGCTGGCAATTGACGACAAATCCCCACCTTCCTCCAAACGCCCCGTAACAGGTGATCGTCACAACTCGGCCCCAGCAATCAAACCACGCCGCGAGAGCCAGTCCAAACGGCTTTCTTCCGGCACCAAAGCATCCGACTCCAGCCAGCGCAGCTCTAAGACCATCCAGCGGGAGGATGCTGTTGCTCGACCGACGTCTGCTCGCGTGACGGAGCGGTCCAGGAATGGCAGTCAATCCAAGCTGCTTCAGGTATGACTAGGCTTGCCCCAAGCGTATCCTTCTCACCGCTGACATCTCACTCAGACCAAGGATCAGGAGGAGGTCGTCACTCTTGGTTTTGCTATCCTTGGCGCTCAAGGAGTGGGCAAGAGTTATTTTGCCCGCAATGCCATTGACTTGCGTACATTGCCTGACAGTCCGCTGAACGCCAGCAAAGTCTCCCTTGCTGGTAATCTATATCGTGTCCAGTTGTTCGAGCTCGGTTTCGAAGATGTCGATTTCAGCAGTGGCAGCAGGGTGATTTGGCCCAAGACGATCAAAGGCATTGCGGTACCATCCTTCCAAGGCGTGTTCTGCCTATACGACGTCACCGACTCCAGCAGCGTTGCCAATGTTCCTCCAGTTCTCTGTACGAGCTCCTGTCCAGTCCTACCAGAACTCTACTCATAATGTTTTAGCTGCTCTTTCGAAATCCGACACGCCCTGCATGCTTGTCGCCTGTAAGGCGGAGATTCCCGAAGAGCGTCGTGAAGTCCAGTCGCGCTTCCACGAACAAGTCAAACGATCTTTCTCCAGCGTAGTGGTTGCGGAAACAAACAAAGACGAACCGGGAACCCAGAAGCGATGTCTGTCTAATATGCTTCATCGTGTTTTCGCGATGGCTCGAGGTAGGTGCCCAAACGTGGGCTGTCTCGGCCTTAGCTCGGTATCGACTAACGTTACCAGCTGGCGCCAAACCTGAAACTCGCGATCGTTCTCACTCTGAGGCAACATATCTGGCAAAGCAATCTCCGTCCCGGGATTCTTCGCCGGCGAAGTCGAGAAGTCGGAGCCGCTCTCATTCTAGGCTTCGCGTATCCAAGTCCAAAGATTATCTAATCAATATGTCCGCTAGACCACCAATAATCGAGTCCGCCGACGAAGACAGTGATGAAGATTCTGGCGACGAGCTCGAACTCGCCACCTTTTCGAAAACAAAACTCAAGGTTGACACCAACAATGTACCCAGATCCCAGTCCCGGCCGACCGAACCCCACACGCCTGTGTCAGACGACGATTTGACATCGAGCCAATTAGTATCCCGGTCAGAATCATCAAAGACGACTGTGCCCGAGACTCCGGAGTCCTATTATGTCAAGTCCATGCTCAGACCAGTATCCACCGACACTGTTGACAATCGCGCATTCCAAACTTTTCTCAATATGGACGAAGAATCACTGGACGACTCGCCACATCCAGATGTCGAGGCTAGCAGCAAGGCGATGAAAGCGCTCGCGGTTGGAGCATACCCAACCGGTAATGAGACAGGCGTATCATTCCATGACTTGGTTGAGAGGCTTTTGACGTTACCAGCTTCGAAACAGGACTCCAAATTTGTTCCATCCTTTCTATGCTTGTATCGACTGTTCGCCACACCCAAGCAGCTCCTCGTGGCGATTATCGACCGGTTCGTGAAGACAGAGAAAAGCGATCTGGTGAGGTTCACCAAAGTAGCAGAAATGCTACGGTATTTGCAAGTACTCGGTCAGTGGACTGCTCAATACCCGGGTGACTTTGCACCTGCTCAAGTGCGAGACATTGCCACGGCATTCGTGCAATCCCTAGAGAAGTCGAGAGAATTCTCGCCAGCTGCGAGGGAAATCAACAACAATCTGGCTACACATGTGGCAGACGACGATCAAGATTGGGCATATGATGATGGGCCCAACTCAGCAAGCAGCAAAGGGAGTTTCTCCACCCACAAAAAGACGCCGACGTCTTCATCGACATCAATCCCATCGTCAATGAACGAAATCGGCATGAAGCACTCTGGACGTGGTGAAGCGCCAGACACCGATGATGATGACAAGCAAGGGTCTATCCTTTCGCCATCCGTATCACAGGTCCTCCGGACCGGCAATTCGAGCCAGACACTGTTGAACATTGCACAACTCGAGGAGGCTCGAGAAGAAGCGAAACGACTCAGACCTAATCCTTGTATCCGACTGACCAAGGTTCAGTGGCATCAGTTTATGGACATGCCGACCGACGAAATCGCCCGGGAAATTACGCGCATTGACTGGACCATGTATTCGTCGATTCGGCCACGAGACTATGTACGCCACGTCACGATCAGCGAGAAGAGGCGATCACGCCGCAACGACAACATCAGTGTCATGGTTCGGCAATTCAACCACCTTGCGCTGTTTGTGTCTGGAATGATACTCTTGCGAGATAAAGCCAAGCATCGTGCGCGAGCCATGGAGAAATTCATGAGTCTTGCGTGGAAAGTCCGGCAAATGAACAACTACAATTCGTTGGGTGCAATTGTTGCTGGAATCAATGGACACGAGATCGCTCGATTGGCAGCGACCCGACAGCTGGTACCTGAAGAGACACAGAAGCAGTTCCTAAGGCTGACTATCTTGATGGGAATTTCGCGGTCACACGCGGCATATCGAATGGCGTGGGACAACTCGTTCAACGAGCGAATCCCTTTCATCCCGTTGCTCCGACAAGACTTGACGATGGCATCATCGGCAAACCAAACCTTTATTGGAGCCAACGTCAATTGGAAGAAGTTCGAGATCATGGGCGAGGCGATTGTTGGTGTGCAACGAAGCTTGGAGCAACACTACACCTTTCCCCATCGAACGATCCGCAGCGAGGAGACTGTGAAACTGATATTAGAATCACGGATTCTTGAAGAATCTGAGGTGCGTCCTGAGAGATCCATTGTTTGATGCGTGACTAACTCTCTGCAGGATTCAGCAGATCCACGAGGCGAGCTGTATGACCGGAGTGTACAGATCGAACCACAGAATCAGGCTGGTCCTGATTCACGGCACAAAAAGTTTCAGTGGCTGGGGCGTTAGAAACGCATAGCCATATCCGCAACCACGACCACGAACCATAAAACAACTTGATAGATTCATGTCTCCACGGAACGCTTACGATATTATGATGCTATGCTTGCGACAGGACAAAACGGCGCTTTTCAGATCATCATGAGCATTTGTCAGACGGCTTTGGGCGGGAAACGATGTACAGAATTCGCTTGTCATTCAAGCAGATGCAGTTGTAGATAGACGATATGAGTGTTGTATACACACGGCTCGTCGGCTTGTATGATGTCTACAACGTGGTCTGGACCTGGCGACTCACATTCATAGCTCGTTGCTATGCCAAGAGTAATATCCATAAACGGCAAAGTGTAAACAACATCCCGTATCGATAATCTGGCGAGTCTGGATACCGCATCTTGCCAACTGCGCAGGCCATCTCTGCTTGTCCACACCAACTTCCTTTTTCTCTAGATTGGCCTTCAGTGCTACTCATTCTCACCTTCACTCTTGCCCTCGTAAATTGCAACGGCTAAACGCTCGTTTAGTATTCCTGCCGTTCTGCCCCGTTGGCCGGGAATTGCCATCTCCAGGTACGCCTCCTCTCAGCCGTCCCATTGCGAACGACACTCTGACCAACGGCTGGAATGCAGTGACCACGACACAAACAAACCTCGTCCCTGACTGTCATCAGGTGGTTAATCGGCCACACACCCTCGATGGCCTCCTTTCTCACCACAATGTTCGTACCCTACTCATCCCCGTCGGCGCAGCCGCTGCCGCCACATTGCACTCTCAAGCAGTCCGCATCTTGCATAACAATCAACACATATACCCTACTAGAGACACCTAGTTCCCCCGCACCATCAACCCCATCCCGAGTCATGGATATCCTCCGTGACAAATGGGGAGATCTTTCAAGTCCATGCTCTAATCGAATTTCTCCCTTTAGCAATGCCCGCACAAGGGGTCAATTCAAGCCGCAGCGCAGTACCAAGGGTAATTCCAGCTTCCAACTCAGACAATTCGCCGAAGCGACGCTGGGAAGCGGTAGTCTGCGCAAGGCTGTGAAACTGCCCGAAGGTGAAGACCTGAACGAATGGCTGGCTGTCAATGGTACACATCTACCCACGAATATACGACCAAGGCTAACCTAGACAGTCGTTGACTTCTACAACCAAATCAATCTCCTCTATGGTTCTATCACCGAGTTCTGCTCGCCCCAAACCTGCCCCGAGATGAAGGCCACCGACGAGTACCACAAACCCTTCTACAGCCTGTAGCATTCTACTAACATGACATCCCAGATTCGAATATCTCTGGCAAGATGCCGCCACCGGCTTTCCCAAACCCACTAAAATGCCGGCGCCCGAATACATTGAACACCTCATGACCTGGGTGCAGTCCAACATCGACAATGAGACCACCTTCCCTTCACGCATCGGTGTACCCTTCCCCAAGCACTTCCCGCAGACTGTCCGCAACATCTTCAAGCGTCTGTACCGCGTGTACGCACATATCTACTGCCACCACTATCCGGTAATTGTGCATTTGGGCCTCGAGCCGCATCTGAATACCAGCTTCAAGCACTACGTGTTGTTTGTGGATGAGCATGGCTTGGAGAAAGGCGGAGGGAAGGACTATTGGGGTCCGCTTGGGGATCTAGTGGAGAGCATGTTGAAGAGTGACTGAGACACCTGGCCTATTCTTCGACAGACTGCAGCATCCGATGTGGACACAGTGGGTGGCACAATGTATGATTGATGGAAGCTGGCGCATGCTGCCACGGCACAACAGATATCGAACGCTGACGAGACTGTCCAATGCCTCGGGGTGCCGCAATGTTTGAGTACAGTGGAAGGGAATGGCAGTCGGACCAGCACACGGAATGGGCACGGGCTCGACGACAAGGGAACAATATTGGCATCGCAATCGCAATCGCAATCGCAAGGCGTTGGGGGGGGCTAAATACGGTGGGCGGGCCAAGGTGGCGGCGTTAGCATCCCGCTCCGCCCGATAATGAGAGACGAACGAGATACTTATGCATTCCCAATTCCAAAGGGGTTTCTGGTGATGATAATGATGAAATCCTCCGTTTTGGCTCTGCAAAGTGTGTTCATGTATATGTGTTTTGATGGGCAGGTAGGAGTATTGGATTCCCGACGGTAAAGCGCCCCGGCTCACTAGTTGCTATCCCACTCGAAGCCCGCCCCCCCCCCCCCCCCACAGAGACCCATGCATCCCCTGTCAACGCTGCAAGAGAGGCGCTATGTGATGCAGGCATGCACACATCGTCTCACGTTGTATACACCGGCGATCATAAGCTTAGCCCCGGAACTCGGTCCAGTGTAGTAGTAAGTAGTATTGCATGAACCCGTGGCGCGCTGCCGCGATTGCTGCTGGTCTACGGCTACTGGTTGGACAGCCGAACACTTTGCCAGCCCCAGGTAGACACCTACCCTACCCTACCCACTCGCACGTGGAGGGAATGGGGCGTTTCCTGCCACGCCTAACGCCATGCACTAACCGAGAAGTAACGAGGCGAGATCGGGCGCGGGGTGGATGGGAAGGGCCGTTGCGTGCGCGTCCGGGGCCCGGTGGTCACACCACGGTGTGATGCTGGGGAAAGCAGCGAATCTCGGTGGGATGGGGCGTGTGGTGCAGTGAACTGTTGAGGGTGATTGGGGTGATGTGATTAGCTGCGGGCCGTGGTGCAGGTGGTCACACGCGATGTAATGCCATGCTATGCGAGGCGGTGCGGTGCGATGCGATGCGGACAGCTGAATCTGCTAGGTAGGTACAGCGGAGATGGCATGGCGGAGAGCAGGAAGTGGTAGAAGGGGTGCAGCTGAATGGCTGTGGGAGGAATATCAGTCGCCCTTGTTCGTTGATTTGTTATCTCTTCTTGGAGAATTCCTTCCCAGTCAAGAACCTCAGCAGGCTTGCGGCAGCGCAGCTCGGCCGAGAAGTTGATGGCGTGGGACCACGGTGTGGCTCTTCCCTCTTCCATAGCAGCATGCCTCATGCTGTACCCGTCTCGTGCTTGATAGCCGTCTTGGAAACTCCTGACACGATTGTGACTGGATGTCTTCTCCCGCCTTTCTCTATCTGATTCCGCTTCTTGAAGTAACCAGTCGCATATGTGAGGCTCTTCGCTCCCAAATAACTCAAGCCGCGACCTTGTAGGGTGGCTGGGATGTCGGGCTCTTCAACTGCCCCCCTAGTCGAAGCACTTCGCGGATCGTCCTACCCTGGCTCAGGAAACTTCCGCATCCGTTCAGCGATAGCCACGATAGCCGCCTCTTGGTTCACCCCGGCCATGTCCAGAACTAGCAGCGGCCCTGGCGTAACCGCCTCGAACGCTATTTCCATAAGCTCTTCCTCTGCCACTACCGTAGCTGGACCGCCCTTCGTACCGTGGCCTGTCGTCGTAGTCTCTGTCATACGCACGGTCATTGTAGCGTCGATCTCGATCGTCATCGCGTCTCGGGTCATTACGGTGGTCATCGCGCTCATCACGCCGTGACTCGCGATCGCGGCGGTCTCTTGACGCTGCTGCAGCCTCGCGCTCATCATCGTACGGATGGGGCTCATTGCTCGGCTGCGCGGTCTCTTCCACCGCCATCATATCTGTATCCTCCACAAAGGCGGGCTCCTCAACCGGGGCTGAGACAGGTGGCATGGGCGGAGCAGTAGACGTAGCTGCAGGCTTTTGTCCCGGCTGCTTCTGGTTCTGCTGCTTCTGGTAGCTCAATTTCAGATACCGATTGTCAGCGAGCTGATTGTTGTAGGTGCTTATTATGCGATCTGCAATGGCACGCTCCGAAAACACTAGCTCAGCAGAGACGGTGGGATGGGTCGAGGTGAGACGGCAGTCGAGGAAGCCGTTCTGCCCGTCACTATCGAGGGCGTCACGAGACAGGGTAGCTTCAATATCGGCTGCTGTAGTTCCGGGGGCAAAGTTGGACGCAATGATGGTCCAGGGGCCGGCTTTGCCCTTTATTGTCAAGCCACCAGCTGGGCGGGGACCCGTTGGAGTACCGAGAGGTGTAGACGCGTTGAGAGCATGGGAGAGGCGATTTGCGCGGTCGCGCTGTGATTGCGATGAGGTGTTGCGAGACGGAGAGGGACGAAAAGGGTTGCGCTGGGAGGAAGTCGAGGTCGAGGATGAAGAGCGCTGGATTTGTGAGTCGAAGGAACCTGGTATTAAAAGGAAGGTCGAAGTACCTGTACCTTGCCGACACCAACACGACTGGCGAGACTCGGGCTGTTGGAAGCGGATCTATCATTCTTGTTGGAACCTCTCTTATTTCCTCGATTGCGGCCGAAGATTTCTTGGGCGAGCTGCTCATTCTTTCTGCGCGCGCGATCTAAGGTTCGTGGTTAGCAAGGTTGAGCTCGGGTCCGCGTCTTGACGTACCGGCTTGGATGATCTCGTCGAAGCTCAGAGGCTTCTTCTGGTCGGTAGCCATACTTTCGAGTCGATGAATCAAGCTAAATGTAGTTGCCAAACGCAGTTGTGGTGAGCGATATGGATTGGAAGGGGACAAAGTGCTGGCGGTATAAAATAAATTCGTCGCCGCAACGCGAAGCCCCAACCCCCTCGCCCCGGCTTCACGAATCCCGCAGCCGGATGTCTTGGCACGAACCGCAGAAAGGTCAATGCTTGGTGCTCTTGCTCCTCCTTGGTCTAACGTTGGCCCTGCAGTCTACAAGTCAGCTGTTCGATGCCGTTGACAGTACCTGATGACGATTCCTCGCATGCGAGAGCAGGGTGACAGCCACCGCCAGCTCTCACGCTTAAACAATGTTGAAAAAGGTAAGAGCTGCCTCGTGGGGCAGTCACAAGCTACTGCCCTCGAGTGGTAGGCACGATGAGGGAGAGACCGCTCTGTCATGCTGTTTGGCTGTCTTCATGGCCCTCGACCATCACCTTGCATGATCCTGTGTGCTTCCCATCCTGCATTCGAATTTCGTACTACCTCTTGGTCTAGCTTGCTGGGCTGGATGCCTGGTCGCATCTAGTCATATCGTCTCAACTGTATACTAGCATTCACCCTGTCTTCACGTTATGTGGTCGTTCAGCCTCCGCCGCAAGTCAGCCCCAGCAGCTGTCGACCCTGAGTCATGGACGCCATCAGAGCCTGCATCACCATTCCCTTCCAAGTCACCTCGTGGACGGTCAAAGTCGTTGTCCTCCAAGGGAAGCTTGTCGAGCTTGTTCTCTGCCTCCAAGCGAGACCGATCCGCAAAGTCAGTACCATGCTCCAAATACGACTAAGTTGCTGACCCACTCAGATCCATGGACCCAGCTGAGCACATCGATGCCGTTGAAGGATGTAATTATCCCGTCTACGATGCTGACGACCGACACCACAATCCGTCGCCCACCCGTTCCAGCAAGGCTTCCTCACGTCCAGGCACTCCCTCGGAGAAGTCCCAACTTCAGAAGTATACCTCCAAATCATCATTAAATACACCCAAGAATTTCCTTGATTCAATGGCCGCACGAATGAAGGCGGTTTCTGAACTATTTCACAAGGACACAACAGCTTCTCAGACCAGCGAGGAATCTCATCGTACCAAGTCTAGCTCGACTCGATCGCTGTCGCCAAAAAAATCGGTTAGATTCAAGTCAGCAACCTTTTCCCGCGAGTCAACAGCTACTAGCTCACCGATCAATGTTCCCACCAAGACAACTCCTTCTCTACCTGCTTTGAGGCTGTCAACGGAAGGCTTCCCCCAAAACCTCACCATGGATTCTTTGCGAGATCCTATACCAACAGGAAGACCCCAGGACACACCAATCCTCAAGTCTCAGGCTGCCAACGACTACTTCTTTCCGTTCCCAACAGAAATTGACAGTCAGCTAGACACGCTGAAAGGTCGCCGCGAATCATCGAAGCCATTGCCTTTGATCGACCTTGAGAAGCGAGCGTCAGAGCAAGACAATCCATTCGCCGACCCGGACGACGTCTCCGGATCCCCTTCCAGAATCGTCAGCAGCCAAGCTGTTGGACCATTGGACTCTGATCGTGGTAGCTGCAGATCCAATACTTCGTCAACTCCACCGGTCAGAATGTCGACCGAAGAAGAATGGTCGAGGTTGTCTCCTTCCAAACCGCCAGACGATGCTGGACAACATGTGCGGATTGAAAGCGAGTCCAATATCACAAACCCATTTCTGGAGTCGACCGACACGTTCGAGATCCCACAGGTCCCACCTGGTACGCCCGAAGACACCCAATCAACCGAAAACAATGAAGTCTTGGATAATGAAGATAGAGCCAAGACGGCAAATCCGCCTTCAGCTTGGAGCTTGGAGAGCAGAGTCGTCGATGATGCTGGGGTCAAGCGAAATACTACGAAGCCTGACACCGACTCCGATGATTCCGATGACACAATCGCTCTCCTTCGCCGCCGACCAGTCCCAACGCACGAGGATATCCGTCGCCAGTTCCGGTCGCGAAGACTCCAGGAACAAGCTCAATCAGCCACTGGCCTTGAATCTCAGATTTCGCAAGCAATGCAAGAGAATGTTACACCAAGCATGCAGACCGATCCTACTGAGTACTTTGCTGAAGGCAAACGATCGCAACCCTCAGCAAGCGTGTCACCGGAAGTCGGCTTCGTCCCTGATAATGCTGTGTCTCCTCTCAACCTGAGATCCAACATCTCGTCAGTCTCACCTGGAAGATCTCGACGACCTTTCCGCTTCTCGAACCGAACTCCAGACAGTTCTCCTTCGGTAGGCATTGGCACGACACAGTTCGGATGGGAGGGGCACAAACTCGCTGCTCCAGTATACGGACCTAAAAGGTTGTTCGAAGGCAAGACACCATCGCCTACATCAGTCCTGCTACCACCCTCCGTGGCTTCAAAGACCAGCAACCTTGCGAAATGGTACGATCAGTATGCTTGGACTCCTTTTGACGAAGCGGCATTCTCCAAAGCCTTCCTCGATGCCACACAAGATCTTGATCTCCGCGACATCCTCACACAGCACGGAGGGTTTGCCCAGGTGTGGAGAATCTTGGACCTCCCTAGGGGCACATCGCCAGCAGATGATACCAGAGGTCTCAAAGATGTCGACGTTCAGGAGCTGGTGATGACATGCAGAATGATAGCACAGCCGGAATCGCCGAAACCGGTAGAAGAGAGATCGGATTATCTCGGTCCCACAGCAGACAAGAATTCGCATGCTTTTGCTTCAGCGACGAAGGATGCACGCAAATACTCCGGAGAGGTGTCGACGATCGCTGACAGCACCCAAGCAGTCGAGTCGGCTTCATCTTCGAGACTGCGATTGGCCCCGTCCGGACAGCAAGTCACCACAAGTGATGTTGTCACAAGCAGCGAGAGCGGACACACAGCCACGTCATGCAGTCTCTGCAGGTCACAGCACAGTTGCTGCCGCTGCACCGAGAGCAGCTGGACTAGCACTGAATACCACGACTCCAAAAGCCAAGCCAATAGCCTCAGCGAAGACGAATCTGACGTTGAAGTCATACATGCTGCTTCCAAGTTAGGCTCATCTTATCCGAATGAGTCTACATCGGGCCCAGACGGATATCCTGGTGTGGAGACGACACCAAAGCAAGATGACTATGTGCGGAAGAACTTCTATTGGCCAATTCGCGAGCGGTCCGTAGCAACCACAGAAAGCTCTGGTGATTTGAGCGACGACGAGAGGTACACGCAAGGAATTATCTAAGCGTTATGCTGCTCCTACAGAACCGGTTCTGTTGAGATATGGTTGAGGAGTGTATTTGTTACTGATTGTTGGAGCTGCGCTAGCTCGCATATCCTTTGTGCGAACGTGTCACACCGCTAGAGGTACAGCTGTATAGTGTAGCATAGACAAGGTGTTGCATGCATATGTACGTACAGTACCGTCCCAGACTCTCCTACGTCTTCACCTCCCCATTCGTCTCTCCCTCCTTCGTCTGCCCGTTCTCGCCCTGCGTGTCCCCTTCCAATTTCTCCCTCAACGCCCTATTCCCCTTGACACTCCCCTCCAACCCAGCCAGCTGCTCGACGCTGGTATTGGGTACCCTCATCTCAAACGTCTCCTTCACGACCGCATAATCATAATAGCCACAGCGGGCGATGGGCTGCGTGAGCGCCGGGTCTAGTTTGCCGTCGGCGTTGAGGTAGCGATCGTTGATGTGTACGCCGATGACGCGGCCGATGACGATGTCCACCGTGCCCCAGGGGGGGTTGGCGGGGAGGCGGAGCGTCGTGTGGAGTTGACACCTGTGTTTTGTCATTTTAGAAAGGGGACGGGGAAGGGGGGGTTTGGTGAGTGAGTTGTGAGTTGTGAGAAGGGCCACTCCTGGGCAGGTCAGGCGGGGTGAGAAGGGGAATGGACATACTCGAACTTGACGGGCGAGTCCTTGACTAGTGGGATCTTGACGGGGAGGCAGCGCGACCACTCCTTCTCCAGACCGGCGCGGTCGAATTCGTCGACGCCGTACTGTGTCGTTTCCTCAGTCAGCTCGGTTTTGAAATTGGGGGTTTCTATTCGGGAGAGGAAGCGAGGTAGAGGGCAGGGAGGCTAATTTAAGGAAGAAAGAGGGTGAGGGAGCGCCGGGGGGGGGGAACCGACGAGCATTCAGCTTCGAGTATGGACCCCTCATCGGTTGCTCAGGGACAGGTAGAGCGAGAGCGAGTCGGTTTGGGAGGGGACAGTACAGAACAATACAGAGCAGGTCCTCTAGGTGGGACGATGTAAAAGGCAAAGCCAGGGGCTAACATACCGGGACGCTCTCAGCGCTCGCATTCACCGCCTCTCGTAGCGGATACGTCGCCAGCTGCCAGCAAAAGTAGCCCGTCGACTCGGCGTTGTGCACGGTGTCTTTGCGATTGAAGCCTGGGGAACGTTGTGTCGTTGGCTGTTGTTGTTGTTGTTGTTGATGCGAGGAAGCAGAGTCGGTACCATCGGTTGGGGTGGCGGTGGCGGCGATGGTTTGGTTGGCAGAGAACATGACATATGGTGGGTCGAAGGTGAGGTTGTTGAATTGACTGTAGGGAGCGAGGTTGTAGATTGGCGGTTGGCTGGCGTGGGGAGGTGAGACGGTGCTGATCCAGCCTATGGGACGGGGGATTACGCAGGCCTGTTGGTGGAGGAGTAGTGTTAGGATGGATGAGGTGGAGGGGTTTGGGAAGGGAAGCTGGAGGGATGTAGGTACCTTGAAAGGGTCGTAGGGAAGACCGTGGTCTGTTTTGCCGGGTTCGTAGAACATCCTTCTGGTGATAGTGATGGTGGTGGCAGTCGTGGAAGTTTATCAACGCTCAAGTCCACGAGAGGGATCTGGTGAGTGGTGTTCGAGAAGGGGTAGTGTATCCGTGAACCAGAGGCCTGTATGATAGGAGTTGCTATGTCGAAGACTCAGCAAGGTCGGGGTTGTAGCAGGACATTCTCAATATAATGGCATACAACGATGTGGGTTCATATACTTCAGGGAGGCAGTGAATTCGGCAGTAAGCCTACCTCTACTGGTCGCCAGAATGGGGCCATAGTTGGAGACGGACGGGCATCGGCAGCGCACCACCGGATACGGGGTGCCGGACACCGGGGTACGGGGTAAGATCTTGGAGATCGAGACTAATGGGATCAACGTCGCTCCAGCCTCGGCATGTAGCGACAGCGACTTCCGTTGTACCTTGTTGATGATGGCGGAAGTCAGACAGCACGGAAAATAAAGTCAGACACGTGGAATTCTGATCTATAAGCGGCGTTCGAGGGCCGCCTCAAACGCGGTACCAATCCAGCTATGTACGTATATACAAGATCCGCGGCGGGTCAAACTCCAGGCGCCTTGCTCAATGTCTTCTGCCCTTGTTCCACTGTTCCTATCTATTTCTCACGAGATGGCTATGAAGCATGTTCTTAACGGACCTGGCCCATACTCTTTCCAATCTCGCTTTCCCAATTCGCCGCTCTCTCGAAGCCGTTTTGCTGGGTCTGGAAATCCATGAGCGCCTGCATGACCTCGTCGCGGCTCGTGGTCACAAAGGGTCCGTACTGCACCACCGGCTGGTCTAGCGGTTGACCTGCCACGAGGATGAAGCGCCCGTCTTCGCTGGCACCATCCTCGACGCTCGCGGTGACGCCATCACCCGACTGGGCGAAGACCACATTGTGATACGGCTGCACGGACTCTGTCTTGTCGGTTCCGTTGGCGAAGTTGGTGAGGCCGGAGAGTGTGTATGCAAAGGCATTCCAGCCCTTGGGCAGCTCCTGCGTGATGCTGCCGCCGGGTTGCACGGTGACGTCGAGCAGCCAGACGGGGGTGTAAGCGAGGTCCTGCACGCTGTCGACGCCGAGACTGCGGCCCGAGATCACCTTAATGTTGACCTTGCCGTCAGAACTGGTGGCGAGTGGGATCTCGGATGCGCGAAGATCGCGGTAGCGTGGTTCACAGGATTTCAGCTCTTTGGGGAGGTCAACCCAGAGCTGCATGCCAATGTTGGTGGGTGAGGTGCGTCCGGGCATCTCGGCGTGCATGATACCGCCTGTTTCAGGTTTTGTCAGTATGAGTTCGACTTGTATGAGGTGAAATGGTTGACTTACGTCCTGCGGTCATAAATTGCAAGTCTCCAGCATTAATTGTACCCTTATTCCCCGCAAAGTCCTCATGGTCAACGCTACCCTCAAGCAGGTAGGTGATAGTCTCCTGACCCCTGTGCGGATGATCGGGAAAACCCGCGCCAAAGGGCACGTTGAAGTGGTCCAGCATCAAGAAGGGAGTAAAGTTCTTGAGCTGGGGCGTGCCCACGCTCCGCCGTACACGGGCGCCGGCGCCTTCTGACTGCTCGCGAGCCAGAAAGGTCTTTTGAATGGCGCGTGGTGTCGTTGTGGTCGTCATGTTGCGGCTAAATTTACTGGTCGGGTTTGAAGAAGTGCGTGTGAGTTGTGGTAGTTGTTGGTGGGTGCTGCGCAGAAAGGCTCGTGAAGCCAGGGTGCTGATTACTATGGTGACGTTGCAGTGGTGGTAGAGTGTGACGAGTGCTGCGATGAGTGCAATGGCAATTGAGACCAGCAGTCGCATTGGCTAGTGGGAGGGTTGTTTTATAGAAAGAGTAGAAGACCTTCGCTAGCGTCAAGATGCCGGATGAGGGAAGGAGCTGGAATATTCACGCGTCCCGAAAGATCCAGTTGGAAAGACCAGAGAAGAAGAAGAATGACTGATGCCTTATGGGATCTCCGTACGAGCGAGTCAGCGAGCTTACCTCAGGTATTAATGAGATGGGAGGAATCAATGCGTGGTGGGGTTTGAAAGCGGTACGGAATGGGTTCCGGGTAGCGAAAGGCCCAAGGGCGAAAGGCGAAGAAAATGTGCTTATGAGAAGATGCATAAGCGACTGCAATCAGATATGGTTAGTCGCCTTCCGAATTCGGAGTCTGTAGCTCCCGTGAGGACTCGGCGCAAACGTGACATGTCGGACCTGGTGAGGCGTATGTGGGGCTGGCCAACCCGTGCTGGCTTGCTTTTAGCCATCTCAGACCATCTTTACTACTCTGTGAAGAGTCCAGGGTGGCTGCCGCGGATGAGGACATTGGCTGGTTCAAAGTATTGAAAGCAGACACCACTCTCGAGTGCTGTCTGAAGACCGAATTCGGATTCCTCTATGTCCTAGTCCAGGATCCCGTGACTCGATGCTATGCAACCCCTCAGAAATTCAGAAGGACCACTCGTACCCCTTCATGATTCCAATCTTCGGCCAACTCGAAGTTGACCGCTGCGGCTTGGTAGTGACACGCCTGCATGAAAGCCCTACCAACCACCAGTCGCGCCACCGTCCTGGACCGCGGGTTGAACCTGCTCATCGCCGTCTTGATCACCAGCCTCATCCTCAGTACCGTCCTCGTTCTCATCACGCTCGCCATCCTCACCCTCCTCGTCTTCAGAGTCTCCGTCTTGGTCTGCTCCACCAGCAGCCTCCTGATTCATCTGTGCAACCCACGGCTGCTGACCCTCGCAATCGCAAGGCATGTTGTTCTCCAGCGTCCCTCCGCACTGATAGCAGAAGTGGTGGCCACATTCACAGCTCATGTAGTTGCAACCACCGCTCCGCTCCACCAGGTTGCGACAGCCGGGACACTGCTTCCATCCTTGGCCCTCGGCCAACTCTTTGTCCACCTGCTCAATCATGTTGGGATGCAAAGCTGGCATCGGATGGGCCATCGCAGGCGCTTTGCACTCAACACAGGTGGTCAGCCGACAGGTCTGGCATCCGGCCCATTGACCCTCGCGACGCTCGACCGGGATGTAGCCACCAGCACACTTTGGGGTTTGACAGTAGACAGGGTTGTTGTCTGCAAATTCTTCGATCTTAACGACGAGATCCATCTGCAGGTCTTCTTCGAGGAGGTGCGCAATTGATCCATGATCAATGTCGATGCGACAGCACTGTGGAGGCCATGATGAGCGGCTTCTGAGTGCGGAGCGATAGTTCAGGTTCACACACTCGGAGCACCATGAATGACCACAATTCAGGTAGATAACAACATCCGACGCACTGAAAGCGGTGTCGCACGCAGGGCAGCTGGTGTTTTCTTCTTGAGCGTCGTTGCGGTTGGCAAGCCAGACAAAGTGGTCGGTGTTTGGAGCAGTAGCTGTGGCATTGCCATTGTCAGCTGGGTCGTTGTCGTCCGTATCAGGCTCGTCCTCGGCATCCGCACTGTCATTTGCGCCATCGGGACCAGCAGCCACAGCCTCGTCGGAATTGATCTCGGTCTCAGCACCAGTCGCGGTGGTGTTTCCGTCTGCTCCACCGTCGCCATCGATGTTCTCTTGAGCAGCAGCATGTGGAATAAACGCAGGATCAACCACACCAGACTCGACAAGACGCGCGAACTCCTCGGGATTCTCAGCTGCCAGCTGATTGAGCCAGCTGTCTTGAGCGACCAGCCAGTTCTGGGTACTGTCCGCATCGGCTGCAGCAGCTTGAGCAGCAACGTCAGCGGCAACACTATCGGTGACAGCTTGCCCGTCGTCTCCAGCTTCTTGGTCGCCGTTTTGACCATCACCTCCGTCGACTCCGCCTTCGACTTGAGCGTCGGTGTGGTGTGTATCGGTATCGTCACCCAAGGAATTGTTTGGAGTGGCCTGAGAATCATCATCACCATCCTCGGCTTGTTCAGTCACCGCATTGTCAACGGCAAATCCCGGCTGGTTGTTGTCGAGAATGTGGAAACCCCAGGTGGTAGGCTTGTTCGCATCCTGGTCGGGGAAGTAAGGGGCGACTTGTTCGGAATCATCATCTTCATCAACAGGCTTGTAGGTGGAGGGGATGTCGCTTGAGCCATTGTCGACAACGCCAGGTCTACCGCCACGAATGACAGTCTCCTTGACCGCGTCAGCCTTGCGTTCATAAGCACTTTGGAGCGGACTTACTTGAGCGTCTTGCATGGTGTCCTCACCGTCATCCGCAATGCGAACCGTCTTGGTGGGTTGATGGTCCGCACTGACTGCAGTAGGAATGCCCGGAGCCATGATTCTTGCCGAGCCTTTTAACAAGTCAAAGTTGTTGGAGGCATCCGTCCGAAAAGTTTGGAACAGGTGGGTCGCAAGAATAGCGGGAAGAGAAAATGCTAAAGCGCTGGACGCGTGCCGCAGGGGTATCTGGACAAGCAGGTGGCAAGGCAAAGTCAGAGTGTCAGTGGATAATGGAGCCAAGCACCAGGCAGTCACCCTTGGTGGGGTACTCTTGCTGAAAGAAATGAGTAGATGACAACAATATGAATGAGGCTGACCCAGAATGTTAACCTTATAGGCGGGTGAAATGTGGTTGCGAGGCTGACTCTGTCTGTGCAGTGGGGGTGGTTTGAATTGTGGTCGACGAGGCTGAGCGCTGTGACAGGCAACGACTCCGTGAAGGATTAGGATTAACCGAGACCAGGCCACTGCACCGCGAACCAGGCAACCAGGCAGGAACAGTTTAGCGTCTTTTTGTGCAGGCACGGCACCTCTCACACGATCCTTGTCCGCTGTGTGCCACTCGGTTGCACTTCTTACCTCTCAGACGGCGTGGCCCAATGCACAAAGTCCGCCTTGATGGATGCGGCCAGACCGTCGATAAAACCTCGCTCGGTCTCTTCAAGCTTCTCGATCGTTCCCTCGAGGTCCAACGCACCGATCTGCCACGACAGCATGATTGACAGATCCCCTCCATCAAGGCTTACCACGTTCACCGACAACGGATGACCCACAGCATCGGCGGGCTGCGAGAAGTAGACATGGTCGACATGCACAATTGCAGAACGAGTGGGCTTGAACGACCCGATGTTGCTGAGTTCGTAGCTCGTGCTACGGGGCTTTCCCAGCTTGTCCAGGAACCACTTTCTCATGGGAGAGGCATATTTCAGAAGACCGATGATCTGATCTTGGATCGTGCTCGAGGCCTGTGCAAACTTTGCCGTCATTTCTCGAGCGGAGCACAATTCAGGGTCCGATATTGGTTGACTAGTGGTCACAGTATTGTGCTGGTAAGAGACGGTGCTTGGGTTCATGCTCATGTCCATGGCGGTTAGGGCAAAGTGCTTGCGCAGATCGATAGGTGTACCACTGACGAAGGAGGCAGGATCGATGCCATTCTCTCTCAACGTGGTGGTCAAACTGCGAACGACTAGAAGATGCAGCAGCGCAGACATCTTGATTCCATTCTGCCTGCACCGCGCCAGAGCAAGCTTCAAGATGCTGCCGTCAATGATCAAGAGCTTGGAGCCAGTCCTAAAATGATGTGCGTTGAAAACTGCACGATTTGCGGTCCACGGAGGCGCCACGGTTCCTCTCCAGAACAACAGTCTGGGGAGCCCTGGCAGGAACTCGTTGGCAAGCACTCCTAGCATGTATGACCAGGATATCGGCATCGGGTCTGGCGACGGTGGGATCTGCTTAGTTCCCGTCTGTCTGGTCGTCATACTGGCTGCTTCATTTCTGCTCGGGGAGTTGTCGACAAGAGCCTGCAGCAGGGAGTGGTGAAAAGCCAGACCTGATATGCCATCGCCATGGGAGTGAGAATAATTGAACACTACGAGCGCTCGAGATCGCTCGAGATGTGCTGACTCATCGCTCTGAAGTGGGATAACGAACAGCCGCCATGGGGGAGCCTCTCCAACATCTTGGAAGCGAGCGTTGACCACACGTTCCATCGCTCTCTCGGCAACAACATGCTCGTCATTCTCCTCCAATCGGCCCACCATAACTTCACCCGGCCAGGTCAGAATCAGATGCGATCCCAGATGGAGCTGAGAAAGACGTCGGAAGGTAGGCTGCTCCGTGTCCGCTTTATCGATGACCAGCCCGAGAATGGGATGCTGTTCGACACAATGCTGTAATGCTGGTCCAAACTTCTGAGCTAGAGTTTCGAGGTCGGTGATCTGTGGCCCTGGGACATTATACACAACGGACGCGGCGAGGCCGTGATAGAAGCCGAGGTCATGGCGGATGATACAGCGTCGTTCGTTGAGGCCTGGGACGGAGTCAGAGTCTGCCTTCCACTTGGACAGGTTTCAATTGAACGTACTAGGTTCTCTGGGATCCATGGCGGCTGGCTTCGAAACTGGGCACAGGTTGAGAGTTGTATGGACGAGGGTGCTTTGTCTAGGAGAATCATGGACCTCTTTATGCACCCCGTTCCGGCCAGGAGCCACGGATGTTCGGACCTCTTTAGCCCAAGCTGTCCAACCGATTTCGAACGAGGCTCACCATGGTTCGCTTGAAGATCTGATGCCTTGGCTGGACACTGAATCCAAGGGGACGAGAAACGCGCCGACGAGGTCTGTGCGCCACCATACAAAGTTTACTCAACGATTCATAGCCTGCAGCTGTGTCTGGGAGCTTTCCCTCCCTTGGTGAGCGGGAGATTGGGAGCAGATCTACGTGTCTGCCGTCGCGAGGTTGTCTGAGCAGTGACACGCCCAAGGAGTACTGCTCGAGGAGCTCGGGATGTTTCTGTGCTGCTCGATAACGTTGACGCTAGGACCGGCCGGGAAGTATGTCGCCGGTGGAGACGGGGATGCTGCGAACATGGTCGAGATGGTCGCTGTGCAACTGGAGGTCCAGTCCATTTCAACACTGAACAATACCTGAGAGCTTGTGCTGTGTGCTGGGTGAGAGGTATGAACAGCTTTGAGCTTGGTGCCCGACAGTACAAAGGGATTTGTTTGGGCGCTGGTCTAAATTATGATTCGCCTGTCTAGGAGTTCTATCCTCCTAAAATTCCGCTGCACAATGCAACGCACAAACAAACACGTATCATCCCTCTGAAAAGCACAGAAGCGCCAGACTACCACGCTGCAGAGACCTGCACTATACACCGCTGCTGGCCTTTCCCACTGTGCTCAAGGCAGTGAACATGCCAAGCTCTAACTTCGTCCCTCGTGACCGACTTTTTGCGCGCCCAATACAGCATCAATCATATCCTTTGCCTTCCGACACATTACGCAGACCCAGATTTCCGGAACTCTCGGGCGAGGGGGGCCTGCACTTGCATTTTCTGCAATCTTCGAAATCGATCACGTGGACACAACGATGCGTCATTGCTATGGCCCGGGTGCAACAAGGGACTTTTTTTCGCGAGTGTGGGCCCGGGTATCGACGGCTTTGCGCGCCCATGCTGGCATTTTTGCTCCCCTTTTCCTAGAAACAAGATGCCAATGGTATTCACGCGTGACCATTTGCGGGATGCTGCTGCTGCTGCAGGCCAAATTCGGTCCTGAGCGCCGCGCCCATACGCCTGATGCCCTCCTCGATCTTCTCCGCGCTTGCAGCCGCGAAGGTGGTGCGGAGGAACAGAGCCTGGTCGGAGCCCTTCTCGGCGCGGAACCAGGAGCCGCGGGCCAATAGCACGCCACGGTCCACGCCAGCGAGGAAGACCTTTTCCTCAATGTCGAGGAACTCTTGCTGGTTGATCTGCGGGTGGAATTTGGGATGCTTGGTCAGGTCCACGTTGATCCAGTGGAACATGCCGGCTTTGGGGGGCGTCCAGCTCGCGACTTCGGTGGGGAGGTGGCGTTCGCAGGCGTTGACGATGATGTCGCGGCGACGGGTGTATTCGGCGCGGATGAACATGAGCCACTCCAGGAACCCCTTGTGGCCCCAGTTCTCTTCTAGTAGTTTGAAGAGCGCGATTTCCGAGAAGCCCGAGGGCGTCTGAGCCGAGACTTCGTTGTGACGGATGAAGCGCTCTACCATTTGGGCGGGACCCGTCACCCAGCCACATCGAGAGCCAGGCGCAATGATCTTGGAGAAGGAGTCGAGACGGAGCACGCGGCCCGAGGTATCCAAAGAGAGGTAGCTGGGCACAAGAGCCGAGAGGAAGTCCGGGATGTTGGAGGGCGGAGTGAAAGGGGAAGGAACCTCGTGGGTCTTGCCGGAGACGTAGTCCTCCATCTGAAGGAAGTAGTAGGGCTCGTCTTCGAGGAAGAACAGATCGTGCTTCTCGGCCACAGCGTAGATATCCTTGCGCCTTTGGGCGTCTTGTGTGCTGGCTGTGGGGTTCTGTCCAGTCGGGACGGTGTACATGACGAAGGGTTTGGGGCCACCTCTTGCAACAGGATCCCAGTTGGAGAGAATCTCATCAAGTGCGGAGGCGAGCATGCCTCGCTCATCCATCGGTACACCCACCAGATTCAGACCCATGGGTCGCGCCGTCTCCATGGCGGATGAAAAGGAATATTCCTCGGTCAAGATGTAGTCGCCCCGGTTGCACAGCATACGCAACGCAATGTCCAAAGCCGATGTAGATCCGCTCGTCATGCAAATATCCCAATCCGAATATCTTGGGTTGTGCACAATCTCGGTGTGCTCGGTGATCCACCGCATGATTTGAGGAGGGCCCATGGACTGGCCGTAGTTGAGAGCGACTGACAGATCGAATTGAGAAGTACCCGTGGCAATGTCGTGTTTGCCCGCGGACAAGACTGTGCCTGACGAGTGAGTGGCGGACTCGCTGAAATTGGGGACTTGCGGCACTCTGACCGACATGCTCTCAAAGGGAAAGTAGTCGCTAGCTGGGAGGCCACCACATAGACTGATCATGTCGGGGCGGAAGTATTTCATGGCGCCTTTGAGGGATGATGGCTGGCGAAGGGCACTCTCGGCGCTAATCCGGTGGTCCCATCGTTTGGACTTGGGCTTCTTGAAGGCGCCCTTGCTTTTGAAGAGGTCGGCGGATGAGAAAGCGGCCACGCCAGTGTTGACTGCCTGGCTGTTTTGTCGGTGTGGAATGACATCGTCGATGGTAAATATGGGATTGGTGGGAACTTTGGAAAGGACTGGGTCGGGGACAACTACTGCCTGAGTATCTGTGACAGCCTGCACCTCAACGTCGCGGTCGGCATGAGGAGCCATCCTGCTTGGTTGCGGTGTGGGCTGGTCGGTGTCGTGATTAGATAAGGCGGAGTGAGCTTTGTGTAGCTTCCGGAATGTACTAGGGGATTTATGACTTGGTGTCGAGTTTTGTATGGCGGTATGCAATAAAATGAGGGAAAATTCATGGAAAAAAGGACTGGCTGGTTGATATACTTCGAATACAAAGAGAATGAGACCTACAGGGATACCGCCGCCACGCGCCAAGGGGTGAAAGTTTTGGTGCGGATATTCCAGGCTGGCACGGGCCTGATGGACGCCCCAGCGTTTTTTCAAACGAGTTGCATTGCGCCTTTCGATTACACGGTCAACCCTGCAACCAATAACGATAACGGCCTGGTGGAAGGGCTTGCGTTATGCGGTAATGTCGCGACGCCAATCTGAATTAGCTGCTAGCATGGTTTGATAACGGCCAGCCTAAACCTCCGATCGCTTCTTCCTGCTCTTCCCATGTACCCACTCATATCCCGTGTTGTTCAGACAGCCTTGAACCCGTTTTGGTTGCCCTCTTTCCCATATACATGTATCGCAATGAACGACCGTGTTCCATCACCATCACCATTCAATCTGCGCTTTCTTCCCCGCTCTTGTCGCCGCCACTACCGGTCTCGCTCGAGGAATGGGAAGGAAAAACACACTTGTGTCGTATCGGCTTGTCTCGGCCATTCCTCTGTTCCCTCTCCTCGGCGCTAGTAGTTCTCGCTGATGCCATTGTGGCCGGTCACGGCGCCGGGGTAGCCGTAGGCGGCGGGGCCGTCGTGCTCGCTGTCGAGTCCTTGACTGGGACTCAGTAGGCTGTTGGCATTCTCGGATTGCCCGGGAGCGTAGCCGGCGGCATTGGCTGCAGCGGAATTGTTGGCGCCAGCGGCACCGGCCTGATAGCCCCCGCTGCTGCCTGGTCGCCCCTGGTTCTCGCCCCTTGTGGATTGGGTCTCATCCCAATCAGTTGGATGTTCAGAATGCGATCTCTGTCAAAGGATATTTGACAAAAGAGACGTGGGGGGCTAGAGAACTCACCTCGCGATATTTGGACAGGTAGATTTTGAGCGCCTCGGCATAGTTTTCGAAGCCGAGCGAGGTCATGGCAAAGAGGATATCCTCGCCGTTTACCGTCTTGCGCTTCTCCTGTTGGCACTTCTCTGACGCTGTACCACGTTAGCATCCGACGGGTGTTGCCATGGTGCTCGTCAACCACATACCCTCGCTTGTGATGAACGAGATGAACTCGCTGACGCATTCCTGCATGCACTCCTTGGCCTCTTTGGCGATCTTTGCATTGTCGGGCAGAGCCATCTTCATGATGCGGGCCACTGGAGCAAAGTTGCGTATGTTAGCATCGGACGACACGGTCAGGGGGCGCGAGGGTGAAACAAGACGGTGCTTGGGCGTGGGTGAGCCATCCGACGACATGATGAGCTGTGAGTGGCTCAAGTACCGCGGTCTGGCGCTGGGAGCTGCGATGCAAATCATGATGAGCGGCGCGAGCGGCGCGTGACGAATGAGGAGGCCCGTCTTTAGAGCAACCAGCATTGTCGCACATTCTGTCGGGATCGCACAGGGCCTGACGCGCATGTCGCGGAAAGAGACGAGCAAATAGAAACAAAGGGTGGTGTTACCATTGGCGATGGGAAGCCATCGGTCCTGTTCTTTGACCTCGAAGTCAGTCATGCCTTGGCCTTGTGCGCCCTCTTCGGTTCGGTCAATGGGGTCCTGCTCTTCACCGGACTGAGCGTTCTGTTCGACATCCTTCTCCGGCGGTGGGGAGGCCGACATGATGTACAAGTATGTTTTTCTCGGATAGCCGCAGGGTGGGAGCACCGTGTTTGGCTGCGCGCAATGTCGGGCAGGCTAGCGGCGACCACGTCAGACAGTCTAATGTTGGCTTGCGTCACTTGGACGGTCAGGCGGTGCTGGCGTTCGTGCCTAAAATGAAGATGGGCCCCGGTGCTTCACTGCTTTTGCGACAGGATGGGGCTTTCCAAGCTGGCCGACCGCGACTCGTCTGGCGTTTTGCGAATGCGCAGGGCTAATCTAGAAGCAAAGCAGACAAGCGCGATGCACAAGATGACGAGGGTTCGGATCGCGAATATGCAGCGGTCAAGCTAGCGGGTTGGTCTGGCAAGAGCGAATAGAGAGTGGATTAGTCGGAAGGAGGCGCGATCGGAGGCCAGTCGGTGGTGGTGTAAGGAAGCGCGTGGGAGGGGACGGGGGGAACGATGGACTGGGTTTGCGCCTTGTCGCGCACACGAACAAATGATTGGTGATATGGAGCGCGATGGATTGAATGGCTGCAGAATGGCCGCCAGAAGTGAGATGCGATCCTTGGAGCTGCCAGCAATGCAATGCAGCCTTGGTAAAGTGGAAAAGGAGGGGGTGAAGTGGGTGGGAGGCTGCTGAGGTTGGGCGAAAAGAGCGGGCCGCAACGGTGCAGTGCCTAATAGCCCGTTGTTTACCTGAAGCTCCCCCCTCGCTGCTTGCAACCGCGGCTACCGGTGCCTCTCAGCTGCCGTGCGGGCGCCTGTGGTTGCCTGTGGTTGCCTAGTAGCCGCCTTCAGCCGCGCGCTCGAATCAATCACTGCTATTGCCTCTGGTATGAGCATTGAGCACTGTTCACTGTCTATCCCACGCGCCTATGTCAATGCCTTGGTCCATGACGACTCTCGATCAGCGGTCATCCCTGTCGTGAGCTGCAGTTGCCGGGCTGTCATGGTTCAAAACAAAGTCGGAGCTGATCGCTTGTTCCCTTCATGACACTTTCCAGCCCGGCGCGCGCGCGGAGAGCGGCAAAGCAGAACCAGGGCCAAAAGCCAGACTTGCGGTGAGTGACCGCCATTTCCAACTTGGATAGCCCGTAAGGGCGCTGAAAGCATCTTCTACTCTACAACTTTCTACTCATCACATTATTGCTCTCATCAGCCAGGGATGAAATGGCCGTCGCTTGCGGCGCCTGTTTAGGGCAATAGAATGATGCCACCCACCTGCATCACATGGTGCCGCAGTGATGCGACCTTGACAACCAATGGCCGCTATCCCGGAGAAGCGATGGCGGCCTGATTCGCCGGCGGGCTGGGCCAGTTGCGTTTGCTCCCCTCGCGTCGTGCCAAAAAATGTCCGTAGGTGCGTCCAGGCCCTTGTGAAAGTGCGCATGGCTACCCGGACGACCGCCCTGCGGCCTAGAAGAGGAGGCGAGTAGCACGACAACGCTGTTACACAGATGATGGACATGATGGGGCTCCGTCGACGTCAACTGCCGGAAATGTGGTCATATTCATATTTTTGGTTCCCCCAAGTGTCTCCCCTGCCCGGAGCAGCTGTCATGACAGGTGTCGCTTCACATTGGGTACTTATGCAGCTGCCAGCACGACATGCTCTCGCGAGCGTCATGTTAGCCCTGTCTGCCGTCATAAACAGGCGACGATGCCCCGGATCAACTCTTTAGTGCCCGACTGAATGCGTTTGTGCCGGAATCGATCGTCCTGACTTGCGACCGAAGACCAGACAGAACCAAAACCCAGAGTTGATCGGAATTACGTTGCTGCAGCTAATAAGACTTGTCTTCAGCCCGCCGCCACAGTCGTGTCTTTGTGTGTCTGCGAAGGCCCGGGCTGCCGCGGAGGAAACTCCCAGGACCTGTCCCAGATTCATGGGAGTGGACGTGACTCGTGCCCCGGTACTGGGTTAGGACACTTGAGCAACACAATACGAGCATCCCGTATCGCTTGTCGCTGTTCTAATCAGCGGGGTGTCATCTATGCGTACGGGACATCGTCCTCGTCTTTGCTATTGATAGGGCACTGGCGACTGCCGTGCTATCTCATCGCACCCCTTCAAGAGCTGCGTACAACGAGAGGAAATTGTACCCGACTTATCACACGTACCAAGTAGAGGCCAGTGACGAGCCTCGTGCCTGTCCGGAACATCACGTCAAATGAGCCATGGCAGTTGGCTCACTTGAAACTGATCTTCACTGTGCGATAAGGCGATGAGATCCAGATCGAGAGGGTCGGCAACATGGACTCCGTACTATCGCAGCTCGCCGAACGACGGCAGTCTCCCCCAGATGGCATTCGCCAAACCCCCCACTAACCTCAGGCTGCTGCACGAGTAGCCAACAGGGGCACCGCGAACTCACCCCGAGCACTCGCCTTCAGCCAACCAACGAGAGGCTCGAGCGCTATCACAGCTCATCAGCCAAGCCTCCCAGCAGAGGTTCGGCTGTCCCCGCCTCGCGGAAAAGAAATGAGGATCGATTGAGGGTCCCGGAAAGGCTTCTTCTGGGTCTGCAAGGGTCCAGTTCCCGCTAATCGCCCAATTGTCGGCCTCGGGATGGAAATTTTGTACGTGTGCACATTCGTTGTTATCAGTCCCGTTCAGCTGGGAGGCAACGTGGGATTGAAAAGTGATATAGCTCTGTGTCCTTCGCAAGCTTCAGACGTTCTTTCGTCGTCGCATTTTGATCCTTCGCATTGCCTTTAGCCAGCGCTCAACCGCAACAGTATCACGATGGGTTGGATTCACAACACCAATGCTGCCGTCGCGCGGTCCTTTGTGGGCCGACGCTTTCGCCTCGAGGGCTCTGGCCACCCCAAGGAGCGCAAGGGCAGCTACTTCTTCACCGAGATTCGAGCTGGCCTCGCCACCTTTTTCGCCATGGCCTACATTATCTCCGTCAACTCCACCATTGTCGCCGACTCTGGAGGCACGTGCGTCTGTCCGGCCGACAATACCAACCTTTGTGTCGATGACGGAGACTACCTGCTGTGCAAAGCGCGTGTCCAGCGCGATCTCGTGACTGGTACCGCTGCCATTGCCGCGCTGACCACCTTTATGATGGGTCTGCTGGCCAACATGCCCATTGCCTTGGCTCCCGGTATGGGCTTGAACGCCTACTTCGCCTACACAGTCGTCGGCTTCCACGGCAGCGGACCAGTGCCTTACCGTGTGGCCGTGACTGCTGTGTTCGTTGAAGGTCTCGTCTTCGTCGGTCTCACCCTTGTCGGTCTACGCCAATGGCTTGCCCGCGCCATCCCTGCTTCCATCAAGCTGGCAACCGCTGTCGGTATTGGTCTTTATCTGACGATCATTGGTCTCACCTACTCCGCTGGTATTGGTGCCATCGTCGGTGCAGTTGCCACGCCTGTTGAACTTGCTGGTTGCAAGCCCGAGAACCGGTTGGAGGATGGCACGTGCCCGACATTTGACAAGATGCGCAACCCTACTATGTGGATTGGCATCTTCTGTGGTGGCATTCTGACCGTAATGCTGATGATGTATCGCGTCAAGGGCGCCATCATCTTCGGCATCCTACTGGTGTCTATCATCTCCTGGCCTCGCGGAACTCCCGTGACCTACTTCCCCTATACCGACCTGGGCGACGATATGTTCAACTTCTTCAAGAGGGTCGCCTACTTCCACCCGATTGGCGAGGTTCTCGCAGTGCAGCGATGGGATATCAGCGACTACGGAGGACAATTTGGCCTTGCTTTCATCACTTTCCTCTATGTCGATATTCTGGACTGCACCGGTACACTATATGCCATGGCTCGCTACTGTGGTGCGATCGATGAGCGGACTCAGGACTTTGAGGGCTCTGCGGTTGCCTACCTGGTTGATGCCTTTGGCATTACTATTGGATCCCTGTTCGGCTCTCCTCCCGTCACTGCCTATATCGAGTCTGGTGCCGGCATTTCAGAAGGTGGCGCTACTGGCCTGACTGCCATCACAACGGGCTTGTGCTTCTTTATTTCGATCTTCTTCGCTCCAATCTTCGCCTCCATCCCACCATGGGCTACTGGCTGTACGCTGATCATTGTCGGCTCGATGATGGCTAAACAAGCCGCCCAAATCAACTGGACCTACATGGGTGATGCCATTCCCGCATTTTTAACTATTGCCCTGATGCCCTTCACATACAGCATTGCGGATGGCCTTATCGCTGGTATCTGCTCCTATATTCTCATCAACACCACCGTCTGGATCATCGAGAAGCTGTCCGGCGGCCGCATCAAGCCTGCCGACAAAGAGCTCAAAGATCACTGGACCTACAAGATCGAGGGTGGACTGCTCCCCCCGTGGGTCGGCCGTGCTGCTCGCGGCAAGAAAGACTTCTGGCGCCCATACGATGATGAGGAGCACAATGCGCAGGCTCCAGTGGGCAATACTCTTGAGGGCAAGACAGAGGGTAACGTCGGTGTTGGCGAGGTAGGCAATGATCGCGGAAGCAGGTCTAGCAATAGTGAGAATGGTGAGGTCAAGAAGCTGTAGTCGGGACATGGAGCTTGAATCTGGATTGGAAACGGATCTGTAGACTTAGATTGAACCCAAAGTGCATTAAAAAAACTATCACCCTCTCAGTTGGTCCTCTCCGCCTCGATCACGGTTGAAGTGCCCAGCATTTCACTGCCTTGTTCTTGATGAGCATCGGTGTTATCTCCTAATTCCGGTCAACCTCACGCGTGTCCACATGCGCGATGCCCACGTACCGCTATGTAAGGTAGCCATCGATGCAGCAGTGAGATCGCTGCACAGCATGACGTCCGGGAATAGAACCATGCGATATCGTTCCTCGTCTAAATCGAATTCTTCCCGATCGCGGTAGCGATAATGGCAACAAGAAGAAAGGTGGCCAATGGCACCTTCGACGCCAACGGTACCATCAACCACCCCTCAAGAGATGCCGCATTAGATACACCAGTGGAAGATCAGAGCAGCTCAGCGATTGTCGACATCCTCCAGATCTACCTGCCCACATTCACCCTCATCTTCGGCGGATGCTGCTCCAATGTGTACGCCCTCGAAGCCCTGGTCAAGCTGTCCCCCGGGTGCGGCTCCCTCATCACCTTCCTTCAATTCGCTCTGACCTCTCTCCTGACTCTGCCATCCAACGTATCTCTTCGCGATCCTTCTTCCTGGCGCCGCGCCTTCCTTCGAAAGCGACACATCCCACTGCGCGCATGGGTGATATACACGGCCCTCTTCCTCACAATCAACATTCTCAACAATAAAGCCTTCTCTTACCGTATCTCCGTGCCTCTACACATTATCCTCCGTTCCGCCGGACCCGTGACGACGATGCTCGTGTTTTACATCTGGTCCGGTCGCCGTTACCCGCCTGTCAAGATCTTTGCTGTACTGCTCCTCTTCGTGGGCGTTGTGGTCGCTGCCGTGTCCGATGCCTACTCGAAAACGCCCGAGAAATTCAATGTCGAAATCACCAGCGCGGAAATAGAGTCGTCCATGTCGAAGCTCCCACTACCAGTCCCTTCGTCAGAGGTCCTGCGGGAGCAAGCACCAGGCTTCGTCCTCTTAGCCGCCGCTCTCCTCCTGGCAGCAATTTTGGGCGTGTACAGCGACGGACTATACGCAAGGTACGGTCGCGGCGCAGGCGTTACGTCCGAGTCACTCTTCTACAGCCACACGCTGTCACTGCCGTACTTCGCTTTCCAGACATCAGCCCTGAGCACCGCCTTCGTCAACTTAACAGCAACCTCCGCACCGCTATCCACGTCCCTCGCGACAGGACCGATCAGCAAGCTGCCCTCCGTCTTGAGCTCTATCCCTACAGCGATTCCACTGTTGCTCCTCAATGCCCTTACCCAATACATCTGCATCAACGGTGTCAACAGACTGAGTGCGAAATCCAGTAGTTTGACGGTCAGCATCGTGCTCAACATACGGAAGCTAGCTAGCCTCCTACTATCGATATGGCTGTTCGGTAACAAGTTGCCTGAAGGCGTCGTGGTTGGGGCAGCTTTAGTCTTTCTAGGTGGTGGCCTGTATGCCGTTCCTTCCGGGCAGAAGACAATCTCGGCCGAGAAGAAAAAGGAGTGAGCTCTGTTGACGCAAGCTCTTAGGGGGCTGCCTCGGCGGCAACCTATACACACATCTTGCGCGACCCGGGGTTAGACTGGCGCAGGGCTTTTGGTCAAGCATCCTTTTCGGCACAATAAATCTCGCGACACGCATTGAGTCATGCCTCACCAATGATGCCAAGAAGAGTCTTTCGCCTCATCCACGATGACTGGCAGTAGAAGACAACGGTGACGTGCGAGCACTGTCTGACAGCGCTGCTGTCGAGGTTGTCCCGAACAGTATCGGCGGAGTTTCCCACCAGACCGTAGGCGACAGCGCCATGTTTGGTCCGCAGGATGCAAGTGCTCGGCCAACGGCCCATTACACAACGGCTGGAATAGATAGACAGACACACGACGATTTTAGAGTCAATGGAGCTCATAGAATAGACGACATCTCATGAACAGCACCATTGCATATCTTTCCCCGACTTCTGATCATCTGCCCCTGAGAAAGTCACGACTAGCATTTATATTCCCCGCTCACCGCGATCTCGTCAATCTAATACACACTGTCGCGCGTACTCGGTCGCCATGTAGATGGATCGAAATAAGGCATCATTCCAGGGATCGTTCGCGATTCACGTCAACACTCGAGTGTCAACTTCCTCCCCCAAAGTAGAGCCCCATCAACGATAGCTAGCCTCCCAATTCGTGAATTTTTCCCAGCCATGGCTCAGTTGGATCCCTTACTAAGCCCAACCCCAAGCGCGTAGCGTGCAGCGAGCAGTATTCATGGCCCTCCAAACGCCGTACTGTACAGCCACGCAGGCGGACATCAAGATTCACAATTCATAAGGTCATCCCATCCTGTCTTCCTCTTCCGCATCCCCGTCGGAGCCCTACCGGCCGACCCCCCCTTCCCCCCATCCTCTCCCCGCTACCGGCCCCCTAGGACCAACAGGCGCCGCTCCCTCCCCAATCCCGTCGCTACCACCGCTGCCACTCCCCTCACGATACCTCCTGGCGCTCCTCCCATCGTCAGCCTCGTCACCAACCACACTACCTCCGCCACCATCATACCTCACCTCGACCTCGGTCGTCTGCAGGATCCCGCCGCCCTGCATCGGCAGGATATTCTCCTCGCTATCCCCATCGCCGCCGGAGGTGATCTTGCTGGTAACCATGCCCACCCCTCCCTTCTTGGGGCTCGAGTGCTTCATGCCGCCGCGCAGCATGTACGCGTCATGATAGCCTTCTTCGTCGTCGACGCCCCCCCTCCAGGAGGCAGAAGGCACGAGACTCGCGCGTCCATGGCCTGCCGCTGTGGTACCGGACTTCGAGCCCACGCCGTAGGATCCTTTGGCCATCTTCCCGTATCCAGAGCCATACGCGCCACCATAGCCCCTGCCAGCCGCATGCGCACCGCTCTTGCCACCGCTCTTGCCACCGCTACTCGTCACGACGCTGCGCCCCTGATGCCACACCTTCCGGAACAAGGGACGGATGCACGGTACGCTACCGCAGATGATGCCGACGTTCAACTCGACCATGTTCCAGATGCTCAGGTCGGTGAATTCCCAGGTGACGTCTTTGGCGGCGCCCAGACGGGCCGTCTCGGTGATTTTCTTGACGCTGCACGCGCAGGCGAAGAGGCCCATGGACAGGAGGCAGGCGATGCCGAGTTTGGTGCGCGCGCTGAGTTTGAGGTCCCACACGAGGAAGACGGGCAGGGTTGCGTAGAGGAGGTCGAGGGCGGAGTGCGCGGCTGTCAGGGGGTCGGGGTTGTTAGTTTTGAGCTGAGCTGGCAATAGAAGGAGATCCGCGGCTGAGGACCCGTGGGGGAACATGCGGGAGAAGTGACTAGGAAAGGCAGGTGTGATGATGATGATGATGATGGGGAAGGGAAGAGAAGGGAAGCGAGAAAGGAGGCGAACGGATGACATACCACCCGCGAAATAAGCGTGCTGAACCGTCACTTTGGACGGAATGCACCGGTCGCCCTCTTGCACGCCCAACCAGTTTGCATGAGCCGGCACGCATTTGACCGTCATGATGAACCAGATGATCGAGACGCACACGTTGACCACGATGCTGCCGTACAGGATGTAGCGATATCTCTTCTTGATGGCCACGATCCGCATCAGGAGGCAGGCGATGGAGACTTTGGCAAACGCAAAGGCCACGATGGTGCTGAGTCGTGCAACCCACACCCACATGATGGCTTTGGGAATGTCAGAGCCACTTAGGTTTTCCATGTGTCGTCCCATGCCGTAGTGTGCTGAGACGAGGCCGGGCCCGGAAACGCCCCAGGAGAAGAACTGAGAATGCATGCGTTTAGCCTGGGGCCGCGTGATGGTGGACTTGCATGGGATGCAGGCTAGAAAAGGGAGCAATGAAAAGGAATGGACGTACCAGCGCCAGAAGCATGAACCAGTCATCCCATCGAACATTCCGCGTTATGGCTGTTCGTGTGTAGAACCTCAACGCAACGGCGACCGTCGCGCCAGACGCCATCCCGGCTTGCACGCTCATCAAGAGCGGTGTCCTGTTGCCTGACATGACTGCTGTGTCATTTGTGCTCTTCGAATCTGTGGAGACGGTGTGTGCCGGCTCGTAAGAGGCTGTAGCGTTCCGCAAAGGCCAATGCTCACGAACACCGCCGATCGTAGTCGTCTGAGTGCGTTTGTGGAGACGACGGTGGGCAACGAGCTCATATACTCGTTTCAAGCGAGCATCTGCCTCGGTGCTCGCATAAGGGGGTGGAGCACGTATAGGTCGTCGTCCGACACGAGCTCGCTTCGCTCTAATTGCTCGTGTGGGCAGAAGTCAGAACTGCTTCGATGAAACTGCGGAGGTCGGCTATCTGCCGAGAGCGAGCACTGAATGTCTCTCAGTCGCTCGCGGGAACGACTAAGTGTCATTGCTCGGTGGTGGAGAGGCAAGCCCCATAGGTCTCAGCCAGCAAGCAACGCAATGCTGCAAAGTACAACGGCTGGTGCGGTCGCGATTCCCCGTCTACCGCTGGTCTAAGGACCAAGCTACGGCCTTGCGCCACTTTGGAGGCTTCATCCTGCATGCCGGCTCTGGACGTGCAGGGACAGCCTTCATGCAGTAGTAAAACGACACGGACTGTTCCCAGGAGGACAAGGATCGACACTGCTTAGAACAAGGTTTGGGAGTATTACACCTTGGCGCTGTAGGCGGGACGGGATGTTTCCTCCTCCTGATACTCGTTCAGTGGGCAAGAGTGGTTAGGTCGATTGAATAAAGGCTCTCGAGGCCGGGGGAGAGGGGGGATTGAGGCTGCCAGACCTATTGCCCGTCTGGGTGACTCCCACTGGTGGCCATCATGGCCAAGATGTAGCATTTGGCAAATGCCGAACCAAGAAGTGTTCTAACGATGTTGGATGTTGCGCGGTGCCAAACCTTGGCCGCTGGACAAACTAAAGCATGTCGTGCAGTCTTGGTTTGAGGATAAAAGTCAATATCTCGCCTGTACCTCAGACGGCATGGTCGGTTCCAAGACTCGAGGGCACGGCCGAGGCATTTGCTCGAGCAATGGCTTACAAGAAAACAGCGACGCACTGACGACAGTGCAAAAACGATGTTGATGGCAGGCCAGCTGCCTGCGGCAAAAGACTGGTCTGCGTGAGGTGGTACTTTCTTTGACTAAAGCGGCAGCACAAGCTGTGCCGAGGATTCGGGATGTTGCGTGCTAGCCAGGCACGTCGCTGATCGTCACGCCTGCATTTTGGGAGATCAGCACTCTCGCTTAAGTAAACGACCTAGAGCACGCCGGCGGCATGCACTGACGGGCGAAATAGCTGCTTCGAGGCACCTAGTCAGAGCTCTCGCTGTCAAGCTGCAGACTCTGTGGCAAGGTCATCATTGCAAAACTTCTCGGTAAGAGCTGAGTCTAGGCTTGAGCTCGTGTTGGTCTCGACGGAATGAGTCGTTAGGGGACGGTTTGGGTCACTTTGCCTCAACCAGAACTCAGGATCGGCAGGCAGGTGGGGCCTGTGTGCCTGAGCCTGGGGAACCACAGCCGCATGTGCGTATCGTGGTGGGTCATTCACGTTCAAAGGCACTGGGCGAGAAAGTTAGAACCTCGTACGGGCATCCCAAGTCGGCCGGAAAGAGCCCAGTTGAGGTGCTCTAGTAGCTCTTGGAGCTTCAAGATCTTGGTTGTTGAAAACCCTGCACCGTGACCTCAGGGCTTGCTTTTGTAGCCATCTTTGCGTGCTGACGATCGGCTGCAGACAGCTGCTTTCAAAGGCAGTCCTTCCCGCAAAGGTCGCAAGTTTTGCGGCAGACTGGTTGGAGATAGTTACAGGCCAGGATTGATTTTCGCCCAGAGACGTCGTCAGAAAAGGAGTTTGCCCATCCCCATCCTGAGGCCTTGGCATTGGAATACAAGTGTGCCATTGGTCAGCCACGATCAGAGGGCACCCGGTTGCTCGCTTGGGGCACAAATTGCTCGAGCACCTGTACTGGGGTCCCCGGGCTCGCTCGGGTGCTTTCCCCGACCTTCAGCACGCTAAGTCTATACCAATGTGGCCTAATTGGGGCGGTCGGTGATCCTTGCTATTTGGGTCTGGAGGGCCGAAGCTCGCCTGCTTCAGAAAGGAGGCTATACGAACGTACCTAGCATTCGAGGATCAACCGTACGCCGCAGAATCGAGCCTGAGGATCCCTTGCGTCGGAGGTGCCGTGCTCATCTCGCCACACACTGAGTGGAAGACAAGAAGCAATGCTTGTTCCGGTCCGGACCCCGGACCAAGTGTCTAGAGTTGGTTGCAAGTACAAGTAGCGGCTCTGTGGCCGAGAGTAAAATTCTCCGGCAGTTGTGCTGACTCGAACAGATCTGCGATGAGGGGACGCCGAGTATAGCGGCCCCTGAGTCTCTACTATGGCAATCTACTCTAAAATAGCAATGCTAAAGAACGAAATTTACGCAACCTTGCACAACCGGGGTGGCTCATCCACGAGATCCCACTCTTCAGTGCCCACGAGCGCCTTCCCATAAAAGAGACCCTCGGGGTCCCATTCCTTCCGGATACCGAGTAGACGCGGATAGTTGTCGCCCCAGTACTCTTCCTGCCAGTTGGGGTGCTCGATGTTTCCTTCGTTGACCTGGAGGTTCATCAGCATGTTGCTTGGATTTGATGGGACTCAACACTTACATATGCGCCGCCGTTAGGGCTGGCAGCAATAAGGCCAGCGTCGACGGTATTGGTGAGGATGTCCCAAGCGTGCTCTTTCTCCGCCAGAGAGGCGTTCGTCGCGACGGTTAGTGCGGCAATACTGAAGCTCGAGGCATCGCGCCATTTGGGGTGGATAGCGTTATCGGCAGTGGGATTGCCGATACCTGGAGCGACGATATGACCGATGAGAATGCCCGTGAGATCATAGTTGGGAGGCTGAACTGCATTGCGGAAAGCTTCAGTCAGACCAGCCTGATTGTTCTCGATGTCCTCGCGAGCGAAGAACCGGCCGCCGATGATGGTGTTGTCACCAGCGTTCTCGTCCTCGTACATATCAATGTACATCTCGAAAAAAGTATCAAATTCCTTGATGCCAGTGTCGTAGGCAACCCCGAGGGCATCAAGCTTTTCGTAGAGAGGCGCAAGAGCCTCTTTGAGCTCGGCAGCGTTCATGTTAGGGGCAGTGAACGGTTGAATGTGAAGCCGTAGCTCCATTAGCTCGTAGTACACGAACATATTGTGGTCGACGTAGTGGTTTGCAAGGCCATGAAAGGCATCAGCTGCCTTCCAAAAGAGATCTGAGTCTGTGGTGTGTGTGCTGTTGATGTTGATGAAGGCTCCAGCGACAGGGACTTCCTCGTGAGTCTTGACCGTCACAGAGGTCACGATACCGAAGGTGGCAGGCCCGCCGCCCTTCAAAGCCCAGAAAAGGTCGGGATTCTTGTCGGCGTTGGCTGTGACATACTCGCCCTTTGCGGTGATCATATCGAATTCGAGAGCATGATCAGCAGCCATGCCCTTCAATGTGGATAGAGGACCATGCCCACCACCCTGGATATAGCCGCCAGAGAACCCTACTGTAGGGCATTCACCACCGACAGCTACCACCGGCGGGTTCTGCTGGTTGAGGAAACGGTACAGATCTCGGCCTTGAACACCAGCACCAACCTTGACGGCACCACCACTGTAGTCGCCGGGACCGGACCACGAGCTGATGATCTCCTTCTGGCTGAAGCTGTGTGTATTGATCGTCAAGGAGCCAGCAGCAATGGACCTGCCCATGAAGTCGTGACCAGTATTGCGTACCGCTAGATGAACATTCTTCTCGCGCGCGAAGTCAATGCCTGCCTTGATATGTTCCTTCTCGGTAGCCATGATGAGGTACTCGGCCAGGTAACCAATCGTGCAGGTATCTGTTGGATCCTCTGTTGGTCGACATGTATTGTTTGAAGGGTATTGCCTGAGTGGCGTGGCACCAGTCTCGATCCTGCCATGGTCAGCGCGTGCAGTTCCTCTGCTTGGAGGACAAACATGTATGGCTGATTGCGCCACCCAATGGTGACCTCTTCACACTTGGCTTCGTTATAGGTTGGAATGCCCTCGAACTCATTGTAGCAAGGCGCGGCTGGGGGAATGACTTTCACCAGACGGCCCCCAACCGTCTTGTTCAAGGAATCCCACTCGTCTTCCGCAGGCCAACATGCATCGCCTTCATAGCATTTGCATTGCTGACCTTGCCGGGGCTCAACATATCTCGGCAGCACACCTGCAAATGCGGCAGATGTGAGGCCCAGGAGGATGAGGCCGGTGGTAGAGGGGGCCATTGCCGGGAAATAGGAAAAAAGAAGAGCGCCTAGAGGTCGAAGCAGCAAGGACGGCTTCAGAACGAGGCGCTCTTAATACCCATCACATCGTCCAAGCCCCAGAGCCGATATCCGGAGCGGTACATGAGATCGTGAGCCGCAGCATCGAGGGCTACGGCCTCCCACATGGTGGGACCACGTTACTCGTCGGCAGACACCACTGCCAGCGTTGCAAACGCAGGGAAATTGCCACAAATTGGACTTTGTGCCGGCATGTTCTTGGATCGTTGCAGCAGGGATCAGTGCTCTGTTCTTGTCCCTGCAGGAGTGGGTCGAAAGCGGGAGGTCACCTAAGCACCCATGTGGGTACTCGGGTATGGGGCGGTGCCTCTTGGATCCAGGGACACTGCGACTTGGCCGGGAACGGAGCTATGTTGCCCAGATTGTCTAGACGGCTTAAGACAAACTGCTCATCGTGTTCACCTAAGCTGCATCGAAATGCGAGGGCAGCAAAGTGCAAAGTGACATGATTCGTGCGAATATATAGTAACTGGCTAAACTGGTGACCACCTCCTTTATCGTCTACGCCGTGTCTTGGCACTGTCACCAACCTCGACCGGCGGATGGGCATATTGAAGCAATTTGTGATAACAAGAGTGCGGTCATCTACTAGTATCTTCTACCGCATCGTCTACATGGCGAGAGCGACGCATTGGCTACCCGAGTTGTCCACACATTGTGTACGGAAAAGACTTAGGTCCTGGCCTACCTTCGCCAACATCACAGCCGGAGCATTGCATAAGCGAGCGACAGACCCTTAAAGCACGACTGAGGGAGTACTCATTTTGATCTGGGAAACACTCTGCAGTTCTTTTATGACGCCTAGCCTTGCCTAGAGCTAGCCACATACATTCATTCTATTTCTTTGCACCACCGAATCCATGAGATGTCTATCAAAGAAAGCTCGCCTACCTCGCACCTTGAGGGGTCCAGTTTATCCCGTAGAGTGCCCACCGCGATACGCCATGAGGTCTATTGGTTTGCCACGAGATCCCAACCTCTTAGGACCTGGTGCAAAGCCACGACATCTTCAACCTAGTGACCACTGAAGATCATGAGAGTGGTACCCGTGACTGATACGAAACTCGATCGGCTGCTGTACACCTTATTACATCATCTTCCCACCGGCAAACTGGCTCCAGCTCTGCACTTCCGGAGGAATGCCTTCTGTCCGAGGTAGCTTCTCATTCATGCATTGGGCGAAGAGTAGAGCCGTCTTAGCCTCCATAAACTAAACGTATGTCAGCACCAGCAAAATTAAGCACAGGATCGACTTACCAAGGGCACGCCAAAATCAACGGCATTTCGTCTCATGACATAGTCTTCATCCAACAGCGTCCGCCCACGTTGCTTGGCGATGTTGAACACGCCCTTGATGTTGGATTTCTCAAACACCTTGCGAAGCTTGTTCTTGTCCGTCTTGGGGAATTCGAGAACCTCCACGTTGACTTTCTTTGCAGAATTTTGCCTCAGATGTGCGGCAAGCTCCTCATTCGCAGCGAAGAAGCTATAACCAAGGGGCTCGAGGTAGTCGACAATCTTTGGCAGCTCAGGTAGCTCTGTAGAGCCCCCCAACAGTATACCCTCGCCGGGTTCTGGAAGACGGAAATTCATGGTCGACTGCATCGAGGCCCAGTATGCTTCAACAAGATCTTTGCCAAAGCAAGCAATTTCGCCAGTGCTGGACATTTCTACGCCCAAGAAGGGGTCGGCGCCTGCGAGTCGGGTCCAAGAGAACTGAGGTACTTTCGTGGCGAGGTAGTCACGCTTCTCGATCATAAGGTCTCGAGGAGCGGGGACGTCGGTGTTGACCAGAGCCTTGGTAGCAGCGTCGATGAAGTTGGTGCCGAGGACTTTGCTGACGAAGGGGAACGATCGTGAGGCTCGAAGATTGCATTCTATCACTTTCAACGCTGGCTCCCCGCCATCAGGAGCATCAGCCTTGATGATCTGCATGTTGAAAGGACCAGTGATGTTCCAGGCCTTAGCAACCTTTTCTGCGATTTCCTTGACACGCTGTTGGATCTCCTGGTCAAGATTTGCGGGAGGCAAGACAAGCGTGGCATCGCCCGAATGCACACCAGCTGGCTCGACATGCTCTGACACGGCATGCAGGATGAGCTTACCGGCAGAAGCCACGGCATCGACATCAATTTCCTGGGCGCCTTCGATGAACTTGGTGATGACAACCGGATGATCGGGGGAAACAGCTGAAGCTGATTCGAGCTTGTCTTTCAATTCGTCCTTGGAGTGAATCACAGACATAGCAGCACCAGAGAGGACGTAAGATGGCCGGACAAGAACAGGGTAGCTCACTTCCTCGGCGAACTTGTAAGCCTCTGATACCGAAGTAAGCTCCCTCCAGGCAGGTTGATCAACACCGATTGAATCCAGAATCTGTGAAAACTTGTGACGATCCTCGGCCTTGTCGATGTCCTTGGGGTCGGTACCTAGAATACGGGCCTTACCTTCCTCTTGCAATCGCAGAGCAATGTTCTGGGGAAGTTGGCCGCCCACACTGACCACGACTCCCGAAGCTGCCTCGAGCTCGTAGATATCCAACACTCGTTCGTACGACAACTCCTCAAAGTAGAGCTTGTCTGCAGTATCGAAATCAGTGGAATAGGTCTCTGGGTTGTACTGTCGCGGAGGTTAGCACGCATTCGACATGTGGTGTCGATGATAGGCGAGGGAATTGGCGGAATTGAGATGCCGCCGGCCTAGGTCAACCTCGAGTTCTTGAGGAGTGCACTGAAAGATATACTCGACCGTTGCCCAATTGGTCTAAGAGCATTCGGCATATAGGGGTAGAAAGGCAGGAGCGACTTACGTTAATCATCACAGTCTTCTTGCCCATATTCTTCAACGACAACGTGGCGTTGACGGCACACCAGTCGAATTCTACCGAAGATCCGATACGATAGACGCCGGAGCCAAGGATGATTGTGCCATGATCGTCGAAGGTAACATCATGAGAAGAGGCATTGTAAGTAGTGTAGAGGTAGTTGGTGTCAGCAGGGAATTCAGCAGCCAAAGTGTCAATTTTCTTGACCCATGGTCGGATGTTGAACCGTTGTCGTCGGGCACGAACATCGTTCTCGGTAGACCCAGTATACATGGCAATCTGCTTATCAGAGAAACCCTGCTTCTTGGCTCGGAGCATTAGCTCTTCCTTAATGCCAAATAGTGAGCCAATCTCTTGTAGCTCATCGATGGTGTTCTTCAGATTCTGGAGCTTGTGCAAGAACCACTTGTCAATCTTGGTCAGCTCGTGCAGACGTTCGACTGTGTAGCCTTCGTGGATCATAGCCTGCCCAACGGCGAGCCATCGTCTGTCGGTCGGATTTTTCAGAACGTCATCCAGATCATCGAATTTATCCCCCTGGAAACCAACATATCGTGGATCGACCTGTCGGATAGCTTTCTGGAAGGACTCCTCGAATGTTCGCCCAATGGCCATAACCTCACCGACTGACTTCATAGCGCTACCAATGTCACGCTTGACGTGCTGGAACTTGGACAAGTCCCATCGCGGAATTTTGGTAACGATATAGTCCAAGCTGGGCTCGAAGTTGGCCGTGGTCGTCTTGGTCACAGCATTGGGCAATTCAGGTAGCGTGTGGCCGAGGCCGATCTTGGCCGCAGTGTAGGCAAGCGGGTAGCCGGTGGCTTTCGAAGCCAGGGCGGAGGATCGAGAAAGACGAGCATTGACTTCGATAACCCTGTAGTCTAGACCATCGGCTTGCAAAGCGTATTGCACATTACACTCACCGACCACACCGAGGTGTCGAACGATCTTGATGGCAGCGGTTCGGAGCATGTGGTACTCTTCATCACTCAAGGTCTGACTGGGAGCCACAACAATGCTGTCTCCCGTGTGAATACCCAAGGGGTCGAAGTTCTCCATATTGCAAACCGTGATGCAGTTGTTGTCCGCATCTCGGACGACTTCATACTCAACCTCTTTCCAGCCCTTGAGAGACTTCTCTACCAGGATCTGAGGCGAGAGGGAAAGTGACTGGGACGACAAATTGCTCAGCTCTTCGGGGTTGGCCGCAAATCCCGAGCCGAGACCACCAAGAGCGTAGGCGGATCGAACGATGATAGGGTAGCCGACCTGTTCTGCGGCCGCGAGAGCTTCATCGACGGATTCAACAGCAATAGACTCTGCAATAGGAATGTCGATCTCCTTCAGTGCTTTGGCGAATAGATCTCTGTCCTCGCTAGTCTCCAGTGTCTTGATGGGAGTCCCTAGGACTTTGACGCCATATCGCTCAAACGTGCCCATTCGATTCATTTTCACTCCCAGGTTGAGGCCTGTCTGACCACCAAATGTAAGTAGAATGCCATCCGGCTTTTCTCGCTCGATAACGTAGGTGACATATTCGGGAGTGACGGGAAGATAATAAACTTCATCGGCAAGCTTGTGGTCGGTTTGGATCGTGGCGATATTGGGGTTTATCAGCACAGAGGCCACACCGGCTTCCTTGAGAGCCTTCAGTGCTTGGGAACCTGGACAGCTGGTCAGCATCTGGATCATAAGGATATGGTTTTCTGTCAAGCACAAAGCACACTCTACGTACCAGAGTAGTCAAATTCTCCCGCCTGACCAATGCTCAAACCACCGCTACCAATGACCAGGACCTTTTTGACATCCACTAAGTTCTTGCCAGGCTCAATGATACCGCTCTCAAGGTACGCCTCTGGTCTTGGAGCTTCCTGTACAGCAGCATAGTGCCGAGTGAGTCTAGCAGGCTTCTTCTGTTGCCAGAATGGTGTCCGCGATCGAAGGATATGTGAGTGAACCTCAGCCAGTCGCAGCTGGGTTGTGAAAGAGCGGGTTGACGTTCGGAGCTTGGGACAAGACTGTCGGGCGACGAGAGTCGACACATGTCGCAGCGAATGTGCTGTCGGAGGCATGGTGGCCAGTGACCTGCAGAGCAGGCTGACGAGAAGTCGCTGTGCTCGAGAATGAACTGCAAACTGCGAACACGAACAGCTCACCGTGACTCTCAACTTTTTTTTGACGGCGCGCTAAGTCAGGCCGTTGTCGGGGCTGGCTCCCCGCCTCTTTATGACAAGCGGTCTACAATGCACACGATCAAATCTCCCAAGCAATTAACAGTCATAAAGCTCAGTCTTGCGCAATTCGGAACGGAAAACTTTTCACGTCATTTCGATGCGATGCTCTTATCGTCGTTGCGAGTACCAATTGAATTTTTGGGGACCTACGCCTTGCTGCAGCTCCGTACAAATTTCTTTGAATCGCTCTCTTGTAATTGGCTGCAATTCAAGCTCGCTTTTAAGTGCCCAGGCTCTGCTATTGAATGCTATGTGCTTGTGAGGTTCAGGACCATTGACACATTGATGTCTCTAATTGTTGACCTTGGTGTAGTTGGCGGGAAAGAGGCCGGAGCGGCCTTTATACTCTCCATGCCACCAGTCTTCGTCTGGGAACGTCTAGAGAATTTAGATTAACACGACGACGAAGGGAGTAGAGGAGCACTCACGACGTTGGTGATTATAGCATCTTCCGGAAAGGAGAGCTCGTTGTCCTCTCCAGCTTCGTAGTCGTACAGAGCGGTTGCTGTCGCGCCCTTGGTGGTAGGAGCGGCGGTGGGCGACGGAGCAGCCGGAGCGGCCGGAGCGGCTGGGGCAGTTGGTGCAGCAGCAGGCTGATCGCCAAGCTCTTCTAGATAATTGCTAGGTACAAGACCAGTCTGCAAGTATTAGCTATACGCAGTAGGGGAGATTACGATTGTCGTACCTGGCCAGCTTCGTTCTTGACCAACCACCAGTCTGGATCAATTTTCTGAATGTCGGTTACAATCTCACCTAGATCTGATTAGCAATGCTGACGAAGATATCTAAAGAGGGCCTTACCTTCACGAAGAGATACCTCATTATCTTCTGCAGCTTCATAATCGTACTCAGCTCGAGCACGTACACCGGCTGCAGGCCCAGTGCCGCCAGAGGCTGGTGCTTGTTCGACGGCTTCGTGACCCAGACTCGTCTCAGCAGCCGTTTGGGCGGCCGCCCGAGCTAGATCAGGCCCACGCTCCGGCTCATCGTCTTCCTGCTGCGGGACAGCACGGTTCAATGAAGCGACAGGCATGGCGGTCGGCGGCGAGATTTGCTCATCACGCGCGTCCTCAACAGCGGTCCTGCTGACAGGCACCGCAATTTGAATGGGAGACGAAGGGGCTTCTGGTGTAGGAGGCGTTGGACTGCGAGCAACAGGAGGAGGTGTCGGAAGTGGCTCCGCCTCAGATTGGGCAGTGGACAGTCCAGGAATGGGCACCCCACGGTTTGGCTTCGTAGCAGTCTCAGGCTCAGGAGCTGGTGGCGGGGCTCTGTCGAAGCTTGCCGCAGGAGCGCCCATTGGTGGTGCCCCAGAGAATCGGTCACGGATGGAGCTCACTCCACCGGCAGGGGAAGCAGCAGCCTCTTCTTCCCTCTCACCAGTGTTCTGGGCACCGAGGCTATCTCTAGACTGGCCAGTATGGGTGGTCTGCACGGAGTCCCACTTCTTGCCCGAGTAGCCGCTCTGCCAACCGCTGTTGCCGCTTACTTGCGGCTGAACAGGAGATGCGCCGGTGTACCCGGACGGCGGCAGACCGTCACCAGAGCCACTAACGCCTCGCCCCCGAGCCTTCTTCTCTGCCCAGATTTGCGCAGGTGTCTTGCCTCCCTGATCGGCGAATGTGCGACTGGCGGCTCCTACAGGGGCCGCGGGAGCAAGCGGCTTAGTTTCGAATCCGCCGGGCAAAGGGGCCTTGGTGCCTGTGAACGTAGACGCTCCTCCAAATTTGTTAGCCACTTTCGGCTTCGGTAGAGTAGTCAGTCGTTCTGGACCCTGCGAGAACGCCGCAGACCTCTCGGACAAGGACTGTGGTCGTTCAGTAGCCTCTGTCGACTCCTCTGTAGCGGGTTGTGGGCGAGCAGAAGGCGAAGGGTCGTCGGATTGCTTTGCACGAGCTCTGATCGCGGCAATATCGACTTTGCCCACGGGTTCGTATGCTCCCTTGGTGATTTCTGGTCGATCATCCTTCAGAGCGCCAGATTCTTTAGCCTGACGACGTATCTCCGCGATATCTACCTTGCCAACCGGTTGATAAGCGCCTCTGACCACCTCTGGACGGTCATCAGATCGAGCAGGTCCAGAAGTAGTCGCTGTGGGTTGCTGGGAAAGAGAACGCATATCAACCTTGGTCGGTGTATATGCGGAACCGACCTTCTCAAGTTGTGTTCGAGTGACAGGAGGGGCGTCTGCACCCCAGCCATCATCATCAACATCCTGCTTAGGGCGATTGGGGAGGTTCCTTGCAAGAGGATTGAATCCAGACCCAATGCCACTACTCTGTGAGGGTGTGAAGGCAGGCTTTGACGCGACGGCCGGCTTGGTTGCAGCAGGAGCTGGAGGAGGGGCAGAGCTTTCAGAGTACTTCGATCCTGACGCATCGGCCACTTTCTGAACGATGCCTTCTGGTGTGAGGTCTCGGTCCGAGCGAGCAGTTATCTGGACGTGGTACCCGTGCAATAGCTTGGCGACAGCAGCAGTGTGACTTGTAAAGTAGCCCTTGGTCCGTTCGGGAACACCCTCACCGCACCAGGCGATCAATGCGTTTTTGGGCAGCCCGGTGTTGGAATCTTTGATCTTCACGTACGCGAACTGGATGCGACCGTCTGAGAATTCGTCAATAAGATCCAACAGCTCTCCCTCGCCTGTGCTTTGAACCTTGAGGACGCTCTCCTTCCCCGCGGAATCTTGTTGAAAGGCATTCGCCAAGGGCGCTGAAACTGAGAAGACAGCCCATTGACCGTAAGTTGGGGACGAAGCGGCGGGGCCTGATGGGGGTGGGGCGTTGACTATAGATTGGTAGCTCTTAGAGATAGAGGGACCGTTGGTCGAGAGATTGAGAGTGGCCATTCTGACGAAAGATCCAACGTGTGGGACGAGGACTGAGGAGGGTTTCTCTGTCAGGTAGCTAGAGCTTGCAAATGAGGGTCCGGTGGGCTGGGACAGTCGGCGGTTAGGAATATGAGTAGTTCGGACTGGTCGGCTTAGAGAGGCCAGGTAAGGAACTGTGAGTTCGACACGCCCGCAATGTTGAGTAAGTGAAGAATATAGCAGCCTGAACGGCGTGTACCGTAAGAGCAACGTGGTAACGGCCGCAGTAGCGATCTTGCGGTGCCGGATGTCTGCCTCATCAGCGCAACCTTGGCAAGCTGCGTCACAGTCTCAACAGAGAAGCTTTAGCGAGCAAGACCCCACCTGGAGCGCCCGCTTTGCGACAGCGCACTCTTCCTCTCCTCTTCCTTCATCACTGCCTCCCTTCGCGCATCGACTACCGACACCCTATGCATTGCAGAAACACTTCACAACATACACAGCTCACTCAACTAGCTCTGCACCCTTCTCACCTCTGCCCAAACCGCGCACAGATCTGCCCTGGCCCAGTCCGCGCTATCGAAGCCTCTACCAGCAGGCGCCGTACCAATCGCCTCCATCCACCAATACACCCATGTAGCCAAAGAGACAGCAGCCCCGTGAATTTTGTGCTGCGAGACCGATCATCTCTTTGACGACGCACCGTTGAGTTCGTCAGCCCCGACGACGATTATACCCGCCCCATTTTCCTTCCGTTAGCATGGCAGCCAGCTGCAGGTAATACGCGTGTATTTCGAGCATTACCTGCTCCTGGCTCCATCTTCACAAATCCATCCCACCCAGCCATTTAATGTTTTGTCGCTACTGCTCCCATGGACGCCGATGCTACAGTCCGTAGCCTGGACGGCCTTGCAACAGCAAAGAGGAAAAGACCCCACGATGGTATTGATGGGTCCGTTGACCCACCCAAGGACAATGATTTGGTGACATCCCGTAGCATCCCATATGGAGAGCCATCCCTCGGTTACCAGGTCACCAAGAAAGCTCGTCTTGAGAACATTTTGGAACCCCCGGAGCCGCCTTCCCACCCAGGAGGAACTTTACTTCGTGTTACAGATCTTCCTCCCGAGATACTGCAGCACATATTTTCTTTTGTTCATCCAATCACCCTTGGTCGTCTGCTTTCTGTCTGCAAGCTATTCAGCACCCTGCTCGATCCCAACCAGAAAACTCCGGTTCCCAGTCCGAGTGTCAAGCACCTTAGTCCTCGGAAGCCGAACGACATCTGGGCCCGGTCCAGAACCTATCATCTGCCTAGCTACCCGCGTCCTCTGGAATCTCTGACTGAGCTGGAGATGTGGAGCCTCCTGCGTGTGCGTCGCTGCCAATTCTGTCATCGGAAGGCCAAGAAAGTACCATCCTTTCTACATGCTCGTCCCTGGAGCGGTGGTCCAGGCCCCGACGATGTCCGCGCAATATGGCCCTTCCGTATTCGCTCCTGTGGCGCTTGTCTGCAACCAAGACTTCTCCGGGTATGTAAGGACAATTCGGTACGCAATGGGGCTCTAACCACTTCTAGGATAAGGACCTCCTGCTTTCAAATTCTTCGTTTCTGCGACCTGGACTACCCTTTGCTGTCTTCACGCCTTCCTTCAATTACGTGACCTCTGTGAACCTCGAGAAAGATGAGCCACCGGCCAAGCTGCAGTTGACAAAGTATTTTTACCGGCCGGATGTGGACGAATTGGAAAATAGAGTCATCGAAGTCCGAGGACTTGGAGATGCCGTCGTCGAGGAATGGTCCAAAGGTCTGGAAACAAGTGGAAAGGCACGACAAGACGAGGCAGCCCGCCTAGAAAAGTGGGAGCTCTCCTTCGCAGCACAGCTGCATATCGGACCGACCACTTTTTCTATTCCGGATTCTACCATGCCCTCTATAATGACTCCGGAAACGCATCTCTCAGCGCCCTCTCATGCGTCCAGCACGTATCATAGCCACGATGTTAGCATGACATCGCCACCCAGACCGTCTTCGGCTCAAAGTTCTCAACTCTCCGGATTCACTACTGGTAAGATCTAGGCCTATCCAGGTTTGATCAATTCCTTGTTTCTTCCCGCTAATCTATCACTGCAGCTACATCTCTTCCGCCTGGTCCAGAGATGCCACTTCAGCCATTCACTCCTGCACCGGGTCAGAGCCTGGCATCCTTCGCTGTTCTCAGAACCGGCACTGGATCTGGGAAGGCTGAGTCTGTTACCTCGTCAACAACTGCTCGCTCACAGTCCAAGCCTAGACCAAAGCCCCAAGAGGTAGAAAGGCTCAGATGTGAGAAACGTGCAGACATCGAGATGAGATGTCAGCGCCTTGATCCCCCAATCAGACCGTCAGTCTTGCCCTTCATGAACGCATACAACGCAGCAATGCAGATTTCCATGCCTCTGAACGACGCCGCTTGGGATTTACTGAAGAGTCGCTTGACAAGCGAGCGCGAAGAAGCTGAACACAGAGAAAGGGAGCACATAATCTCTCTGGAGGCGTCTCAACTGGCGGGGAACGATCGCCGTGCCTTCGACGAGCGACGTCGGCTTGAAGGGGCAACCAACAGCCGAATATGGGCAGAGCTCGGCATTCCACCGCGACAGAAGCTCAAAACGTATGCGGACGATTACATCAGTTCTATCTGGGATGGTGGGCTTGCTGTTACTGCTGCAACAAGTGCCAAATTTGCAGCTGAAGTCCTGCTACATGTCAGGCGACGGTTTGACGAGGGAATAGTCGAGGAGGATAAGCTGCTTGCTTCCCGTGACATGCGAATTCCCGGCGATTCAGGCATCCCAGAGATGCGCCGTCTTAAGCTGGATGACATGAAGTGGGTTTACGAAGAGTCTGTGAGGCCGCATACCGAACGTTTTGGCAAGGAGACTTTTCTCTGCAGCACCTGCGAAAACACTGCAAAGCGGTTCACGTTCGATGCCGTCATCCAGCATTACGCTGCAAAGCATACAAAAGACCTGAGCAAGGGAAATCAAGTTGTCCACTGGAAAGCGCAATGGCCGCGCGACTGGCCTTTTCACACCTCTCCAGACTCCGTTTGGCACCGGCCGCCGCATGCACGGTCACCCATGCGGTTTCCATATGCTGCCTCTCCCGGACAGCCCTCCGAAGTACCAACTATTCCACGATCCCCGGCCTCTTCACTGGTTCGAAACTCCATCTGGGAACCTGATCAGCCCCCTCGACCTCGAAACCTCTACGATGAGCACTGTGACGAGGTCTCGGAGGCAGCTGTGAGAGCTCTTGATGCTACGGAGAACATCAAGGGTTTACCGGACAGTGTCCGGCTATACGTTATCATGCACTACGTGGCTCGCTTATTCTGGAACAAGTTCCGCATGGATCCCAAGTTGCCCTTGTTCGCGGACTGTGTAAGTCAAAGGCCTCCTCTGAGGCAAATCAAAGATTTCCACGGCCTACGGTGCAGAGCATGCCGGGTGGAAGGCCGGAATTTCTCTGATCAATACTTGAGGGAATATTGGTTGACAGATTTACTCGACCACTTCCAGAGGTGTCACATACAACACTCTGTGGTCCCTGCTCCAGCATATCGGCCGTTGCATGACCATGCTGGTGGCATAGTTAATCAGCGCCTCGACTGGCTTTTTGATATGGTTGAGCTTCCCCACGAGCAGATCATCCGCAACCTTCATCAGGTACCCGGCATGGATGCTGCAAAGTTTGAAATGCTACGGAGTATTTTCCCCGCGGTTTTCACACCAGTACCAGCTGAGGCGGCCCGGGCTAGCTCTCCAGCCATCCATGACCAGATGATCGCCTCTGAGCGTGGCGTTAGTCATCAATACTCACGGCCACGATATGTGGATGAGAGTATTCGCCAGTCCGAGTTGGCAGACTTCGGCTACAGAAGCCAAGGCGTCCGGCCAATCTATGAACACCAGTTCGACGGGAGCTTGGGTTTCGCGCCTTCTTCCTCGGAATTTGTACGGCGTCCAGGTGAATACCGCGACAGTTATGGAGCACGCCGCGAAATAGTGTATTTTGATGATGCCCGGACGTCCATGCAGAGAACAACTTATCCTACCATCATTCGACAGTTTGATGGTCATGGAGCTGCACAGAGACCCAAAGTATGGCACGAAGATGATGATGCACGTTATGAGGGCCGACACAGCTTACCCCTATCCCGCGGCCCCGCGGATGCGTCCCGTGGCTTGCCGTTCCGTCCACATCACTTGGAAATGGTAGGTGAAGCGGAAGATGCAGAGCTTGAGCCCGGCCATAGTCCCCATACCGGCATTATTCATACTGCAGGGCTTCCCACCCAACAAGACGAAGGCGAGCACCGAGATGAAGCCATGACGGATGCCGAGGTCTTTCTCAACAACTTCGACCCACTGGCCAGTCGAGAGGACGACCACGGAGCATCCATGTCTCGCACTGCCAGCATACGACATCGCAACTTAGTGGATGACGAGAATGCTAGTGTGATGAGCGGACGCCTGTCGCATTCGGCAACGCCTGCTCGACTCCGTCAAGAGGGTTTGCTTAGTCGCACCTCAATTTCCGGCAGCCACGGTGGAACGCCTGTGGCTACTAATATGCCGCACCAGAGCACTAGGAGTTCTCTATTGACCGCTCGTGGACTCAAGCAGGAGCCAGCAGAGGCAACTTACACTTCAGATGCGCAAGGCTTCTTCGCACGCCCCCGCACGCCTCCAGCAAGCCTGGCTCCACGGCGAGAGTCACATACAGCACCACTGGGTGAGTCACAGCCTCTGTTCCTTCAGGATATGGATCCTTCCACCGGCCGAAACGAGTACAATAAGCATATCCCTCCCGACGCATACCTGTACAGCCGTGCGGCACCGCATCTGGAAACAGAGGATCATGGCAGACGACAACATTCTCCAGAGCATGTGCACATGCGCCATGAACGGGCTGGACCGGTGCATTATGTCGAGGTTCCCAGCAACCAAAGAAGAGTAGTCCAAGTCTCGATGTCGCCAGAGGTTAGAATGTATGAACGCGCACGGGTACGACCTGGCCGTCTTTACTACGTGGATGATGTGCCGCATATCACATCCAGAGACCATGGCTCATCTAACGACGCCTACAGTGGTGACCCAGCGGACTGGTTAGGCGGGGGCTCAGGAGGACCCCCAGTCTACAATCAAAGAGCTGTTGCGGAACAGACAATTCGGCCCGAGGACTGGCCCCCTCCAGCAATGCGCAGACCAGAGCAGTACGTGGATAGAAGGTTTCGTGATTCAGGGCCGACCCGCGACTTACAAGACCCTTGAAGCTGTGGCAGACAGCCATCCGAGGTGCAAGATGGATGACAGGACCGTCAAAGGCGGTGGAGCACAGTCCGGCCCCAACTCTGGCAGACAGAGTCTAAGAGATAGCTAGCTGGCGACATATGGCAGCAGCGATTTGATATAATCTAACGAATTTCCTACTACATACCCAATACGCAATGATTTTCCTTTCGCATTCCTTCTTTCAGATGAGCGGTGGAGTTTGTCGAAATCGAAATCGAAATCGGAGGCTGGAGTTTGCGTCATTGATGATTCAACCTATCGCCTCCAGTTGTCGATTTGACTCTGCCAGCGCTTCGATCTCGCATGCCACTCTCGATTTATTACCTGCATGCAAGAGATTTCTTGATTAGAGTCGCCGCTTGCCCACGGCTCAGCTGCGTCGGTGTGGCTGCCGATTGCTCAGCCACTCGGTACTTCGTCGCTCGTGCATGTGTTGTGTTGTTGCTGTTGCATGTGCTCTTTTCTTCTGCTGGCCATCTCTTCTGTCCTTTCACGGTCGTTACATTCTGCGGCTCTGTTGTTTACATTTCCACTGCCTTGATCGATCTCGGCCCCACGCGTTTCAGAATCCATCTGACTTGCAGATGCATATGTTTCAGGGTACGATCCGAACCTCTTGATGGACAAAACCCCTCGTTCCCCCCACCGACCGGTCCACCTGTCGCGCACATACTTCGGCCCCCGATGTCGAGGACGGCACTCAAGTCGCGTATCGACAACGCGTTCAAATTCACCAAGCAGGCCGAGAAACTTTCACTTAAACCCACGAGCGATGGCGGCGAGGATGAAGGCACCGCCATCCGGGCGAATTTCATCACGCCACTTGACCCGGTGATTGAGACGGCCGACGGCAATCGCTTACCGGGTGTACCCATAGACGAAGCCCACAAGCTCAATGAGTACAAAGACCGCGTCGAGGGGCGTCCGTCGAGACGCGATCTTGCGATGCCACGCGGGCTGAGTCGCTTCGACCACATCAACGAGCAGCAGCAAGCGAATCCCTCGAAACCTGTGGCGGAAGGCGGCACCGACACACAGCTAGAGCAGGCAATGCCACCGTCGAAAACGCACCCGCTCTTTCCTCCGTTGCCGCTATATGGTCCTGCCACCTGGGCAAGAGACTTGCAATGTGCCATCTTCAGCGTCACAGCATTCACTCTGTCCACCGCATTTCTACTCGTCATTGTGCTCGGCGCCGCTTTCACATCAATACCGAAGCTCGCCGCCGCCCTGTGGCGATGGCTCACGTTTCGCGACCCACGTGAGCAGCGGCCGTTCCGTGAGGAGGAAGAGCGACGGCAGCTGGTGCGGAAGGAGCAGGAGCGCGAGTGGGTGCGACAGCATCGGACGAACCCAGCAAAGAGCGATGATGATGATGATGATGATGATGGGAAGCAGACTACTCTTGCGAACCCTGCTACGCCAGGCTATAAGCCCACGGAAGGCGGTCCAGACAAGTTGGTCTGCGATATTCGCTATTATGCTCGACGAGTTGGCCTGGACTGCGAGGAGTTCAAGGTGCAGACCGAGGACGGCTTTATTCTCAGTTTGTACCACATCTTCAATCCGACCGAATACAAACCGGCCTCGGAGCAAGAGCGTGGGGCGTCTACGCCAGAAGTCTTTACCGACGACAAGAAAGGCGCTCAGTCCTCGACACGCAGGTGCTACAAAGATGGTGAGCGACGCTATCCGGTGCTTCTCGTACATGGCCTCCTGCAATCCGCCGGCGCTTACTGCTGCAACGATGACGACAGCCTCGCTTTCTACCTCTGCAAGTCTGGCTACGACGTTTGGCTCGGCAACAACCGCTGCGGCTTTCAGCCTGAGCATAAAGTTCTCTCATCCTCGGATCCCAGAATGTGGTGCTGGAACATCAGGCAGATGGGCGTGATGGACATGCCCGCATTCATGTCCCGCGTCCTGCACGAGACGGGCTTTGAGAAACTAGGCCTCGTTTGCCACAGCCAGGGCACAACACAGACATTTGTTGCCCTGGCCAAAGAACAGCGGCCGGATCTAGGAGACAAGATCTCGGTCTTCTGTGCGCTCGCGCCTGCCGTGTACGCGGGCCCTTTGATTGGGAAAATGTATTTCAAATTCATGCGCGTCATATCGCCGGCGATGTTCCGGGTGTTTTTCGGCATCAAAAGCTTCATCCCGTTGATGATGACTATGCACCGCTGGCTGCCTGGCCGCGTGTACGGCACCATGGGCTACATGGTATTCTCATTCCTCTTCGACTGGTCCGACCAGCGCTGGGACAAAGGGATTCGCGATCGCCTGTTTCAGTTCAGTCCGGTTTACGTGAGTGCAGAAAGCATGCGTTGGTGGCTGGGAAGGGAGTGTTTTGCCAAACACAAATGCGTGCTGAGTACGCGAGAGGAGGGTCGTCTGGAGGATGTGGAGGACGAAGAGACGGAGATCAAAAGGGAGAAGGCCATGGGCCAGAGCACGAAAGAGAGAGGCAAGAAGGCGTGGTACGACGAGCGGGCTCCGCCCATGGCGTTGTGGGTGGCAGGGAGTGATGAGTTGGTGGACGGGAAGAGGTTGTTGAGGAGGTTTGAATGCGGGCGTGAACCGTACGCCAGGATTGTGCATAGTAAGGTCATTGAGGAGTACGAGCATCTGGACGTCATTTGGGCTATGGATGCAGTTGTGAAGGTGGCGAGCGAGGTCAAGCAGGTGCTCTGGGAGACCATGCCAGAGGATGCGAGGATGGTCTGCAGGGAGGTCAAAGATGTTGCTGTCGATTGGGACGGCAAGGCTGCGATTGCAGAGAGGGACTGAATTTCAGCGTAGCATGGCACTGGCAAGATGGTCGGCTACCTTTAGACCGATCTTGCAGATACACGAGATACCCCTTTGATTTAGCATAGAACATAATCTTGTACATCCATCCTAGCATTGCGTATCCTGAGCAATCAATTTCTCAGACGCATAAGTCCGCCGGTCTCTCGATCTCGTCGTCTACCAGTACAGCACTAACAAGACCACTGACGCCCATCTAGGGAGGTCAATGCGGGTGTCCACGCGGGGAAGCCACGTGCCCAGGCCATCTTCTCGAGTCTCAAAGACATGTTTGAAGCCGCAAAAGGTTGGCAGAAGCAAAGTCACCCAAGTCTGCCAGCAGACCGGCCCGCTATCGCAACGCCCCCTTTGCTATTCGGTCCTCGGGCATCAGCAGAGAGCTTCATGGGAAGTTTAAGCTGAAGTGTTTGGCGAACTCCCCACGCGATCTGGCAGGCAAACGGGCGCCACCATGCTACGGAGGTACGGGATACAACACTCTAGACCCCACCACTGTGATAAGAGAGCGGCGTCGTGGACCAGTCGTTGTCGGCGCCACATGCAAGCCTCGGCGTTGGTGGGCGCAGGAACACGAGATTAGACGGAGGGTTTATTTCGATGACGCTCCGCACGAGCTTGATACTGGAAAGGGACCAGCATAGGGAGAGACGGCCCAGGCAAAGAAAGGCCAGCAAAGTGCCTCTCAGCAGGGCTTGAAGGAGCGCCAAGCGGGTCTGCCTGTGACTGCTAAGAATTCTGTTTTAGGCGTTAGAGCTTAGGGGCCCGATCAACGATGCCCGGGGCGTTGCGGTTAAGCGAAACCCAGGCGTTGATTGGGCCATCCGGCCATTCTTCACGAGCTGTGCCCCCCCCCTGTCGTCAACTGTGGGCGAGATCATCTTGCTGCCCCCCCGTCGCCTCACCGAATCCCTCCTACTGCGTAGCGTTGGACCTTCCCCGCCTTCGTGATGGAATTGGATGCATCACAAGCGAGTAGGGAGATAACCTCAGGCCGTAGCACTGTCCTTGTCCACCAGTCACTGCCATTATGGATGACTTTATACGACTCGACTCGGCCGGCTCCCCGTTATTCACCAACGGTCGTCCACGGTAGGTTTCCGGCCTCACAAAACCCTCGAGTCTAGTGCGCGTCGTCGTCCCTTATCTCTACCGCCCCAAGTCATCGCATGATAACCAGCGTGGAACTGCCCAATCCAGCGTCAGGTGCTACCCGAATCGCTTACTGTCCCCATGGTTACTTGTATAAGCTTGTCGCACTCTTGTCGCTTCTTCGCTTTTGAGCCTTGTTGTTGCTCTTGCTGTCGCTGTCACCCACTACTCCATCGCGCGGATTTGAGCCAATAACACTAAGAACCGCAACGCCACTATAGCCCATGAGCCCAACAGTTCCCCCGGGAAATCGACAGCCATGAGCGACGACAAGAGGCCGAGCGTTACGGGCTCCCACCACCGAAGATCTGTCGCTGAGGAACCCGTGACTTCGGTGCTGGGCAGCCATGAGGTGCCCGTCTTCGATCGCGACTTGACCGCCGACGAGGAGGTGCTGGCGGCGCTGGGTTACAAGTAAGCTTCGTGCTTGCCATCAACAAGCCGGGGCCTTTGAGTTGACCAGAAGTACAGACCCGAGTTCAAGCGCGAATTCTCCCTCTGGACCACATTCTGCGTCTCGTTTGCCGTGCTGGGATTACTGCCTTCGTTTGCGTCCACGCTGTGGTATGGCATGGGTTACTCAGGGACGCCGGGCATGGTATGGGGGTGGTTGATTGCCATGTTCTTCATCCAGTGTGTTGCCATGGGCATGGGTGCGTTCAAGCTTGGATCTGGGATCTGTGCATTTACTAACTGACTCTCAAGCTGAACTGTGCTCCTCGATGCCTACTTCAGGCGGGCTGTACTACGCCGCTGCCGTCCTCGCCCCTCCCGGATGGGGCCCCCTTGCAGCGTGGATCACAGGCTGGTCCAACTGGCTTGTCCAAGTCACCGGCGCCCCTTCCGTCGACTATGCTCTCGCGTCGATGATACTCGCCGCCGGTGCCATCACCAACCCGTCATATGTCCCCCAGAACTACCAGGTCTGGCTACTGACCACACTGATCATGATCATCCATGCCTTCATCTCCTCCATGCCCACCAAATTCATCGCTCAGTTCAACTCTTACGGTTCGACCTTCAACATCATCGCTCTGGTAGTCGTCATCATCATTATCCCAGCGAGCACCAACCGCCCGTCCCAGGGACTTTCCCGCTTCAACCCTTCCTCGGAAGTCTGGGGCCACTTCTATCACGGCACCGACTTCCCCAACGGCATCGCCGTCCTACTCTCATTCTTATCCGTGATTTGGACCATGTCGGGCTACGATGCCCCGTTCCATCTTGCCGAGGAGTGCTCCAACGCCAACATCGCCGCCCCGCGCGCCATTGTCCTCACTTCGGGCGTCGGCGGCCTAATGGGCTGGTTTCTGCAACTCGTCGCCGCGTATACCGTTATTGACATTGACGCCGTGCTCAACGACGAAGTCGGCCAACCCTGGGCCGCCTACCTGCGACAAGTCGTCGGCTACAACACCGCACTGGCCATCCTTGCTATTACCATTGTTTGCGGCTTTTCCATGGGCCAGGGCTGCATGGTCGCCGCCTCGCGCGTCACCTACGCCTATGCACGCGACGACGTCTTCCCTGGCTCGCGCTGGCTGAAGATCGTGAATCACCGCACCCTGACGCCCGTCAATGCCGTGTGGTTCAACGCCTTCGTCGGCATCATGCTGACGCTGCTGCTCTTCGGTGGCGTCGCCATAGACGCCATCTTCAGCATCGGCGCCATCTCGGCCTTTGTCGCTTTCACCATCCCCATCACCATCCGCACGTTCTTCGTCGGCAACCGCTTCAGACCCGGCCCGTGGCACTTGGGAAAGTGGAGTTACCCGAACGGCGTGCTGGCCACGTGCTTTACGGTTGTGATGATCCCCATCATGTGTTTCCCAAGCGTTACGGGCAATAATCTGAATGCGGAGTTGATGAATTGGACGTGTCTCGTGTGGGGAGCCCCGATGCTTGGCGTGCTGATCTGGTGGGTGGTTGATGCGAGGAAGTGGTGAGTTTCAAATTCCCAATTAGAACAATCAGGTGGAAAAGATGAGCGTGCTAACGAATGGAAATTTCTAGGTTTACTGGACCCAAAGTCAACATTGAACACATGATGCTGGGCAGAGAAGGGAATCTGATCGACGGAACTGTGCAAAAGGTCGAGACAAATGGTAGGGCCAGCAGTGAAGGCAGCAGTGGTGGCGAAGATGGGCTGAAGGCGAAGGAAGCCGGAAAAGGTACAGGCGCTGATGTCGTCTGATCGACATGACTTAGTGAGTGCTGCACAGACAGCCGAGCTGACACGAGAGAGGGCGCTTGCGTATATCGCAAGGTAGCCAAAGGGTCAGACATCGACAAAGAACAGTATCGGCGATAACAGCCAGCAAACTTACCAGATTGATACCCCGCTGACCATTAAGTCTTCCAGTGTGAGCCCAGCCGTCTTACCATTCTTTCATGTCCTGCTCCTAGCGAGCATGGTCACTGCACACCTGCAAGGCAACCACGAGCAGTATCAGCCTTGGCAAGCAGTGGCTGTGCGTGAAGCTCTCAGAGGTATTAGTGCACAAGGCGGATGGCTGCAGATGCAACCCCCAAGACCTTCAGTTGATTCCACCGCATTTCTTTCCATTCACTTGAATTTCACGTCGACTCTGCGCCAGTCTGCAGCAGAGCAAGGGCAGTTTACCCATTATTGCAGGCCAGCCTAAACATCTTTCATCAACTCACCACCGCAAGCCTTCTCCCCTACTACAGCTTACCACTCAAGCGACTCATCTATTAGCGTGGCTGTCGAGAGCACAGCACATCCTCAAAATTCAACCCAGCACTGCTCCCCACCAACCGCCATTGCAGACTCGACTCTCTTTCGCTCTGTCCACCACCTACCACATCACCGCGAGACGACACCACCTCCCCCTCCAACCTCGTCCCTCAACCCAGTCCAAACATCCCCCTCCCCACACACGACGCAGAACAACACACTTCCCCATCTCCTTCCCCTCCTCCTCCTTACCCAAGCAAGCGAAGCCAGAGTCCCACAACCCCTCCCCCAGAATGCCCCTCTCAGACACGACAACCCTAATCCTCCTCGCCCTCGACGTCGCCATCGTCCTCATCCTCATCCTCGCATGCGCCACCAACGGCATCTGCAATCTCCGGCGGGCGCGCGACGCCAGGAACGCTTGGGATGGGAGGCGGGAGAGGTTTGGCGTTGATTCTGCTGGGGCTGGTGCTAGCACTGGTAGGAGGGAACATGGAGTCTGAATTATGAAATGCAAGATAAATGGAGTGGGCACGGGGGTGGCAGGGCATCATTGTCTCCGGCGGGTCAGGCGACCAGAGCTGAAGAAGAAGAAGCGAGATGAGATGGGGAAGAGCGTGCGTGCCCTGGGATCTGGGCCGGGGGGCAGTGGTTGGGAAGGAAAGGAGCTGGACGGGACTGAAGAGCCAGGGAAGATCAAGGAACGTATGGTCAGGGGGGTGGGGGTTTGTTGGCCGCAGCGAGAAATTCGTGCAACGAGGTTCTCGACTGAGATTGCGATGAGGTAGGTAGGTAGGTATGTGGAAACACCATTGAAGCTGCCATGTTTGTTGGTATGAAGTCTCGTTACCTACCTACCTGCCCGCTTCAACAACACAATGACGATTACGACGTCCTCTGAGGCTGGGCCTGATTCTGAGCACCGAAGCGTTGGGGATCAGTCCATTACACAACCACCACGGCTACCCTCTTTATTTCTACACCACACTAACCCCCAACGCCTTCCGCGCCCGATCATAGATCTCTCTCCTCCCATCCGGCCCCGCCTCACCCACCTCGGTCTGCACACACTCCTTCAACCAAGCCTCCCACCCTTTCGTCGTCCCTTCCGCCAGCCCCTTCTTGACCCCCTCGCTACACTGACTGGAATGAAACCACGCCGCGCTCCCAAACGTATACTCCGGCACCATGACCAACGCCAACACCTGCTCATCCGTCCCCACGGGCCCGTTCAACGCCTTGATGCTCTTGGCGTATTTCTGCACGAATTCCGGCATCATCATCGTGCGCGTCCCCTGGCCCGGGCGGCCGGGGGCTGGGAAGTGGTTCTTGTTGTACTTGAAGCCGGCGCTCTCGAAGATCATCCAGGAGATGAGGGCGGCTTGCTCGCCGGCGCTGGTGACGTTGTATTGCGCGAAGGAGCTCACGATGTGCGGCGCGGCGTCGGTCGCGGTGGCGCATTCGTCTTTGAACTTGGCGTCGTCGCAGCTCTTGGAGCTCGGGGAGATGGACAGGAGGGCAGAGACGGGTTCGGCGCCGGACTTGTTGGTGGATGCTGTGGAAGAGGCAGGCTTGCTTGCGGGTGGGGATGAGGCTGGCGGAGAGGAGGTTGCCGCGGGAGATGCACTGGCAATGTTGGAAGCAGGCGCTGGGGTCGACGCGGCAGGAGCGCTGGTGACGGGCTTGCTGGTATTGGTGGCAACTACTGGAGCTGCACCGGAGGATCCAGCTTCGTCGACTTGAGCAGGTATAATAACTGCAGGCTTGCAATCCGGGACGGACGCCAGGCCTGTGCCATTCGCAGAAGGTGGGAGAAGCAAAGTCTGACCGACTTGCATCTTCTCCCAGACCATGCCTGGGTTTTGCGCATTCAACTGAGCCATGGTGAGGCCGTTTTTCGTGGCGATTTGATAGCCAGTGTCGCCCTTGGCGACGACCACAGACTTGCAGCCCGAGGTGGCAGGAGCGGGTGCCCCTTTCGCAGCTGCAGCGGTGCCGGCTGCAGCACTGGTCATGTTGGGAGCCTGGGTGTTGGCTGCAGAAGGGGCTGTGCCGGCGGCAGCAGTGCCAGCCCCAGCACTGTTTCCAGCGGGTGTATTGGCGTTGGCCGCAGGAGGAGTTGGAGAGGTGGCTGCGGGAGGATTGGTGGGGATGGAGGCCGCGGGAGATGCATCATCAGGATTGTCCTCTGGTAGTTCTGAGTCCTCATCTGCGGCTGAAGAAGCGGAAGGGGCTACAGCTGGCGATGAAGTAGCTTGAGACCCAGCTGCCGGTGAGCTAGGGCAAGATGGCGCAGGCGCGACATTTTTCTCTGGTTGTGAGGTGAAGCCGGTGGGGATCAGGATCGCCTCGCCGACCTTGATTTTCTCCCAGACGACGTTGGGGTTGGAGGCGTTGATGAGAGGGAAGTCAAGACCGAAACTTTTGGCGATGTTGTAACCAGTGTCGTTGGTCTGGACGGTGTAGAGGAGGCAGCCGGAATTTCCAGTGACGCCAGCGTCGGCCGCATCAGCAGCAACACCATCGGCAGCAGCGCTTGAGTTCAGTTGTGAAAGAGTCAGGTTCGCGATTAGCTTGATGGCGGTTAACACTACATCTTGAGCGACCATGATGACAGTAAGGAGTGTGTAGAAGATTCGGGAAAGGACTGGCAGTAGAAACACGAACAATGGTTTGCAGAAACCAACGAGAAAGCTGCGAAAGCGCTGAAATAAATGAGGTGCGCGCATGTTATACAAAGTGGCAGCTCAAATCAAAAGGGCAAGGTCGACGGTGGACAAGGCGGTCACTGCCAGACAAAGAGCCCGATCCTTGAGGACAAAGAAAAGATTGGCCATCATCCTCCATCTGTTGACTATCTTTCCATTTTTGCCTCAATCGTGGATCGTTTATGCTCCTTGTCTCGCGAAGGAACAAACAGATTTGCTTGGGCCAGTTTTAAACCAGTCCGCAGCAAGCCGTGGGCTGGATGGAACGGAGCGGAAATCTTGGCGACCATGTTTCTGTACTGACTATTGAGATGTGTGCGTCGAGGTGGTCGGTCCTATTGTCTCTTATGGCACAGTCCAACTCATATTTGCGGAACAGAGTGCGTTGGTGACATCCTCGACGAACAGTAGAAGAGCTCATGGTGCTGTTGCGCAAAAGAGTCTTTAGGTGAGTGCAGAATCTGGGCCTCATTAAAACTGATATGAATGATTACATACACCTATGGCTGGTTCACACCACACGAGAAGCTAGCCCTGCTCGCTGGTGCATGGGATCGTCTGCTCCTCTCGACCATTCACCATAGCGCCTCGCTCCTTCCTTCTAGCGGATTATTTCCAGGCACATGACAATTGAGAACGAAAACCACCATGCGTCTATACTCCAAAGACAAGATCTTGCTCACAGGAAGTAAGCCAGGCCAGCAAATAGCAGTGCACCAGCACCACCTGCGACCTTGTTGGCGGCGCCGTGGTAGGGTTCGGCAGACTGAGACCCACTTGCGGCGGCCGAGGTGGCAGAGCTGTGGCCGCTGGGGCTTACGCTGGCGGTGGTGAGCACAGCAGCAGACGCACTAGTAGGCTTGCCGGTCATCATGCTGGTATAGTTGGATGCAGTCTCGTAGCTGACGGCGGTCTTGACGGTCCAGGTGCTGTCACCGCTGGACCATGGGCTGTCGTAGGAGGTGATCGAGATATGGGGCCCCTCTGGCTTGTCCGTGGGGATGGGCTCGGGAGCTGCGGTGCCTGCTGGCATGGAGGCGCCGGATTCAGGTGCGCCGGGAAGGGCGTGCGCGAGGGCGAGTAGGGGAAGAGCGATGAGGACCGACTTCATTCTGCTGGTGATGTAGATCTATTAATGTATAATGAAGCTTACGCGAGAAAGTCTGTCGAATGGTAGATTAAGGAGCGACTGTGGTGAGCGAGAGACAACCAGATATCAGCTGTCGTCGGGTAGGGCAAAGGAAGACCGGAAGAACACTACTGCTGGGGTACCTATATCAATTGTTATCTCCCGACATGCCGGCATGGCCCCGACCGCTGCCCGTCGATCTGAAGAGATTGCAGGTGCTCCTACAACCAAGCCCCAAAATAGTTGGAAGCTTTGAGCGTGGCGTGCAGTGACAGTCAGGAGTTGAGATTGGTTGTGGATCAGGCAGTGAAAGAGTGCCCAATTGGAGTTGACAAGGGGTTTGCTTTAGCCTTTTAGAGTTAATATTGGCATCCGAGGAGATGAAAACAAGCTCAACGCAAGAGTGCTTGGTTCTCGAGACTGTTCTGGTTTCATGCTTCGTCGACTGAGCCTGCGGAGGCTCACCAGAACTCTCGAGACGTGGTCCGATGTTGGGACAGCGCATGCAACCACAGAAGATTGCCAGGGCAGCGATCAGGGCCAGATGCATGTGTGGTTCATTCCGTTGTACTAAAAAATGCTGTCGCTCGTCCTATTCCTGTCACTGCCACGCAATCCGGTTGTACGCGTTCGAGCCTCGATTCTCAAGCCCTCGGCCACAATACCATAGCGCCGCGTACCCTCCTTACATAAGCCACATCGAAGATAAGGCTACCATATTCGACAGCAGCATGTTAAGGCAAACTTGACTGCTTCATCTCCTGCGTGGTGTGGCCATGACTGGCAGGTCCTTGACGAAGATCATGGTCGCCACTGTCGTCTGTAATTCGGCGTTCGGGTCGGCAAGCTCGATCTGCGCACGAGGGTTTTAGCAAGATCCACTAACATTCAAGGCGCGACACTTACATCGAACTCGTTCAAAATGGCCGGCAGCAGCTTCAGCATCTCTGTCCACGCCATATGAAGGCCAAGGCAGTTGCGCTTGCCCTGCGAAAATGCGAAATTTGACCTCTCCATCGCCGCATGTTGTTGAGGTGTACCACTGAGCCAACGATCAGGGACGTACTGGTCAGCGTTCTCGCCATAGAGCGTAGTGTCTCTGCCGAGTACAGCAGTGTTGCTCGCTAGGTCGGTCAGCATATCCCCATCTCAGCCAAGGACCGGGCCAAACATACCAACTATAGTGCCGCCTGGGATCCAGGTTCCAGCAATCGTCGCACCCTCTGGTGGTACCACCCTCTCGAACGGATCGTTGAGCAAGTTGTGCAACCTTGTAGATTCCTTTATGCATGCTTCGATAAAGGGAACCTTTCTGACTTCCGCCTCCATAGGTGGTGATGAAAAGCCTGCATTTCGAATTTCCTCTTTCAGCCTGCGGTAGACATCGGGATGCTTCAACAGATCCCAAAAAGTATTGGCGAGAGTGTGAGCCGTGGTTTCAGAGCCGGCATGAATGGTGGACATTGTCATGCCCATGATGATTGTTGTCGAAAATGTCTGCGGATCTTTTTCCCTTGCCTGGAAGTAGCGATCTAGGAGATCCTGATGTATTCCGACGCCGCCTTTCTCAAGACGTTCTTCAAAACGCTTCTTGGCCAGCTCGCCGAGCTTTGAAGGATTGGACGAGGAGGGCGTGAAGCGATTCTTGAATAGCAAACCTTCGATCTTAGGAATAGCGAACCACTTGTGCCAGTAGACGAATCTATCGCGGCCCGCTTGAAGCACATTGTCCATGTCGGACTGGTTGGACATGAGATTGAGTGTATCGGAAAAAGCCAGTCGGCAGATCGTATCAAAGGTAAAGAAGCTAAGGATGGGCATTAGGTCGAGGTATGGCCCCTTGACGTGGAGTACATCGAGGAAGGCTTCGATCGTCAGATCGACGTGGTGCTCATAGTCGTGCATCGACTTGGCACTGAAAGCCGTTGTAACCTGTCTCTTGATTGCGGATAAGAGCTTCTCGTCCCTGATTGTAGCTATGGATCGAGTGAGCTTCCCATTCACCTTCAGTACCGGCACATCATAGCTTGGAGCCTGAGAAATCAGTCGACGTAAGCCACGTAGGGAAGGGCACTTACCTTCTCGAAGACTTTGGTGGTTCCATAGATGACAGGCACTTGAGCAGGATCGCTAAACAGAACCCTCTGAGGACCGTACCGCACAACAGGGCCATACTGCTTGTGAAGGTCGATGTAGAAGTTAACTGGGTTTAGAGATGGGTTCTGATACTTCTGAAATAGCCAGAGATCGGTCCACGCCGCAACTCGAGGGCCCGGAATATGGCTGAGGGCCAAGTATCTTCGGGTGAGAAGTGCACCAGCATAGAGCAAAGAGAAGCCTACTGCCGCCACAAGCGCGAGAGCCAGAGCGTGCTCCTGGTATATCATGATGACTCGCAATTAGACTTAGTGATCTTTCAACGGGAAAATGCTGGATGACATAGCGGAGGGCTGAAACTCAGGGGGGACGTGTCATTCTTGTATCGTGTGAGTACAAAGTCCTCACGACAACATGTTCCTAGTAAGCATCAGCAAGCTCCACAACTCACATCAATGGATGGTAGCGGCGGGCAAGACCTGTGGATACCATCAGCAGAATCTTGAATCCTCAATCCCAGCCCGATGACTTTCAAGAATGATCAGTGCCTCGCTATTCGTTCGCGCACCGACAGAGCCGCGTACTCCAATAGCTAACACTGAAAGTCAGGCGTGCAGCGCGAAAGATATACCGAGGATACCCTGTCAGAAGCAACCGTTGTTCGGGCCTCAAAGCCTGCATTGATACTGTGGTATCACGACGGATTGAGACACCTGGGTGTAATCGCTTGATCAAAACGATGCATCAACTCCGACTGATGATCGGGTTGCCTCTGTCACGTACGGATATTGGACTACAGTGCGACTGGCGCAGCTGGTGCAGCTGGCACACCGGATAAAGTGCTCTTTTGGCAATAAAGTCTCGCCGTATTATTCTGCCGAGGCTCGGATCAATCAGCGATGCGGGCGTGACAGAGGTGGTATGCACTCCAACAACAGTCTTCTTGCCACCATCTGCGACACTGTACCATATCCCAGAACGAGGTTGATATACGCTGATTCCGAGTACGACTGCCTACTGTAAACAACAATATGTCGTTCCTCGGTGGACCAGAGTGCTCGACGGCGGGTAACCCTCTGACGCAGTTTACAAAGCATGTTCAAAATGACAATACCCTGCAAAGAGATCGCCTAGTAGGGCGAGGGCCGGGCGGAATGGAAGACAGCATGCGTTCCAGAGTCGCTCCAAATGGGTCCGATCAAGTCAGCTTTGCAAATCTCCGCCAGCCGACAGAAGCTAACTTGTGCAGATGATGAACGACTTCATGCAGCAGCCTGGCCAAGCGCCACAGCCCTTTGCTATGGATCAGCTACGGCAAGACCTCCCACACGCCCACTCCTTGACCCGAAGAACGCCCTCTCCCGGCTGGTCGAATGAATTCGATCCGGGCCAACAGGCTCGGATGGAAGCCGCTTTTGCCAATTCTCAGATGGGCCCCCAGCGCCACAACAATTTCAGTACTGCCGAGTTTGCGCGATTCCAGCATTCAGGCTCATCCAGTGCACAGCAGAGCTCGACTCCTGTGCAGCAAGCCCCATCATATGCTCCCAGCTACCAGAGCCCAATGAGCATGGGGATGATGGGTGGTGGAATGGGTATGATGGGCATGGGGTATAACAGCATGCCTATGCATCAACAGCCTGATATGACAACCGGCAAGGGTAAGGAGAAGCTCGTCGAGCTAGACGACAAGAACTGGGAAGAGCAGTTTGCAGAGCTCGACCAAGACAACCTCTCTGAACAAGCTAATCAGGCCATGGAACGTGAACTGGAAGAGGTCGACAGGTCAGTGCAATCCGAGACAGATCATTTTGGCGATTTTGAAAATGTTTGGCGAGGAATACAAGCTGAACATGCCTCCAGACAAATGACCGAAGACGTTGATTTCGATACCACTTTCTCCAACGAAGACCTCGCTGCGTGGGAGAACTTTGATTCATCACTAGGCATGGGCAGTCACAGTCCATGGGCGAGAGAACCAATGCTCGGGGAATACATGTTTGAAGCCAACAATCCTTTCCTCGAGCAAGCAAACCCGTCCAGGTCTGCCTTCGACCAAGGAGTGGAGATTCTGCAATCTCACGGCAACCTGTCTTTGGCTTCTTTGGCTTTCGAAGCTGCTGTGCAGCAGGACCCGAACCATGTGGAAGCATGGACTTATCTTGGCTCAGCTCAGGCGCAGAATGAGAAGGAATCACCGGCTATCCGGGCCCTAGAAAAAGCTATTCAGCTGGATCCCAACAATCTAGATGCATTGATGGGGCTGGCTGTGTCATACACGAATGAGGGGTACGAAACGACAGCATACAGAACGCTTGAGCGGTGGTTGAGTGTCAAATATCCTCAAGTTCATGCGCCCGATCAAGTCTCTGAAGCATCCGATGTCGGCTTCACGGAACAAACCATATTACACGAAAAGGTTACGAACCTCTTCATAAAAGCCGCCCAGCTCTCACCATCCGGTACTCAGATGGATCCGGATGTTCAAGTGGGCCTTGGTGTCCTATTCTACGGCGATGACGATTTTGACAAGGCTGTGGATTGCTTCAACGCTGCTCTCGCATCACACGAGACGGGCATCACTAACCGAGAAAGCCAGGTGCATTTACTGTGGAATCGATTGGGCGCAACCCTTGCAAACTCTGGAAAGTCAGAAGACGCAATTGCGGCGTACTGCAAGGCGCTTGAACATAACCCAAATTTTGTACGGGCGCGGTACAACTTGGGAGTTTCCTGCATCAACATAGGATGCTATCCGGAGGCTGCTGGTCATCTGCTGGGAGCTTTGAACCTACACCGAGTGGTGACAGACGAAGGCTTGGATAAGGCGCGAGAGATTTTGAAAGATGGTAACGGCAACGATGTTCCGGACGCAGAACTGGCACGCATGATACAACAAAACGAGAGTACGAATTTATACGACACTTTGCGACGAGCTCTGAGCGGCATGGGACGGCGAGATTTGATGGAACGGGTTGGCAATGGAATGAACCTGGACCAATTTAGAGGCGAGTTTGATTTCTAGGCTCTAGAACAGAACATAGATGGGTTCTATGCACAAAATCCCGACACTATCCGATGAGTGACGACTAAGGTGCGGATCGAAGACCACCACTGAATGTCGTTCAAGTCTTGAAGTGATCGAGAAATCGCTGGAGGATCAAACCTCTCCAGTAAGCCTCTCCTGGTGGCCAATGCATCGAAGCGACGTGTCACTGCCCAGAAAGACTGCTGACAGCCCTTCCTCCGGAGATGTGTCTTACGCAATAAGGAGTGGCTAGCCTGTCGTCAAGTCGCGTGGATCAATCTGACGGCTTCGAGCATACCTGGAGGCAGCAGCAGTATAGTGCCTACTTCCCCAGATCCCCCGCAACACGTTGACCGATACAGACTGCTCAAAATGAATACATCGGTCTTAGATGGCGTCCATGCGATTCAGCACCATTTATAGAGTCTTGGATGTCTAGGCAAGATCCACCTAGGCAGGCTTAGGATGGCACGGAACGGCCAAGCCTGCGGCACGGACAACCACTACGGATATGCGAAACAACAGATCGGCCCTTGCAATGTAGGCTTCCCTCCCAGCAGCAGCGAACGAATGGGCAGTGTCAGCACTAGCTTGTCGACACCAATGAATCTGGCAAGTGGTCTACAGAAGGAGCTGAAATAGAATGGGGGGGCATCGTAGAGAGGACTGAGTACATGCATTATTTTTACATTAGGTCTTGCTACATGGGGCACTTTGCCATGGGATTGTACCACGACTAGTGCACTAGTGTCCCCGGAAGTGTGGGTTTACATCATTACATGACAGAAGAGCGCGTATGCTTAACGTTCCTAGTAGCCATTTCAGGAGCAAGTAAGGCCTTCCACGCTATCCGTCTCGCACCATCTCGGCGGTCTAGTGCACATTTTCGAAGCCTAACGTGATACCCGCCGCACAATCGACAAGTACCAGAGAAAACAAGTTAAGGCAAACCCTGCCAATGCATAACGTGAGGCAAAGCCAGCTCCTTCGCACGGAAAGTGGTGTCCAATCCTTTGCTATAAAGTCCGAGAGTAGCCTCCATCGTTGAGTACTGCTCTCTCGGCCATCTGAGTACGATATTCCTGTCCTCACCATGGCTCCGCTAGTGTGGTTCATCACGGGCTGTTCCAGCGGCATCGGCGAGGCTCTGGCGCGGGCTGTGCTGGCTCAGGGAGACCAAGTCGTCGCCACGGCACGCGCCCCTATTGAACGGCTCGACAGCCTGAAGCAGGCCGGCGCAACGGTCATCGAGCTGGACGTGACGGCGAGCGTGGAAGCTATGAAGGCAGTCACGGACAAGGCTATCGCAGCCTACGGCCATATCGACGTCGTCGTGCCGAATGCTGGACACTCCGAGGCTACGATGCTGGAAGAAGTAACGCAAGTATTGCGGCCGATGTTAACAGTTTGTGGAAGCTAACTCCGGACAGACCAGACATATGGCAGAGACAGTTCGCAGTGACTTTCTTTGGTGTTGTCAACGTTATTCAATGCCTGCTGCCGCATTTTCGAGCGCGAAGATCCGGAGTCATCGCTTACACCAACTCTGTCTTCGGACACGCAATGTCCTTAGGGGCTGGTCCCTATACCGTCTCGAAACATGCCATCGCAGGTATGATCAATGCCGTAAGAGGTAGCGTTTGTGGCTAACCGAACCAGGATATGCCAAAAGTCTAGCGATAGAGGTTGGAGGATTCGGCATCAAGTCAATCCTTTTCGACATTGGCTTCATTAGAAATCGTTTTCTCGAACACATCAATCCGAACCCGGTGGAAATTGAGGAGTACAAACCTATTATGGAGCAGGCTTTCAAGGGCGTTGAGCTGATGAAGGGGAACCAGCCTGGGGATGTGGACAAGTGTGCCGGCGCCATGATCACGGTTGTCAAATCCGCATCGCAGCCACTTGCGATGGTGCCTCTTGGAACCGACGCAACCTTGACGATCCGAAAATATGCATCGGTGCTTACCAACTCATGCGATGAGTGGGAGCAAGCCAGCGAGTCTGTTGACGTAGATGGGCCGAAGCAGGGATTATGGCAGTCAGTAGAACAATACTGGCCTCTATGACTGAATAAGCAACGCAGTGACTTTGAAACCCTGACCTGCTAGCGATGATGTTGCGTGGTCTATCAAGCCTTGATGCCGCACAAGTGTTTGCTTGTGGCGTCAGCTGCAATACAGGAGTCTGGGTAATTCGCCTTGTGCCGAGATTTCAAGCCCGGTACCTATGTTAAGCCAAGTATGAAGGCAGTTCGCAGCTTTCAATTGTCTCACTCCTGGCAGTGTATTGCCCGAAGAAGAGTCAGGGATAGCAGTATACGCAAACAGAACTGTACAGAGGCAAAACTACCGTTGACTGCACAAGCTGTCTTTCTCTGTATAAGGATAGCAAAGGAATGTGAAGGTGAGTGAGAAGTTGAGAGGGGCTGAGCGGGCCAGTCGGGTTAAATCCGGCGCGGCCCTAGGGCGATACCGCCAAGACCGTCGTCATCAGAGCTTCCTGCAACTGCAGCGCCAGCCGCGAGTTGAGCAGGCCACAAGTATTGTCTGCAATCAACTCAACAATAGTTCCCTTCATGCAGTATCTTGTATAGCCCTTTCAGCCGTATCATCTTCAAAGCCTGCTGTTTCCGAATGCGCGTGTAAGGCTACGTCAACCCTGCCCTGCTCGATCCTTGCTCAGCCGAAATGGATGACACCGGCGGCTTCGACTCTGTGCAGTGGGAGAGGGACCGCAACGGGCAATCTATCGAAGAGTCGACTTCGGCATCAGGATTTCCCGCGCAAAGCTCGTTGCCTGACCGATCCATCGGTCATAACCGGAGTGGGAGTACCTCAAGCGAACAGCAAGCGGGCGAGAATGCGGACGCCGTTGATCTCGCAGGCATAGGTCCAGAAGGTGTACTGGAGTGCACCGTCGACACGCCGATAAAAGAGAACGATGGTACGAAAGACGCATACGTCTCGTATCTCATCTCAACACATGTGCGACCTATCAGCCTCAAGCTTGAACTCAGCTAATGCGCTAGGCAGACCGATTTCAAGACCTTTCAGAGAACAGACTTCTCTGTACGCAGGCGCTTCACAGACTTCGTATACCTGCGAAACTCGTTACACCGGGATTTCCCAGCTTGTGCAGTCCCTCCACTCCCCGAAAAGAACAATATGGCGTACGTCAGGGGAGATCGGTTTAGTGCCGACTTCATGCAAAGAAGAGCCTGGTCATTGCATCGCTTCGTCAAGCGATGTACTCAACACCCCGTACTGAGAAGAGCGCCGATATTCCTGCTGTTCCTGGAGACCTCGGATTGGAATGCACAGATGCGACTCCGGCCTGGCCGCGCCAACACCGGCCAAAGCGAAACGTCACCCAATGCTGCCCCAGCTGGGTTCTTAGACAGTGTCGCAGATACCATGCTTAACGCCTTTTCGAAAGTACACAAGCCCGACAAACGCTTCACCGAGGTCACTGAGCGCGCAAACAAGCTAGACGAAGATCTAGGTAACGTCGAAAAGATTGTAGCACGAGTCACAAGGCGGCAAGGCGACCTCGAATCAGACTACGCCGACCTTGCCGTGAACATGCGCAAACTGACGCCCCTGGAGCCGGCCATTGAAGCGCCAGTACAGACGTTCGCAGCTAGCATTGAGGAGACCTCGAGGGGATGGAAGACGCTGAAGGACCATACCGATCAGAACTACCTGACCAGTCTGAAGGACATGGAGTCATACATTGGCTCCGTGAAATCAATGCTGAAAACTCGAGAACAGAAGCAACTCGACTTCGAGGGCTTGACCGACTACCTGCAGAAAGCCACCTCCGAGCGTGATTTACTGGCATCAAACAACCCCTATGCTCATGGTTCCCCGCTCAACCCTGCGAACTTCATCCGAACCAAGGTTGAGGATATTCGAGGCGTCGACCACGAGGCCTCCCGACGGGATCGAGCACGCAAGCTGGAGCTGCGCATTGAGGAGCTCAACCGTGAGGTCGACAGCTCCAAGAGCACAAGTGAGATGTTCGACGAGCAGGTCGTGCGAGAGGTGGCGGATTTTGAACGAATCAAAGGCCTTGAGTTCCGCGATAGCCTCGGTGCGCTGGCTGAGCAGCACATCGACTTCTACCAAGGCGTGATAGAGACTTGGGAGAGGTTCTTACGCGATATGGACGCTGATACCTCGGTGATCAAGGACAAAGGGAGAGCGCCGACTTGAGGACAGGACTGGCGGATGCAGTAATGGAAGCAGATAAGAGATACCCGGAAACCTCACCATGGTTCCGTGTTGGCGATAGTCGCTGTTTACGAGCGATTTATGATACCAGGAAGCGAGTGCGTACCTTAAAAGGCATAGCCTTGACTTGTGTGTGTTTGGCTGCGTTGGCGCATTGTTGGGTGTGTAGGCGTGCACGCTCGAGTGCTGTCACTGGTACTGGCAGCCAGGGTTCACCGCAGAGCAGATAGACAGCCTCAAACATCCCAGCCACTAGCTCAGAGCACTCTTCCTGGGAGCTTCTTACGGAGTTTCAAATCTGCAGCAGTACGACATCACTATCGACACAATAGCGGCATCACTTGCAATCTTCGCACTCCCGCGCCTTTGCACGACCCTCGGCGTTACCCTCGGCGTCCATATTCCCACCCTCTGCCTCAGTCTTGCCGTCCCCTCTCCGTCCATCATCTACTGCGACATTTCCCTCTGTGCCCTTCAAGGCCGCCGTACTCGCATCTGCACCTCCGTCTTCCCCTTTCCCTTTTCGTAAAGCCCGATCGGTGTGGCCCAAACCCCTCCCCGGCTCCACCAAGTCTCTTACCCGACCCTTCAGGTCCTTCGTTTCGGGAAACCCGCCATCGACCTTGCGATCCCATACCACCGTTTGCTGAACCTGGACTTCGCCTGGCGACTTGGCATCCGCGCCCTGCTTGCTGTCCTCACCAACCTCGTCGTTGATGCCGCCAGGGGCTTCTCTGGCTCTGTTGGGATTTGAAGGCAAGTGGTACAGGGTTATGACAAAGGTTCCGCCCGTGGAAGGTAGTAGTGCGACCTCGCCCAGCGAGGTGCCGAAGGTCTGCAACAGTTCTTGTGCGTAGTAGGCGGCACGTAGATTCCACTTACATTGCGTGCAAAATGCAATGGTTATGCGGGGGAGGAGAACATGGCCGGTGGCGGATGCTGCCTGGGCGGATGGGGCTTGGGTCTTGGTGGCCATGGGGATTCCCGTGAGATGATGGATCGACGTTTGTAGTAGATTGATGTGTCCGGGTTGGTATTTGGTGAGTTTCCAGGCCGATAAAATGATGGACTTTGGAGATGGACTCAAGATCCGGAGCGTCTTTTGAAGTGATGAATGACGGTGTCATTCGCCATGTATCGCAGAGGTGCCGGCGGATATGAAGACCTTCAGAACCCGAAAGCGTCTTGCTCAGCGATCGGACCGCGTATCATATGAACTCACCGTTCGAGTCGGTCTTCTCTACACCAATGCTAACTGCCCCGTATCTGAGTTACCACACAGTGGTTGCAAGCAACGGTCACGAGGTCTGAGAAGCGAGTCAGTCGCTTGCGCTGCATAGCTTACCCAGTAGTCGTGATCGGTATAATGTGAGAGGCCCATCGGACACCATCTCAACAGAGGATGGCTATAGACTTTGCACATTAATTGCTGGAGCCCCTCACAAAAACATCTACTAGTTGGGGAAACGCTGGTTGAACGCGGGTGAAGTAAAGGACCGACGCGTCAGACGCGTGCCGGCTTGGCATACGTCTGCCCTCGACGACTGCTTTTCTTCACCTGATCTGACACCTGGATCAATTTATACGCTCAGGCCCCGACTAGGCAGACGGACTTGGTATTCGCGCAGTCTGTTAACGCCAACCCTCAACAGGATCATATGCTCTGCTTGTCGGAGGGAAGAAAAAGAAGCTCATGCAAACTAGTCCGTCGATTCCGTACGACGCGAGAGTTCCTTCCAGGCGCGACGCTAGCAGTTCTCGGACGTACCTAACTAGGGCAAACTACAGAGGGCCGCGCCTTCTCAAAGTCATAAATGGCACAAGCAGCCCTCAAGCATCAGGACCCCGGGGGATCAAGAGGGATGTGCCCGATGCCACAGCGAAGATGAACGATAATGAGGTTTTCGCGATGCCGCGAGACAGCAGCGATGAAGAGAATCACATTAATGCCTCGAAGAACGCCAAGGCTGCTCCCGAGCCAGCCACAGTCTCATCGAAGCCGCCCAGACGCAAGAAGGAGCCCCCAAAGCCCACTCGTACATCCAAAAGACCCAAGTTGCAGGACCAGCCAGATCTACTACACACGAAGCCTGAGGAGGAGAAGAGTGCAAGCAACGAGGCTGGGTTGACTTCACAGTCACTTGAGTGGGACTTGTTCGGCTCACAAGGTGCGTCACAGAAGCGGTCACAGAACAAGTTTAAGAGAAAGTATGAGAGGCCGCCGCCTGCTGGCTTCACAAGCGAGCTCGGTGGGTTTAGAGCACCACATGTGATGCCCGAGAAGACGACCGGTCTTGAGAAACCGGATGCGCCCAAGAAGTCTATACCAGAACTACCCACCGAGCAGACGGTGAACAGTCGCCGCACATTCAAGATATTTGAGATGCCCAGTGTGGTACCGGTCTCTAGCGGAGTCAGTCAGGACACATCGCCGCCCGACGATGCGGGTCTTTCCAGCCCTTCACAACGACCTCCTCGGTCTGACTCTTCTCCGCCCTCAACACCGGTCTCAACGATGAGAGATCGAGGGGCTTCGGACTGCGAAGACGGTTCACCGCAGAAGTCCAATATTTGCCCTGTATGTCAGAAGGAAGTGGTGCGTTCACGCCTGGTGAATCCCGGCATGGACATTCGGGAAGTGCATACCTTCCCGTTCCGAAAGCAGCGAGCGTTCTGTCTTGAACATAGTCGCGCAGACGCTGAGGTATTTTCCACAGAAAATGGTTACCCAGAGATCGATTGGAAGCTTTTGAGGACCCAACGCATCCCCGCGCTCAAGGACTTCTTGAAGGAGATCATCACTCGAAGACGGAAGAGTCACTACTTTGAAGAGCTGGACGCTCAGATTGCCGACAAACGTAATCGAAAGCAGATTCGCGAGTACCTTGCCAAGCAAAGGAATAGCACTGAGCTGGTTCCGACTGGTTACTATGGCGCCAAAGGTGCCCAAATCATCGCCGAGGTCATTACACGAGAACTGTCCAGGTATATCAGTAGCAGAGCTACTAATGAGGCGATTATGGCTGTTGGCGTAGGACCATTCGTCTCCACTGTGCTGGTCCCGGAGCTCACTACCAAGTTGATTATGGAGGACATGAATGTACATGACGAGGCGAAGGCACGGGCTATCATGCAAGAAAGCGCCCATGCCGGCATGTTCCTGCACCCAGAGGACGAGAAAGTCGAGCGAAGAGATGAGGACTGACCATACTTGTAACACCAAATGTATCGTCCATGACAGCAAGCATATCGTATCACCAAGCATGTCGGAATTGTTAGAAACCCAAGCCAGGGTCGATCGCGCTACTAACGGACCTCTTTACACTTCATGCCGTCCGAGTCAAGTGTTTTCCAAATCCGGTATTGCCCAGGGTCTTCTTTCGGAACGTGGGCGATCTTAGTCATTCTGATCCTGCTCAACACACCCTGCTGACAAGCAGACCCCACCATCCCGTTATCCCCATCAGTCGACTGCTGCGGCCCATGGACTGTCATGCGGAAATTAAACAAGCTCTCTAAAGGCCTTTTCCTTAACTATGAGGGCTTTGCGACCACGCAGGAGGCCTCGCAGGTGAATCTGTCAGCGCTGCTGTACTCTTCCAGCCGCTTATTCATCGGCTACCTGCCAATCGTTACCTATAATTCCAGGCATGTCCCTCGAAAGGTACCGTACCGCCTTCTCGACATATTCTATCCCTATCCGTCAGTCGCAGAGTACTCCCGCTTGCCCCCGCAAGCATCCCGACAGAATGGGCGACGAGATGCGGCCGGCAGTGAACGCCTTCGCTGGACGGGTCGGCGGCAACCAGGAATTCATCCTAGATCGCAATGACCCTGACAACCGGTCGCTTCTTGAGCAGAACCCCGATGCCGCGCCCATGATCCCGCTGCGGCAGTTGTTCGACCTCCGTGGCCTGTGGAACGTGTTGCTCTGGAAGCAAGCCTTCGCAGAGGGCATGGGCACCCTGATCCTCGTCTATGCTACCGGCTACATGGCCACCTCGCCCAACATTCACACTCCTCCGCCGTCTCCTACATCCGGGCCCTTCAGCACCACCTCCTTCCTCGGCGCACTGATCGGCGGCATCACCAGCACCATCTTCCTCACCATCGCAATCCTGACGTTCGGCCCCATCACCGGAGGTCACCTCAACCCGTTCATCACCATCGCCACCTTCGTCATCCGGCTGACCTCGCTCCCTCGCGCGATTCTGTACATCGGCTTCCAGCTCGTCGGCGCCTCCCTCGCTGGCCTCCTGATACGCGCGTCCTGGGGCTCCCGCGACTTCAAGGTCGGCGGTTGCTTCTTGTTCGAGGCGCAGGGCGCCACCGTCGGCTCCGCCTTCGTGACCGAATTCGTCGGCTCTTTGTCCCTCATCATCCTCGTGTTCGGCGTCGCTCTCGATCCGCGCAACAAAGCTGTGCTGGGACCCGTGCTGGGCCCTTTTCTGGTCGGCAGTACCCTCGGCGTATTGAGCTTTGGTCTGAGCTTCGGGAAAGAGGGGTATGGAGGGCCAAGCATGAATCCTGCTAGGTGCTTTGGGGCGTATGTGGGCAGTCGCTTTCCGGGTTGGCACTGGGTGCATTGGGTGGGGCCTATCGCAGCTGCTGTGGCGCATGCGATCATGTATGCGGCGGTACCGCCTTGGGAGTTGCGGGGCCAAATAGAAGAGGTGGAGACGAGAGAGGGGAAGGTTGGCATGACGCCGACGGTAGGGAGCAGCACGCTGGGAGATGGGCATACGCACGCAGTTGTGCCAAGGCCGAAAGGTATTCAGGACGGAGGAAGCGACGCCGGCAGGGGCGAGGAGGTCTGACGGCGCTTGCTGTGGTGCTTTTGTCTGCAGGGACATGGTTAAAGAAAAGCATCGCCTTGGAGTTTACTGGGTGTTCAGTGGGAAGTGGTTGAAGACATCTCCAGGGGCGTGAGGGAGGTCGCAGCACACGAGCTCAGGCTTTAACATTTGCATTTTCTCAAAATCATCTTGTAGATCGAGAATCGTAGCGTACGGGAAGTAGTAGGCAGCACCAGTGGCAGGACTCTGCTTGGGAGGGATACCGGTTTTGGGAGCTGCTGGCGCGGTCAAACACTATAGTCTTGCGGTTTCGTGCGACTCATATTGCAAAAGCCATCTCTCTAGGAGGTCTATCCAGAAGGGTACAGAGGTCTAGTGGCGCAGATCATACTGACTTGGTGCATAAAAGGGTGATATGGCATGTTTGCTAAGCCGTACTCTTGACAAAGGATGAATGACCATTGCTCAAAGGGAGTCTGCGGCGAAATATCGCATGGATTAAAGACAGGTAGAACGGCAGATGAGGCCATATCATCTCCCACCAGGGAGAAGTAAAGAGGCGAGTTCAGGCGATGCTGATGCCGCTCATTTGCAAAATCGGACTCTCGAAGAAAGGAGGAGGAGCTGCATCGCAACAAGAGAACGGTCGATTTGGCGTTGGTCACCGCTTCTCTGCCACTAAGGCAGTAGGCAGGTTATGCTGCAGCAGTGGAGCGACTGCAAGGCATACAGGAAGTGGTTATATAGCGCGATAGCCAAAAACACTACTGCTTAGGCACCGAGCTCGCGTAAAGCGAGATTACCGTTCGCTCCTTCAACACAAGTAGCGCAGCGTCGGTTACAGTTGCGTGGGTGACCACCGCGCCTCAACTACTCGGGAGCATATGCCTACTATCATAGAAAGATCCAGAAGCGCAGTTTGCCGGCACCGCAGCGAGTTCATCTCCTACACCGTCGAGCAACAACCTTGAGGACAGCGTAGTCCGAAAGAACCCTGGTCAGGTTTCACGCCCTAGGAACCTCTCTTCGGAGGGCTTCCTAGGAAAAGTTTTTGCTTTTTGTTCTGCTGTTGAATACTAGAGATTGTGGTGGGTAGGTGTGCGGTAAGGCAAATGGAAAAAGTCTTGGCAGTTTTGTATTCTGACTTGCTCCTGAGGCAGCCAGATATATTGATCTCACTTGAGCAATCGAAGATAGTAGTGGTTGCGATCAGTCTAGCAGCCCGTTTGCTGATACATCTTTGAACGTTGATGTTGAGCAGTTGCGTCCCTGGTTCAATTTGGCCTTGGTCTGGGGACCTTGCTACTGTTTGCGCACGAGAGTCAGGCAAACCTCTGATCAGCAAGAGGCTCTTGGCACTTTCGATATCTTACTGACCAGGAATACTAGCATAAAGATGGAGACTGACCGCCGTTTGCCGTCCCAAGGAAGATGAAAAAGGATGAGGTTGATATTAGAAGCAAACTTCAGGCCTTGGCTTCGCGGGTCCCACCCGGGATCAGGCCGATACTACTCCGCTACGGCCCCACTTGATGAACGGCGTACTACTTAGGTGCAATCGGCGTTTCTCCAACGAGTAGCAGTCATACAAGAACCGGCGGAGATCCAGCCCTGAATTGGTCAGCGTTATTTGCGCGGGGAAGCTTGCCACAACTACTGGACTACCGCTCGAAGTTGGTTCCCGCGTACAAGCCTTCCATCAGACAGTAGTGTATTGTGCAATGATCATGCTAGTCACTATCTTCCTGCTAGCTGCAGCCGTCGCTGCATCCTCTTGCCCTACTGGGACCCCAGCTCTGGACACTTACAGCGGAGGTTTCAACTATACTTACAGCTATCCAATACACTTCCATACACTGCACACTCAACATCAGACCCTTTGTCAGGCTTACATGGACGTGGCGCCCTCCAAGGACGTTGGCAGTGACGTCAAAACTATCCTCTTACTTCACGGCAAAAATTTCTGCTCTGAGACCTGGTCTGCCACTGCTTCGGTTCTCGCCAGCAACGGCTACCGCGTCATAGTTCCAGAGCAGATCGGCTTCTGCAAATCATCCAAGCCTTCGGCGTACCAATACACCTTTCAGCAACTTGCGCTGAATACTAAATCTATTCTCGATGCTCTCAATACCTCGTCGCTGACAGTCATGGGTCACAGCATGGGCGGAATGCTCGCGGCTCGTTTTGCACTGACCTACCCCTCATATGTGGAGCGGCTCGTTATGGTAGACCCCCTCGGACTGGAGGATTGGAAGGCCAAAGGCGTCCCTTACTTGTCAGTTGATGAGATTTATAAAACCGAGGCAGCCTCCAACTATACCTCCATTTCAAGCTACGAGAACGCGACGTACTACAACGGGCATTGGCGTCCCGAATATGACACATGGGTAGACATGCTGCTTCGGGTGTACGACGGTGCTGAGGGCGATAATTTCGCGTTCGATCAGGCGCTTGTCACTGATATGGTGATCACGCAGCCTATCATCTACGAATTCCCTCAGCTGGGCAAAGTTCCACATTCACTGCTCATGGTGGGCGATAAGGACACCACTGCCATTGGGAAGCAGTGGTCGCCGCCTGAAGTGCAGAAGATCCTGGGTCACTACGATGTGTTGGGCCCAGAAGCGGTCACGGCGATCGGGGGAAATTGCACGTACATCCATTACCCAGATCTGGGTCATGCTCCGCACATAAGCGATCCGGAACAGTTCTACGAAGATTTGCTAGGCTGGCTGCAAGCAGCAGCCTGATACGGAGGATTGCGATGACATGAAGGGGAATGGCAGGCGTGGACGGTGGCAGTGAGTGCGCAGCAGCTACACGGGCCCATCTACTGGCTTTTACCCGTTGTTGGTGAACATTACACCCCTCCAGTGGGTGTCTATATCCGCTCGAAGGCACCAGTGAATGAACAGTAAGATGTTGACGCGTTCCACTCGTGCATGAACCGGCGGAGCAGCCCGCCCGAAATGGGAAGGGTTCTCAGTGGTGCTGGGAGGCTGACACCAACGATCTGGTCTTGAAAGGGACTCTTCCGTCTCGCGGCAGTTGTCAATGTCGGACAAACCGAGACAGCATGGGCACAAGGTTCGCCAGGCGCGCCTGTCTGGTTAATGTGCGCGTCCCAATACGGATAGAAGACATGTAAGATTCCACAACTATATACAGCACGCGACAAATCGTATAGCCGGCTATGCGACTCTCGGGTAAAGTGAACCCTGCCAGCACTGGCGCACCTCGTTCCTTTGAATCAACTGCAATGATGAGGCTCGAGCGGAGTTGGGGGCCGAATGTGGTAGTCGTACGCACGCTCCCACAACTCCCCCTTGCATCTAATTATCCTTAGGGGGACTATCACTCGCGTCAACCTCTTGGCCACCATAGTTCCTGGCTCAGCCTTACTTGCTTGCGCCTCAGAGCTGTGGGTGATGGAATCTTTTAAAATTAGGGCTGGCTTCAACGGCCTATCAGGCTGGAGAATTTCAGTCCCCTTTCCACGAGGTGTGCATCCCCCAGGGGCCAGCCTTACGCCATTAACACGCGTTGACAGCTTTTTATAGCGATGTTACCCAGGGGCGCGGGTCAATAGTCGAGATGAAACATTAGTCTTGCAATGGGACTTGGCTAACGAGACCGGCTACATGGTTCTCGAAAGCGAACTAGACAAGGCATCCGAAAGTTCAGGACAGCTAGTACGAGGCGTCTTACGGTGGCGTCTTGGCCTGTCTCATATTTGCTGTCGGGCTGACAGGATGAAGTCGTTACTTGAGAAGTATTTAAGACTTGCCAGAGCATCACGATCCCCTTCACACGAGCAGCGGCTTTCTGGAATCCTCCACACAATGGATACCATTACCTTGACAGTTCCTCCCAACTCAACAATTTTTCCGAATGAAGATCCTCGTCTCATCTGTCGCGAAAGTCGCTGGACAGACATTGCAGAGTTCTACCTAGCGAACTACTTGGCCCATGTGGCGACGGTCAGAACCGTGCCTGGAGAGCTCGACCCCTCCATCGCCTGGACTCTGCTTTGCTGCCTCTTGTTTCCAATCAATGGGGTCTTCAGGGGACTCAAAGCGATGTGGAGCTTCTCGTCCATCTATATCTACTGGAAGCATCGACCTTTGGATGCAGCTGTGAGGAGCGGTGCATTGTGCATGGTTGTACGCGACGTAGACTGGAAGCCTGCCGCAGCTGCAACTGGTGGGACTCGGGTGTCGCGCGTGCTGATGGGTCCACAAAATGACCCGAAGACGGAAAACTCGGGAGCGACGGACTCTAGCAATGCCAGTAGAGATTCTGGCTCTGAGCCGTGAGTATCTCGAGACAAATAACAGCAAGGGAGGGTACTGACCTCAACGCAGTCATGATTCTACGCCCAGGCCATCGGCTCGTAAATTCGACCTCACATTCTACTGTCCCCAAGAGGCTTCTGGAATACAAGGAGTCATGCTGGAGCTCACCCGCAAGATTCACGGCAGTTATTCCTTACCTGAAGGGTATACTTTTGCAACGGTGCCAGTCGATGCTGAAGTCGATTATCATTACATTCATACCCGAGAGACTCTCGACACGAGCGATTCAGAGCAAACTGTAAGTTGCTGCAAGGGCGAAAAGGTGGAGCATGCGGAAGACATAACCCACTCAAGCAGCCTCCCTAAGGCGATTGCTAGCATCATTCAACTCTGCATCGCAGTCACCTCCTTATACCGGACAGAAGGCAGCCAGATCGTCAGGTACGGCTATGCAGCTTTTGGATTGACTGTTGCACCTTACGCAGTTATGTCGTTTATCAATCTCTTAAGCACTATCATGGCGGTCGAATATCCAAAACTCTACATGGTCCACAGCGCAATCATGGAAGAAGCAATTCAACGTGGTGGTAGCTTTGGGGCGGTAGTAGGATCAATCACCACCGACCAGACACAAATCACCGAATCGACACTGGATGCTGTCGTCGAGCTCGAAATAAATGAGACTGAACAAGACAAGCCTGTGAGGCGCGTCCTTTTGCGGGACACTACGCCGTCGCATACGGCTTGTGGGGACCACAAGGCACAACGGGTGGGCAAGCCAACAAGTCGACTTGACATGGGCACCGATGATGGACGAGAACAGAGTGGGAAGACAGGAGGTATGATTGTTCAGTCTATCAGTCGAGGGCGCTGACTATAAGCCAGAGCAAGGCCGTTACCTGCCAAAATCTGGAATTCTGGCGATCCCGATCTGCTTGCCTATCAAAAGGGTGAAGAATCCGGTTAACGCTATAGTTCTAGGGATTTTGACGAGTTTCATCAACTTTCGATCCGCTCTGATTGTCGACAACCCCGAGCACTGGTGTCTATACAATACAGCCACGAAGAAGAGAAAACGTTGGACTGAACTCAAAACCGCAGTCACAAACATGGTTACGAGTGCCCTCTTCGCGGACATTGTATGGCACGTCGCGACCATATCCATTCCGGCCGGAGCTAGCTTGGGCATCGTTGGCGGGCTCTCCCGCTGGAGCAAGGGTACCGACAGCACTCTGGCACAACGGACCTGGACCATGATGTGGCTCCTTCTCGGCTTCACGTTAAACCTTCCGCAAATTTGGGCACAATACAAAAGCGAGCAACAGGCCTGCTTCGCAACGCCTCACAATTTGAGCTTCACCCACCTGGCCGAGAAGGCCCACATGACGGGGCCTGAAAGAATCATCAAGATGTTAAAGCGTCTCGAGGACCATGGCCACAAGATCTCGCGAAACAACGCCATTGGTAGGTGGATTGCGGCACAAATAGTAAACCCGGATCCTGTCAAGCCCAACGCGGACGAGGAAAGCCTGAGACCGAGGGGTTCGAAACAGAAATTGGAGCGATTGCCGAACTTCGTGGGCCGGGTGCTAGAGGTCGGGACGCTGCTTCTGTGGGCTGCACCCGCTATCGGGGGGTTTGTGGTCGTGGGACAAATGTTCAATGCCTATGGGACGTGCTTCAGAGTCTTTTGAGGAGTCACGAGGGCCAGGGAACAGATGCAAGTGCCACAGGGGTTGCGGTCCTCAAGTTTTAATACGAGATCAGCTAGACCCAGCAGACGGCGGATGCCTTCGGCAGTTGGTTCGCTATTGCTAATCGCATGGTAAGACGGATAGAATCGTAAATAGATCAATGTCATGACAACAGGCTATAATTTCATGATGTAGCGCCGAAGCACCACAACCTTCCAAAGTACGCTGAAACCAGCGGGCAGCATGACCTGCGCCATGTAGACGCTGCAGACAGTCCCTTGAGACCTTCAGTCAGGCCTGATCATTTCTTGCGACCGCGTAGTCCGGGGCACTCGCACCCTTTTTGTCTTTCGCTACAATATCGGCACCACTGTCCAGTGAGAGTTGCACAGAGTCTGCGTATTCCCGTTGCGTTCTATATATTAGCGCAGTCATGCCATAATTGTTGCTGACTCCAACGTCGGCATCAATGAAGCATTGGCACAGCAGGGTCATGTTGCGTATGATACTCAGAGAGGCTCAACGAAGCCGTAGGTGCGATCGGATTGATGAAAAAGCCTGCGGGGACTGAAGCCAAAGCTGACGGAGCAGCACGTCCGATGTACTTGGCGTTGCAGATGCCTCAAAGTCTACAAAAGCTTTCTCGATAACCACTGATTCGATAAACTGTCCTCGCATGGGGAAGACCAAAGTACCATCGGGCCAGAAAAGATCCCTGACAATCGTGAGCCTCATATACCGAAGGCATGCGACCACGCAACAGAGAGAAACAACGGGCGGAATTCGAATGAAAGCAAACGCCTCTTCAATAGCCATGCGAAAAGCTGCCTGGCGTCTCTAGAATCACATTCACGCTGCCTAGAGCAACAAGCATATACAAGCATAGTAAGACGTCCCCAAATCTGTACGCCCGCTCATTTTCTATCATAGCATATCCGAATGGCCAAGATGACCTCCCCGATCACGCCACTCCATTCACAGCCCCTGTCCGCTCCTCCCTCCGCTTTGCTAGCAGGTCTGCCACGTGCTGATGCATATCGTACCTATCGTCCAATCAGTCAGTCATCCTTACCGTACATCGCCGTGGCCATCTTCCCTCCATCAGGAAAGACGAGAGCATGTTGGGGAAAAGCAAAGCAAGGGGGTCCATAGAAAACTCACGCATTCATCTCCGTAATCGTCAACTTCTCCTTCTCGTCCTTGACCTTATACAGCGGATTGTCCGTATTGTCACTGAATCCAATGCGCTCGTGGATGTTTTCTCTTGCGCGCGCCGACGCGGCCTGCACGCGCGTGGCGCGATGGAGCCGCACCTTCTCGTACAGCTCGAGGGCCGCGCGCACGTCGCCGTCGAAGTTGAGCTTGCTGAAGACCAGGCCCAGCGCGGCCGAGTCTTCGATGGCCATGCAGGCGCCTTGGGATTGGTCGGGCATCATCTGCGAGGGCGTGGTGTTAGAAAAGGGGGACGGAAGAAGAGGGAGGAGAGGACTCACGGGATGCGCGGCATCGCCCATGATGCAGGCAACGCCCTTCTGCCAGTGTGTGTACGGCTCGTGGACCCACAGACGCCAGGGCCGGATCTCCTTGCCGATCTCGAGGTGTTTGAAGACCTGGCTGTCGAGGTCCGGGTAGGGGCTGAGAAGTTCCTCGGTGGTGCTCTCGGCGTCCCAGGCCTGGTTGGCATAGTCGCCCTTCTCGCGCGGGAAGAAGCAGTAGTAGCTCAGCAGGCTGCCGCCGTTGCAGGGGGAGAGCACAATCTTGTTGTACGTGTGGTGGCCGCCCCAGTACTCGATCGCGCTGTTCTGGCTGTAGTCGACCAGGCCGAGCTTGACGGCCGTTGCGGTGTCGACGTTGGCATGCAGGCAGGACGAGTCTGCCGGCCGCTTCTCTGGGTGCACGCCGATGATGCCGCGGACGGCGGAGCCGATGCCGTCGGCGCCAACGACGACGTCGTGGGTGGCTGTGACGCCGTTCTCGAAGGTGATGAGGCCCGTGTCGGTGTCGATGGCTTTGCATCTGTGGTTGAGGATGATTTTAACAGGGGGGCCCTCGCCTTGCTCTTGCTCGGCGCAATCCTTGAGCATCTTGTGCATGTATTGCCTGTGGAACATATTGTAGACGTGGCCCCATCGATCCTCATAGTCACTCAGGTCGTATACGCTGACTGGCTCGCCCGTCTTCCAATCTCTATTAATCAATTTCTGAAGAATGACAGGGTCGCCTTTCTCGACATCGACTCCCCACTCATGGAGCCATCTCGTGCCGTTGGCAGCGCATGATATTGAGGCACCAACTTCACCCACGAAGTCTGATCTCTCGTATATCGTCACCTGGTGGCCTGATCTTCTGAGGGCGATACTGGCTGCCAGGCCACCGATACCGCCGCCAATGATGGCAATGTTTAATGATCTCCACCCTGTCTGTGAAGGCATGTTTGTTTCAACGAGAGGACCGTAGACAGGTGATATATGTTGTCGCTATGGTCAATGGATGGCGATTGCTGAGGTCACGATAAACAGTATCAGAAGTCCTTACCGTATGTATATATCTACTGGCTAGCCACGGATACTGACTTCAACCCCTCATTGATAACATCTCACGATGATCGAACGGGCCGGTCGACTGATGGCGCGCCTAGATGGTTGGATGTTGGGCTCGGACAGAGACTGAAGGTGACTTAGCCGGGCTGCGGTATATTGCATATTCACACGGGTGAAGTCCAGGGCTGCCACCTAGGTGCACTTACCGGCAACCAGGTGACAGAGGTGGGTGTTCGGCCCGCACACGTACACCAAATAATGCGGCCTTCTTGGAGCCTACGCTTTTCGTTGCTTGACCGGCGATCTCCGTAAGCAGTCTACATGGGTGATGCACCGAGTCCCTGGTCGAAGATATCCGCCAAATCCTCTGCCTTCGATGCAAGTCGTCGGGGGTGTCGTGCCTGATCTGTGAGAGGAGGTGAGTGGCTGCAATCCAGAACGGTCTGGACATGCTTGCCTTGCAAGGCTGCAACGTAGGAGAACTAATGCAGAGACTTAAGAAGCATGTTATAGAGTGCGATTCCAGTTAGGAATGTCTAATCACGGTGCGCACCATGAGTTGAGTTCATCAAGAGCACTGATAGTATGATAGAAGTATTAGTTGAGCGCTATCTATGCGTCCCGGTCCTTAAAATCTCCAAGCTTGAACAAATTGGCCGCATTGTTCTTTCCAATCTTCTTCTTGTCGGTGTCATTCAGCTCCGTAGCATCAAACCAAGTGCAAGCATCGTGGAAGTTCTCAAAAGGATAGTCAATCGAGAACAAAATTCTGTCTGCACCAACCTCCGTCAGGCACAGATCCAGTGTCGGTGTGCTAAAGTGACCGCTCGTGGTAATCCAGATGTTCTGGGCAAAATACTCGCGGATAGTCTTCTTGCATGTTTTAGACAGGCCTAGCGGCTTCTTCACGTCCTCAAACCAGTGGTTGATACGCCACATGTCGAAGGGAATGTGCTCGCCGAGGTGGCCGATGATGATCTGTAGCTTGGGATGTCGGTCAAACACGCCGTTGGTGACCATTCCCAGAATATGTAAGCTGACACCTTGAGCGAATGACAGGGGAGGTCCGATTAGCCATGATCGCTTAGCCCACAGCTTTTCGTGTATAGTGCCAGTAGGATTTCGAGGATGGAGATAGAAGGGCACATCTAGTTCGGTCACCGTGGACCAGAAGACATCCCATTCCGGTCCGTCATAGAAGACCATGTCATCGCCGTCTGCACCCGCCCGTTGGGTGTCATTGACCAGCGCTCCCTTGAATCCAAGCTGCGTTACGCACCGTCGCAACTCCTCTGCCGCCTGCTTGGGATCGTGCATGGAGAGAGTTGCCAGGGCGCCCAACCGTGTCGGATGAGGCTTAATGGCCTCTGCAATGTAGTCATTGACTTCGACTGCCAGAGCATGAGCCTCCTTTGAGTCCCACATATCTTGAATGCCAGGCGCGGTGTATGAAAGTAAGGTGAAGCCCACGCCATACTCATCCATATACTTGATTCGTTGCTCGGTAATGTCGTTGATCTCAGCCGCGTGCTTGTCTGGGTTCACAGCAAACATTCCCGCCCACCATCTGGTTCGTTCAGCAAACCGTGGCAGTGCGAAAGCCTCTTCCAACGCAATTTTGCCCAACATGATGACGATTATAGCTTTCTTGTGTAAAGTGAGTTGAGAAGAGGAACGAGATTCTTTTCGATTACCGTTTGAGAGGTCAGGAGTTGCGGCAATGCTTTTGTATAGCCTGCCAGCGGATCTGACCAGGGCCCGTGCTGATGCGGGGATGCTTCGTCACCCCGGGTAATCATCTTGGAGCGGAAAGGCCGAGACGGCTACCTACCGCTCTCCAACGGCTGCAGTTCAGATACTCGGCCCGTGAGCGAACATACCCTTGGACAGCCGGCATGAGCGGTAATGTTCCATAGCTTATCTTCGTTCTGAGACGACTCTATCGAGTCCACCCTAGCGAAATCTAGACTCAGCCAAACGGCATGACACCCGATCCGCCTTGCTGGTTTACCCAGAAGTCTTCGAAAAACATTCCAAAGGGCTGCCAGTCCAACGACAAGTCATTCGGTGATGGATCACCAAGCGGGCCGCCAGGAAGCATGTCCGGAGGAAAGGAAACTTCGTTCATGCTGTTGCTCGTTGCTGGACCGTTGTCGCAATTACCCGAAACCGGGCTAGGATAGCCTTGAGGCTGGCCGAGATCAATGGCGAAGATCTGGTCGACGTACTCATTGGTCGCACGGCGGCGTTCTTCCTTTAGCTTTCGTTTGTACTGCTGCACGGCCTCAGAAAACTTGGTGAGGATGTCTGTGTAATGTCCTGCCTGCGGTGACAGGACGGCGATCATCTTGAGGACCGCAATGGCGTTCTTGAAGGCTTCTTCGACTTCGGTATTCTCGCCGCTCTCAGCGAACAGAGCGAAGCCGAGCAACAGACCAGCAGCAAACATCCAAGCCTTCAATAAGCACATATTTCCTAGTAAATAGCCAGATTCCATGGCTTGGTAGCCTGTCTGAGACATATAAATCGCAGAATTCAAGCATGCATTGGCCAGTTTTGAGACTTTGTCACGATCTCCCGAAGCTGCAGCAGGATGAGGAGTATCAGCTCCCGTGCCACGAATTTTAGACATCAGATGCGAGATCAGGAAAGGCCTGGTAACAAGGATGGCCCCAAAGAAATAGCAGCAGGAGATATGTACAGCTCCGATGACATGCTCGCTGTCAGTGTTGATAGCATTGGCGCTGGTGAACTGTCGCAGCTCTGGTGGCACACTCTGGGACCATTCCCGAAGGCGTTGCAGGTAGTCTTCGGCTGACTTCAAGTCCGCGATGCCACCTTTCGCAAACTCTTGCTGTAGGTCATCGATGATGGTGCAGACTCGGTACGTTGCATCAAGCGAACGATGGCCGGACACTTGTACGTTATTGCTCAGATCTGTCTCGGCGGGGCTCACCATCGAAGGACCACCTGCTCGGCCTAGAATAGAGGTGACGATCAAGTCCAAATTGCGTAGGCTCTTCCAGGTCCTGATTCTGGTGTCGAGCTCGTTGTCCTGGACATGTTTGTAGACCTCTTTGACATGAAGACCCAGTGCAGATGCAGCCTTAGAAGCAACGCCAATGTAGATAAAAGCCGCATTTCGATGGCAGGCTCCCAACATGTAGAAGGCCATGAGCAAGAACAGTCTGATCATGTTGATGCTTGGGTTACAAAGCATGCCTTCGAAGGCGATTTGCTGTCCTCTGGAGAAGCAACGAGTGGCATACTCGGCGTCGGACTGCCGCGAGCCGCGACATTGAGCTCCGATTGCAAGCATCAAGCACAGTGCGGCATGGTCATCGCGTTTGGCTCGGTCACTGAAATGATTGGTGCTGGGCGAGAGCCCGGTATCTGTGACAAACCCAAAGGCCTCGTCTTTGGTGTACAGATGGAGAATGGCGCTCGAGGCTTCAAAAAAGCACTGGACCAGTGCGCGCTTCTGGTCTTGATCTTCAAGCCCATCAGGCTCGGCGACATCAAGCAGACGGTCACCCTGGTCGACTTCCAGCATCTGGTTGCTGAATTCACTCTCAGTGAAAGGCGAGGGGCCCATGTGCCGCCTGAGAGTCTTGCGCAGAAACTGCAGGAATGACAGCGATGCCGTCTCGCCTACATAGAGCTTCTCGCCTCGGGAGCTGAGAAGCATACGGCTGCGCGTTCTCTGGGAGGAGCTTGGGGTCCATTTTGCTCGTGGAGGGTCAGCGTCGGCAGCCGCTGCCTTGTCGTTAGGGACCGCTGGAGACAGGGACGGGCGGGCCTCGTCCAAGCTGGGAAGTGGTCGCTGCTGAGGAAGGTCTTGCCTTGGCAACGACGATGCTTCGGTGGATGTGCTCTGACTTCTGACATGGCCGCGCGCTGACGGTGTGGGATAGATACAGGCGTGGATACGGCCGCGCTTCACACAGGCGGCGCATGGCGATTCGGCATCGCAGCGCGTTTTGGACGTCTTGCATGGCTGGCAGGCTTTGACCGAGCGCTGTCGGTCTTCAGGCTTGACCTTTGCGCGCGGCATCGTGTCACAATATCATTCTTAATTGTTATTTCTTCACAAGTGGACAAGTGGAATTTGCAAGGTCAGTGGGTCATTCAGTAGTTGGATGAAGGGATTCATGGCGAGGGCAGAAGGAGACCACACTCCTCGTCCAAAGTGCTCAGGGTCTTATCATTGAGCTCAGTAGTCTAGGTGCATCTTCCGGCTAAGACTAGCAGCAAGATAGGCGGGGCTGATAAGCAGCTTTCAAGCGGTGATTCCACCCGTCTGGGGAAGCTCCTCCCGACGCCGCAGGGCATCCCTTGGCTTGGGCCGGAACCCGGAATGTCTCCATTCTCTACTTCGTAGAGGTAGCTCAGTCCCTGGCTCGCACTAGAGGCATGGGCGAAAAGATATATGGGAAATAAAGCAGGCATGAGTGGTGAATCAGGCCGGTGGGTCGATAGTCAGGTGCGATAATTGATGGATCTGAGTGAGAGGCTGTGTATGACTATCAGACAGGCGACGGACTCTTATCGTCAACAGCCCACTGCTCCAGTGAAACCGCACATCAAGACTGTCCCCTGACAACAAGCCCTGCTTCTCTGCCCGCTCAGCCCCTCCACCTGAACCCCGGATGCTTCCAGTCCAACTCCTCTATCTGTGCTGGCGACATGCCTTGCAAGACCTGCTCAGCCTCCTGCTGTTTCCGCTCCCTGCGCCCATTATCCCACTTGATGTACGCAAATACCAGCCCGCTACAGACGAAGATGGCTGAGCTGGAGCCAAGGTTCAGGCCGTTGCCGATGGGATAATTCGGCCCATCGAACGGCAAGTACGACCACGTGGCGACTAATCCACCGATGTTGCCCATCATGACATTCAGCCCAATGCCTGAGCTGCGTGCTGTGTCGGACAGCAGGTTCGCCGATACCTGTGCGTTGGAGAGTGCTCCGTTGGCGAAGGCACCGGACGTGATAAAGAAGGTACCAGCGTAGCGTACGTAGCGGTTGGTGGTTGCGAGGAAGAATATATACCCGAGCTGCCGAGTGAACATTAGTGGAGGTCGAAGTAACGGTGGAAGGGCCAACATACCATGACAGGCGGCGCAGATAGGTTGATGAAGAGGTTACGCTTGTCAAAGCGCCAGGACAGCCAATTGATGAAGCAAGTGAACTGGAGTTGGGTCAGTAAGAGGTAGTCCAGGGGTCGGTGGAGGAGGACTCACGAATGTGCCCACCATATAGGGCGGAACCGTCCGGAGCTGCTGGCTGACAACGCTCGCTTCCGGATAGATAGTGCGGACGATGGTAGGAAGAAAAAAGGCCAAGCCCTGGACGGTGATATTCGTGAAAAAGAACATCAACGCAGTTGACATCGTGAGTGGCGATGTGACGCCTCGAATGGTTTTGGTCCAGGAAATCTTGTCCAAGACTTCGGTAACGCCCACACGCTCAGACTTGACGCGAGCGACGGCCAGCTCCTTCTGCTCCTGCGTCAACCATCGCGCGGTTTCCGGGCGGTCAGTCATGGTAATGAACGAAATCAGCGCGAGTCCGACCGTCATGATGCCCTCAACGATAAAGATCATCCTCCATTCGGTGAGTGAGCCAACGTTGTCCAAACTTAGGATGCCGCTCGCCAGCAGGCCTCCAAAGGCGCCGCCAAACGCTCCCATGGCGATGTAAATAGACAAACGGAACGCTAGCTCGCCTCTGCGATACCATCGACTCATATAGTAGGCCACACCCGGCAGCATCCCAGCCTCAAAGACGCCGAGTACAAAGCGGACAGCACAGAGCTGAGCCATGTTGTCAACAAAGGCAGTGGCAATTGACGCTGCACCGAACCCAAGGGTAAGGAAAGGAATGAACCATCCCGGACCAATCCATTTGCAGGCCATGTTCGAGGGGAGCTCGAGCACAATGTACGAGACATAGAAGACGCTGAGTACAACGTTATAGTCGTACCCGGACATGCCAAGATCGGGCTCTAAGCCCGCTAGGCGGGCGTTTCCTGTTGTCTTACATTACTTTGCCATTCACTAAGGTATGTCAGACATACTCACCTATATTGGCTCTATCGACAAAGCACATGAGATATATGATCGTAACTGTTGGGATGATCATCAGGTCTATTTTCATGCGCAAGCGACTTTCAGCTTTGGGGTCGAAAGTGACTATAGGATTGCCATGACTGGTTATAGCTTTAGCTCCATCTGCAACGAGAGGGCGTTGATACTCACATATCAGTGGCGGCGTGGCCATGGGCGGCAGCATCATGAGTAGTCGCATGCTCACGGCTGTCGTCCGATGAACCCCCTCGATTATGGATACCGATATCGAGGCCTTTCTCCTGCTCGACGGCGCTAGAAACCATGATTGGCGGTCAGTGAGTGCGGTATGGCGACTGTAGATGCTGATGAGAGCGAGAGAAACGTGGGTGCTACCTCGTACTTATCGTCCCAGTGGAACGCAACCGAAAACGAACCTCAGGGTTATCTCCCGTGCGGAGGTTGGGGGTCAGGAATTAATTGGTGGGGTTCACCTAGAGGGACGCCGGAGCTCTTGGCCATACTGTCACTCGTTCGCCTGGGGAAGATAGCTTGGCGCTAAAGCTTCCCCAGAGATAGGAAGGATCCTTCGACAGGGTGCCGGTCCGAGGACTCCATAAGGGACCCAACAGTATATCCAGCTACCGGCGATAGGGAAGAGCAGACCTCAGCTAGGGGCGATAGGTACGCGAGATGCCAGCGGCCAATTGAGCAATATCCGGGAGTGCTTGACTGTGGATGCAACGTTCCACGTGTTCTTCGGGGGATGACGGCCAGATTCGGGGCCCAACACTACATATGTTTGCGGGAATGAGGCTGTCCTTGACCTACCTGTAAACTGTCTACGACATAGCGTGGATAACGCAGCTATGCAACCAGAGGAAAGCTCAGCTGCTATACTTAGATGCTTTGTAGGGCTAAGGTTGGAAGCGGAGGATCGAGGCGCGGAGACAGAGCGGGCGGCGGCCTTGGCGCCAAGCTCCAACCCAACTCCAAGTTCACCTCACTTCACCTTATGCTTACATTTTCATGCTCTTAAGCCAACCCCACGCTGCATCTACAAAATGCCACAAACAACCTCGATAACTGATCGAGCTCGAGCTCGATCGGCCGGCAATAAGTCTTGACAGCACAGCGGATTTCGCGTCCCGTAGGGGTTCTGATATGCTTTCCACCATTTCCTCGTCTACAAGACAGGCCAAACCTTAACCTAGGTCACCCAGTGAATGTAGTATTAAGATCGTTCTGAACTCAACTGACTTTCATCCCTAAGTGTTCTATGATGGTCATAATGGCTGTCTTGCTGCCCCGCATCCGGCCCATCTGAGTCGTTACGAGCTTAGTATACAGCAAAGCCAACATGGAAGCCGATCCAACTGCTCCCACCCGAGCCATGAAAACCACATGAGAGGTTCATCATTAGTGAGTACAGGATCATGGATGTCTTAATGGCTTCTAGCTTCACTCTGGCTGTTCTACTTATTCTCACCAGTTTCGCATTCATTTCACTTCAGCCCGAGCGTCCTTCACTTGCTTGTTCATTTCTCCTCACGGGCTGTCACTTCACCTCCGGCTTTTTCCCCCTGACTCGTGTACATCATTCACCCACGTTCTGCCCGAGTCAACCTCTCTGCTGCATTCACACGATGGCGCCCGTCCTTCCTCCACCAATTACCTCTCCAGCTGAAGAGGACGTCTACTTCGAAGACGAGTCGCCCCCACAAACCATGCCTGACGAGACAAGCCTCGCTCGGGTCCGCGCCGCTCACAACAGACTGCAGCACGCCTTGTTCAGCAACCCTTATGGCACCCCACCTCGTCAAGGTCCAGTCCCAGCCCTGGCCAGCAACGATCGCAGCACAACTGACTCGGTCGCTAGCGGAGTGGGAACCAAGCGAGATCGACAGACCGCTCTCACACAGTGTAATCTCCCTCCGAGTAGTGTTCTGTACTATGACTGACCCAAGCCCACAGCCGAAGACGATAGTGCCTCCTCAACTCCCGCCACTGCCTCTCCCGGCTCTGGTGCTGTCACCGCACACGATGTCGCCATGGCTGCAGTCACCGGTAGCAACAAGCCCGCTCGGCGCCGCGGTAAGAGAAACAAGAAAGGTGGTCGTCCTGCTGCTGGCAACCAACGCGACACCAATATTTCGGCCACTACTATGACCAATAGTAACGCCACTCACATTCAGCCTTTCCAGAGATACAATGCTGGTCACGCTGCCGCTATCGCCGCCATACGTTGTCCCGGCGAGACCATCAGCCACAACACTCATTACGGCGCAGTCCCCTTCCGCCAGAACAATGTTCCCGCCCAGCGCTCAACCGAAGCTCAACGCCCGACTCAGGGTGGCTCTGGTCTCTCCAACACACACGAGTCGATGAGCGACTCGAATTGCGGCGACGCAACTTCCTCGGCATCTGGCGGCAGGTCCTGCGATGTTGGCAACGACAATGAGGTTGAGATGGAATGGACGTGATAACATGACAAAAATTCGCTACGCTCCAGCGTCTTCGTCAAGACGATGCAAGCACTCATGAATCCTGCACTGTCCATGAGCCTCTACGCTTTCATGCAGTGTTCACGACACGATGATTACGAGACATCTTCCCTGGAAGATCAGACATAGGGATCACAGACACAATCCCACAAAGCCTTTGTGATACGACGACAGAAAGCTCTTCATAGCCAGGGAAGCAATGCCCAACCAGCCAAGCGCTGCATACTCTAATCAACTCTTCTCTTCCATTTTGCCTTCCCCCATCCCTCCTGCCCGCCCACCTTACTCTGTTAACCAATATTTACCCACGCCTAGCTCTCCTACGCGCCAACCAACACCCTTCCTGCGGCCCTTTTGTTCTTCTTCCCCTTTTTCACAAACTCCACAGCCTTATGCCGCCGCTCCTCGTACCCGGCATCCTCGCCTCGATGGCCCTCCACCCAGCAGTTTGTGCAGTACAAGTCTCCGTCGCAGCCCAGACAGCGCAGGTTCGCGTCGTCCATGCAGATGATGCACCAGGTGTCGATGTCCTCGTCCGTAAGTCCTGGAGCTGGTGGTTTGGAGGAGGCAGGAGGAGATTTGGCTGTGCTGGAGATGGTTGTGGGCACGGAGGGGAGCAGGGTTGAGGTGGGGAGGGCGAGGGAGGCGAAACGTGCGGCGAGGTCGGAGTCTTCGTTTGTGCTGGTGACGGGAGGAGGCGCTGGGAGGTCGGCGGGAGTTGAGGGGAGGTCAAGGGCTGGGTTGCTATTGTCGGGATTGGACGGTGCGGAGCTGGAGCTAGGGAGGGCTCGCGGGTCAGGGGTGCCTACATGTTCGACGCGCGGACGGTCATCACCCTCCTCGTCGGTGTCTTGACTTTCTTGGTCGGGAGCGAGGCCGAATTTCTTTTCGTAGTCGACCTCGTCGAGAAGGCGCTGGAGGACATCATCGGCCTCTTGGTTAACACTGCGCCGTAGTTCCTCTTTATGAGGCTTCTCGGTAGTCTCGTTGTCGGACTCGGGCTCGGGATGGAAAGCCGTAAGATCTATCGAAGGCATGGTATGTGAAGTGGGGTGCGATTCCCCAGCGTTGGCATCATCCTCATTGGGGGTCTTCTCTAGATTCGGCCTGCTGTTGAGGGCGGTGTTGGCCGATCGAAGGAGGTCATCAACTTGATCTTGCTCGGACTTGTCAACTTCCCACTATAAGTGTAGTTTAGCGGAGCGCCTTTGTGCGTTGTTGGAGTGGATCGGAGCGGTGGGGATGACATAGTAAGCCGTCAGGGCTGTGGCAGTCACTTGACATACCTGTTCGACAGGACCAAGATCCGCTAATAGCTCCTCTACCGTTTTGCCCTCATCGGCGAACTCATCTGCTCCAAGACTTGCATGATCATTGCTATTAGACTCGGCTACAAACTGACCGGTAGTTGTTCGACTTGTGCCCGAAAGTGTTTTAAACCGATCTACGAGATCAGCGTGTAGGGCTCGTGCAGGAGCAGGATCGATTGGCACACTTCTATCGGCGACAGGAGTGCCTCTGAAACGAAGCGTGAGTTTGAGAAAGGGGGGTTTAGATTGGAGGTGGTCGCCCACATGGTATTGTCAAAGTCTATTGTGCTCTTCTTGAGGGCATTCAAGCGCGCGAGCAGATCGCGGTCTTCCCCCGATCCCGAAGACATCACAAGGGTATCAAAGTAATCATAGCTCGTAAAGACGATAGTCGTAAAGTCATAAAAGTACCAAAGCCACGCCTCGGGGAGATAAAATGGAAAGGCTGTCGTCGAGCTAAGGGTGGAGATGGTTGCCCCACGTTCGCCTTGCAGATTCCCCTCACCAATCTCAGAACACGCTTTGCACAATCAAAGATCTTCGAGGAGTGGTTGCAGATGAGGTTCAACATTCGAGGAAGCTCGATTGTCAAGCGCTCAGAAGCTGCATGGCCTTTTCGAAAGCCTCGACCACCTTTCTATCTGTAAGCAGTGTTAACAGAGAATTTACTGAAGGATGGAAGAGGTGCCTACAGTGCTCTTGCTTCTCGTCCAGTTTCGTTTCCGAGTGCTGTACAAAGGCTGTGCGTGTCCGTAGCCTATAATTGTAAGAATCATTCTGACCTGTTGCAGGTGAATGGCAGACCTTTTGATGGCACGCTCGCCTTCCTGTTCTCCCGACACTTGCATCCATAGAAGAAATTGCTAAGATTGTGAACATTGCAGTATGGTTTCCAGGAGAAGTGCTTACCTGTAACCTCGCACCAAGCTCGGCTCTGACTTTGTCTTCTTCTTTGATGATGGGGTCGATCTCTCTGGCGAAACGTTCCTCGAGTTCATCCCAGTCGAGTTTACCCAGGTCAGCACTGGGATCGCGGCTGTCCAGCGATCTCTCGAACGTATCGAACTCGTCCTTCAGCTCCTTTTCGAAGGCTTCTATTTCATCAATGAACGACTTGTGAGCGCTTCCTACATCATGCATCGAGACCTGTGACGTGCCCTCGTCAATGATTGTCAGACCTGTCGAGGGTGGCGGGGAGGAGGCGGTCATAACGTTGCGCAGTTTGCTGAAGCCCGTCTTCTCGAATGACTGTCCGAACAAGCTCTTCGATGTCTGTGGCTCCGAAGCAGCACGATATTGGAAAGCTACAGCCTTGGGAGGAGTCTTTTGAGGGGTAGTGCTGAACACAGGTAGTTGTGATTTTTTGTAGATTTCTTCGTTACTTCGCTTGCGTATCCGGCCGGGAGATGTCAGACTGGGCACAGGTCTGTTCTCCTCGCTCCGGAAAGCACTTGTGCTGTCTTGCGTGTCCTCGTCGTTGTCCAATTCCGTCTTAAGAACGTCAACTGCGTCTGTAGGATCGGCGTTGGAGGGCAGAGATCTTTCTTCTTCACTGTCGTCATAGTCCATTTCAGACTTCGTAGGGGATGTCATGTCGAGTCGAGGCTCAAGCGAGCACGGGAACATCGCAGGAGCGACTCAGTTGCCATGTGCATTTGAATGCCTCGTGCCTTCCAGACGCGTCGAGCGCGTCTTGGAACCCTAACCCTAGCTCACCGCCCGCTGATCGCCGTTGACGTCGTGGCCGCCTGCAACACCGACGCATCTCCATACATGTCGTGCTTTCATACCATCAGACCATCAGTGTCCGGTTTCCAGTAATTAGGATCTAGACCCACGTGATGTCGACACGATAATGTGGCTTATCTAGATCAAGCCGGCTGGAGAACATCATGTGTCCGCCGCATCACTTCCGATCTCGCCTTTGCTGCTCTATGCGCAGGCCGGCTACCGCTCCTGGTCCGACCTTGCAACAGCATCGACCTAACGACTAACAAACAATCTGAAAGCATCGCCTGCAAAAATGGAGTGCGATATTTGTGCCCGCAAAGGTTCCGACTTGACACAAGTTGGGCTGCATTGCGCCTCATGCGCCCGAACCGCACTCTACGCCCCGCGCCTTGAACAGGGCCGGATACTCCTCGAAAAAGCATCTTTGAATTCCAAGATCGAGACTTCGACCCGTAGCGACGGTGCCCTCGAAGGTGGCAGAAGCCTCCCGCAGATATGGAAGACGGAAGTCTCACGAATCAAGGCCAGTGATGTCCGTGACAGGCTGCAGCAAGAGCAACGGTCAATCACATTGCTGAGAGAAGATATCGCCAGAATGAAGGATGAAGTATCGCGGAAGAGAATGCAGCTTGAGTCTGACTGGGCCGAGCTGAAAACGGTTCGGACCACACTTGCTGGCCAAGACAAAGGCCATACGGATAAGTTGAACGAGTCTACGGCCAAGGGGCTCAAGAACTTTAACAGCATGCATGAAGCATCGGTCGAGACGAGAGCCTATCTCTGTCGCGAGGCAGCCACGCTTCTACGACTCCGTCAAAGAAAGACGCGCAGAAGTGATCAGGTTCGCGAGCATTATCTGATTGCGGGCTGGCAAATTCCAGACCTCCGGAGCATCAGCAACTGCAAGTGTACTGAGGTGACAGCCATGCTTGCAACATACTCACACTTACTCTGCTTGGTAGCATTCTACCTCGGAGTACGACTGCCAGCCGAAATTACTCTGCCTAGGCGTGACTACCCTCTCGCCACTGTTAATACACCATCGACTTCTTATACTTCGGCGAAAATCGAGTTTCCAGGATCGGGCTCTTTTCTTGCCATGACAGAGCTTTCGAAAAGGAACGAGACCAAAGGAGCCTCGAGACCGAGGCCGCTGTTCACCGGATCGGATGACAAGGATGAACTCATTTCGCACGTGGCTAAACGGGATCCATCGGCGTTCAAATTTTTTGTCGAGGGCATATCACTTCTGGCATGGAATGTTTCCTGGCTGTGTCATTCTCAGGGGTTTTCCATCGGGACCGAGTCCTGGACGGATGCTTGCGATATTGGGCATAACCTATGGCAGCTCATTTTCGCACCGAACAGGTCGCCGGCTCTCTTACGTGCGATATCAAGTCGTGACCCACGTCAGCGACAAACATCAAGGATCAGTACGCCACCAGCAGATTTGGCAAGTGGGCAGCTGGGTGGCTTTTCACATGCTTCTGCTCATAGCTTTCTGGGATCATCTACAAGATCGAGCCACATCCGTGCGCTGCGATTATCGAAATATAACATGATTTCCGATCCTCTTCGAAAGCTGCTCGAAAATGAGATGAAGAATTTGGAATGGGAAGTCCTTGGGCAGGATGAGATACTCGATGGTGCAGAGACCTTTGACGAAGCTGTCGTTGTTCGGGCTCGTGCCATGGATGGGAAGGGTTACAACGACACCCGTAGCATTGTGACTACCAAGGCGCACCACGAGGATCAGTCAAACAACAGACCCAAAGGCACCAGCGGATGGACCAAAGTCAAAGAAAAGAATCGTGAATAGGCCATGTTGTGATCAGCGAGCTTACGAGCCTCGTTAGAGTCACACTCGTTGGATCATGAGTTCTACAAGACGCAGACCGTTTTCATCGCTACGAAGAAGCCACACCTTGGCTGCCATCCAGGTCTCCGCGACGCTTCTCTAAAATCCTCGGTCTGATCATCTGCAAGATCGCGACAGCATAGGCGCTACATCAGGCTCGGGAAGATCAAGCAGCAACAGTCGAAGTCCGCTCCGACAAGCCGTGTGACTGTTGTTTGTCAGTTGTATGCATTGCGCCATCATCGAAAAAAGGAAGTCCATTAGGAGGCTGGTTTTGACAGCGTGAGAAAGCGGAAACCCCTTGGCTCGGTCGAGATAGGTCGAGACAAACCGAGGCAGTGGTTCGGGACTCGCCATAGCTCTCGCGCTGTGCAAATCTCGAATGAGACCAGCCTCTCAGAAGCACTGCTGAATATCTTTTCCTGCTCCATCGCGTGACCGCAGTCCAATCTATTGTTGGCGAAATGCCGAGCATTCTTTGTCTGCATTGTCAGGCAAACAAGGCAACAAAACTCTATTTTCGCCCCACTTGAGCAAGGCTATCGACCCCCTTGCTCCCAACCCAGCCACCTCCACACACGAACGGCACGCCTGTGCGTCCGCACTCATTCCTTTGTGCAATGATCTAGTGCGCTCTACTTTTGTTTGCATGATACGGAACATCGATTTATTCCCGCAAGCTGACCAAAGGGACTTTAGAATTTGCGCCTCTACAAGCCACAAGGGTCACCCAACGGCACGCATCGGGGCCGAAGCCATCAAACGAGACTACCGCAATCGAATTCGTCGAGCGAACTAACGAACTTACCAGCTGATATCTTAGCCGGCAGAAGGGGCTGCCGCCACCGACTCACCCGCAGCGGAACGAACGCCTCGCCGACAAGGTTCTCGTGAATGCGGGACCACCACCGCACAGAGTACTCGGGGCTTGTCCTGTGACAGAGGCACAGACGTAGTCGGCTTGCTGGTCAAGCCACACTCATCATCATACCACCGGTCTCAAACGCAAGGTTGGGTCACTCGGTGAAGGGAATTTATTGCGTGGGCTCGCACTCGGACCTATTTGTATTGGACTGAATTCCAGTTTTCAGCCATTGATCGTCGCGTTTCTATCAGCAGTGCTACCACAGCATTACATCACATTATCGAACAGCAGATAACTCAGCATGATAGCGCCGTACACAGCGGCACTTTCGAGCGCCGTCGCCGCCGTCGCTCTCTTCTCTCAAGCCGCAGTCGGCCAGACCAATAACGCCGGCTGCGCCCAATCAGCTGGCAATTGGTAAGTCATCCCAGCCCTGAGACCCTGAAGCGGGGAGACTCGCATGTTCTATACATCGAATCCTCCATCATGGAGAGCCCGAACATCACGCCTTCGATCCTCAAGTCCCTTGCCAATCCCCTGTCACACCCCCAGTCCCAGAACCCATTACTGACCCCGCAATTTTGCAATCTCTACAGGTACTGCAGCCGCACCTCCGCCATCACCTACTCCAACTTCGGCCAAACCGGCAACTTCCAACGCGTGTCCGCCATGGACGGCTCTACGGGACAATGTTCGTTCGCGTCCCAAAGCTTTGGCGGCGGCATGGCGCCCCTCGACGGCGAAGTCAGCTGGCATTTCCGCGGACCCATGCGGTTACGGCAGTTTGCGTTTTATACCGTCGACAGTGAAGGGGGAAAGACCGGGCCGGTGACCACAAAAGAGAAGAAAAGGGCTGAAGAGGGCATGAAGGTGCAGGCACAGGAGATGAGGAGACAGAGGCTGCATCACCGGCATTGGATTATGCATGAGAAGATATCGGAGCGTGCGAGGGAGCTGGCTGCAGAAGGGGATGCGGAACGTGGTCCCGGTGCACAGCAGGCGGAGATCGAAGAGAGGGGGGTTGGCGACTGGGTCACGGTCACCATGGATGGGAAAGTCGTCAGCTGGCAGAATCAGTATGGCGGTGGTGCTGCGTCGCCGGCCACGAAGGCGCCTGCCGTCCACGCGCCAGCAGCGAGTGCTGCGCCTCCCAAAGGAGGGAATGTGGCGAACAACAATCGAGTGGGCGGCGGAAACAGCGGCAGTGGTGCTCAAGTCCCCGCGCAGAACAAGCAGCAACCTGCTGCGCGACCGCAAGGCGGCGCTCAAAATCAAAATCAAGGCCAGAATCGCCCCGGCGCCTCCTCCCAACAGCCCTCACCGCAAACACCACCAACATCGCCCGGAACAAGCGGCAGCACCTGGACCCGCGCCGCCTTCTACAGCGCCGCCTCGGGCACCTCGACGGGCCTCGCCTTCCTCGCCAACAAGGGCGGCGACAGCTGCTCCGGCACCTGGGACGCCAAATTCGGCAACTCGCTCTCCTACGTCTCCGCCTCCGGCACGAGCTGCTCTCCCCGCTCCGTGCCTCTCGGCGACGTGCTGCTGCCGGACAACACGGAGATCGCGCTCTTCACGGACCGCGTCTGCCAGGGCGGCGCCTGCGGCGTGACGCGGCCCCGCAGCGTGGCGCACCACGGCTTCGGCGGCGCCAGCAAGCTGTTCCTGCTGGAGTTCAGCATGCCGCTGTCGGGCAAGAAGGGCGGGAGCGGCGGCGGCGGCGGCATCAACGATGACATGCCCGCCGCATGGCTGCTGAATGCGCTGGTGCCGCGGACCGCGCAATATGCGGCCTGCAGCTGCTGGAAGAGCGGGTGTGGCGAGTTGGACGTCTTTGAGGTGCTGACGCCGGGGGAGACGAGGATGAAGAGCACGTGGCATGGCGTCAATAGTCATGGTGCGAGCGAGTGGTTTGAGAGGCCGACGGGGAGGATGCAGAAGGCGGCGGTGGTGATGAATGCGAGGACGGGGAGTGCGAGTATTGTGCTGTTGGATGCGAGTGTCGACTTTGGCTCGACGGTCACGGCACAGCAGGTCAGCGCTTGGTTGGGAAAGGGGAATCCGGTCACGCAGGCGAACTTACCGGCTATGGGGACGAGGTCGTAGGGGGGATGATAGAGTGGAAGGCTCCGTCGCTAGCGGTGGACGGCACGATTTGGGCAGGAGCTGGCTCCATCCATTATGAGATATGACTGCTATGTTAAATACCAGCGTTGGCGAAGGTTGAAGTCGATCAAGATAGGTGCGAGGAGTTTGAATGCTGAGCATTGATCATTTTGCGTCGAAGACTAGCTTCTTGCCTCAGAGAATAGGTCTCCGATGAATTATATACAGTTTTGTCTTCTCCTGAACCTTCACCTCACTGGTGGATCCTGTACTGTACTGTGGCCTTTGTATTAGGCTCTTTCCTTCTCATATACATCTCAGTCATGCGAAACGAGGTCAGGTCGTCCGACCTGGACGCTGATCAGGGCTCGCATAGCATGTAAACAAAATCAAATGTGCCTGACGGCTTCTTCTTCCCCTGTCTTCTGATATCCACAAACCACAAATCAGAATGAAACGCAACTGCTGCGCAAAACGATTGAACGCGACGACTCGGGTATCATCATCATAATAAGAATGTTCTGCAAAACTTCCTCTCCAATAGCCTCGGCCGCTGCTGTTGTATTCGTGCCCATGGCTTCAGTTCGAAACGAATATATATTTGCAAGTTCTCGTTGCATCGTGTGGCCACCGAGGGCTAGCGTCTGGCAGCGGAGCCAGCCCTTACATTCGAACTTCCCGGTCGACTGCTGCTGTGGCTATCGAAGTCGAAGCGCTCGAATTCGTTCAGACTTGATACATCAGACTTAGCGTCGATGTCTTCATAGTTGTCCAGGTCTGAGATTTCGCTCTGCGCATCGTCGTCTCTAGCATTGCCATTGCCACCAAGATTGCTACGTGCGTTGGCGGGCATGGGTCGATTATGAGTGGGTCCAGAGTAAACAGAGCTGGTTGGCGACTCGATACTGGGAGCATTTCCGAAGTAGTTCCACTGTGGTTTGCGTTCGTCGCGGGGCGAATCCGATGGGATTAGCTGAGAGAGTGTGGCTGGAGGAGGGAGTTTTGGGGAAGGATTCGAGGCGGAAGTGGCCGCAGGAGATTGGCCCGGTGCAGACTGGGCGGCATTAAGGGGGGCAAGAGGTGAGTCATTGCCATTGTTCCTTCTGTAGCCAAGGGGTTTCGAGAAGTCGGCAACAGGACGTTGGGCCCCCGGGCCAGGTGAGGAAGGCTTTGAAGTTTGGTTGAAGCCAAGGCGGCTGGAGTTTGCAAGGCGAGCGATGCGCATATTTTCTTCTGAGAGGAAAGAGTCCTCTGGGGAGCGAGGCGATACTGAGCGAGAGTTATCTTTCGAGACGGCCGGAGCACCGAGGCCGAGGCCGGAGCCTAGGTCAGTTGTGATGATGGGTGGTGGTTTGGTGCCATCACGTGATGGCTGCCTTGGAGGGCTCGTGCCGAATGTCGCGACTGAGTTGATGTTTGGTGTTTCTTTTACGATAGGAGAGTATTGAGAGATTGGTGATGCACCGTTGAAAGCACCTGGCGGCGGCGAATCTAGTGCCGGGGGAACATTGGATCTGTTGATGCCAGTAGTTGGGGATGCGGCTCTCAGCTTGCTTTGGGCAGGAGGTGCAGGTGCAGCACGAGGTTGCGAGTGGAGCGAGTTCGATGGAGGCGGGCCTGCACGAGGTTGTCCACTGCCAAGAGGAGGAGAAGCATGATTGCGCATAATTGGACTTGGTCCAATGTCCCGGGGTGGGGGCGGACCCCTATATCCTGGACCAGGACGGTGTGGAGGGGGCATGCCACGATTGCCTGGAGAGCTGTTGCTGCGATTCCGGTTTGAACGCTCATCTCGAGAAGGCGGTGGCCTTCGGGCAGTGTTGGGGCGAGGTCCGCTGAAGTTCTGGTAGCCCCGGTCCCTTGGGCCATCACGTGGGCCGTCGCGCGGGCCGCTGAAGGGCATCTTGGGACTTTGTGGCCGTGAGCGGGCCGCCTGAGATTCGTCGGACGTGAGCGGCCTGGCCATTCCAATCGCATCAAACGAATTCTTGGGGCGCTCGTCACCGAATGGCTTGGGAGGGGCAACTTCAGTGACGGTGACATTGGAATCCTTTTCAGGGTTCAATGGCGGGTTTCCGGAGCGACTGCTGTTGGAGCGACTGTTCAGCTTCTCACCCTTCCCAGCCATCGCAAAATCTGTATTCTGGAGTTCCTTCCTGTGTCTCCTCCTCATCCACCACCAAAAGCCACCGAACGACGCTAAGAGAACCACGACTACCGGCACGACGATGGCGGGTATCAGGGTGGCCAGATTGTTTGACGAGCCGCCTGAAGAGGCACTTGACGTCGCGGCGGCTTCAGAGGTGGTTCTGGAGGATGATACGGCGGCGCGAGAGGCCGACTCGGCAGAGACGATGGAGGAATAGGCGGCGGCGTTGGTGACAGGTACCTCGCTCGTAGCGGTAACGGTGGTGAGTTGGCCATTTATGCTAGTTTCGACGGCGAATGGACCACTGGTGACAGTGAAAGTAGTCACTTCTGCTGTGGCAATCGGTGCATCGGTCGACAATGGCACATTAGAATTGAAGGTGATACGGTCCGGCCCTTGGTTATCTCCCACCTGGGGCTCTCGTCGATGATGGCCGTGAATCGCCATGACTGCAGTCGAGAGAGTCCAGTCCAGGACCAGATGGAGAGGAGGCACGACTGTCTCAGGCTGGTGAAGGGGAGAGAGAAGAGGCTGCGGACAGAGGCGAGGGAGTGACTAAGGCTAGGTTGGGAAATAATGGGGCCTGTCGCTGAATTGGGACCCGGCTCGACGGGTTCTTTGTTGGCTTTGCGGCTTGTGCGACGAGTGCGCAGTATTTTGGCCCCCGGAACTTGGAGGTATCGGACATGGGTTGCGGGAGGCAATAATTAGCAGATCGTCGTCTAGCGTGGAGCGATGGAGTTGGGGGAGATTGGTCTTGTCTTCGTCTCAGTGAAGAATAAGAAGGAAATGGAAGACGTCTTGCGAGCGTGAGAGGACCCTAAACCGCAGCCACACTGTGCGACAGAAAAAGAGCTGCAGCAAGCAGCCTTTGAATGAAACAGAGCTTGAGACCGCATGGCGCCGCAAGGGCGGGTGAAGCGCAGTGGATAGCAGAGGCCATCTTGTCAAGGGGAGTGACAGGCAGGGTGGTGGACGCAGCTTTCGCCCAGGTGCCCACTGTGTTTCGGAAATGAAGGTAGTTGCCGAATCAGGCTTAGTGCACGAGTAGACCAGGGGCTTGTCAAACCGTGCCTGTCCAACACGTTCAAGATCGGCAGGAACACCCGGCGACAAACTCGTTTGGAGAGCGCGTTGCCAGGAAGCAGCCTCATCAGCTCATCAGACTCGACCAGCAAGCGAGAAGATGCATGATGTATGATGTATGACGCCGCCGCAATACCCAAATTCGTGGAAAAGAAGAGTACTACTCCGTATGCACTGCCGCCGACGAGGGTGTGGCCTGTGACCGGGATACGGTGGCATGGCAGTGGAACCTTGAGGCCGCAAAGAGCTGCAAAGTTTTGGTCACAAGGATGGCGACCAGGACGACGGTGCCTGGCCTTTCCTGTCCACAGAGGAGCAGGGACGAGGTCAACTTTGGGTCCTGCACAATGATCCAAAGATCTGCATTAACGAGGCTGACATGGTGCCGTGAGTTTGGGAGCGGCTTCTTGCGGTTCAGCTCACCGTTCTTGGATCCAGCTTGCCAGCTTGCTGGTGTCGGTGACAACCTTGAATATAACGGTAGACGCATTGTGGTTAGAAGACTGTTATGACGGCTGGCTCCTTGGTATTATCGCCAATACGGGTGGTAAAGACGCGGTTCCATCGACGGCGGCTCGTATAGCGGCACGTGGGTGGAATTTAGGCTTCTGGGGTTCTAGGCTTTACGGAGAACCCAGGACTTCTTCGACCCCTCGAGAGCTCGCTGCAGGGCACGCTCTCGGCAGACCTTGGGCGCCTATGATTGGCGCTGAGAAGGGTGTCAGCATGCTTATCACCATCGGTTCACAACGCCGGCGCTGCCTCTGGCCTTCCTATTCGACCTTGCCTACGAAAAGCTGACCAATGCCCGTTGTAAGCGCGGGCTTTCGCTCACGCTGCACCTCGTTGCCGGCGTCAAGAGAAACCATGGCTGCTCTTCAGGCTGCCTGCGCTTTTCTCTCTCCCTTCTGCTCGTTGCCGTTGTCGTCGCTGCTGAAGAGAAGGTCGAGAATAATGGTCATGACCGACGAGTGAGTGCTTGATTGACATTAACTCGCCGTAACACAAACGCTGTCAAGCTAGCCTTCGACCCCGCAGCCCAACCGCACTGCAACGCACCGGTCCCAACAACTAGGACGACACAATGCCTCGAAAGAGATCATCGTGGTTCTTGTCCAAAAGATGGCGGCCGAATAAGTGGCCCTTCTACATCTGCCTCGGCTTCGAATTTGCTCTCACCGTCGCCCTGCTCGCCCTCTTCGGCATTGCCGCTCCAGACACATATCGTACCAAACTGTGGCAGGATGGCTCCGATAATGGCTTCAATTCCTCGCCTCTCACCGGCATCTACGCTGCCGCCAACTATCGCCCATACAAGACTCCCACCGTGTGGTCAAAGACATTGACCAACTACAACCTCGTCATCGTCGTTCTCAGCATGTTCTTCATGATTGTCAAGTCGATCATGTATATCGTCAATGTCTTTCCCCCTATTCTGTCTGCTATCGTCCACGCCGTTCTGGTGGCACTCTACACCGCTTCAGTCTACTACCAAGGGTCGTCCGACACCAGCGACCCGCAACACCCCCAGAATGGCCCTGCCTGGTATATCACCAAGTCTTGTTCCGTTGCGCACTTGGAGTCCAACGTGGGCTACTGCAAGCAAGCCAAATCTGCTTTCGCTGCCTCTGTCTCCCTCCTGGGTATTTTTGTTATTTACCTTGGCTTTGCCATCTGGTCCTCCTTGCCGAGCAAAGCTCATCGTGAAGAGGTCGCATTGGAGCGTAAAGAACGCGACGAGAAGTACTCAAGGATGGAAGCGATGCATGAAGAAGCCAAAGCAGCCCGAGCCGCTGAATATGGCCTGGAAACAGGCATGCCACCCGAGACACCTGGCCTGCAGAGTGGTATGAACCCCATGACGCCGAGAACGACGGCATTCAACAAGCTGGGCGGGACCAAGGACTTGCCGCTGCGAAACCACTTCAGCAGTCCAAGACCCACCAGCCCCAGCTACCAATTGAGAAGTCCTGGGATACCAAGGAGTCCGATGAATATGGACAGTTTCGGGACCGTACAGCAGACTCCACAGCCACAGCCACAGCAGTCAGAGCCCCAGGCGCACACAAGTCCGAAGCCGGGAGATGCCATGTATTTCCCACCACCACCTAAGAAGGCCAACAAGAAGTGAATGTATCTTGCCACGGACAACGTTAGGGAGAATGCCGTCCTATCCATGACTTTACGATCTATATTGAAGGAGACAGCTGCTGTTCATATTACAAAGATATACCAGAGCCAGGGCGTGACGGGCGTTCATAGCTGGCAAATTGCAAATACAATAATCCCTTTGCCATTTGAATGTGCATGAACAATTGAAGCATTCACATTGGCTCCCGCGCAATTCGGCGTGTTGAAAGACGCTTGTCCTAAGTCAGACTAGCGAGATGTGTTCCCCACAAAACTTTTATTTTGGTAGGAGCGGCGCAGTTCCAAAGTTGCGGCAGTTTACGCAGCCATCACTAAAATTTGTCCCCCCACCAGCTTACACTCTTCTCACCCGTCCGACTCATATCCGTCGCCATGGACGTGGACTCAGACGATGACTTCGAGAGGGTTTCGGTCCCTGGTGACATCTCCGACGCTGAGTCTGACTTTGGCTATCCTACGGCCCGCACCTCCTCAACTCCCGCGCCGTCCACACCCGCCACGACACAAGGCACACCTTATTGTCGCGAAAAGCGCTTGAAGTGTCCTTATGATGGTTGCGACAAGGCCTTCAATCGCCCAACGAGACTACAAGAACACATTCGTTCCCACACCAATGAAAGGCCTTTTCAATGCCCCCACCATCCTTGCACAAAGACCTACCTGCGCGAAAGCCACTTGAAGCACCACCTCAAGAGCGCCCACTCCGAGATTCGAGATTTCAAGTGTTCACATGAAGGCTGCGACAAGGCTTTCGCTACAGGCCAGCGACTGAGGGTTCATCAGGCTACTCATCAAGGCAAGAACAACTACGTCTGCCGCGACTATCCACCCTGCAACCAAGTCTTCCGCAAGAAAGAGACTCTTCAGCGCCACGTTCAGACTGCTCATGAGAGCACGTTGCCTTTCCCGTGCACCAAAATTGATACACGGACCGGTCAACCTTGTAATAAGGCCTACGACACCGCCAGTAAGCTGGCTACCCATGACCGTTCGGTCCACGATCCAACCCGCTTTTCTTGCGATCAGTGTCTGGCCCACAATGCTGCCATTGCAGCCGATACGAGCCTGACCGAGGCACAGAAGATCGCAAAGTCAAAGTCGGCTAACTTCGCAACGTACGCCGAGCTCCAGGACCACAACTCTAACGAGCATCCCCCAACCTGCTCCAAGTGTGCACTGCCATTCAACACCTCTCGGGAGTTGACACGGCATAACGAACTCATCCATGGTGTTGTCAATCCCAACACTAAGCCTTCAAATCGTGTGAGTTGTCCCGAGCCAGGATGCGACAAGACGTTCTCCCGCACCGGCAACCTCAACATTCATATCCGAACTGCCCACGAAAACCGCCGAGACTTCATCTGTGGCCAGTCTGACATAGCCCTTGGCGATGTCTCGGCCGGCACAGAGGTCACTGGCTGCGGTCGTGACTTTGCGTCCAAGGCTCAGCTTGGTGAGCACGTACGCACAGTTCATCTTGGCCTTGAGAGTGCTCAAACCCTACGGACGAAACGCAAGCGTCGGAGTGGTGGCTTTCCTCCCGAAGCCAAGAAACCTCGAAAGGACAAGGGCATCCGCAAGACTGCCGCTATTTCGGGCTCCGCACCTCCACATGAGCGGTTTCCTTTTGGCAACGATGAAGACGAGGACGGGACTATGGCCGACAGTATCCTGCTTGACGACGAAGACAATGAGCTAGACGGATCGATGACCATGTATGGAAGCATGCTCTATGACCCGAACGGTGCCTACCGTTATGACGATGGCGAGTATCCAGCTAGCAGCCAGCATTCGCAGTCCCCAGCACTCATGACCAAGCAACCCTTTCCGCAATTCCAGACCAACGAGATCTTAAATGACGGCAACACTTACCAATCATCCTCTTATGGACCGGAGCATTTCGAGTGCGACCTCGATCTGAATACCGAGACACATCCCGGCGCTTTCACTCTCGAGCCAGAGATGTCAAACGCTCTAGACCCGGCGCTATTTCTTTCCACGCCCTCGCAACAGCAGCGGGGCCTTTCCTCTTCGCGTCACTAGCGATCGGCGCTATTCCGGACATTGAAAAGCGATGTCGGGTGTGGCATCGCCCTTTCCAAGTAAAACGATTTGCCATAATGAATTTTCTCCCATTCTTACGACACAACACGAAACCAACATAGAATTGATACCCCAGCGAGTACGTCCACGCGAAGGGCGACTCGAGCGTTCTGCCATTTTGCTAGAAATGCGTGCACTTTCTTTTTGCGGGCGTCAGGGAACCGATTCAAGAGGAAGAATCGAATCGAAAGTAATCACTTCTGCGGAAGACGATTCCCACACACACACACACACACAACGAAGCGCTGCCACGAAGCGGATCTTCCTTCGTGGATGGCATGAGAAGGCTTGTGGTGGTGTAGATAGGTCTAGCAGAAAGTAGCACATCCAAAAAACCTCCTCCTGGGAGAATGTGCAAACTATTAACCCTTCCTTGCACCACGCTACGAATTGCAAGTCAAAACCAGAACTTTTTCTTTTCTGCGAGGGGTTCACTTTCCTCGTGCGAGCTCGCGTTCAGAGGCATCTTCACCATTATTCGTGATTCGTGCTTTCGTGATTCGTATCTCGTGGTCCTCATCAATCATCACTCGGACTATCTGTATGTACAGCTCATAGTCCCAAGCGCTGTGGCTGTGTCTGGCTGTCTTGTCGTCCTCACACTCCCTTCACGCTGCTCACGCTGAGGACCGCCATCGCCTGCTGGCTCGAGCGGTGGGTCTCGCGCCTGCTCTCGTACCTGGGAGTGGTCGCGGCTTGCCTCACTGCTGCCCATGCGGCTTCTACTTTCGCTTCCGCTTCCACTTCCACTTCCACTGACGCTGTTGCTGTCGTCGTTGTTGTTGCCATGGCGGTGAACAACTAGTGCTTGTCCCCGTCCTTCGGCGTGTTCCTCGTTGTCACTACCAGGACCGTTCCTGCCCATGCCCCTGTGTCTGTCCCTGCTCCTGGTCCCACTGCTGCTCCTACTTCTCCTGCTCCTACACCGCTCCGAAATACTATCCTGGGTGTCGTCGTTACGTTGGGGAGGCATAGCGTTACTGTAGCTCCGCTCCCGGCCAGCCTGTGGCTTCGGCACGGGGGTTTGCGCTAGCTCTTGTCCACCACGGGGGCTCATGGACACCGCCACCCCATGCTTCTTTTTCTCCCGACCACCGCCATGGCTATCGTAATCGTAGCCGTAGGGGACCAACCTGCTGCTGGGGATGATGGCAGCGCCGAGGGCATCTGGCCCCAGCGTCGTGTTATCAGCTTCGTTCTCCGATGGTCTAAGGCCCACAGACTGGTCAGAATTGCTTGTGTTCTCCAATTCTCGGTCGGTGCGATTGCCGTCAGATTGCTTGACAACGATATAAATGCTTCTGATGCTTGATTTAGGCGAGCTGGAAGGCTGAAGAAAGATCTTGTAAAGTGTAGAATTCGTGGTTTGCTTCAGGAGACTAGACACTTGTTCCCTTGCTGCAAAAGGCATTCGGGTCAAGCTCTGCTCTGTGCTGCTCTCATCGCTTTCGATACCGAGAGTTGGATCTGAATCTAGGGAGAGAGGTAGTTTCTCAATCCGAGCTTTGGTCCATGCTTTGTTGAGTAATCGCAGTTTGGAATAGCTTTCGTTCCGCCGGATAATCCAGGTCTCATAGCGAGATCCTCTCTCAAAGAGCTTGGTCTGCATTTCGAGCGGTCGTGCATCGGGTAGAAGTCTGCGCATCAGGCCAGGCTTTGGACCTGACTGGGACGATGGTGAGGGCGAACGGAGGCCATTGCTAGCATTCGATTGCCTTCTATCGCTGTTCCCAGAATTAGCGACTGCCAATGGATCTTGTCTGGAAGCTTTGTCTTTAAGGAAAACGCTCTCGCTATGCGCCACCCTGGCACGCTCCAAACGTGGTATGTGTGCAGTATGAGAGCTTTCCTCGTTTGGCTTCGCGGACACATCGTGAAGCGTGTCACTGGGCGGGTATGCATCGCCATTCTTCTTATTCGAGACCGGGATTTTTCCATCTGAAGATGTTGGATGCATGATTCGAGGCGCATCCTCGTGGGTATCAAGCATACTGGCCTCTGTCGAAGTTTCCAAATTGGTCAAAATGCTCCGACCGATTCCCGAGTCAGCATTGGGGTCGTATAGGTCTGACATGCGTATATGATGTTGACTTTCGACAGGTGCGATCTGCTCCTGGCGTGACCCAGGCGGTATCACAGAAGATGTGGGTGTAGCTGTTGCCGCGGCTTTGTCGGGTGGTTGTGAATTAGAGGCCACCACTGAGAGTCGCGGCGCAGGGTCTACCAGGTCCGCGACAATAAGGGAGTCATCATCCGGATCCATGTGAGAACCCTCGCTATATATATCCTTTAGGTTGATGTGGGCGATTCTGAGTTCAAGCATAGCTTGATCACGGCGCAGCTGGGCGAGATGTCGGTCCCGGTGATCTCGCTTGGCCTGTGCCTGTCGATCTGCTGCGTCGACAGTGAAGCGGAACACAGCAAGACGCAACGTGAACTTGACCTGGAGGCCATTCAGAGACCTTTGGAGTCGAGCCACTTGGCTCTCACTGAATGCAAATCTGATCTGAGATCTCTTGCCAAGCGCATCCTGACCAGAGGGTGACGGCTTGGTGGTGAAGCTGGTGAGTAGATGATCAACCTGCTTGAAGACGGTTCTGCATTCGTCAGCATGCTGCAGCGTATCCTGAAACCAGTCAATCTTGATATATCGTGGGTGTTGGTGGACTTTCAGGCTGTGTGCCAGGTCGTCGAGAGTGCGGCAAATGAACTTTACGTCTCCTGCCAACGCTACGAGCTCGTCTTTGGCCGTTGCAACTCGATCCGCGAAGGCAGCCAGTCCCTCCGCAATCTTGAGGCCTTCCGCGGCAAGTGCAACGACGGCAACCACGAAGCTGGGCAGAGCGATGAATTCAGCCATTGCTCCTGAGCATAGTGAGATGTGGAATCAGTCTGACGGGCTGTGAGACCATCGAATCCACCTACACTGCTCGCCAGACATTGTTGTCAAGCTTGAAGAGAGTAATGTCGTGATGACGGAGGTCAGGCTGAGCGTCAGTGAGTTCCTGAAGCTGTCTACCACCATGCCAACCCCATCGGGAAGTGGCAGTGCATCGTGGCTAGCTCTTTCCATCGCGAGGCGTCTGCACGTCAAGATCAGACATGTCTGTTTATCCATCGTCTTTGTAGTCGTCACATTGCCTCGTTGCTCGCCTGGACGAAGTAGTCGCACGTATGCCGAATGCATCGACCAAGGTCGGCTACGTTAGAGATGGGACCATGCCATCAGCGACCCTCCGTGCTTTCCGTGACTGCGGGGCCACTGGCTTCGATTGAGATCTTCTGGAACAGCATGCTGCGTCACCACAGCCTTGACGCTGTCGCGCAGTACCAGTCCGTATCTCGAGACCAGGCTGTTTTCTCATCAAGGGGTATGTTCACGCGGCCCTTTGTGAGTTTCAGCAACGGGCGAGCGCTCCACACCGGGCCGAGCAGACGCTTATGTTAATCAAGCTTGTCTGACGTTTCGATTTCCGAGGATGATTGGCGGTCCGTCATCACCTCAAGTCCCCAAAAACGCCTGTCAGACAAAGGTCATTTCGTTGCATCTGCTCCAAGCACGTTAGGCTTCGATCGACTCTCGACGGCAATACTCCATCTCTGCCCTTCAACGCTCAAATGATGCTTCTCCGACCATTATAATATCTTCGCAAGCCACACCGCTGCCAGACAGGGATCATACGTTTCCAGTAGTGCCGATATAAGCGGTGCAAGATTATCGCAGGCACCTCAAACACTGCCTGATACCGCAACAGTCTCAAAGCGTGAGTAACCATTGCCACAGCTACCGAACCTCGGGGACATGATCCAGACATTTCGGTTCGACTACCTTGTTGATGAATCACATCTGTGGAACTGCCAATCAACCTGAAGCTTGGAAAGAGCAGCTGACATGGACGGCCATGGAAGCAACGGAACCAGGTGAGATATATAACTCCACACGCCCGTTGAGGTGGACCCCAGCCTCAGCATCGGCTCATATATACATGCTGTACATCATTCGCTTCTGCAGCTGGTCATCACACTCTTTCGCAGTCGCTCCTTCATCAGCAAGCACATCATCGGCTTCAGGCACCCCTTACACGAGTCCAATCTTGCACAGGACATCATGCATATCAACTCAGCAACCTTCATCCTCACCCTCTTGACCCTCACACTTGCCGCTCCTCTACCCAGGGAAGGCAACAAGTCGACAATCCAATCCTCACTGTTGCCCCGCGACGACTCTCAAGCAGCTCCACTAGTCTCGCCTCAGGACACGCCAGCTATCCCTAGTCTCCCGCGCGATGAAGTCTACACCCTACCAAAGCTATCCCTCGACGGCGAACCAACAATACCTAGACTTCCCCGCACAGACAGTCCTGTCGTCCCACAATCTCCCCCTCAAGACACCCCTTCAACGCTACGGCTGCCGCGGGATGATACACCAACACCACTGCACCAGCTTCGAGAGGAAATCTCACCACTACCACGCCTCCCCCGACAAGCTGAGAAACGCACACTCGACCTGGTGACGCCTGTAAATCCATCCATCGGCATTCCAGTCGTCTCCCCAGGCTCAGATGCCAAAGCGTGATGTCTATTCCTGGCTTCTTCGATACTTCATGACGATGGTTGCGGTGTTTTACGTCTGATTGTGAGCTTTAGTACGGGGTTTGACGAAGCAGTGAAATGCAAGGTTGCCACTTTTCCAATCCAGCCAGCCAGTCATTAGTGTTTTTTTTTTGCTCCTCAATTTGTTTCATTTTCGAGCCACGCTTGTCACGATTCCTGCTCTGCAAAATATAGTCGTCTCCGGCATGCTCAAAGCTGAGTAGTATGTATGCTATGCTCGAACTATAGAAATGTTCGTTGAACGGTTTGAGCCGCTGCTTGGGAAACCCCTCGGTGCACCAGTCGAGGCAGCTAGCAGCAGTGGTAGCGCATCGACGTAGCCCGCACGGTCGGAAGGGGGGGTTCAACTCGCAACAGGAGCGTGGACACGGCGCGGCGCGAGAGAGACACACAAGGCGCACCATCATCACACGTGCGAGTCCTTTTGAAAGAGGCATTCCATAAGAGGCTACAGTCATGACTATGCGACAGAATGATCATGATTCTATATTTTTGCGCGGCCGAGGGGTGGAGGTGAGGCCTCGCTTCCTGCTCACACGCGATATCATCCGACGGAATACTTCGAACATGAAATGCTCCCATCGTTTTCTGTTTCAGAAGGCGGGGCTTCGTAACCCACATCAGAAAACCCCAGGTAAAAGTGCAGCACGAGAGCTGACTTTGTCCTCCACTTGGAGCATTCAGGCAGTGAAAGCTTGGCATGCACCATCATAGCTTGAACTTCTCCAGATACTCTGTAGCAGCCTTGAGAGCGTCGTCGACTTTCGACACATCTGTGCCGTTCCCGATGGCTACGGGCGCCTTGCCACCAGCTTTGCCGCCAACGAGGTTAGACACAGTGGCGGACCAGTCTGAGGAAGAAATGCCGGCCTTGGCACCAGTCTATCGTCACGTTAGCACACTCGTCGAGTCGTCTGGGGGGTTGGAACTGCTTACCTCGCTCACAAAGCAACCGTGAACAACACGTCCGCCCTCCACATCCTGCCCGTCGGCAGCCACAACGTACACGGTCTTGTCCTTCATCTTCTGCTGCACATGTTTGACCACGTCTGGCAGAACTCTCGCATTGCCGCCGATTGGCAGACGCACGACAGCGGCCGAGGCGCCCTCATTCTTCGCAAAGTATTGCGTGACAGCATCGATAGCCTTCTTGGTCTCCTCCTTCTGCGCCTTCTTTTGCTGATCCAGAATCTCCTTGCCGATCTTGGCGTAGCGATCGCGAAACTGTGCTTTGCGGATGGCTGAGATTTCGAGGCTGTTGAGCTCAAGCTGCGTCGTCTTGGCCTCTTGCTCCTTGGCCGGGCCAAAGGGCATCTTGGCGAGCTTGTCGAGCTTCTCAGAGAACTCATCGGCGACGCGCTGGACCTTGTAGGCATCCTCGCCAGTCACGGCGATGATACGCCGAATACCCTTGGCGATACCGCTCTCCTCAATGATGACCAGCTCTTTTATATCGCCAGTACTTCGAACGTGAGTGCCACCGCAGAACTCGAGGCTGACTTTGCGCCAATTGGGGTCCTTAACATTCTTGAGGATGTCGTCAACCTCCACACCGACGGAGACGACGCGTACAGGGTCTGGATAAGTCTCGCCGAATACTGCACGCACGCCCTCGATCTCGCGGGCAACGCTGAGTGGCACGTCCTTGGCGTAGACTGGAACATTCTGACGGATGTACTCGGTGGACTGGTCTTCAATGGTTTGTAGGTCTTTGTCTGATACTGCAGCCTTGTGGCTAAAATCGAAGCGCATCTTCTCTTGAGCAACCAACGATCCCTTCTGGTCAATGCCATCGCCGAGCACTTCTCGCAGGGCAAAGTTAAGAATGTGCGTCCCGGTGTGATTGTTCCGGATGGGACCTCTTCTGGACTCGTCGTATTCGCAGATTGTGGTGTCGCCGACGTCAAACTGACCATACTTCATGTAACCCGTATGCAGAACGTAGCCAGCGTATAACTGGACATTCTCCACACCTAGCTCGGCTTGACCGTCAATGACGATCTTACCAGTGTCGTACTCTTGGCCACCCTGCTCAGCATAGAAATTGGTCTTGCTGAGAATGAGACCAACTTGCTCACCCTCGGGGATGTCTTTTGTGCTGTCGTGGAACTTTCCGGCGTGGTAGATGGCTTGAATATTGCCATCGACGTTTTCTCGGCCGTACTTGGCGGAGTCGTCGGTCTTGGTGACTTGTGGCATCTTCTCAAGCTCACCAAGATCGTGCACGGTCAGCTTCAACAGGTCACTCGCAGCCTTCTTCTCGCCCTTGCTGGCCTCTTTGGCTTGTAATCTCGCAGACTCGAATTCGTTGTCATCGATCGACAGTCCTCTCTCTTCTGCCATGAGTCTAGTCAGATCGACGGGGAAACCATACGTATCGTAAAGTTTCCAGACATCGGCACCGTGCAAGCTCTTCTGGCCCTTCTCCTTGCTCTTGGCAGCATAGCTCTCGAATTGCTTCTCTCCCCGGTCTAACGTCTTCGCAAAGGACAGCTCCTCTTCGTCTAGAATCTCTTTGACTTCATCCTCTTTTGCAGCAATCTCCTTGAACATTCCGCCCATATGTTGTACAAGGGTAGGGACAATCTTCGAGAAGAAGCTGCCGATCTCAACATTAAAGTACTTCCGCGCGTATCTTGATCCTCGCCTCAGTACTCGGCGAACAACGTAACCTCGACCTTCACTGTTGGGGATGGCGCCATCCGTGATGGCAAAAGTGAGCAGCCTAACGTGGTCGGCAACAACTCGGTAGGCGGTGTCGATGCCGTCCTTGTCTTCCTCTCCAAACTTGCCCTCGTACGGCCTCGCTCCAGTAATTTCTTGGATCCGTGCAAACAGAGGCGTGAAGACGTCGGTATCGTAGTTGCTGAGCTTGTTCTGTAGCACACTGACTAATCGTTCGTAGCCCATACCAGTATCAACATGCTTATTAGGTAGAGGCTTCAGACTCTTGTCCGGCTCTCGATTATACTGGATGAAAACGTTGTTCCAGATCTCGAGGACATTCGGGTCGTCCATATTCACCAAGTGAGCAGCATTTCGGCCACCTATACGGTCGTAGTGAATCTCGGAGCAGGGTCCGCAAGGCCCTTGGTCGCCCATTTCCCAGAAGTTGTCCTTCATGTCGCCAGGTAATATGTGGTCATCTGGTACGCCAACACTCCTCCATATCTCTTTCGCCTCCAGATCGGGCTCGAGGCCACCCTCGGGGTTACCCTCGAAATATGTGACATAGAGCCGGTCAGGGTCCAGACCAAAAACCTTGGTGAGTAGCTCCCAGCTGTAATTGATAGCCTCCTTTTTGAAGTAGTCGCCGAACGACCAGTTGCCTAGCATCTCGAAGAAGGTGTGGTGATATGAGTCTTTGCCAACATCGTCGAGGTCATTGTGCTTGCCCCCGGCGCGAATGCATTTTTGAGAGTTGACAGCGCGTTTCCACTGGCCTTCTTTGGAAGAGGGGTCGACAGTTCCCAGGAAGATAGGCTTGAACTGGTTCATACCAGCATTGGTGAAGAGTAAGGTAGGATCTGATAAGGGCACCACAGGGGAGGACTTGACTAGAGGCGGGGTGTGAGTCAGGTACTACAGGGAGATGTTTGAGCCACAATACATACCAAAGGTGTGACCACGCTCCTCAAAATACTTCAGGAAGGTATCTCTGACCTGCTGGGCACTCCATTCGGGAGCCCCTGTCGAGCTTGTCGTCGCCATTCTGATGGTGGTCGAGGGGTAGCAAGGTGGCAGGATTTTTGCGGGCGGGTTTCGGAGCACAGAATGGCTGCGGCCGAGCGCAACGGTGGTCTTAAGGGAGCGGAAGGGTGCAGAGGAATGAGCCAAACGTCTAGGAAAGGCGTGAGTCACCGCGGCACACGAGCTCGTTGCCAGACAGTACGCGCTCCAAAAAGTCGGAGGTGGTGCCAGTATGAGGCTGGTGGGCACGATCGCGCCTCGGCCGCTACCGCGAACCTGCATTCACAGCCAGTGTTTCTTTCAGCTTCCATGCATCCGCCCAACTCTCACCGTTATCAGTCTCACCTTGTCGCTTCTCGACTTTACTTCATCGTGTCGCAAGCCGCAAAGATCCCTGATGAGCTTCGCTTTTGCTATCGATAACGTCGCTCGGGCTCGGGAGAAGTGAAACCAAGATGCGATCGAGCTGAAGAGAGTGGAGTGCATAATCTACCAGCGACCAGTGACCCCTCTTCGACGCCGCGTGCCTATACACCACCGCTTTTCAGATGGCACTTCCTGCCAATCCAGCATCTCCCTCCTCGCCATTCCACTCGCCTTCTGACTGGTTCACTGAACACACGCAGCGCACCCACAGGAACACGTCGCGTGGCCAGAAACGACGAGCAGATGACGATGCAGATCCTCCTCCCACCATCTCCGGGGGGTTCAAGAAACTCCGCATTAGCCCTCCTCGGCCTCCTCGAACGATAGATCGATCGCATGGGTCGGATGTAGACCTCAACTATGCGCAGAATCGCACCGCCTCGCCAGCGGAGCCTTACCAGCCGCCAACAGTGACTGGCGACCAGGACCACGACCTAGTAGATCAGCCAATATACCATGAATCTACACATCAACTGCACCATCCAAGGCCGATCACGCACCGAAATCAGCTCTTGCCTAATCAGAACCTATGCGACACACCTCCCCCCCAGCGTCTGCCCTCCAACAATGAAGACTTCATGCCAGTCGACGACCACCCACATCGTATCTTCATTAGCGATTTGGATGCAGCCATAGCGGAGATTGAGGCAGAAGAGCGTGCCGCCAAGGAGCAGGAACAGGAGCGAGCCTTTTTTCTCCCTGATGAAGTCGACAAGGAAATCTCCTCAGCCCAAGACTCGATCTTGAAGGGCGCCCTGCGCGCCGGCGCGCCCCACGCCGGCCCCAGCCAGGCTCTCGTGCTCTACAGAGATCCTTTGAGCATATCTGTACCGGAAGAAACAGATGCTGTCCGCAAAGCTGTCCATGAAGCCCGGCAGCGCATTCGAGAGCGAGGTCGCCAATCAAGCGATAACGAGGACCAAGCTCTATTGGTTGAACCACCTCCTGTGGCTGAGCATGAGATCTTTGGCTACCCGCTAGATCGACAATGGGCCGCTTGGCAACACAACAACGATTCTATACATTCTGAGAACCATGATCCAGATGCCATGGAGGTAGAATGAAGAACGAATGCTCTAAGGTCGAGTTCATGTGCAGACCAATGAATTGAGAAGCCCGACTTACTACACAAGACCGATTGAGCACCACAGTAATCTCTACAAAGTGATGAGACACATCTGCACTGCGGCACAGTCGTTTGTGTGCCTCGTCAGAGATACGAATGAGCGTGAGGTCGAGGTTCGCTTGGAGTTTATCGTCCTCGAGCTCAAGCGCCTCCTGCTCAATCCAACGCTCTTCCCATCATATTTTGCTCGAGTCAAGTTCTTAGCTTTCGTCGCTCTCGACTCCGAGCTTCAGTTCAAGGAAGCGTGTGGCAATCATATTTTGGAGCACGAGGTCTGAGAGCTAGAGGCAGTTTGACGACGGTTAGCTACTGCCTACACGCTCTCCGGAGCTCTCATCCACATCACATATCTCTGCATCAAGACGTCTTCTCCGTCTCCGGAGACTGAGAAGCCATCTCACGATCGATGTGGTGATCGAGCCATGGTCCGTCGAGTATCTCCATCATCTCTGCGTTGGGACGCTCCGAGCAATGGCGCAACAGAAGCGTATGAGCCCTTGTGAAGCATGCGAGAGCGAAGGAGACGGTGACTGGAAGTTCGTTCATCTACCAACCGGAAGCACTCGATCCCAAGTAGCAGTGCCCGTGCCTGACGGTAGGGACGAGGACGCCAGGCGAGTTGCGCCAAGCCATCGAGCATGTTGCACGATCCTCACGCAGCCCACGAGAGGGGGGAGCATCTTCAGTCGAATAAAGACAAAATGCGAGCGCCTATGAGATAGAGTGTCGTGGGTTCCAGAGGCGGCTCAGGTTGCGTACCCGTGAGTTTCAGCAGAGTCTAGAAGGAGAGATGAAGAGCCGCTAACTTGAGTGACCTGCCACGCTGCCGACATGTGTTGAACAACCTCATCTGATGCATCTGAATTTTTGTTCTACATAAAGACGTGGCCGATGATGACATGCAAGAGTTCATGTCACCATTTGCCGCACATTTAGCTCCTGCTTGCTAATACCAAATGACATGCACCTGACAAGTCTAATTCCTGATTCCTGAATTTCGCGATGCCTTTGCCCTCGCTATGAAAACAACAGGTGGCTCCCACCCCAAAAACGCCACGCTTCGATGTGATGCACGCAACCTCGATTGCTCTTAGCGGCCCTGTCCTGCAGCATTTGAAGGCATGCTTGGGCCCATGCTGGTGGTGCCTACTTCCTGAGCATATGCTTGGTTCGGGTTGGTCTTGTGCGCGTTGACGTTGCTGCCGTCGGCAGGGGGGGCGTAGGCTGGCAGCCATTCAGGGGTACCGTACTGCGGAGGTGGCGGGCCATAGTGGTTGACGGGGTGCATGCCGTAGCCGGGCGTGTACCACTGGCGCTGGATGTAGGGATTAGGCAGGTTGGGATGCGCGGCATGGAAGGCAATGCGTTGGCGGCGAGGGATCATCCACTACGCAGAACAAGTCAGCAAAGGGGGACCGGACAAGAAGATGGGGAGACAAGAACGTACGCGGTGGTAGGAGAGTGGCGCGAGACCCTTCTTCATGCGCTGCTTGGCGTGGATGTAGCCTCCGAAGAAGAATAGCAGGCAAGCCGCCATGAGGCCGCCGAAGACAGCCCATTTGATCACATAGCTGGTGTAGCTGACGCAGCCCCAGTAGTTGCAAACGATGTCGTCGTCGTCGGCCCGAGGGATGAGGTGTAGGGACGGCATGTTGACAGTTGTGGTTGAGGGATGTTTAGATGGATGAAGGTGAAGTCGAGGCGATGATTAGGAGAGAGAAAAGACTATCGATGGTTGAGGAATGCGTAAGGTACGTCGCGCTGTCTCGGGCAGGAAAGATCTGTGTTTCACAGGATTGTTCGAGGGGTAGATTGCTTGGTGACGAGTCGAGGGGTGGAAATGTGCAGTGGCGTCAATAGCCGGTCTTGGAGCGAGTGGCGCACAGGCGACCCAGTGAAGGTGTTGAACGTGCAATGAGTGCTATGCAGAAACGAGGGGACTCAATATTGAAAGAGAACACCGAGTGCTGGGACAGTGAGTGCAACGCGAAGAGGGAGGCGCAGTCCAGGAGGACGCTTGAGTGGCTGGCAACGGTCGTCGCCCCAGACACGTCTTGTTCCGGCTTTGTCGCAGCCTTTTTGGGTGCCAACAAGGCTCCACCAAAGGGCAACACCCGAGAGCCTAAAAATGGCGCCGGGGTGGCCCCGTGTTTGATTGGATGTGTGCGAGGGCAAGAATGCGCGACTGCCACTAGCTCCATCGAGAGGCGAATGCGCCCTGATGGGCAGTTCACACAGAATCGATAAAGGCAAGCCAGATTCTAAACGCCTTGACTTGCATCCAAACTAACATGCAACGCGAGGCGGACGACAACGACAAATAGTAGTCCGATGTTGACTACCTCAGCTCAACAATAAAGGGGCTTCAACGCCAAAGCTCTATGCTATACACTACTTACGAGTTCAATCCGGATCTTCCACCATGTCTTCCACTGTTGCGTGCTTCGATGGAGCATTACTCGACGTGGATGCTTCCTGAGCAGACTTAGGCGCAACTGTATTAGTGGCCGACTCAGCTTCGACTTGCCTATCGCTGCTTTCTCCGTTTCCCTGCGCGTCTGATGGCGAGCCCCAAATAGGGAGCGACTCTGGTGCAGAAGGCGCCGCAATGGATGGTGCTGATGGAGGTTGGACATGGCTGTCGCCGTTCTGCTGTACGGGTGGTTCTTGGCTGGGCACGCTTTCTCCATTTGTAGTCGGTACAGCGGTAGTGCTTACTGTTGGTCGATCAATGCTCGTCTGTGTGCTCGATGCCTCTGCGCTGGACGGCGGTGCTTGGACCGGATTGCTCATTTGGCTGCCAGTAGTCATGGTTTCGCCATCTGTCTGACCGGGCAAGTTGAACATGGCTCGGATATGATCAGGTACGGCCGGGACGGTCATTGGTGGTGGTTGTTGTGAGGTGGGCGGGGCCGCCACTGGTTGCTGAGGTGTCATCTGAGTCATTACCGAAGGCATTTGTCCAGCCGCTTGAGGAGCAGCAGCGGGTCGGAGAGGCATCAGCGTCCACCCCTCCGGAATTGTAAGTCCTGGCGGAAGCTGGTCGCTTCCCGCCGCAACTAGCTGCTCGCCTGACGCTGCCTGCAGGACCTGTACTGGGCGCACTGGAGGTAGTGATAGCCCGGGTGCAGGCTGAACTCCTGCTGCAGCTCCTTGGGCTCCCGTCTGGTTTCGGCTTGCACGCACTCTGTCCAGCTCGACTTGCATTGATCTCAACAGAGCGTACTCCCTCGAGCTCTGCGCTAGAGCTTGCATTTCTTGCTGAATCTGCTGCTCAACGCTATCCAACTGCTCCCTCAGCGATCCTTGAGGTTCTCTGTGTCTCCGCCGAGTTCTGTGCCTCCCATCCCACCTGATGCCGAAGCCATACTGTTGAGGAGCATTCTGGTCACCTCGAGGGCCTGCCGCAGCTCTTCCGTCGGCAAGCTGCTGCTGCAGTTCCTCAAACATATTGTTGCCCCTGGCAGCGCCAACGCCGATGCGTAGTGGACCGAACTGGTACACTCTGGGTCCCGGTCGATCACCTGGTGGGTGCTGTCCCGGCTGACCATTGGCTCCTGGCTGTACAGCAGTGGTCGGACCTGTGGCTGGAGTGGGCACGACCGAGCGCCTGCAGGTCGGACACACTTGTTGTCTCTCCAACCAACTTCTGAGGCAGGCAAAGTGCAGGACATGCCCACAAGGTAGTTTCTTTGGTCTCATTCGCTCTACCGCTGGATTCGCAGGTGGTTGTCCTGGTGCAGGAGCCTGGTAGGGTCGCATCTCCTCCCTGCAGATGATGCAGACATCCTCCCTCCCGATCTCGTCTGCATTCGCATCGGGATATCTTTCGTTCATGTCTCTTGTGGCTGTCCGATATTTCATGAAATCAGAAATCCGCTTGAAGAACGAGCGTGTTGTAAGGAAGACGTCCCTCATGATATGGATAGGCAGTCCGTAGAATACCAGCAATATGATGAAGAATGACAGGTAGACAACGAGTTTGAAGAAGTCAGTTGCCAGGTCCAGGTAGAAGACCCATCTTCCTTTCGTCTCCCAGCCCTCAACTTCGACCTCGTTGTCATCGACGGGTTGTTCGGCTCGCCGCAGAGCCGCACGTGCATCTTCGACGGACATAGCAGGAGTTGATTCAGTCGTATCGGCTGGAGGCTGTGCGACTCTGCGTTCGGCGGCTTCGAGGTCTCCCCTAGCGGCGTCCATTCGCTCCCTGCGCATCGTTTCTGCTCGAACTCTTTTTTGTTCCCTTACCACGCCCATCTCAAACAGCTGAATGGCGTACCGAAATGCGGTACTGAGGCTTGAGATCGATAGTATAGCGAATTCAAACCCAAACATGACCATCATGTCCGGCTTGGCCATGCGCATGACTTGAAGGATGATGTACTCAAGCATGGACACGTCAAAGGCGACGCTCAACCCCAGACTCAGAGCGAGTCGAGTATGGAACAACTTCGGATTTCGCGGTGGCTGTTGTTCAAGAATCTCGACTCTTCCCTCGCCAATCCAACCCCATACTTTTCCCGCCAACAACGAGAAGAACATGACCAAGAACCAAGGCCCTATCTCGCCTCTGAAAATTGTCATGGCCAAACATGTTTCTGTCACGGCAAACCAAGCTTTCTCGTACAACTGCTCGATTTCGATCGGACGGAGCGGTCCGTATAGAAGCTTCTGCAAACCAAATAATACTGTACAGGCGGTAACGAAAATGAGGTTCGTAAGGATCATGAGATTCGCTGAGGATTGCGAGAGGTAAACGGCGGCTGAGTAGAAGTTTGGCCGTTGCGCGAGGGCTTTGAGAATGACGAAGCCGGCCAGAGCCGTTGAGACCTGAGTCAAGATATTAGATATCGTGTCTAACAGCAGTAGCAGCTGTACTCACTCCAGCATAAGCCGTCCACCTCATCCGCACGCGCGCCGGCATGATGTGTAGTATTAGTAAATGTTCGCAACCCGGGCTATTGGGGTAGCTGGGCCGCGTGATTAAGTAGGGAGTTCCCCCGTGGCAGATGGCACTGAATCATCTGCGCATCAGACGATGTATGAATAACAGACAACGGAAGTCAGACCCAGAATGTTCAGAAATCTGATGGCAACGGACGCATAGTGTAACTTAGACGTTGCGGCAAACGATCGTCATAGGTGTCCTGATGCCGCTACACGTTCAAGTTAGAGCCGCCGGAGTCGTCGCCCGGAGCTTAAGTCCCCGCGAGCCTTGCCCAAGCCTTGTTGCCCCAAATCTAGCCTTGCTTGCCCCAGCACCAAAAGCCAGCAGACATCGTTCCGTGCTTCTCTTACCGCGAGCACTATGATCACGACTGATCACTGCTACGTACGCCGAGCTCCATCAGCTCTCCATGTAGACCGAGCGATTTCGCTGACATACAACTCTCACCAGACTCTCATTCATAATTGCCATCTCACTCATAATTGTCTGGCTGACGAAAAGGGTCAATGATAGGTAGCAGACGTCCTCTTCTTCCTATATCGACATATTTGCAAGGGGCACCTTTCTCAGTGCTCTTACGGCAACATTTTCGTCTCACAGCCCCCGGTGGCCGATCTCCTAGCCTGGCTACTGATCATTCGATTCGACAAGCAGGGCGAGGGTGCAGACCCTATCCCATCGGACTTCCACGTGCCTGCTTATAATGCCCAGTGTTTGATAAGGAAGAACGACGATCCCTACTGCTAATTCGTACTCTCGTCGTCGTCACTGGTCCCTCGCTTGCAGCTCGGCGGGGACTTAGCCGGGCCGGTGTTCTCTCGAGGTACTCCAGCTCGTGGGCTGTCAGGGATGAACATGCTCCTCATCCGTACAGCTGATAGGGGAATAGACACGCTGTAAGAACGGCCCAAGTGAGAACTAACTCGACTTCCCAGTACTGATAAGTGCTTCATAGACTTTGACAACCCCAGTCCCGGTGTTGTTGCAAGAATGGGGCCCTGTGCTCCGTATCAGACGAGCATATCAGTGGAACCCTCCAGCTCCATCGCTCATACCCCGGCGAAGCGATAACTGCTGAGCGGATACATCCACCATGTACCATAGCTAAGGGCTGACCTACAAATCATGCCGAAACCCACGCACTGCGTAGTCCATCCCTTCTGGAGTACAGTCCTCTTTCGCCAGCTCATTACGAACACCCCAGCATTCGCAACATGGCTGACACCAGCAAGAGCAAGCATCAAGCCGCTGGCAACGGTGGCGAGATCAGTCCAGTTCTCAGCGACGACCATGCCTCAGTAGAAAAGGGCTCTACGAAAGAAGATAACTTCGAGGTGTTCAGAGATGATGGCGATGTCGCGTTTCGCACTGTGGGCTGGATATGGGCGACCGCCATCTTCTTGAAGATCATTTTCGCGACCGGTGTTCTCACAATTCCTACAGCCATGGCAGCCCTTGGATCTTTCCCTGGTGCTGTCAACGTCCTTGGCTGGCAGGCCGTCAACACCTACAGTGGTGTCCTGATGGGCGATTTTCGCAATCGACATGCGGGCGTCCACTCGGTGGCAGACATGGCGCAGATTGTCGGTGGCAAAATACTACGAGAGATTATCGGCTTCCTCTTCATCATCACCTGGGTTATTGTCGCCGCCTCCGGCATAGTGGGCGCATCCACCGCACTGAACGCACTTTCAGAACATGCTCTTTGCACAAACTACTTTACGCTGATCGTGGCGCTTGTCATGGCTGGATTGGCTGGAATCCGCAAGTTCGAGCACATAGGGTGGTTGACCTGGGCTGGTTTCGTAACGATTTATGCTGCAGTATTGATCGTCGTGTAAGTCGAACCAACCCCACCCCTCAAAGACTTAGCTAACGTGACCAGTATTGGCGTCACGCAGCGAGACCGACCAGCTGCAGCGCCCCAGAGTGGTCCATATGAATTAGGGTATACCGTGTTTGGATCACCTGACTTCGTAGCAGGCATCAACGCGGCCACATCCATTTTCTGCTCTGGATCCGGCACCAGCGCTTTTATGCCTGTGATCAGCGAGATGCGTAACCCCAAGGATTACAAGAAGTCGCTCTTCGTATGTATGGGCATCGTCACCGCATCGTATTTGACCTTTTCACTGGTCGTATACTACTACTGTGGCGTTTGGGTCGCTTCTCCATCACTTGGCTCTGCTGGCGGTACGATAAAAAAGGTCGCCTACGGTGTGGGGCTTCTCGGGCTACTGGTAACGGCTTCACTCTACACGCATGTTGCCGCCAAGTATCTGTTTGTAAGGATACTGCGAAACTCCAAGCACTTGCAGAGCAACACCGTGGTTCACTGGGGAACGTGGCTCGGCTGTACCCTGAGTCTATCTGCTGTCGCTTTCGTCATCGCTGGAGGTGAGTACTGTCGCATCTAGTCATGTCGGGGCCCAAAAGTCCCAGTGACAAGCAGTCACTGGACCAGATCGCTAATAGCTGTCAAGGTGTCCCAATATTCAACTACCTCCTCAGCTTGGCAGGCAGTGTTGGCTTCGCAAGTATAACCATCACTTTGCCAGCATACTGCTATGTCTATGACCACAAGTCGTTTCGAACGGGTACAATGATGCAACAAATCAAGTACTGGTTCCACTGGTTTCTCATTTCGCTGGGCACGTTTTTGACGGTGGCCGGCACGGTCAGTTTCACTCCTCACCTGACATAGTACTCATCACTGACGAAATCACAGTATGGAGTGGTTCAAGCAGTTATAGATGCCTACGCCAATGGTGCAGTCGGAAGAGCTTTTGACTGCGCCGATAACAGCGGCACTGTGGTTTGAGACTCTTCAAGATGAGGACTAGTCAAGCAGAGTCGGAGTACTTTCTGCAGCAATCTGCAGAGGAAACTCAAAAGATATATTCAGACTGAGGTAACTTTTGAATGTTCGTCTGAGTGAGATTTGTTGGTAAGGCTTTGACTGAGCGTTAATTGAAAATACGTATAGAATTGTTGAATTCGGCATAAAGAAACGACTCAACCAGACTCATCAGCAGGTTCCGATGGCGCAGACGTATCAGTGCGAGCTTTTCTAAAATGCATGAACTTCTGATACATCCTATGATTACACCAAAACGTATTGGAGACTACGTGGTAATAATGGATCGAGGAGGTATCATCCAAGACCGAGCTACTAAAAGTGTCAGTCACGTGGATCAAGCTCACCTCGGGCAACAAGGATATTTGGCAATTCCCTACTGGCTTGTTTGCGCATGCCGCCAGACGGCTTCAGAAGCGATCTATTCTTTCGCATCAGGCATACAGATATCTATACATTGCTCGGCTTGTGGACGCTGCGGACGCCTAAACGAGGCGATCGTCTGCCAAGACAGACATAGTCCTAAAAATACCTGCATTGCGAATTAGGCGTCCATTACCCTAGCCTCGTCAGCGCCCGACATATCTCTCCTAACCTTTCACTACATTGCATGGGCTCGATTCAAGCGATCGACGGGCCAATGGGAGCTTCGTGGCTCAATTACGGCTTCGAAATTTCCGAATAGAGCTCAAAATTCCATCTCCGCCCTCCAAAAACGCACATCCGGGGCTTGTTACAAGTCTGGTGTGGATACAGGGCAGTCCTCTCGAATGCCTTGTGGCGAAGCAATTAACTCTACAACAGCATCATGCCTCTACTCGACCAGTATATAATCCTAGAGTCTCCGTATGATATTAACAGACCAGAACACTTTCACGCTACTCATCACTTATGGCATGTGCTACGACCCCGTCCAGATACTACACATTGCACAATGATTCAAGCTCGTCTCCTGTGAATGCAGCCCCAAGTCTAAACCCGGCATATCCGCCACGAGAACCATCACCACTAAGAAATTCCACCTCTTGTTCACGATCACCGTCGCCATCAAGGTCGCCTCCACGATTCGGTCGGAATGTGTTTAAAGTTGGGTGTCGAAACAGCAAACCAACACCACATGACGATCAAATACCATCACGGTGGACTAGGACCGCTCAGGATGCCTGGACTTGGGAGATAGCCACGGGCGCACTCTGTATAGCTCTGCTTGCCACAATTGCCGGTATCCTCTTCGGCTACGACGGAAAGCCGACTCCCAGTCTTCCTGAGAGCGTCACCGTACGCATACTATGTCCGATTCACGATCTCTCGCCTAACGAAAACAGATTAACGCCATTATATCAGTCTTGTCGACTCTGGCTAAAGGCTGCCTGCTTGTAGTTGTGGCTGCTGCTCTTCGACAAGAACGCTGGCTCCACTTCAGTCGAAATCCTGCCGCCCTCAGCATCACGGATGAGTACGAAGAAGCTAGCAGAGGACCTTGGGGTTCTATGCTGCTTGGAGTAAAGGCTAGAGGAAGGTGAGGAAGCTCTTTGAAGCTGTGAGGCGTGGCTAACTATCACCAGCCTTCGTGCATTGCTTCTCGCTGCTGTGACGGTACTGGCTTTTGGCTTCGAAGCATTCCTACAGCAGTTAATCATACTAGAACCAAACAATGTCCCAGTTCACGATTTGAGGCAAGCCTCAATTCGAACACCGACGGCATATAACGAGACTTCAGCCCTAGTCAGCGGTACAGGGGGCGGTTCACGGCTTGTACTGGCGGCCTCGATCGGTGCCTTCGGAGGAGCCAGTGGAGCCATCCCTCAGCCATTGTGTCCTACTGGAAACTGCACGTGGCCCGAGTATAACACGCTTGCCATGTGCAGTGTGTGTGAAGACACGACAGATCAGGTCACCGTTGAAGGCAGTGCGTTCAGCAATGAAACCAACTTCAATGATGTTGTTGCCCGATATGCACAGAATGCCAACTCATCGACAACTCAAAACCTAGTATTCAATGCAACATTCCGTGTCCCAACTGGAAACTCTCCGACAATCAACATACCTTTCAACCTAGCTGGAAGTGATCCAGTCAACTGGAACATCGTCAGGCCCAGGAGGTACACCTGGAGTCTGGATATCGACCCGACCCCTGACAGCCACTGGACCCGGAATTGGCAGAACAAAACCTTTGCCGGTGTCGACGGCCCGCTATACTCCATGGGCTACCTCGACATGGATTTGAATGAGGACCACTCTAGAATGGTCTTGAATCAAGCCGTCGAATGTGCTCTTACGCCCTGCGTGCGTACTCAGCAGTCGGTCATGCAAAACTATGTCCTGGACTCAGCCATCAATGGTACCAATTATGGTAGTATAGAGATGTCTGTGCAGCAGCCTGACGGCTTCTTGACCTCGGGATGGCGCGCTAGTGTCAATGGTACAGACTTTGCCGTTGTTGATAATGGACTTCAGAACTACGATGGCTCAGCGAACGACTTTGTCAGATCTCTCAGAATCGTGCTCGAAGGAAACTCTACGTACACTCGAGCTGGTACCTGGTATGGCAACAATGAGCCGCAGAACAACGATTATGACATAACCACGTCGAGCCAGACTAGCAGCCCTTGGAGCTCACCAGGGCAACAGGCAATCGACGGAAATGGCAACTTCACATACATCGCCGAACAGGTCGGGCGAGCAGTCACAGGAAAGCTGCAAGAGCTCCAGAATTTGACGCTTAGCGGCACTGTGCTCCGGTCGGAGGTTATTGTGCGTGTTAGATGGGCCTGGCTTGCCGGTCCTCTGGTACTCATCCTATTGGGCCTTGGTGGCCTGGCTGCCACTATCCTTGCTACGAAGCGGAATCGTCTGCCGGTCTGGAAAGACTCTCTATTGCCGTTGTTGCTAAGATTTGATGGCAATAAGGATGGTCTGAATGAGCGTACCGAAGTGGGTTGGGAAAGACTGAACGCTGCCTCCTCCATTACGAAAGAGGCGGAATCAAAGCACATGCACCTAATCAGAGTGCAAGACTCGCCGCAAGAAGTGTCTCTCGTATGGCTACTGGCACCCGTGTCATCGGAGAAGGAACTACAATCGATGGACGCGCAAGAGATTGGAGTGGCAAGATAGAATAGGTCCATTCACGTCGCTCACGTGACCAGGCAGCAGTAGGGTGAACCGCAAAGCCACCTGACGAACTGAGAATTGGGGAACCGTGTCAACTTATTCTGGCGCAAAGTACACCCGCCACGTCTGTGCACGGGATTCCTACGGACATTGCATCTTCGACGTCGTAGCCGCTCCTTTGTTGACCTACTCATTCGATAACAGCAGCCGCTTGCAGCCATTGCGCTGCCGATGAGCTCAATGCGAGGCCACCTTTAGAGCCCTAACATATCACACTCCCTTCAGTATAGAAACGGGCCTCCCCCAATCCGAGTTGTTACCATCATGCCGATCAAGTCGAGATTCCATAGGCTAGATGCCTTTACAAAGACCGTTGAAGATGCGCGAATACGGACAACCTCTGGTGGAATCGTCACCATCGCCTCGTTACTCCTGATTTTGTGGCTATCATGGGGCGAGTGGTCGGACTATAGGAAAGTCGAGGTCAGTCCTGAGCTGATCGTTGATAAATCAAGAGGTATGCGGCATTTCTATGCTTGAAAGGCACGAAATTGACACTTTGCACAGGAGAGAAGATGGAGATCCACCTCAACGTGACCTTTCCTCGCATCCCCTGCGAACTCCTGACCCTCGATGTGATGGATGTGTCTGGTGAAATCCAGGCGGGCGTCCAGCACGGCATCAACAAAGTCCGCCTCTCTCCTCTGTCTCAGGGCTCGATCGTCCTCAGCACCGAAGCCCTTCAGCTCCATGCAGACGCTCCGGAGACCAAGCTTGACCCAGACTACTGCGGCAGCTGCTACTCGGCACCAGCTCCTCCCAGTGCAAAAAAGGCTGGTTGCTGCAACACCTGTGAGGAGGTGCGCGAAGCCTATGCTGCCAACTCATGGGCTTTTGGGAAGGGCGAGGGTGTTGAGCAGTGCGAGCGCGAAGGATACGGTCAGCGGTTGGACTCGCAGCGGCAAGAGGGTTGCAGAATCGAGGGTGTCGTCCGCGTCAACAAAGTGGTGGGCAATTTCCACTTTGCGCCGGGCCGCAGCTTCAGCAACGGTAATATGCACGTGCATGATCTGCAAAACTACTTCGATACACCGGTTGAGGGCGGCCACACGTTCACGCACGAGATCCATCACCTTCGTTTTGGACCTCAGCTACAAGACGAGGCCGAGAGCCGCTGGCAGGGCAGCATCGGCGGCAACGGCAACCCGCTCGACGGGACCAAGCAGGACACTCAAGAAGCGGCATTTAACTACATGTACTTCATCAAAGTGGTTAGTACGTCCTATCTGCCGCTGGGTTGGGATGAGAAGAAGAGCGAAACGCTGCTCAAGTCGATTGGCAGCTTTTCGCCGCTCGGTCACTACGGCTATGGCAGTAAGAGACAACCCATCGAGTCGCACCAATTCAGCGTCACGAGCCACCAACGGAGCTTGGCCGGCGGCACGGATGCGCAGGAGGGCCACAAGGAGAGGCTACACGCGCACGGTGGCATTCCTGGCGTCTTCTTCAGCTACGACATCAGCCCGATGAAAGTAATCAACCGGGAGGTCAGTCCAAAGACGTTTGCTGGGTTTCTGACGGGCTTGTGTGCTGTGGTGGGTGGGACTTTGACAGTTGCAGCTGCGGTTGACCGGGGCTTGTTTGAGGGAGCGACCAGGTTGAAGAAGCTGCACCAGGGTTAGATATGGCGACGACAAGGGATGTGATTTCGCATATAGCGACGGCGTTCGAAGAAATGTGAATGCTGATTTACCGCCACGAGCATGAGTGACGAAACGATCTTGAAGGTCCAATTCCTGGACTTGGGTGATAGGCATTGACAGTGACCGCACAGCCACGAAGGTAGTTATTGCCGCTTTCCCGCCCATAGAGAAGACTCCTCCTGTGCTTGTTGAAGTACAGCGTCCAGTGGTAAATCCACTTTTGGCTATTTGAGCTGCCCTGCTTGCCTCACGACACCTACCTAACGAACGGGCTTACCGTGTCTCCCAAACCAGCAACAGCCAATTTCAGGACAAAAGAGCCTATGGGGACAAAAGTCAGCCAAGCCGTCATAAACAATCAAGCAAGTGTAGTTGTGATAGACGCAGTGTCAGGGAAACCTGTTCTAAGCACCGAGTATCCCGGCCGCACGAATTATCTTGGAGCATTTGACGATGCTTCGAGAGTGATACGAGCCAATGGATATCCTTTTCCGGCTCTTCCTAATGCATTATGGTTTGTGTAGTCATCATGTGAGGGAGGAATGGGCTTGGTTTGAAGAAGCTGACTTACATTACAAAGGGGCGGGCGATGTGTCCGCTGCTGTTTGTGAGTTGATGAACCGTCAGAGAAGCTAAGGAGCCCATCAGCAAGTCATCTAACATGGACATTGGGTTTCCGTGTTTGTCGCTTCTTGACTCCTCTGCTGGTCCTCAAAGTACAGAGGTTGAAGTTCAACGCGCCGACTTTTTTCGAGCGCGAACAAACTTGAAGGCTTTGGTCAAGATGTGCTAGCCTGTTTCGTTTTAGCGTACGGTACAATTCTTACGCCTGCAGCCCCGGGCAGTCGCTCTGTGTCGACGGTGCTACGAAAATCCAAGCTGACTTGCTCAGAGGATAGGATATTTGCCTGAGCACAGCTTAAGTGAGCAAGCGAGCTAATAGCATTGTAGTAGGACATCGTACAGCCGCGGGGCAAAGCCGGGCTTGGCGTACGTCCGGCGCCAAGACTTGCTGCCCGAAAGCGTCACGGCTCTGCACCACTGGGTGGACTGCGGTTGCAAGACTTCGAAACGATTCACATTGTGACCAGATCTTCAACTCGCCGTCTCAAGACCAGTCATCGTCCAGCACAGGACCATCCATACCCACTTCAACTCGTTTTCTGTGCAGTCACTCTGGCCATGGAGTGACACTGACGGCACGTGCTGCGCCAAACAGATTTCCCCCAAATGCGGTGACTTCGACAAACCAGTGTTCCCTAAAGCAGTTATCTGGTGAGGGACACTGGTACGACCCAATGGAGGAACAGGTACGAGTTCGCCCTCTTCTCCACTGTGGTCTGACTGACCCTACCTAGGTGGTTTCCGCCATCCTCATCAGCTATGACCCCGCCGCAAACCAAGCCGTAGGTCATGATGTGCCGCACCACTGGTCCACCACTAACAGCCTTCGCAGCTCAAACGACAGGCCTTCGACTATGTTACGCAACTAAGACAAGAGCCATCAGCGTGGCAGCCATGCTTAAACATATTCGTCCAAGAGCCTCGTCCTGCAGAAGTCGTCCGAGTCTTCTGCCTAGAAATAGTGAACAATGCCGTCCAGGCGGGCTTGGTCGACCAACAGGGCCTCGCAGTCGTGAAAGAGCAGATCCTGTCGTTCCTACAACGGACGCATGGTCCAGGAACAGGCCCAACGACCATCGATACCCCTTCGACGGAAAATAAACTCGCCTCGACTATTACATACCTCTTCTGCTCGTTCTACGCCTCAGGCTGGGAGTCGTGCTTTGACGATCTTCTCGCTCTCACATCCACCCAAGCTGGGCAACGAGACAATGTCAATGGCGTTATCTTCTACCTTCGCGTGGTTAATGCCATCCACGATGAGATTGGTGACGTCCTTCTTTCACGTTCAAGGCCAGAGCAGGACAAAGCCAATTCTCTGAAGGACCTGATCCGCGAGCGGGACGTCCAAAAGATTGCTTCGTCGTGGCAAGAGATCTTGAGCCAATGGAGAAGCAACAACGACCTCGTCGCCGAGTTGTGCCTCAAAGCCATTGGCAAGTGGGTTAGCTGGATCGACATCTCCCTCATCGTCAATCCACCCATGCTCGAGATCTTGTTTCAACAGCTAGAACGAGCCCAACAGCTCGGCCTTGCCATCGGGTCCGAGAAAGCGAGAGATTCCGCAGTGGATGTATTCACCGAGACCGTCAGCAAGAAAATGCAGCCCGGAGACAAGATGAATCTGATGACCTTTCTCAACCTTGACACGGTGGTCTCACAGCTCATTTCCTGCCCACCGCTGGCCGCCAGCCGAGGTAGCTCTAACTACGATGTAGATCTCGCCGAAACTGTTGCCAAGCTGGTCAACGCGGCCGTGGTAGACATTGTGAAGATACTGGAGAACGAGAACAGCAGCTCAGAGACATGGGCCAAAGCCGAACGAATGCTTAGCTCATTCTTGCCCCACCTTCTTCGCTTCTTTTCAGACGAGTATGATGAAGTGTGCTCAACAGTGCTCAATGGAATGAACGACGTGCTTACGTTCTTGCGGCGAGCGAGTCAGGGACAGCCTCCGTCATCTCAAAGGGCGGTCATGCTGCTTCCCATCCTCAAGGCCATCTTCAACAAGATGCGATACGATGAGACAGCCTCTTGGGGCGACGATGATGAGAAGACCGACGAAGCCGAATTTCAAGACCTGCGCAAACGGCTTGCATCATTACAGCAATCAATTGCGGCTTCTGATGAAGGACTATACATTGACGCCATCTCTGCTCTCGTTCACGATACACTGGAAAAACTCCGCACAGCAGGCGGTCAGCTCAACTGGCGAGACCTTGACCTTGCCCTGTACGAAGTCTATCTTATGGGAGACTTGGCCGGCAAAGGCGGTGGTTTGTACCAGAAGAACAAACCAAATTCCCCTGCCGCGGAGAAGTTGGACCAGATGATGCTCATGATGGTGCAGTCTAATACTGGTTCCTTTGGACACCCTGCCATCCAACTACAGTACATGGAGATTTGCGTCCGGTACTCTCCTTTCTTCGAGCACCACACGGAGTACGTGCAAGGTGCGCTGCAGAACTTTTTGCAGCTTGCTCACCATTCGAGCTCGAAAGTCCGGACTCGATCTTGGTATTTGTTGCAAAGATTTGTTCGCCAGCTACGAGCTCACCTGGCCGATGCTGCGGAAGCCGTTGTGCAAAATCTGCGCGACCTGCTTGTCATACGAGCAGAGCTTCCGGACGAGGACGATGACGATGACGGAATGTCGTCAGACGGCGAGTCTGCTGCAGATGCAACGTTTACAAGCCAGCTCTACCTTTTCGAGGGTGTTGGCTGCATCGCTGGTGCACAGAATGTGCCGTCCGATAAGCAGGCACAGCTAGTTCGTGCAGTGATCGAACCGCTTTTCATCGACATTCAACAGAACCTTGAGCGTGGCAAGAGCGGCAATGAGCAGGCGGTGCTTCAAATTCATCACGATATCATGGCTTTGGGGACCTTGGCGCGAGGATTTTCTGACTGGGTTCCGGGTTCCTCTGGACCCGAGCCCAACGCAGAGGTCAAGCAGGCATTTTCACAAGTTTGTGAAGCAACTCTGCTTGCGTTGGAATCGTTGAAAGCATCATCACAGATCAGGACTGCTGCTCGCTTCGCGTTCCCGAGACTGATTGGCATGGTGGGCTCACAGATGGTGCAGCAACTCCCCCAATGGGTCGATGGGCTTCTTGCCGACTCTTCCTCCCGAGATGAGATGGCGTTGTTCCTTCGGCTGCTGGACCAATTGATTTACAGCTTCAAGACAGAGATCTACAGCTTTCTCGACAGCATGTTCACAGGGCTTTTGCAGAGAATCTTTGCGGGCATCTCTGCCGCAACTTTGGGCACGGATGACGAAGTCGAGCTTGCCGAGCTGAAGCGCGAGTATCTGAATTTCCTGGTAGTGATTCTGGGCAACGACCTCGGTTCCGTGCTCGTCAGCGAGACGAATCAGCCGATGTTCGAGACGATCATCGGCACCCTCGAGCACTTCTCGAAAGATGTCGATGACTATCCTACGGCAAAGATGGCGTTCCAGGTGATGTCGAAGATGTGCGTTACATGGGGTGGACCAGATGTCATAGGAGTAGGAGGCCAGCCCAACGGAAATGCCGCACAGCCGGCGATGGCTGGCTTCGACCAATTTATGATCAGCCGGTTCTCGCCATTGTCATGGGCCATGGCGTCCAATTCAAACTTCTCCAGGCAGGATGCCACAGCGAGGCAGGTGCTGCAGGAAGCCGCGGGTCTACAGAAAACACTGTACCAAAAGAACGGACAGAACTACATTTCATGGTTACGGGACAACGAATTGCGCAGCATGGGCATGAGCGATACCATGATCGACGAGTTCCTCGGAACCCTGTCGTCGGCGGAGATGAAGCAATACAAGACCTTTTTTGCAAGATTTGTTGCACAGGCAGGAGGATAGTGGATGAACTGCATTGGGAAGGAAAACTGGTCTAGCGATGATACCAAGGGTTGTCCCATTGTGTGACAAGATCTGAAGCCGAATGATCTTAGATAGACAAACAAAGAATTTCGATGCGAGTCACAAAACCTATTCGAGCTCGCATGGTGGCACTCATCCCATGCATCAGGCATCCACGCCACCTATCACGTGACTTAGCTGTTCTTGGCGGGCGATGCCTGATTGCGACCTTCGACTTGCTTGACTCGACTTCGGCCTCTTGTGTCTTTCTTTGTGTTCTTTGTCCACCTCCACACTCTTTCTATTTCCCGTCGCGAGTGGCACCAAATCGATCTCAAATCCCATTTACCAACATAGCCGTTCACGCGCAGGCCGCACATACAAATTCATTGAAACAACGACAATCTGCAAACAGCCCGAGCGCAAAATCTCGAGGTTTCTCGGCGCTGACTCAAACCTCCGCCAGGCATGTCGTTCGGCAGCAGAGTCAGCCATCCCAATCAACAACAGCCAGCAGCGCCAGCTAGTGGCACAGTATCACTCGCCGTCAAGGGCTGGGCTTCGGGTCCCTCGAAGTTCGCCCACAATCCAACTGAAGGCCACAGCGCCATACTCACATGGCTTAATAAGCGATCACAACGCCCTCTTCTTAGCCATAGGTTCGTGGGAAGAGGGAGCGCAGTCCTCATTATCGAAATAAACGCCAATGATCGGCCACGCTTCGATCATCTGAATGGCTTCACTTTCTCCGGCGGCACCATCATCGTTGAAGAAGCCAATGCTCCACGAAACCAGCAGCAGCCACACAATGGCGCCTTCAACCCGCCTTCTGGCCCTCGCGGCGACCACAGAGCCCCATCTGGACCCATTAACGACCAGAGAATACCGAGCGGGCCTAGAGGTGGTCACCAGAATAACACTCGAACTTTCGGTGCGAATAACGGCGGCGACTTGGCCATGAACGGCAACCCAAACACGCCTGCGGACTCGTCAAAAGCGCAGCTCGAAAGCATCCTCACCAACGTCATCCGCAAGCGCTACAATGCCAACGAGCAATATCTCACCCTCGAAGCCCTCTCAGCGGACCCCGACATTGTCGCGGCAGGCCTACATACATCTTCCGCTTCGAAAGTCTTCACCGCAATCTTCACCATCGCTGAGAAGTACGTGTTCGAAACCGCGGCCAAGCGTCGCGATATGGTGATATCGATCTCGATATCCAACAATGGACTCACCACCGTCGGCGACATCATCGCGCTTAATTCGACGTTCCCCAACATCAAGAACCTCGATCTCTCGAAAAACCAGCTCACCGATGCCGGAAGCTTCAAGTACTGGCGCAATGGCATGCGCAACCTCGAGCACCTCATCATCACAGACAACCCCATAGACGCCAACCCAGCCGAAAAGGAAAAACTCGTCCGTTGGTGGCGCCGACTGAAAATGCTCAACGGCGCACCCGTGACCCGCGGCCAGGGTGGCGCCGCCAACACCATGGCGCTCGACGCCCCCGCGGGCCCCGGCGCACTCAACGGCAACACGCCCGACCGCACCAACAGCCCCGCGCCACCTTTCGCGTTCGCCAACCAGGCGCGCCCCACGCAGGGCCACCCGGAGTTCCCACCGGACAGCATGTTCGGCCTGCCGGAGCCGGGCAAAGATGAGGCCACGCTGCAGAAGGAGCAGATGGGCCTGCGCTTCAGCTTCGAGACCCGGCTCAACATGCAGATGACCGAGCAGTGTCTCGTCGCCAATGGCTGGGACTATGATCGTGCCAGGGAGAATTTGGGCGAGTTGATGGGCCAGGGCGCCATTCCGGCGGAGGCGTTTCTTGGTTGATAGTGTTTGAGGAGAGGTAGAGCTAGGAGGGTGGAATGGGAAGGGCAGGGAGGAAACTTCATGACGAGGGGAATATTATACTCGGAATCAGGGGTTTGACGAGAAAGGAAGTAAGATTGGGATTGGGATAGGGGAATTGAGGTCGTGTATGCGGATGATGATGTTGACGATGATAACAACAACGGAGGTGTGTGTGTGTGTTTCTCTAGCTATAGTTCATGAGGTGGTTTTTTATTGCAGGATCAAAAGCTGAACAGCGCGTCGGTCGGGGGGCAAAGAGAGAATCAAAGATCCGAAAGTTTTCCACCTTCATCTCTGATCAGATTTTCGCGCTACTCTGTGTGATCTGTCTATCTATCGTCCATCGGTGTTGCGCACGCTGTTGCGCACGCTTTCCTCTATGCTGAATGGAACCCCTCGGCTCGAAGCAAAACAGTCAGTCGCGGTAGATGCCTGTAGTACCGGTCCTGTGCCTTCCCCGTGTACAGACCGGATTTGCCCCCGTTCTGTAGCTTGTCTGCCACAAGTGCTTTGCTTCGCCATGGCTTCGTTCAGTACAGGCCAGTCTGCCGTTGTGGGAGAGACGACACTCTGCCAGGTGTTGACTGGTAGGCACTCTCGCTGACTTCGATGAAGTTCTCCTTCAATTCCGCAACCGCGATGTGCTTCGAGGAGCAGTGATCGCCTTCATAGACATGGTTCGCCTGATTTTCCATGCCCTTTTCGTAGAGAGTCTGCCTCTCGAGGCTCGGAAGTATGGCCAATTTTTCAGCCATGTCGTCTTGTTTCTTGCTGCTATCGGGACCCTGACACGTGAATTCAGGGTCTGTGTGGGGAGGGGCGATTGTGACCTTCTCGATCTGCTCTGGCAAGCGAAATGAAGTTATCACAGCTTCCGAGTGTGCACGCTTGACGGCGGTATGGAGGGACTCTTCTCCAGTCCTGTTCAAGGCAAAGTTGATCGTTAACACAGAGGACAGCGTGGTGAAGCGTGTCAGGCGGATGATCCGTGCTAGTTCGCGACACCCTTTCACTCCATCTGATAGGCCATATCCAAGCAGGTCAGGTCTTGACTGAGGTGCTCGACACTGAAATGATGTTCAGTATTGTTACTGTCCATATAGGCGCTCATCGCCTGTCCCTGTCCCTCTTATCGCGCCATCGACCGGCGCCTCCGCCCCGACCCTTCTTCGCACGCCAGCCAAATTCTTTCCTGCTGTCTTCTTCTCTCCTCTCGAGCTCAGCAACACGTTCTTTGCGCAGTCGCTCTTCCTGAGATTCGCCGATCTTGCCGCTCGTTTTGAGATGTACTCCGTGTTTGCATTCCGGACCTTCAGGACAAAATCCAGCCATGTAGAACTCGCAAAGCTTCCGCCTGACATGCCTCTTGCCACATCTTGGCCCCTTGTCACAGAAGCCTTTACTGTATTCTTCGCACATGGGCAGCTTTGAGCCTTCCTTGACATGCACGTAGAGGCACTCATCACCGTTCTGACAGTAGCCATTCTGATTGAAGAATTGGCACTCGCTCATCTTTCTCAGATTGTATTCATGTAGGTAATCGCACGCATCTCCTTTCTTGCAAAGACCCTTGAGCCAATGCTTACAGACATAGTTATCGTTCGCGCGGCCATAATGATGTTGTGGTGGCTGTGTAGGGGTCGGATGGCGGTTGGGACATCTCCGACCCAAAGGGCATGATCCTGTTGAAGCATAGGTCTCGCAAACAGGTACAGTTGAGGCGAGGGCAGCAAGTCCGTTGACACGTAGGAAGGGCGCAAAGTTGAAGTCGTACGGGCCTTTGTCTGGCAATTTGGGGGATAGCAAGCTGCTGACCGCGGCCTCCGTTGCGGCTTGCGCTGCGGTCACAGTCATGATCGTGGTAGGGTCTGGCTATGGTCAGAACCGCAGGTGTGATCCAGATATACAGTGGAAGACTACGACATGGGCCAGATCAACGAAAGAGTGCGCCTAAATCGTGAACAGTGGGTGATGAAGCGAAGTCGAAGCTGCGGGGGGCATCCATGTAAATCTGATACCGTATATTACAAAGCAGCCGCCTAAATTGGACTGGCGGCGACCGTGAATCTCGTAATCAAAACCACTGCAAACTCGCAACCATCTCTCCATCCTTCCAGCACGCTCCGTCTTTCTGGTTTCAGGAAGCAGGCGCGAAGATGCATCAACTTTTTGGTTGCCCTGGGGTGTGATGCGTGACTTCTAGTGCGTAGTCCACCTTGGTTCGCGCGCCATAATCATGAGCAAAGTATGGCCTTCCCAGTCGCGGGCCCACGCTGTACCAGACAGTAGCAGAAGGTATAAACACAGGCAACAGCTTGAGTAAACTGCAAGGACTATAGATGGATCTGCGCATGCCTCTTGCTCACTCACCGTCTGTCCAACTAGATGAATTGTATGGCGAGGGTTACTGTGAGGAAATCTGCCCTCGATCCTTCCTGCCTGCTTCCGTTCGCATAGCTTGATCCCGACCTTTTTCAGTCGACCATGACACCCTCCAGATCTCAAATGCTTACACAGCTCGCCCTTGCCGCGCTTCTGAATACAGTCGCCATGGGCGCACCAATCTCGCGATCAGAGGCCTCAGCTGCTGGCTCGACGAACGTATCGCTCGCTACCGCGCCCTCTCGACCTCTACAGCCCACAATTCCAACCCACAACTTGACACGATCGACTAACCATACCGAGTTCTTGAACGGCGGCTATTGGCCTGACTGGGAAGAAGACATCGCAGATGTTTGTCTCGATGTAGGCACTTTGAGCCATGTCAACTACGCCTTTGCCCAAGTCCTTGACGACGGATCTATCTCGATTGCGAACCCCGATGGCCTGTGGAGATGGATGCAGAGGAAAGGCACGCATCCGGATCTGAAGGTTTCTTTGGCTGTCGGCGGAGGTACAGCGATGGCAACTGAGGCCTTCGCCGCAATGGCGTCCGATCCAACAAAGCTCGCCTTCTTTATCACGTCGATTCAGGCAGCCGTAGAGGGATATGGTCTTGATGGAATTGATATTGATTGGGAGTTTGTCAGAACCTCTCCAAGCAAGTTTCCCATGCTGACGTTGATCAGATATCCGCAAACCACCGAGCAGGGTCAACAGCTCCTAACACTCCTCCAGATGTTGCGACAAGCCATGCCACGACCCTTCCACATCAGTGCCGCTGTACCTACCGGTGATTGGGCCCTTCAATACATTCCGTTAGCCGAAATTGCGGAAGTCATCGATCTCCTCAACCTGATGGCTTATGACTTTGTCGGTGCCACCTTCGCCAACACATTTGTAACGGGACACCAGGCCAAATTATACTCAGCTGGCGCCGGTGGGGCAAGTGGAAATGCGGCGGTAGAATACATCGAGAGTCAGGGGTTTCCGGCCAACAAAATCCTCCTAGGCGTACCGTTGTATGGTCGGGTCTTCGATGGCGCCAACTGGCTGAATGAGAAGTTTTCCGGCACAAGCGGTGATAGTGAGTACCTAGTCAAGGATCTCCCGAGGCCGGGTATGCAGGAATTCTACGACAGCGATGCCGTTGCGGTGTTCGCAGTAGGCGACGGGCAGTTCATTACCTACGACAACGCTCAATCCGTCTCTGAGAAGGCCAAATACGTGCGAACAAGAGGCCTGGCAGGATTGTTCTTCTGGCAACTGACGGCGGACCGTTGCAGGGACGGGAGCCTAGTCAGGGCCGGATATGAGGGCCTGAAGGGATTCCATCGATAAACAACGGCAAATACATCCGGCACACCTCGCCAACCTAAGTAGCCCCACTGGGCAGGGAATGGCAAAGTGATACGCCATGGAAAAGGGAACCTATTCTGTGCATCCCGAGCGCCGCAGCGCAAAGATTTTGGAGCATCCAAGACGCTCCGAGTCGTTGTGTGGTGCTGCCGCATGCGGGGCATCTTTTGAGCGTCCCCCCACGTCAGTCTCCGCTTCGGCGCTGCATTTCAACAACCACAGTCGACTCTGTCATAGCAATTCTCAGTCCTCATATACAGAGCCTTTTTCCGGTCTTCGGTACTGTGCGCTTGATTTCTAGTCTTCTCATTGTCGTCGGATTCAACATGTCGGTCTCTACCACGGCAACCATCGCCTCTTTTGGGGGCAAACTACTTAAGCTCGCTCACAATGCCTCCACCACGGGCTGCGAAATGAAGTTCAACCTCTACCTCCCTCCGCAAGCGAGCTCCTCAAAAGTTCCACTGCTTATCTGGCTGTCAGGCTTGACCTGTACGGCTGACAATTGCTCCGAGAAGGGCTTCTTCCAGCATGGCGCAAGCAAGCGAGGCATCGCGGTGCTGTACCCGGATACCAGCCCCCGTGAGTCGTGCGGGCCCGCACTATGGATTGACTGACATCTCCCAGGCGGCATCGGTATTCAGGGCGAGGACGACAGCTACGATTTTGGCACCGGTGCAGGCTTCTACGTCGATGCGACCGCCGACCCTTGGTCCAAGAACTACAAGATGTACTCATATGTAACCGAGGAGCTACCTAAGGCAGTCTTCGAAAACTTCAAGGAGATCGACTCGAGCAGGGTCAGTATAACAGGGCACAGCATGGGCGGCCACGGCGCGTTGTCGCTTTACCTGAAAAATCCTGGCAAATACAAGAGTGTGAGCGCATTCGCACCCATTGCCAACCCGTTGAAGGCACCATGGGGAGAAAAGGCCTTCAAGGGCTATTTTGGCGAGCAAGACTGGCAGTCCAAAGGCGCCGAGCACGACTCGACCGAGCTGCTCAAGCAGTGGAAAGGTGGACCACTTGACATATTGATTGACGTGGTCAGTGAAACCCATGTTCCTACACGGTCGATGTGGCTAATTGAAGCAGGGCACCGGCGACAACTTCTACAAGCAAAGCCAGCTACTACCAGAGAACTTCGTGGCTGCAGCAAAGGAGATCGGTCAGGAGAAGGGTGTCAATGTCAGGTTTCAGCCCGACTACGACCACAGCTACTTTACTATGGCTTCCTTCGCTGATGACCATGTAGACCACGCCGCGAAGTACCTGTTCGCTTAGTTCGTTCTGCCGTTCGAGAAGATCCGCAAGACTTGGCTGACATACGTAGAAGCGACTCCCGGCGCACGAAGCTGTGAAATAGACCCATTTTCACTGCTCCCAAGCTCAACGTTCTACTGCATATTCGCGTTTGTCCCCTCCGTGCCCTGCTTGACTAATCTAATCAGCCACTCGTGACCCGTACTACTAAGAAAAAGTGGCTGCACCTTGTTTGTCCCCTTACTGAACATTCCCAGCAGCACTTGTCGGTGGTTGTTGATTTCTGCCAGTGACGCAAATTCGAGGCTAGAAATGCAGCGGCCTTTGCGGAACGTCAGCACAGAGACAACAACCGACTGTCACCTATCAAGCTGCCATCACACAACCACGAGGCAATGGCCTTGTCAAAAGCGAGCTTCACCTTCACCTCTGCTTTCACGACACCAAGACACAGCCGTGGCTGGCTGTGACTGGCGATTCTACGCCGTGATCGAGACTTCCTCTGACACTACCATCGCGGCTTCCTTACTCGCGTTGTTATCGTACAGCCGCGTACGTCTCTCGACAAGCGTCCATCAACGTCCATTACTGGATCGAGCAGGGATCGATATAGACGCATCAGTAACAATATGCCTCCACCAATACCCATCGCTCGTCCGAGCAGAGATCAACATAGACCCAGCAGTAGCAATATGTCTGATACTACTCCGCCATCTCGGCAACCTGTCATGGAGATCGACCTGTATCCGACCCTAGCCGACCTCGTCGCGGTCTCTGTCCCTGACAGTCCGCCCCTGCGGCCAATCCCACGAATGCCCCAAAGTACTCACGAGCTCGAAGATATTCTCCACAACTCGACTATTCTGTTATGTCTCCACTGCGCTGGACATCCCGACCCCGATTCGTGTCCTGATCTCGAGTCGATGGGCCAACCCAAGCCAATTCGGCACTACCTTGCATTTGCCAATGCGAAAGAGCGAGAGATTCTTGAGAGGTTGGAAGGCATGAGCGCGGAATTGACTGGCTGGAGGTTGCGGAAGCGACAAGCCGAGGTAGCGTGGATGAGACAGAGACTCGCGCATGACGTTCCGAAAGCTCGAAGGATTCTCGTGCAGTGTAGGAAGGCAGAAGGTCAAGCGGACCAGGCGACAACGCACACGATCGCCCTTCCGATCCGGCCAAGAACAGCTCAGGACGAGGAGATGCCTTTTCGAGCTATCATCCAGCCGGCTACGGATGCTTCTCCAGCCCGATTCAGATATCATTCTGCTCCTGCTATCGATCTGCTCAAGAGGTACAACAGAGAGGAAGGAGAAGCTAACACGGCATTCATGAGGCACTGGGGAGGTCAGTCACCTCCCCAGCGATGATAAGTTCCATCAGTGGGGACCTGAACAATCCTAATGATACCGAGTCAGCTCCCACCCGCCATCGTCGTGGTCTCAAGGGTGTCTCTAGCCTACACGAAAGGTTGTGAGCAGGTGCATTCATCGGCTGACGCAGTCCGAATCCAGCAAGTGTTCCGGGCATTCATTAAGCGAGGCCTTCTTGGGTACTCTATTCAAACAAGGCGTTCTCAATATCAGTATTCACAAAAGAATATAAGTGCTCAACATGGTGTGTTGCTCGACAGTGCTTCGAAACCCCGCTGCCGACTGACAAGTACCGCTTCGTAGGCGCTCTACAAACACATCATGGAAGTCTGACTGTGTGACAATGACGTTCGGGACAAGCCAGCTAACACACGCGGCGGCCAATGTCATGTCTGAATGCGCAAGAGGACAGGCAGTAAAAGTCTTGGCACGGCGAGTCGTCTATGTAAGGCTACTTTCAGGCGTGCCGGCATGGATCGTTCCTACGGACGTCACTGTAACCGCGTTGCTTGATCGCAACAGTAACGGAAAGCGGCACTAGCGAACGAAGTGGCCCGGCCTGTTGCTCCAATGGTCCACTATCCACAGAAAAGCGAAGAGCGCTATCGTACGGCGCCAATATGCGAGGCTTAGCGCATACAGAACTAGTGCTTCGTACCGCTGCCCTGCTTGGCATCATTGGTCGTATAAAGCTGACGATTGCGCTGTCCATGAGAGCTTACAGGACAGTAACGCACAGTCAAGTTCAGCATGGCCACAAAAGGAACAGTGCTTGTGACTGGTGGCAGTGGCCATATCGGCTTCCCTATAGTCGTCGAGGCCCTCAAGCGAGGCTATAACGTCCGTGCAGTGGTCCGCTCTCAGGAGAAGGCCGAACGCATCAAGAGCGCCAAATCAATCCAGCCACACCTGTCCGGCCTTGAACTGATGGTTGTCCCCGACTTCTTCGCAGACAGGGCCTTTGCAGAAGCGATCACCGGGGTGGACTATGTCATCCACGTCGCCGCCCAGATCATCAAGCCCTGGCTCGACTGCTCCAACCCAGAAGTCGTGCATGAGAACTGGATCCGCCCCAACGTCGACATGACGCTCGCCATCCTGCGCGCCGCACAGACGCAGCCCACGATCAAGCGCGTCATCCTCACCTCGAGCGCCGGCGCGATCCTTCCCGCCCTCTGGGACGACCCGACGCTCGAGGAGATTCGAGCCAAGCTTCCCGCCACGCCAACGACGGCCGACAGCAAGCCGCCGCGGCGCTCCGAGCTAGGGCCCTTCGCCAACCCATCCGATGCGTACAACGTATCGAAGCAGCTGGCGCGCGAGCGCGTCGAGCGCTTCATCGCCGAGGACAACCCGCATTTTCAGATCATCCAGATCATGCCCTCGCTGACCTTCGGGCCCATGGAACTGGCCACCGACCCCCAGGAATACCTCGTCAGCGCCAACGTCTGCATCCTGGCGCCGCTGCTCGACATGCAGCAGCCCTTCGTCTTCCCCGGCATCACGTGCCACCTGAACGACGTGGTGGACGTGCACGTCGCGGCGCTGGACGTGGAGGGTCTGGACGGCCACCAGAACTTCGCCGTCAACTGGGACCATGAGGCGGATGTGCAGTACGACGATGCGAAGGATCTGGTGCGCAAGTGGTTTCCGGAGGCGGTCGAAAAGGGGATACTGCCTTGCAAGGGCGCCACGACGACGTTCAAGTGTCCGATTGATGCGAGGAGGACCGAGGAGATGTTTGGCATCAAGTTCAAGGGGTTTGAGGAGATGGTTCGGTATGGGGTTGAGGGGTTCTTGGATTCGGTGCGCCAGCAACAGGAGAGCCAGAACGGGACAGCTTGACAGCACGAATGGACGACGCCTTTTGAAATAACGGAAGGAGGCCCAGGTATTATAGTACCGTGATGGGACTGTTAGTGTTCTCAAGAGGGGGGGGGGAGGGGTGACCTCGTGAGCAGCGGCAGGCACTATGTCATTCTGCTGACCTCGACGAAAGGCACCGAGCATTTTCTCAGGACTGCAAGATGGGATGTAATAGCAACAACAGCTGAAGAAGCAGCGGTACTATGCTATCTGTCAAATGCCTGACCCCAAGTGTTGATACGAAGAAGACGGCCAACCCTCTCTCTCTGAAGGGGAAGTAGACCGCTTACTCAGGTCCCTTCGGCGAAATGAGAACAGCCAATCAGCGTTCGACCCAGGAGGCGCGCGAGGCAACGCCAAGACTTCTGTACTGTGTCGTTCCAGCTTTGCATTTTACACTTTCTCACCAAGTCTCAACTGATCATCATCCTTGTTTTTGCCCATGCTTGACAGTTCGCCGCGTTCATCGATTGCCAGTCCGTACGTTACCAAAGCTCACTCCTGCGAGCTCAGAGTCAGCTGGCAGCCATGTCTGGACCACGCAGCAAACGCTTCCCGCGCATCCGTCGCCAACGAATCGAAAACAACAACAACGTGCAGCTAGACGCCGCCCACGTCACCGGCGCATTTCCGTTCTTCAATCCTACCCACGCCCGCTTTCGCAACAAGGTCGATACCGAAGAGAGAGGCGACAAGGCGGCCACGGGCCCCGAAAGCCAAGTTCAGTACCAATGGCGTTCGCGCGACAACCGCAAGGGTCGCCATGTCATTGTCGTCCCGCCAGATCACCCACTTGCGCCCTCGAAGTTGCACGTATGCATCAAGGGCATCGGTCGCATGTTCACGACCGCACCGTACTGGGATGTGTCCTGGTGGGTCGGCGTACTCTTCAGCGTCGGCTCCATCATCTTCATTCTCTGCGCGCTGTTCTACTGGCTGCCGTTGGCGTACCCCTCGACCGCCTTCCCGCACGAAGCCGCTACCGCAGGAGGCGTCGCCTCTTTCGTCGGTGCAACTCTTTTCCAGATCGGCGCGGTGTTGCTGATGTTCGAGGCCGTAAATGAAAATCGGACGGGCTGTTTCGGGTGGGCCGTCCAAGGCTTGCTCTTGCGAGCAGATCCTGACGCATGTGAGCATCACCATCAATGGCGAAGGATGAAGAAACAGGGAAAGAAAGTGCCCAAGAGTCCGCAGCAGGAAGCTCGGAAGTGGACGTGGTGCCCTTCCTGGCAGGAACTCAGGACCCATTATATTCACGAGGTGGGCTTTGTGGCAAATGCGACGCTGGCTATAGGTGCGACAATCTTTTATATCACAGGCATCATGTCTTTGCCGGGCGTGTACGACACTCTCAGCCAGGGTGTGCTTTGGGGCGTATACTGGCTTACATACCTGGTTGGAGGCGTGCTGTTTGTCATCTCCTCTGTCATGTACATGCTCGAAACCCAGCAGCATTGGTGGAAGCCGGCTCCGCATGTTCTCGGCTGGCACATCGGATTGTGGAATTTGATTGGATCCGTGGGATGGACCTTGTCAGCGGCGTTCGGCTACTGCAATCCCAGTTGGTGTGAATATCAGAGCGACTTGACGTTACTGTGGGCGAGTGCGGGATTCACAATCGGAAGCTTGATTCTTTGGTTTGAGGCTGTTAACAAGTATTCGGTTGAGGTTGAGAAGCCCAAACCCAAAGCTGCAGACTCATAGCCATAATGAGATGCTGATCGTATCTGAGATCACTCTCGAGACGCGACACCATTTTTCAACTGCCTGAGATAATGTTATCATCCTCTCAGAACGAGGTACCCTTCGATGTTCTCGATCTTCAGGGACCAGCTGCCACCATAACGCCCGTGGCCGTCCAGCTTTCCCACGGCTCGCCTTCGCCAGGGTAGAAGACAGGACACGTCATCTTCATGGGGAGTTCAGCATCCTTACCTCGCTCCCATATAACATGTCTGTCGTTGAACTGGCACATCTCCTCTGGTTCCAGGCCCTCAACTGACTCTGGGTTGCGAGGATCGACTTGCCACACGCGCTGTACATTAGGATTCCTGCCGACGTTAGGATGCGCCAGTAGATGATGGAAGCATTTCAAGGATGACAGTTACCTGGTGAGTGCCCAAAACTCATACTGTTCCCAGAGCGAGTCCAGCGGCCAGCCATCCTGGTCGCTCCTGGTGAAGAGATAGACATCTGGATTGACCGCCGCCAAAGCCAGCGCCTGGTAAATACACCGGACCAACACCAGATGAGGCGCAATGTCCCATTCATTCCAATGCAGCGGCTCTCGACCCTGCTGTGTCAGGGTCCGGACGTATCCCTCCTGCGCTCAAAACCCTGTAAAGTTAGCTTGACGGGATGTCTTCGCTACAAACCAAGTCCAAGGCACCTACAGCTGTTGTCCACACATCTGTGCAACCACGCAATCTTGCCACCTTCGCCACGACTCTTAAACCAAGCCATCATGAGCTTTCCTGAAGTTTTGGTGTCCTCGCCCAGATTGGTCCAGAAAGAAACGTGATGGTCTGCATCGCCATAACCTCTGTTACCGGTGTCTCGGATTCGGTCGAACAACTGCTTCAGCGAGGGAAGCCACTCGTCTCAGACCCACTGACCAGTCGCATCTTTGGTGCACTGGCGGCGATGGAGGTTATTGGTGTGGTCGTGGACCAGCTGAGGATCGTGATCGTCGACAGCTCCGAAAGGGACGCAATTAGCTGGCGTGAGGACGACGAGGAGCACAAAGATTCCGATGCATTGGAAGGTCCACATAATGACAGCCGCCGTTAGTGGGATGTTGTATCAGCTTCGAGCTGGAGTGCTTGGAACTTGCTGCATACAACAGCCGCAGATCCTTGAGCCTCCCGTAGTAGTGGCAGAGTGCGGCGCGGAGATCTGGAAGGGCGTGACCACGGCAAAGCAGGAGAGATCTACATCTCCATGTTACGAAGAGGCAGTCACTGCCCTTCTGTCTCACTCAGTGCACCTACACGGAGAAGTGGCTTCATGTAGCCTCGTGCCTGCCTGAACGAGGCAACTGCCAAGATAGTATCTCAGGCAGTAAAAGCCTTGGCATTTGCCTGACGACTTGGGATTCCTCGATGATATTGCACGTAGCTGGCGACATAGGCAGACTGCAAAAGTAAGTTAGATGTATCAGTTAGATCTTGTGTGCACGTTCAGATCTGCAGGAGCCGTGCTCAAGGGCCGGATATAACCGAGAGTAATTTCTGCTGCCGGTCAGTGCGAGCAGGCTCGGCGAACGCGTCAAGAGAGGAATTCCCTCACGTCGCATCTCTAGGTCAAAAATCCTTTCTAATTTCCACGTTCGACTGTCTTCACAGTCTAGTGTTTGGTCGAAACAATGCACAGCAAGTCCAGCTACATCGAGTGTCTCCGAGCGACGCTGTGGCTCAGCACCGGCACCGCACGGGCCAACTTCGTTCTCTCCTCGAGCATCAACGTGGTTGCATCTATACCGACAGACTAGTCCCAGACGTAGTGCCGTCCGGCGTATGTCAGAGGTCGTCTGCAGCTTCATTGACACGGCAATACTCTACAACAGAGGCGGTGCAACACGGCAGAGATTTATCATTCATTGTTTCATTTGTGAAAGGATGCCGGAAACGGCGTGGCTTTCTTTGCTCTTGGGCTTGCTGACCCTACAGGTAACCAATATGCCCTGCCATGGCTGAGCTCCCACACTTTTGAGGCACCTCTTTAGCCTCTGGATCAAGTCAGAACTCGACAGCCACTGGACTACAGGATTCCACCGCGCTTCGCTTCACCCCTGGAAACACCTACCACATTGACAATGGTTAAGACTCGCAGCAATCTCGTTACCGATCCAGTAGGGCCGCTCCCCTTCGACCCTACAGCTTTTGCTGTCGACCATAAAACCAACCTAACCAAGATCACCAATGTTGCTTGGAAGTACGTCGCTGCCTTGATAGCTCAGTGGTCGGATAAGCCTTGGTACACGTTCCTGACTACCAAGCCTGACTTTCAAGAAGAGGAAAGCCACACATGGGTTCCGCGGTGGCCTTTGGGGAAAGGAGGGTCAGTCACCCCCGTCCAAATCCAGCAAGCCTTCATCTGAATGCCCCTGACCACTCTGCCATTTCCCTCATCTTTCGTCGATGTACTTTACTGACTTATTGACTAGTAAGTGTCACATCAGAGCACCTTGGCTTGTCTACTCCCGAAGTGCGCTGCCAAGAGCCGTGAATGTTCCAGCGCCGTTGAGCAATCCTGTCTAAAACTACTTTCGAGTTTCAGAAACATGAGCTGCGAGCTCAGCCTAGATTGGTTACATTCTGTTTCGCTCGAAAGTTCCTTGAATATAAGTTAACTCAGTGCTCCAGGTCAAGCCATAGTGGCACTTTGGGAAAAGTTGGACGATGTAGGAGACGTTCGAGACTCAATCGTTGTAAAAGAACGGGTATTGGGGAGCGACAAAGCCATCGACTTCTACACCGTCGGAATGCCTCGAGAAGCGATCATCAGTGCTCATCTGTCTGCCATGAAACGAAGTGAGCGCAACATCACCCAATTGCGAGGCTACAAGTTCTACCCGAACCTGTCTGATCTCTCCGCTGGCACTGCCAACGATCGTGGGCGCCTATACTTGCGATACGCACCTCACGGTAGCCTTGAAACCGTGGTGAGCCGATACCGCGCTTTCAACACGCACCTCCCGGAGCTGTATCTCTGGTCAGTCTTGGTGGATCTCGCAAACGCCGCTTGTATAATGCGAGAATGTCCAGTGACGTGGAACCCGGTCCCTAAGAAAGGACAGGCACCTCCGAACTTTGAGCGAAGCGAAGATGTCTTCATTCTACACGAGGACTTCAAACCAGGTAACTGCTTCATCGAAGCCGACCGCAACCGCACCAGAAGGCAGGTCAAGACACCATATCATCCGACTGAGCTGGGGGACTTTGGTATGAGTCAGCCTCGGACTGCAGACCCATCCAACCCTCGCCTCTGGTGGGGAGTAGGCACTTCTTGTTGGATCCCTCCTGAACAACTTCAATACGGCAGACTTTGGGATCGAAAGGTGTACAATTGGGACGGCGCGACTCCCCCCGATTTCGATGAGCGTACCAATGTTTGGAGTATCGGGAAGATTATGTGGCATATGAGTGAGTTGTCTACCACCCTCACAGAGTGCCCCAAAAGACGATGTCTACGTGTTAACAAGCGCCCATGATTCATGCTTTCGGTTTTGTAGCCGAAACCATCTCGAGACCAGCTATGTGACCCTTGGCTCAGCGCTTCGACTCTGCGAACACATACTGACTTTCTTTACTACAGTGACTCTAAGAGGACGTCTCGAATTCCCAAAAGACTTTCGAGATGAGAGGGGCCGCATAACTAGACGCCAGGAAGACTATGACGACGAGCAGCAGTTCTATGAATTCAACAACCACTTCATGCGCTTCGATGATACGGCAAACAAGGACACGTCCTGCGTTCATTACTCTCTTGCGTTGCGGCACCTCGTCTACGAATGCTTGCGACCAGAGATCACGCGTCGCCCGGGATCTGCACAGCTTTTGAAACGAGCCAGGGGCGAAATGAAGAGGTGCAAGTCACAGACAGGAGCGCAAGAGCCGAGTGCCGTCCATTTCGACAATGGAAGCATGAATGATGTGGGCTTGCAGCATAAGCGCGATGCCGGCTTGCGATTCGACCATCAGGACGAGAGCCACATGCAGCTCTTCGCCGAAATGTTTCTCGGACATCGGATGGGCAATCCAGACGAGCCTCGCCTACGCCCGCCCGGCGATGATTGGGCGCAGTTTGAGCGGGATGCGCAGATCTATGAGAGTGCGCGGGAAGAAAGGCACCCGCCCGCGAACAGTCTACTGCAAGAGCTCGCTGAGGGAGTGTTCCGCGACGTGAAACCAGCCAGGCAGAAGAGAGCTCGGTCATGGGTCTCGCAGGATGAACCAGACACGGACCTGAGGCGCAGGCTGCGCGATCTTCGCACCAGGACCAGGGCTTTCGCGTCCACCAAACCGATGAATCTGCTCACCCACATTCTGGAGTGCGAAAAGCTCGACGTGGATGTTGCGGAGCGCGTTATGTGCTGGCTATACAAACCCAGATCTAGGATGCAGTTCGGCTGGGCGCGCGATGCCACCGGTCGACGGCAAGCCACTGCCGCCATGCGAAAGTGGCAGGAACGGTTCGACGGCAAGCGGCAAGATCGGACGTTCCGCGAGTGCTTGTACTTTGTGTCCAAGGAAGCGGCTGGAGTTCTCCGAGTCGACCAGGCGATCAAGACCATGGGAGTCACTTTCCACCCTGAAGAAGGACTCCAGGACGAACAGAGAGCGGGAGAGGAAACACAACCAGCAGCAGGAGAAGAAGTCGAACCAGGCCTGTCCGTTGCTGAAGCACTGATGCGCATCCGTGAGCTCCACAACGAAATCAACAGTCTCTGGTGGGCGGGCGAGAGCGAGATCAGTGGCTGCAGTGAGCAACTCATCGTCCGAATACTGCGACGCAAGAAGTGGAATGTGCAAGCTGCAGTACGGCACTTTGTTGATTGCAACATGTTGCAGCGCCACACTCATCTAAAGATGGTCAATGACTTCGGCATGACGCGTCAGGAGGTGGATGCCAGAATCCGGCAGGTTCAGAGCTACATGGTGACGCGGTATAATCGAGACCGGGATGACCCCATAGTCAAAGACAAAGGTAGGATCGCGCGCGTGTTGGCGAGGGAGTGCGACTATAGTGTCCCGGCGGCTATTTTCCACCTTGTCAATACTGGTGAGTTGACCATCCGGGGACATAGAGAAGCTGATGCGATTGAAGCTGCCGTCGACGGCCTGATCAAGGATGTGATCAACAAACCGGCGTCTGGTCCCTCCTATGGCGGTCCTCGGTCGGAGCCTATCAGCAGTTCTTCGTCTAGCAGCAGCGCTCACTCTCGCCACATTTCGAACAGTTCCGAGTCTGATCCCGGCCCACCGCCTGGTGTAGGCGCAGCTGGCGCAGGCGCCACAGGCACAAATTTGGGCAATGGCGAGATTGGTAATGCTTCCCGATATCCGGAACATCGTCCAGCTTACGATCAGATGCTCGACATCCTCAATGACATGGGTCCCGTTCAACAGAAGGCCGGAACAGGTTATGATCAGATGCTCGACGTTCTCAACGACATGGGCCCGATTGATCGAGATGCTGGCACGCGTGGCAAGCACACCTCACCTCATGCCGGCGCGGCTCCTCATCAGAGCCAGTCGCGGCGTCCGTCCTCTGCGCGAATCGTTCAGCAAGCACGGTATTCTAGAGGACAGGCCTCAATGGACCCCAGCGAGAATGGCCCACCTGCCGACGAAAATGGGAGCATGAGTCCGGTCAGCGCCGAGGAAGGAGATGTATCTTGGGCACGCGATGACGACGAGCTTCAGGTGATGGACGACGACTACCAGGAGTGCGCCCCGGTGACTGAGTCTCAAGCGGAGAGGAACAGAACCCAGCTGGAAATTGCTCGCATGAGAAGCAGCGCTCAAGTGGCCAAGAACAAGACCTGGCTGACCGCTCAGCTGCGTAGCAAGCCACTCGTCCAGCAAAGCAACAGCTTCGATAACATCTACAGCGACAGAGCTGTCGCGCGGCACTCGCAGCGATCACTGCCGGCGACGAGGCGAGCGGAGTTCGAGGATATCTGGATGACAGGTGCTTTGCATCCCAATGATGAAAAAAATGCTCATACACAATACGAGGAAAGGCTAAAGCGGCTTGCTGATGAGATTGTCATAGGGCACTGGCCTGAGCTCAGAGAAGACGAGGAGAGGAATTCAAGAGAAGTGGAGCGGTGGCAGGAGGAGGAGGAGGAGGAGGAGGAGAAGGAGGCTGGAGAAGGAGAAGGAAAAGGAGAAGGAAGGGGGAGCTGGAAAGACGATGAAGAAGGCGGGCAAGGAAGTGCCCTCCGGGGTGAGAGGAAAGACAAGGACAGCACCACGGAAGCGGGCGTGAGATCTGGAGGCTTTGGTATTCGCAGGTGTTCGGTGCCGTCTCGTTGGATGACTCGTTGCATTGCAGGGGATTGATCGACATGGACGCAGAATAGACAGGGCGACGTTGATAGAATGCAAAGTGTACATGGTGGAAACAAATATAAGTCCGAAGTCACTTCTCTGTTCTCAGGGGGCCGGACTTTGACAGAGTCCGCGAATGTCCGAGCATCCTTCATACCAAGCCACGAGCGTTGCATCCACTGCCTGTAAGTGCCAGGCCTACCGCTTGGCTAAGGCACCCAAAGAAGCTCCAGTACTTGGGTCCGGCCATATCACCTTACGTATGTTGATCAACATGTCCCACCAGCATGACAAGAGGCTTGCGTTGGGCTCCGAGTCGACCTCACCAACATAGACCTCGCTCGTATCGACGATGGCGACCAACAGCCTCAAGGTCCGACCCGCCACCACCAGCGACCTGGACCAGCTCTCCACCATCTTCACGCGCTCGTTCCACCCCGTTTCGCCATATATGCGGCGTACGTTCCCCGACACGGCCGCCATGCGCGCCTGGTGGCGGAGTCTGTACACGACCGCCCTCGCAGACCCGGAAGCCACGCTCATGGTCGTGACGACGGAACCGTCCGGCAACGACGACAGTGTCATAGCACTGGGGCAGTGGCGTTTCTTCCCGGACTATCCGCACCGTCCTCCGCGACTCGAGCTTGAGTCGGCAACGAGTGCGCAGCTGGATCCAAACGGGAATCTCGCAGCGGGGACGTGGTCGCTGCTGCGCTCGTGCGAGGACACGGATCTCGAGCTGTACCGGGGCATGACGGGCTTCTTGGCGGAGATGCACGGCAAGATGATGGCGGGGACGCCGCACTATAACATGGAGTTGCTGGCGACGGTGCAGGAGGCCAAGGGCAAGGGAGCGGGCCGGCTGTTGGTGGAGGAGCTGGGGAGGGTGGCGGATGCGAAGGGGGTGGTGGCGTTTGTCGAGACTAACAATATCGTGGTCGAGTTTTATCGGAAGATGGGCTGGGTCGTCAAGGAGCAGTTGGCTATGCCGGGGGGTGTGGGCTATGAAGAGTATATCCTGGTCAGAGAGCCGAAGAAAGAGTGAGGGAGGAGCGTAAGAGTTGAGAGTCGGCCATAAGTCTTGACATAGCCGCCATGGTCTGTGTGGTGCATATAAACAGACTCATAGATCTGACAGACGTAATCAACCCATGCGCAAGGCGTGATCGGTACTCAATACAAGCTCCTATGCGTCCATCAACTTCAGCGTCTCCTGTTCGACGTGCTCCAGACTCTTTCGGTAGAGCATAGGCCCAACACTGATACGACACGCGCCGGCCTCTCTGGCCCCCTTCACGCCAATGTCCCCTGGCTGCACACTCACCATGCCCAGCTCCTTGACCATCAACTCGACCTCCTCCTTGGTGATGGACTTCTTCCCCACTCCCCACACAAAAACACTCGTCGCCCCGGCCTCCAACCACTTCTTCCCCCTCTCAATCACATCCTCGACCGTCCCACCATACCCAAACACGTCCGTCCTCGCATTAAGCACAAACCCGTCCACACCAGCCTCCCTCGCCCCGCGCATCACCTCCCTCAGCCTCGCCACCTGCTCCTCCACGCCCCGCAACCTCGGCGGCGACACACTGTTATCCACATCCTCAATATTCGCCCCCACCACCCCCAACTTCACCGCCGCCCTCACCGTCTCCGCCGGGTCAGCATACCCATCCTGCAGGTCCGCCGACAGCGGCACCTCGGCCGCGCGCCCGCTGTTGCGCAGGCCCGCGGCCACGTTGGCGATGCCCGCCAGGTTGCCCGCGAGCGTGAGGTCGTTGTCCCCGACACCCTGCGTCGCCGCCATGGCCCAGCTGGCGGTCGCGAGGGCCGTCGTGCGCGGGTTGCGCGCGATCAGCTGCGCCGTGCCCGCGTCGTGCACGTTCGTGAGCAGCAGGGGCGTGCCGCGCTGGTGCAGCGACTTCAGGCGGGCGGCGAGGCCGGGGAGGTCTGACTGCTGCTGCTGCTGCTGTTGCTGTTGCTGTTTTTGCGTGGACATTGTAGTGTAGGCTTGGGCCCTAAGCGATACTGTTTTGATGGTGCTGCGTGGGTTGGTTTTTCGCTTCGTTATGGAGTGGTGGCTACTGGCTCGAGAGTGCTGGTTGGTGGGGCTGTGGAGGAGAGCTGTAGAGATGTGACGAAGCTTGGTGCAGACGTTCGGTCCGCGGCCTGCGTGCGAGAGTGCTAATGAACCTGACATTCTGGTGAACGCGAAGCACTGACAGGGGTGTATATGTATTTATGAGAGTAGACGTCCAAGTAGACTTCAAGGCTGATATCCCAGCGTAAGCGGCGTAAGTGTTCAGCGTATTCGCTTTACTGTAAAGATTATTCGTAATCAAGGTCAGCTGCGAGTTAGGCAGCGGTGTCTAACTTCAGGCAATGTTTGTCGAATACCAAACTGAAGACTGCAGGATGTGAAGGGCGTGGTTGTCACTCAGAGCTCAGCTAGGATGATTGCGGCGAAAGTGGCCTATAAGAACGGCGCAGAATATCAATAGGGGCCACACCAGTCCCACCTGAGCAACTGGAGCCATGCTATGTAGTTTTGAGTCAGCAGGTGTTCTGTATCATTCTCTGATGAGCCGCGCGTTCGCAAGCCTGCCAGTAATAGCTTCCAATGCCTTCGTGCCGCCTAAAGCCTCGCACAGTCGTTGTCTGAAGGTGGTGAGGCACTGCCAGCCTCGTAGCACACCACAGTATTGGAGCCTCTCCTTCAACTTCCTGGTCTCGCAGTCCTGGTCCTAGGCCATAAAGTCCATGCCGCCGCCCAAAACCGCTTCCAGATCGGCCCTAATGTCCCACACCGCTCTCGCGCCTGACTTGTCCGCCACACTTGCCTTGTGCTGACTACTTAACTCTAGCCACCGTCGCGCCACGTCGCCGTCAATCATACCGCGACCGCCCATACCGTCCGTTTCAATGTCCCGGAATGCTCTGGGGTTCAGGCCGCAGGGGTGCTCCATCTGCGAAGTCAGTATATTCTGCAACGTGCTTAATCGCCGATACGAGGCGTCGTCAACCGTGGTTATTAGTGAGATAGCCCCGGACGCGTGGGTGATGAGGAGCTGGTATTTGGGGATTGCCGCGGACGTGGCCGCCGGCGTGGCACGCCCAGATCCTGGGCTGGCGACTGTGGGTGGAGCTGTGACAGCCGCCTCGTACGAGGTCAGAGTGCGAGGAACAAGGCGCATCGTTGTTGGTGCGTCGCCGGTGTTAAACGTACTGCGAAGGAGCAGCTTTTTGCCCCTCTCCGCCTTTGGGTTCTCGGGGTCATACTGTAGAATGCGAAGCTCGCCATTTCCGTCGGCGGCTATTATGTACAGCTCCTGGCTGTTTTCTGAAGGCAGAAAGTCGGCGGCAAGGACAGAGGGACGGTCCATGTCCTGGCTCAAAAGTTGCATCTTGTAAGGCTCTTCGCTGTAGCCTATGAGCCAGAGACCAGAGAAAGCGTCTCCCAGAATACACAGGCCGGTGCCTGGCAGAGACTTAGAGACCGAAGTGTAGAAGTGCATGTCCAGGAACGCGACTGGCAGGATGGACATGTCCTCGCGTAGACCGCGAACCATGCATTTCTGGCCTTGCGCCGCAAGTACGAAGCCTTGGCTGCCAATGGGTGCGAGCGTAGTCACTGCGCCGCGCACGTCTTCGGTGCTGAGTAACTTGAGCTTCAGATCCGATTCCGGGACGCCCGGCCGTGGCACTACCTCAGCAACGGAGAATAGGTAAATGTGGCCTCTCGTCACGATCCTCTCGCCCTTTGCCGTACCCGTACCAACTACCACCAACGGCTGTTGTCGGTGGGTAATCTCTGAAGTCTCAAGAGACATGGTCTTGACATCAAGCACCCTTTCTGAAGCGTCGAAAGTGTAGTGGGAGATGACATTATGGGTGTACGACGATATCAGCTGGAGGGTGGACTCACTAGTTGTCGGCAAGAAGTCGGTCTTTTCGTTGGCCCATTCCGGGTGGAATTCATCGTCGCGAGGAAGATGGAACGGAGCAGCTCTTTGCGACGCAATTACGTATGAACATGTGTCCTCGAAGTAGGCGATGGAAGTGATGTCGTGACCCAGCGGTTTTCGATGAATGACCCACGGCGACTGTCCAAGTAGCAGATCGGGTGGGACGGAAGCCAGGCACAGGTGTCCCTCAGAGTCGACGAAAGCCAAATCCGCATGTTGAGACCCGTCTAAACTGCATAGAGAGCGAGCAGATTTAGGTCCAATTGGATAGATCTGCGGCGCAGTCGCAGCCGCTTTGACTATCACTAGTGCATGGCTGCCGGGGAGAAGCATTGCGTGATGGCCAGAAGCTGTGGTAAATGTCGTTGCCGCGGCCATTTCTGGTGTGGCTTCTCCATCTTCTTCAACAGTAGAATCATTGTTGTAGTCGGCATTTCGAGTAGCCACCTTTTTCAACTTGAACGATCCGACAACGCCGGGCACCGCAAAGGGTTCATAGAGAATGACATCGCCAGTCAAGTTTCGAATGAGCAGGTAAGGCCGCTGTTCCACGTCATTGCCCAGGTCTGCAATCATTGCATCTGCAAGGTCGTCGCTGTTTCGCCAGTGCTTCGGCAACTGTACATCCGGCGCCAGAAGCGTCGGCAAGAAGCCGACTCCTTCCACATGGAAGACCTGCACATCCATGTTGGACATAGGAATGACTGACAGGGCGCCACCTGTTGATAACAACGAGAGTAAAATTCTCGGTTCGCTAGGTGAGTTGTGAAATCTGCCCGATTGGAAGAAGTCTGTGGTGTCAACATAGAGTGAGGCTGCACTGAAACCATCACTAGAGACCGCGGAAAGCGACTGGGGTAGCTCCAGCTCTTCGAGTTCACCGTTCTTGTCCGCCTTTAGGATGGTAACAGAGTGATCATCCTTCAGCAGGGTCATGTACGGCTCTGCAAAGCTTGCCTTGACAGCCCTCGAAAGCTGACCTTCGTCTTCATCGACAATGGGCACGATCTGCGATATGCCGAATCCTGGAAAGAAGTCAATCAATGAACAAGTTGGTGAGGGGGGTTACGTACCAGCATTATAAACACGGATCTCACTGCCGGTGACGAAAATGGTACGACTTGTGGAAGTAAACACACCAACCGCAATGGGCTCCCCCGACGTGGGCTCAAATTCGGTTCCATGCACTTTCTGCAAGTCACCCCCACTGAGCTCCCATAAGGATGAGGTGGTTTGTTCCTCATCACTTCTCTCCGAGACAATAAGTCGCTCCGATACGCCAGGGTTGGCGCAACAAGGCCAAACTCCTTGGGCGGACCCATGCCTGAGACGCTTGCGGACTTCAGGATTGAGATCGTGAGTGAAGAAGGCGATACCACCGGCGCGCCCATGACCGTAGCTCGCAGCTAGCTCCAATCCATCTGCCAGGGCACTGGAATCATCTCGTCCCAAGTCGTCACGTTTTCGCTTTGTGGCCCGGCCAAATGCTATATCGTGCAACGGGGCAATACAAGGCAGTGTATCGTGAAGGTGGAGGTTGGTACCACTAGCTTGAGATAGGTTGGCAGATGCGGCACGATCGCCTGCGAAAAGATCATCGTCATCTTCCATATCGTCATCGTCATCTTCTCCGTTTTCGAAGCCGTCCCCATTTACATCTGCGTGCGATCTTGACATCTGGCGTTTTAGCTGCGTACCACGCCTCGCGCCGAGGAGCACAGCATCAGCTGCTTCACTTCCAATGAAGATCTGTCCCGAGGAGAGCGTAGAGGCACAGCTCGGCATGCTCTGGACTGCATCGCAGAGCTTGGTATTGTCCACTTGGCGTAACGACATACCGGAGACTGATCTGCCGTCAAGCCTGAAAGAGAGAACAAAGAGCTGCCCGGATTTCGTGATGAGGAGGACGTCTCCGTTCAAACGATCAAGTTGCGCAACCTGGGAGCCTTCGAGTCGCAGCCGAAGACTAGACTGATCTGTCATGGGGAACGATGAGCTTTCACGGGCGAATTCGTTGACTGAGAGGCCTGTAGCTTTGCCACCTTGGTCGATGTGGATGATTTCATTTCCTCCAACCAGAAGACTTCCACTCACAGGCAGTGGAAGAGAAAATACCGAGTGTATGTCGTTAGGCAGATTCTTGACGGACTGGAGGGTGGTAGAGGCCCTCTGTTCGATGTCCAGAGCGTAGACCGAATAGATGGTGACATCCCGTCTTTCTACTGCGAGATTGTTGGAGCGAGCAGCTGTCGAGTACAGTATGCCGATTGTCGGATCGCGGTACTCGTGGAGGAAGGTGAGATCCACTGGATGTAACAGACCTGGGTCGAGGGCAGTCATTGGAAGAACGAATGAGGGAAAGTAAGGCGTGGCATGTCCATCCTCGAGTCCGTTCACGTGCTTGGATCGCGTTCGCTCTTCGACAATACCATCCATGTCATCGAGATCATCATCCATGGCCAAATCATCACCAGCTTGATGGAAAGGGATTATGGCGAGACTGCCCACGCCGAAGTTGAAGGCGGCACATCTACTGTTGGGATCGATGGTCAAATGGCTGACACAGTACTGAAGATCGGGCATCCAGGGAGCGGCTTGCAACGCGTGGTTCTCGTAGTAATGTATTGAGATGGTAGAGATGCTATGCTGTGTGGGGTCCCACTCGACCAGGCTCAACTTGGCATCACGAAACGCGATCAAGACGGCATCACCACCGCTTCTCAAATCCTCGACATGAACTCGCCCCAGGGCCGTGACAGTACCGGACAGACGATGCTCGGCTACGAGAACAAGTTTGGAGTCGTGGCCCTGGTCTGGGGATCTGACCTCAAAAATCTGAAGTAACGAGGTCCGAGCAACAATGAGGTTGTTGGCGCCCGCAGAGACGAAGGGAGCTGCCAGAGAGTGAGTTATTCCCGATGGCGGAACGAGCTCGGAGTAGCACTGCATGTTGGCAGGCCCCGATATGCAGTCGCATAGAACTCAAGCTAGTCTGCGTGAAGGATGGGCTCGTTCAAGATGCGGAAGGGAGAATGGTGATGATTGTCCTCTCTAAACATGGCAAGCGCAAGCGGAGTCCATACTTGCCCCGAAGATAGATAGCGGGAGTCGATGACGGTCGAAGATGCTCTATTGTTGATGGAAGTCGGTCGTGGTCGCGGTGCTCCTTGACAGAGCCCCGTCGATAGAAAGACTTGGCGCCAAGCTCATGAATCGGTCCACTTTTCTCTCGCGCCTGCGGGCCAAGTTTTAGGTGCAGCTACTCTCCGTTCACGACGCGGAGGTCGTGCCTATGACGTCCCTGCTGCCTGTCATCTGCCATCTACCACAGCGACTCTGTGTTTCCGCTTTTGCACGAGCAGACTGCCTGCTAATGTCCTTCTACTGCTGAGCTCATCCCAACTGTTGTGCATACGCCAACATGGAGCTACTCCCCAAGCTCGCAGCTCTCGCGGCTGAGTCCTCTTCGCCCGTCTCGATCATGGCTTCTCAGGGCTACGTCCAAGTCACTCTGATATGGGTAGTCTACGCTATTGCTGTGGTGCTCTTGCTGGCCATCGCATCACTCTTCGTCTACCTATACCAAACCCATCGCGATCGGTCGGCCTACGTTACCACTGTTTGCATCTTCACCATAACCTGTCTGCTGGCAACTGTTCTCCTCCTTCCAGTCGATGTGGCCCTGGTCTCGTCAACGACCAGTTCCAAGCACGGCATCCGTAAAGACTGGGCTACACAGGACAAGGTGGATCAGATTACATACACTCTGAGGATCGTCTACTACCTGCTGTACTCTCTGGATGCCTTGTTGTGTCTACTCGTCATCCCCTTCACCTACTTCTGGTATGAGGAATACGATGAAGTTGCCGAAGAGGAAGGCTCCCAGACGTTTGCTACCAGATTCTGGGCCGCGTTCAAGTACACGATCGTGTTTGTCTTTCTCTGCGTGGCCTTGTTCCTGGTTGGGTTCTTCATTCCGGTTGCGAAGCACCGGGAAGGCGCCCATTTCGATCTCGATTTCTTCAAAAACCTGCTGGCCGAAAACCATGGAGAACGGGCATTGACTTTTGCACTGGGGCTATTGATCACTATCGGTATCATCATTTACTGTTTCTACACTGCTGCTGGGTTGGCTTTGCTACCTCTCACACTCATCAAATCAGCTCCGGGCGTTTCGGCTCCCGCGATGGGCGAGTCCACAGCAACTCAACTCGAAAGCAACCTAGAGCGCCAGAGACAATTGGAAGGCCGCGCTCAAGGCAATAGCAACGGGCTATCATCAAAAGACCAACGCGAGCTAGATGCACTGGTTCGCGAAGAACGCACATTACGCCGCCACCAGCGTATTGCTGAGGAAAATTCTGGCGAGGGACAGAACTTCTTTTGGAAAGTATGGGTCAAAATTGGCGCCGTCTTGCGTCCGATCAAGCTCATTCTCGGACTCCTCCTCGTCGTTGTCGTTCTCCTCATCTTTGCCAGTATGCTCATCACTGCCATCGACAAGGCCAAGAACTCGGTCTGCAAGAAGCACTGTGGCTATCTCTTGGGTCACATCAACATTTTCCAGCCTGTTAACTGGATCCTGGTCAAGACTGCCAAGGTGTTCCCCATCGACTATGTCATTTTCTTGCTGATTACGATGCTCTTCTTTTGCGCCAGTGTTGTTGGTATCGCCACAATCGGCATTCGTCTGCTTTGGATCACCATATTTCGCATTAGAAAGGCCCATACTTCACCCCAGGCTCTACTGATTGCAACAGTAATGCTTACCTTGATGACTCTCGGAACCAATTACGCCATTGCTATGTTGGTGGCGCCTCAGTATGCCACCTTCGGTCCACAGACTTTCTGTGACCACCCGCTGCGTCACCCAGGCGAGCAGCCTGACTGCACCAATCATCAGCAACATATCATTGCATGCACTGAGGCGACGAAGAACTCGGCTGCCAAGAATGTCTGCACGCCTTCGGTCGCTTCGACATTTCTAAACCGGGTCACTGTCAACTTCCCCTTTTTCGGTGTGATCGATTTCTGGGCGCAATTTGCGTTCATGGGCATTTTCCTCCTCGCATTCGTGCTACTACTCTTCCGAACTCCAAAGTTGTCAGACTCGGATTCTGAGGAAGATGCTATCGAAGAGGAGGAGGAAGGCCTTCTCGCGAGTACTGGCCGACGCTTTGGTGCTACATGGCAGGACATCACCGGGCGTGTGAGTCACGATGGGAGGAAAGGTCAGCCCAGTGGACGGGGTCTCCGAGACAACGCTGACGGCGACGATTAATGTGACGAAATGTGGACAAAGGGCTCAGAGGGCTCGAAATTGCACCCATGGAAGTACTGTACATAGGTGACGGCGTTTGATGAGTCAAGGTGGTCACTAGCGATGGCGAATACGTAGTAATGCTTGAGATTTACCGAAAGTAAGATGAAGTATTGGAGAGTGTTCTTGGGCAGATGTAACCCCTGCTGGTCATCGCGTGTTTCCGTGGCCAATGGTGGTGAACTGTATGGCGCACGCGGGCGCGGAGGCTGCCGAAGCCGCCAAGAAATATCAACTTCAATCACCCCCTTCAAGTGATGTGTTGCAGAATTGCCGGATATCGCACAGCATCGTTCATTCTCATCACAACCCTGTCCTATCCGTTCTGCAATAGATCCCCATTGTTGGGAACATTGGCGATAAGCGTGGCTAAGCTCGTGGCACCGCTTTCCTGTGACTCTGTATCAATATTGGTATTGACCGCTCAAGCGCCGTCTGTTAGGCCCGGACCGGCTTTCACAGGCAGCACAAGCCGTCTCGAACGACCCGCACCAACACCATGGAGTACGACGACGAAGACGACATTCAGCAGTACCAGGCGCGACAGCAGAAACGGCAGGGCGAGAGCCGCGCACAAAAATCCGTTCGCCAAGTGGCGGGTGGTGACACAGCGGAGGATGACGATGAGCCCTCAGCAAACAACGAAGAAAGTCCCGAACTCAGCTCGTCTGACGAACTTGCCATCGAGGAAGAAGAAGCCCGTCATCCTTTCTATCACTATGCCACCGAGAAAGCCGACAGTTTCGCTGACGCCAAAGTAATCTACCAACGCCACCGTCTTGATACCAAGACCTCCCAGGACTTCGCCAATCTTTCCTTGAGCAAGTCTACCACCTTGCCCTCGATTCTTGACGGTGGTTTTGGCCCACCACTCAACCGAACAAGCAGTCTTGCGTCCCGCAAAAGCGTTCGTGGCTCTTCTGGTGGGGGCCAAGCCATGACCTTCAAGAAAGAGCCTTTTCCGAGCTTTCAACAAAGCCCCGAGCCATCTCGCACATCTCATGATGTATTCCTGGATGCCGATGCCAAGGCAAGAGCACACAATCAGCATCCGGCCCTACCCCATGAATTCAAAGATCCGTTGCTTGCTCATGAGGGAATGCATGGGGCGGGAGCAGGGGTGGGTCTTGGGTCTGGACCAAGCGGCCTGGCGAAGAACGAAGAAAGCATTGTATCCGAAGTTCAATCTATTTGTGACAAGATCAAGTTGCTTCTCGACATGCGCCGAGAGTTCATGAAGACATCACTGCAGTGTCCAGGTGACAATCCCAAGGATTACGACGAGTGGGAAATCTACCCCCCTCCACCTGAGCCTGTATGGACTCAAGAGAAGAACCGCGTCAACGGTCATGATGATGAAAACCCATCGAGGACTTCTAGCGGATTATACATGCCTGACACTGGCCGCCCGGACAGTAAATCAGGCCGCTCGACCACTTACACCAGCCACGTCGGCTCGGATAGAACACCAGTTTCTCCAACAACTGCCAGACGCAGGCGCAAACCTGGCCATGATATTGGCGAGGACTTTGATATGTCCGAGGTGGACATTCCAGGAGAGGACACAGAATACCACTATGCTCCAGATGCTGCGAGTATCTACCAAGTCTACGACGATCGCGACAAGCCGGTCGTCCAAGTTCCCACACTGCGAGATTACTATATCGCATTAGACACGGTGTTGGACATATGCTCAGATGGTCCAACTAAGAGCTTTGCCTATCGTCGCATGCAGTATCTCGAGGGTCGCTACAATCTATACTCCTTGCTCAACGAATACGAGGAAGTCGCGGACACAAAGAAAGTGCCTCACCGTGACTTCTACAATGTACGAAAGGTCGACACCCATGTTCACCATTCGGCCTGCATGAACCAGAAGCACCTCCTCCGCTTCATCAAAAGTAAGATGAAGAAGTGTCCGACTGAGGTGGTAATAGACCGTGACGGGAAACAGTTGACTTTACAAGAAGTCTTCGAGAGCATCAACCTCACAGCATATGACCTGAGCATAGATACCTTGGATATGCATGCTCACACTGACTCTTTCCATCGCTTCGACAAATTCAACTTGAAGTACAATCCTGTTGGTCAGTCACGACTAAGAGATATATTCCTCAAGACGGACAATTTCATCAAAGGCCGGTATCTCGCAGAGATCACACGTGAGGTCATCTCGGATCTGGAGGCCAGCAAGTACCAGATGGTCGAATGGCGCATCAGTGTCTATGGGCGCAGTATTCATGAGTGGGACACGCTCGCGGCATGGGTTGTTGACAACAAGCTCTTTTCTCACAACATCCGCTGGCTTGTACAGATTCCTCGACTTTTTGGCCTATACAAGGCCATGGGAACCATGGAAACTTACGATGAGCTGTTGCGCAACATCTTCCAGCCGCTGTTTGAAGTCACGCAAAACCCGGCCAGCCATCCCAAGCTCTACGTTTTCCTTCAACGGGTCATCGGCTTTGACAGCGTTGACGACGAAAGCAAGCCTGAGCGCCGGCTGTTCCGAAAATTCCCCGTGCCCAAAGAATGGAACACCAAGCAGAACCCTCCCTATGGCTACTGGATCTACCACTTGTACGCAAACATGTCGTCGCTGAACGCGTGGCGACAAAAACGTGGGTTCAATACTTTCCTCCTCCGACCTCACTGTGGCGAAGCTGGCGACACGGACCACCTGGCGGCGGCTCTGTTGTGCTGTCACAGCATCAGCCACGGCATCACTTTGAGGAAAGTCCCAATGTTGCAGTATTTGTTTTACCTGGAACAAATTGGCATTGCAATGTCACCCCTTAGCAACAATGCTCTGTTCCTAACTTACGACCGCAATCCATTCATCAGCTACTTCAAAAGGGGACTCAATGTCTCACTCTCGACCGACGACCCGCTGCAGTTTGCGTTCACCAAAGAGCCGCTTATTGAGGAGTACTCGGTGGCGGCGCAGATCTACAAGCTGTCAGCCGTCGACATGTGCGAATTAGCCAAGCACTCTGTCGACCAGTCTGGTTTCGAGCTGTCGTTGAAGCAACGCTGGTTGGGGAAGTACTGCTACTTGCCGGGCGTGCTCGGCAACGATGTAGCCAAGTGCAATGTGCCCGATGTGCGAGAAGCGTTCAGGCACGAGACGCTGAAAGCAGAGCATGCATTGTGAGTAATTCCTAACCCGAGGTACGGTTGTCAAGCTAACAGCACGTGCAGCATTGCCAAATACACGAAAGACTATACGCACCTGGAGAGATGCACGCCGAGCATACCGGAACCAGATGACCCCTCGGCATCCATGAGCGAAGTGTACAAGGTCCTCGAGTCACCGAAACAGTACTACGCGACCGTGGCAGACTCGATCCCCCCGGCCCAGCAAGCCCGGGTGCCTAATGCAAAGTCAAGCAGCAACGTGGAGACACTCAGCAGCTCACCTCCACGTCTCCGTAAGGCGTCGACGCAGCTCTACGCTGTCACATCCCCCACAGATCCTCACATTTCCGGCCACGAGCCTCGGGTGTTCCCGGGTATTGCGTATCAGCGAGAGCGGCGACATAGCTTGAGGAAGAGCATCAGCGGATCAGAAGGTACCGCGCCGGACTTGAGCAGCAGCCAACAGCTAGAGCCTGCGCTAGCAAAGCTCCAAGAGAGGGAAGACAGCGAGGCGGCCTTCGCTGACGACACGGATTAGTGTTTCGGAAGAATGCAGGTGAGGGCCAACACGGCGTGGACATCGACTACGGTTTGAATGATCATCCTCCTGGCAGAAGGTTGGGCCGTTGCGGCTGCCCTCCAGATCAGCAGGAGTAAGGTGCAGGGCGTGAATGGTCAGGGTGCCTGCTTCGGGCGAACTCGGATCGATGTACTGTAGATTTCTTGCTTCCTATACGGACAGTCATCACATACAGGGCTTCCGTTGGCGCCAAGTCCATAAGCACGTGTAAGCGTACCCCAGATTCCGAGATGCGAAGCGACGAAACGTGAGTCGTTGGTAGTGTTGTAGATGGAGTCGCCTGGATGCCACTACAGGACTTGGTATGCGGCCGTAGACCCCCCCGAGTCCGTTGACCGCTGGAGTCCCTGGGCCTATGGAGTCCAGAAATGGCAAATACAGTACTTCTGTTCCGGCTCATGGCGAGCTCGCGTGTGCTGGTCGAAGATAAGCTGCTTCATCAGCTAGGGCGGCTGATTCACCAGGATGAAGTAAGTGGGGGTTGTGAAAGTGTTGAAATTCAATCAGGAGGTCAGCAGAAGCATGTTGAGCTGTTCCGGGCGTCCAGAGCGGCGATGCCTCAAGCAGAAAAGCTTCGCGCGGGATGAAGGAGGCTGCCCGAGAATCCTCTGGATTCCTCTGGGTGGATGCAAGCCTATCTAGACTCCTCGACTGCAGCCGACACCGCCTAAAAGGTCCCCTCTGATAGGCGGTGGAGAAGCTCCCCCAAGACTGAAATGCCATGCACGGTTCGTCATTCTCGATCTGATCCTTGCTGTTGTGGTCACCCCACATGTCGATTTCGAGTTCCCTTCATGCGCCGAATGCGGGCGTTGACATCTGCTGCATTTTCGTCTTCCCTCTTTCTCTGGTACAGCTTACCCGGGTGAGATACGTCTCTCACTAATCCACTACATGGTCCGGGCACGAGATCTCCTGGCTCTAGCCCCTACCAAATGAGCTGCATGGCCTTCCGATCTACCTGCCGCCTTCACCCGAGAATAACATTCGCTGTTGACACTCCGGCCACAGCCTCTCACTTGGGTACCCTCACACGACCCCGGACTCTGAAGCCCGAATGGCGTCTTCCCCGCCTCGCAGGCGCTTTCTTCCCGAACCCGTCGAAACCACTGTACGAAGCTCCAAGCGCCCGAGCCCCTCTGCAGATACATCCCATACTTCCCCGGATTCTGGGCCCGGCACACAGGCGGTTACAAATACAGAGTCCAACGACATGGCTCCTGTTGCTCAACCGAGGAGGTTCCAGCCTCAACCTATAGAAGAGTCTGTCAAGAGTTCCCGCAAGACCAAGTCGCAGCATGTCGAACATGCCGACCTACCTTATCGCTCATCTCAACCGCTCCTCCACTCAGAAGATTCGACGGAGCCTGGCTTCCCAACAGCAGGTCCCCCCGAGTCGAAGCCGCGACGTTTCTCACCACAACGGATAGAAACCACAAGTCGATCATCGAGGCGCAAATTCGCTCCCGAGCCAGTCGAAACCTCGACTAGAAGCAGCAAGGACAGGCAGGGCGAAAGCAAGCCCAAACAGACACGGAGATTCGCCCCCGAACCTGTGGAGACGACATCGAGGAGCCACAAAGCTAGCAAAGAGGAAGACCAGGCCGGACAGACCACACCAGAACCTCGGAAGAAGTTCTCGCCAGAACCGATCTCGACTGAGAGAATTAGTAGGAGACAAGCATCCCAGACGGCTGAGCACTCTTCTGAAAACAATCCAGACGAGTCACGCTCCAGGAAGTCGTCCGACTCCAGTCAAAGCGCGAACGGCACCCGTCGGTTTTCCCCTGATTTGATCGAGACCGCCAAAGGTACATATCGACAAACGGCCGCCCCCTCTCCTACGAAATCTGACCACACGCTCAGGCCACCAGCCGAGGCAACAGAAGACAACAGTGACGAGAGTGACGACAATGTTAGCACCCTAGAAGAATCCAGATTCTCAGCTGCTGCCCTGGCCAAGAGGCACAACGAGGAAAATCGGCGACATTCCTTCATGGTTCCAGGTCTACCTATGATCGAGTCTGATTCTGGGGACGATTCCTCCGCACCCTCGTTGACAAACTCGCGGTCGTCCGCCGATTCTCTGCAGCGAGCAAATAGTCGTCGTGCGGCAGGCGAGACGTACACGGAATACGTGCTCAAGCTAGCAGCGCAAAGCGCTACCGACGAGGAGTTACAGCAACAAGCCATGGCGGCTTATATCAACGAGACGACTCATGAACAAGTTGCTCATTACGGATTTGACGAGGAAGACGACCCTTCTCCTCGGGGAGGCCGTTTCTCCGGCGAAAATGGCGCCGATGTGCGCACTTTCCGCCGTTCTTCACAGGACGATCTCGACTGGGAGTTGAAGCAGATGCAGCGTCACCACGCCCAATTGGAGGAAGCCAAACGCCAGCTCAAGCACGATACGGCCGGCCACAGCAGGTTCAGTGCCGCTGCCTTAGCAACGCGGCACAAACTAGAAGCCGAGAAGGAGGTTCATGTCAAGAAGCTGAAAGCCGAAGAGTCAGAGATGGCCAAGATGCGCGCTGCCGCCACTCCACCCATGCTCGGCGACGACCTCGTCTTTCCACAGACCATCTCACCCAAAATGACGCGTTGTGAGACCGACCAGCATCCACGGCCGCGGAGTGCCGACTCTGATGACGACGAAGAAGAAATTGGTCAGCAGGATCTGTGGACCACCAAAGTCAAAGTTGAGACGTCCGTCGAGACTGGACTTTGGGGTGGGTGCTGCAATGGTAGCGACAGCCGACCTGGCACACCACAGAGAACTGGCCTACAAACACCGGGCATCGAGAAAGACAACCCTTTCGACTGTCTCACCCCAGGAAGGAAGACACCTGGAACAAAGACCCCCAAGCGACGTGTGTATGGCTCGCTAGCCTTTCTTCCACTGACACCTCCGCGCACGACCGACAACGAGGACAACTTCACTTCCAGCATTGACAAGAGGCTTATCCTCGAACGCCAGATTGAAGATGAGTTTCCCGACTGTGTGATTACGCAGGTCTACAATTACCTCTCTCTTGGGTACCCGTCATTGGCCTGGGCGTTCGACGCGGAGTTGAGCAAGATCAGTCGCATATCCGTCGAGGAGCTGCGAAAGGACGACAATAACGTCGATGCCAAGGGCTATGTCGGCGCACCTGAAGGAGACGGCTCTCCTGAGGAAGCTGTTACTAAGGGCGGGTGTCGAAGGTGGGAGGCGCTCAGGCTATATGTCCGCGAATGGGCACGGCAGAGCCCCGGCTTCATGGAGGAGATTGATGGCATTGGGCGGAGATCGGAACAGTGGGGCGGCAATGTGGGTGTCCGGAAGGGCAGCTGGGCACATTAAGCGGGATTCCGCAGCTGCTCTTCATGCTTTTGATGTTCTTGAACAAGCTGGGGCTGACCTAGGGGGTTGGCAAGGCATGGAACGTCCAAGAACCAGCCCCGAGTGGCATTCAAAAAGATTACGACTCTATGTTCCACTAATGACTTTTCGATGTACACGATTAAACGCAAGCGATGGAATTGTGGCTCTGACAAGAGGGTGAAAACGGACAGGAAAATGCTCAACAGGAGGGGGATATACCCTGCCATACACAGTATAGAAGAAAAGAGCCGGTCAAGGGAATGATGCAACTTTGATTCAATCGCAGTATTCTGGATGTGTGACGGCATGAAGTAGAGAGCACCTTTCGTGTTGCTTTTGCAAGTTTCCATCTCTTTCTGCGACTTCTGTGCCCATCGGTGCCATCATTTGCTCCCTTCTCATGCTCTTTAACAGGTGTGCTAGGACAGATCAGGCATCCGAAATTGCCTCGATACCGGGGGAAGGTCTGTCCACTGGCATCTTCTGGCCCGTTATTTGGACAACGCTCGCCAGGGAAATCCAATCCAAACGGGCGACTGATATGGGATCCTCTTTCCAGCGGCGATCATCCGGAGCGCACCATACTACGCCATGGACCTTGTCTGCAAGCTGCTGACCACGGGCGAAGGCCTTGCCTGCCCAAGTTCAAGCATTCGGGTGCACATGTGGATGGTCCGGCACGGGCTCCTGATCCTTCCACTTATCGAGCACCTCATTGACCTTTGTGACATCCAGGCCCTCGATGACCGACCACTTCGGTACCTTTAGACTGCCGTCGACAAGCCAAGTAGGCAGATGGTCCCAGAAATACCGGCCGAGCTCGGGATACAGGAGCGTCATGCCCTGCACGAAGGTATCCTCGAAATCTGCCTCCTTCTTGCCCGCGCGCGCGTAATCCACCGTGCCGTGGACGAAGTTCGCCAGATGGCCGCTCCCGCCGCCGCTGCCCGACAGCAGTGCGGCTCCCAGGGTGCGGTCGCTGTGCATGACATTGAAGCAATACTGCAGGTCGTCATCTCCGACGACGTCCCGAATCTGGCGGACCATGTCATCGAAGTTCCCGTGGCGACTGACGACATGAGTTGCCCCCAGCTGCTTCAGGCTGTCCGTGTTCTGAGGCCCGGCGGTGACCACGACGGAGCGCCAGCCCATCACCTTGGCGAACTGTATGATCAGTTTCCCCAGCTGGCTGCTGCCTCCGAGCACGACGAGGTCGTGGCTCGACGCGTCGAACTCGGCCTTGCCCCCGAGAGACGACACGGGCAGGGCGAAGCCGCTGTTCGCGAAGAAGCCGAAGAAGGCCGTCGCCGCGTTGGTCGGCATGGTGGTGGCGTCGTCGTCCGAGAGCCCCGGCGGTACTTTGGCGCTGCATCGGTCGTCGACCAACGCATATTCCTGCAGGCCGGCGAAGTCGAGGACTCGGGGACTGAGGAAGTTGCCCTGGCCGAAGACCCTGTCGCCGACTTGATACTTCGTGACGTCCGGCCCCAGCTTCTCGACGGTGCCGGCGACGTCGGACCCGGGGATCCATGGCCATTCCTTGATCAGGAGACCAAGGTCTTTGATCTTCTGATCATGTGGATTCAGAGCAGTGGTCGACACCTTGACGAGGACTTCGTTGGGGCCCGGGTCCGGAACGTTGCGTTCGGCGAGCGTGGCGGGCTCGCCTTGGGCGTTGAAGACGATTGCCTTCATGAGTAGCTACCACCACTTTGCGCTTTTTTGGGCCAAGAGAGTTGGTTTCACGGCTGTTACGAGAAGGCGGCATCGAGGAGCCGCCCTACTACGACCGATCACGGAGAGCGGTAGCTGTTGCTCACAGGAGCCTTGATCCAGCGACGACCACGCGATTATAATCGCCCAAGGCTGATTCGATACCTTTCCGCCGAACGGCTCACAGGACATCGTACGCGCAGCTCGTCGCTGTGCTATATAATGCCCACAGGGACTCGGCCGAGTTTATTCGGTTATGCAACTCGTATACTCGGCATACACTCACCTATCAGCTTCCAAGAACACGCGGCTGCAGGTTGCCTTATTCGTCGTGCCAGACTGAATGAAGTCAAACATTACCAAGCAATATACATTGACAGTGAACATCTTTCAAGTATCCGAGCCATTAGCTGTTCGATCCATATAGGACCTCGGACGAACACATGGACCCGGCGGAGCAATCATGCCTATCCCGATCGAGCAATGCTTTGCGAATAGTTTGCCATAGCTTGCACACAACGCCCGGTGGGTTCCCCAGTACGTACTGCCACTCTGTCTACGCCTTCTCGCCCATACAAACGACGAAGGGGAAGTTCATGACCTCCCCCTGGCCAGCCTCAGGCTTACCCTTGTCCCCAAACTCGCCCTCAATGGTCTCGACCTGCTTCTGCATGGCCCACGCCCGCTCCACCCTCGCATTCCTGAAACCCACCTCCGCCAACAGCCTCGTCATCTCCTCCGGATGGATGCCGTGCCTCTCCACGCCGGCCATTTTCGCCTTGGGGTGAAACCTCCGCGCCTCGGGCCCAAAATCCTCAAAGTCCGTCAACGCCACCGAGCCGCCGGGCTTCAGACACCCCAACATGGTCGCCAGCACGCCCTGCAGGTCCGGAATGTGGTGAAGCACCAAATGCGACAGGATCAGATCGTACTTCAGTCTGGGCCCGCTCGCGTCCCCCGCCGTCGCAGGCGGCAGATGGGGATCCTCCGGGTCCTCCAGCAACAGCGCCAACGGCACGATATTCTTGGGCGTCTCCGGCGACGGTGACTGTAGCTTCGCCTTGAGCACGTCGATCATGCCCTCGGCCGCATCCACCGCCACGATCTGCCTGACGAACGGCGCCATGTTGAAGCTGAGCAAGCCCGTGCCACAGCCGATCTCGAGCACGTCCAGCCCCTGCCCGGGCGCCTGGATCTCGAGTTTGGAGAAGCGTTGGAGAAGCGCGGTGCAGGCCTCGCGGCTGGCTTCGTGCACCATGGGGTTCTTGTCCCATGCCGCGGCTTCGGCGTTGAAGCGCTCGTTGCCGTGGCCAGCTGAGGCGAGCGTGGATGCTGCTGACGCCATGTTTCTGTCGGCCTCGTCTGTCACTTGTGGAGGGTGTGCGGTGGGAAAGGAAAAGAAAAAACAGGTGCAGGACCGGAGATGGGTGCAGGAGACCAGAAGAGCAGTCCGAGCATTTCGAGGGAGAAGTCCGCAATGCAATACGAGCCCTGGGGTAGTTCCCCGCAGGTCTCATCTTGGCTGTGGGGGGGGGGGGGGGGGGGGGGCATGTTAACCATGCAGATTCACACGTTCTGGTCGAACACTGCACTGAAAGTATCGAACCTCCAGGGCCTACAAGGGTGCCTCTTTCGTGCACTTATACCATCATGGCGGTGAATAGAGAGCCTTGACCCAACGTCCTTGCTCTTTCTCTCCGAACTGCTGCCTCGGCTTTCAGAGCCCCTATGAATCTGGTAGGGTCGTCGGTATTCGTGAATCCACTGCTCGCAGCCAGGTACTCGCGCTCGAACAAAGTCCACAGCTTCGCATCCTCGTCGTCGTCGTCTGAGACCGGACTAGGATAGTAAGGGTCATTGAAGAAGAATGCTTTGACCAGTTGGTGCGTCCAGTCGAAGCTCTGATCATCGCGTGACCGGCACTGGTTGAAATCCAGCAACCAAATACCGAGACCACGCTGTCGCAGTGGATCTGTCACACAGTTGTGGAGGTCACTGTTGTACGGCAATTGAGCTAGCTCAGTTGCAGACATGGAGAGACTCGGCCGTAGGTGGGCGACTCATTCGGTAGGCCACTGGTCCAGAAACGCTCATCCTCCGGCGTCGCCCAGCGTTGGAAAATGGGGATCGAGATGTCGCGCCTTGAGGCCAACGGAGAAGACTGAAATGCTTCGTATACGCGTTGGTGCATCTGCGCATCATTGTACAGCTGGTCGAGCTTGTTCGGCTTGGGCGTTTTCGCAACGCTGTTGGCTAGAGCATTTGTGAGGATCTGACCACATTGGCCTTCGCCGATCTTCCGGCTCGTGAGTCTCTTGGATTGGGCACGCGTGCCTGGTTAGGTTGCGTTTGGCGCGAGCGACACGCTGGCCATGAAGGCGACCAGCCAGGAAGCCGACATCATCAGGCGAGAGCTGAGCAAAGATTTGGTGCTGTTTTCAGTCTCAGCAGCCGTTGTCTTGTTGGGCCTTTTTATGGGCGAAGTCGTCGTAGAAGATTCGGACGGTAGCATCTGTGAATACGGAGGCTTTTGGAGAAGGAAGTTCTGGTAAGCAGCGAGCGCTACGTATTTATTGGTTAGCAGGTCAGGCTGACACAGTTTCCTTTCGACATCTACCAAAGTTGGCTTGTCAGCCTCCAATAGCGTCTAGTCGTTGGAACCGAGAGTCCGGGAAGTTGTGGTGTCAGTGGCCCTAGCAGGCCGTGGAAGAGTGGCATCATGATGATCGGATTGCTGCCTGCAGCAACTCTATAGTGTTTCCCTCTCGCTGCGGATCATCTCTGGCAAGCCTTTCTTCCCACAAGGTCTCTAAATGGGCGAGGTTCTTTCTGCAAGTCTCCATGTCTGCCTCGATCTCGGTCTTCGGGGCGATGTAGTACTTGGCTCTCAGTACCAGCGCTGACACGAGCACCAGAGCAACGGCCGCAAGACTGGACCACTGTCCGACCTGCTTGGGAGTTTCTTTGCTGATAAGATCACGATGTATGAACCACTCAATCCATACGATGAAGGCGATGTTTGTGAGCGGAACAAAGACAGTTGCCAACAGCAGACATAGAAGCGCGATCAGATCTGTGAAGAGCCGGAGTCCGGACAGGGCTTTCTCTTGCACTCGTTTGCGGGAGGTTCCCTGGAAGAGGCGGTATTTCCGCTGAGGCGAAGTCATAGTAGACCGTGTCATGGTGAAAGCAGCTCGAATGTCCTGAGAGATGGCGTGCCACAACTCTTTGCGAACTTTCCACAGGAGCTGAGGGCGATGGACGGGTACTCGGGTTATGCGCCGAAGGCCAGTCACATTTAAGGCCAGTAGGACGAGGGCGATGATGGTAGACAGGGCAATCGCGCCGAACATAAAGTACGTGAGCTCGTCGAAACGTCTATACTGTGCATCGCTAAGATTGTTACTGGTTCGTGGATTTTTGTTGGTGTTGAGACTGGCTGTTGCGGAGGATTGCTGTCGGAGTATTTGCGAGGTGGAGAAGCAAGGGTACAGGCAGTTATCGGAGAGCTGCAGATTAGCACTCAGATTCTGGAAGGTATACCACACGGTGGAGTTCCAAGAGCCTCTGAAGGTGTTGTCGTTCCAACCGTCGTTGTTGGTGTTCGTGCCATCAGGGTAGTCCGGATAGCAGAAGCGATACTGGAAGGGAAAGGTGTTCCAATCCAGCGAGGGCCAGAGCACGAGAGCACAGATACTACCGCCCAGCATTAGGAGGTTCCAGAGACCAACAAGGAGATGGAGTGCACGGTAAGCCCGGACGGTATGGGACCAGCAGTGCATAGGTAGCATTGACAAGTAGCCAGTGATGACGACTGCAAGTATAGCATCGATATCGAGCTCCATGATAGCGGGGGAGATCTCAACTGACGATGTATCGGTCCATAGGTTGGGAAGAGCTTCGTATGTTGCATTGCCTGTCACTGCAGCAGAGTCAACGAACGGGATTGACACTTGCTGGCCATCCGCAATGTAGGACGGATCCGATATCAGGATGAAAGCCTGGATGGATGCCACGCCTGCATAGGTTGCTGCAGCTCCAAGGAACACTTGGACGAGCCATGAGCGAGTCCGGACAACTAGAGTGGCGAGAAGCAGGGCATAGTATAAATACCGAGGGGTCGCCGCCCAGGCATCAGAGATCGGATAGGCACTGGAAGCACTGGGTCAGTATCCGAGCATCGCAGCTAACGTCTGTCGGCGGAAGTACCTACCAAACCACTTGCTGAACCGTAAAGAGTGGCGTCAAATCTGTGGGAAGGACAAACGAGCTCACTGGGCTCATGGTGACATGATCATGTGTGTGACCACATTGGAAGGTTGCCGCGTCTTGTTACAGGAAGAGGATGAGCGTTAAGGGACAACGGTATTAGAAGCAGCTGAAGTTAAGAAAGTGTGTTGCCCTTTGGGTTCCGCCTACGGGCCCGAACATGCATGTAAGTCACTATCCATACTTAGCATGATGCCTTGCACAGGTGCCTCACAGAGCGACTCTTGCAGAGACGGACTTTCTGTGATAAACGATGAGCAGCTCGTATACCTAGGTATCCTATAACAAGGGTGTAAATCTGTATAGAAATGAGATGAGGCCAATAATGGCTTAGCGGCGGACATTAGGATGCGGTACATCCGGTAGGGCTGTGCGCGTGGTTGCCTGTCTTCACGTGGGTGCTGCCTCTTCTGCCTCTTTACCACCCCGCACAGGCAGCTTGCTCCTGCTGCAACAAGAATGCCTCAAAGCAGCTGATCAATCATCAATCTGTGCTCCACCATGATGCTGTCAGCAACGAGGCTTTATACTTCCAGAACATGGATAGGTGTTGTGAGTTGCTCGTCCACGTCTCGGCGCCAGCAACTGTTCGGCATGACAGACGGCAACTTGCCTTAGCGCAGGCTATCGTGGACTTTCAGCCTGGTTCTTTGACAAGTGTCACGTCGAGTGAAGATGACCATCGTTCGACCCTCACGGCCAACAGCAGCAACAGCAGCCTCGGTCTGCGCCGGAGGCAGCCCTTAAAGCGTGCGCGTACGTTGTCCTCGGCCTTTCCTAATCCACCTTATCGAAATCCCTACCACGGATCGCGTGGTCCGCGCTCCTTGAAATCTCCTGCGCCATCTGATCGCCCCCATACTTCACCAGAAACTATCCCTCACACGATTCAGGTTCCCCGAACTCACAGTCAACATCGCAGAGCTTTGTCAGACTCTTGTCAGGACGTCTTCTGGGATTGGAGCAACTCTCCCGAGAATCAAGTCCCGGAGACTTGTAGCGAGCGCGACATTTCGTCTCCTCTTGCCGACAGGGATAGCATTGTGAGCAGCTTAAGCCAGACTTCTCTCGATGACCAACCTGCCAGGAAACGGCTGCGACTTCAAGCTACCATCCTTGGTCAACCGGTCGTCATGCCACGTCCTTCAGGGAGCGAGGCTTTCTTTCTGCGAGACCGATCTCTTGATTGGACTTCTCCTCCAAGCCCATCGACCTCGGCTCCTACTACGCTTTCGGGAACTTCAACCGCAACGCCGTCTCAGCCTTCTCAGGGTTCCACTGCGAACCGTCCATATTCATCACATGCAACTCCGGTCAAGTCGCCCTCTATTGTACTGCTGTCGTCTGGGTCTTCGGACACAGCAAACGCTGCTTTGCACTCAATGCAGCAGCCTAATGCTGTTAAGTTAGGCTCCGAGTGTCATGGTACAGCTTCGATGCCCTTTGCAAGGCTTGATAGCCTACCACAGGAAGTGAGCTCACCTCCACCCCCAGTTGGTCGAGGCAAGTTCAGCAGCCATATTACCGAACCCTTGCAGGAGCTCATGGATGCTTTGCCTTTCCAGAAGCTCTTCAAGCCACTTACTGTGGCGCGCGATGTAAAGGTCTTGGAACGCGGTCACTGGTTATTGGAGATCACAATCGCCCGCGATGACCATGTGGCCGATGCTCGTGCATCACCGACCAAGCAGGAGGCCATGCAAGCTTACTCTGATCGCTTCGCCGGCGCCACTGCCGAAGAGCGCCTGGCCAAGTTTTGGCAGGCCAAGTCCGCCGGTGTGATGAGTGACTATGACTTTGGCCATGAAGACGGAGCAGTTGGCAAGTGGACGGAAGCCGAGTTTGTGACATTTTGGAATAACTTTGCGGGGTTGCTGTGTAAAGCTAAGGCCGGGTGGGCGGTGAGGATGGTGCGAGACGACGTGGCGTGGGGACTGCAACAAGCTGGCACGCGAATGGTACGCATCCGGATCTTTACGTGGGGCGAGATCGTCGGTCATATCTACCTAGCAATCTGGCTATCCTCAGACAAGCTGTCTGTCCGCATTCCGATGAAGTGGGTCGCGGGAGATGGGCAGGCAGTGATTGAGATGTCGGGGAAGAAGAAGCACAAGGGCCGACTCCCGTCATGGATCAGGAAGGGACCCGAAGGCGAACGAGGATCATGGGGCTTAGCTGCTGAGGAAGAACCCACTTAGACAAGACAACCAGACCATTCTTACTCAACACTCAACAAGTTCCAGTAATGTTCGGTTGTCGGTCTGCAGGTACCTAGGCCTAGGTACGTACCGCGCTAGGGTTAGGGTTCATCGCTGGCGGGAGTGGGGCGGTGTTCCTCGGCTCCCATTCGGCCCTCTGTGGCAGGTGGAGTCCGGCTGGAAGTGGTGCAGTTGGGAAGGAACATGTGAAAATTGACAACCACATGCCCTCGATTTGTCCTTTCGAGCACCTCGATATTCCGCACCCAGAGCTGCACCATGGCCTGAGAGTGTCCTCACTGACGTACCACTGACTATATCCGTCCTTTGAGTTGACCTGGGCTGACACCTGCGACAAGTCTCACGGTAAACCTACCACGCCGCCCCTCCCAACAGATCGGGTTCACCCATCTACCGTACCAGAGAGCAACTTCACCAGATCGCAAAGCCACCGACCCAGCCTGTGCTCACCGGCTTCACATCTAGTCTTCAATATCCAAATCTTTTCCACTATCTGGGCCTGCGTCCTACTCTTACCTGCCTCACGCGCACACACACTTTGTCTACAAACAATTGCTGTTGAGGGGGGCTCCCTCGCCAGTCGCGGGCCTGCGCGACGGCCAAAACACTAGAGGCAGACCCTCAGTCTGCTGTAGAGTGGTCCAAACTGGCTTCGGCCTTCAAAATGCCCCAGGCGAAGCCCCGGGTTTCACATGATGACATGGACCATCAGCCTTTCGGATGTAGGCAATCTCCAGCTGGTATCATTTGAAATCGCACTGTTACTGACCCCATCCCAGATGATCTGAGTTTCATTAATGGTATTGGTCTTCCGCAATTCGACGGCTACCGTCCTCCGCCACCTCAACCGCCCGACCGACACCTGCTCAACCTCTCTGAGAATTCCCAGCTCGCCGATTTCTTCACCTCGTTCGAAACAACACAGACTCCCTTGCACAATGGACATGTCAATCAAAGCTACCCGATGGAACCATTCAATCACCATGCTGGCTTCGTGGACATGCCCCCGAATTTCGTTGGCTCTGAAAGTATTCTCATGAATGGCAATGGACAAGAGGTTCACGAGTGGCAGATGGATCGCTTCATGTTTCAAAATGACATGCCACACACCGACATTCATTCCAACCCCGGCCTGCAGCAGCCGAGCTTTGGCCCGCTCTCTCAACCGGGCTCGGCGTCGGCCCCTCTGGCTCCCGTATATTCAACCACTTACCAGCAGCCGCCCTTCCAGCCTCAGGGCCAGCCGCTTCAAACACCAGGCCGGGGTCCTCTTCCCAACTTCGGATCCGATGCGAACTTTCAAGCTAACGGTTTCATAAACGTCCCAGATCAAGCCAATAACACATTGCAGGAGGAGATATGGCTGTCCAGCAACCCCACTACAAGGCCGAATACACAACCTTCGAGCCCAAACATGAATCGCAAACGGAAATCAGAAGTCGAGCACTCAACTCAGCGTAATGGGTTCGTGCCTTCCTCTCATGACTTCAGTAGCCCAACTCAAGCAGGCCCGAGCCTGCACCCGTCACGCCTCTCACATGTCAAGGCGGAGCCCGTTCAGGAGCCTACGCCACACTCCTCACTAGAGAACAACTCTATACAAGATGGTGAGTCCGATGCTGACGCGGGTGCCGAATCCGATGTCGAGTATGTTTCAAGACCTTCTTCGCCCCCCGCGCCTTCGTCGTCACGTCGAGTACATTCAACCAAACCATCGAGATCACGACAAAAGGGAGCCTCAGGAAAGAAATCTAAACCAATATCGAAGGCAACCGAAAGTCGTCCGAAAGCGTCCCGGAATAACAGCCAACAAAAGCGGCAGCCACTGTCCCTCGACCAGAAGAAGGCGAATCACACAAGTTCTGAACAGCGCCGACGCGATGCTACTGCCAGAGCACAAGCCAGGCTCTTTGACCTTGTCCCTGCGGTCCGCAATGCGTCACAGAAGCAAAGCACTGTGCAGAAGCTGTCCAAGGTGGTCGAATTCATGCCAAAGGTCGAGGCAGTGAGCAGCGCGATCAAAGCAAGACTCGGGCTCACTGGTACTGCTCTCGGATCGTTCGATGCATCTGGAATAGGCTTAAGCATGACAGATGCAACAGATGCTGCTGCTGCAGGTGCTTTGGCAGGCATGGGTGCCATGAACGGCACCGTACTGTTCGATGGCAGCGGCGGCCCGCTTGGAAGAGGAGGCTATTAAAAGTTTGCAATTCTCGTGGATCCTCTCGTTTCAAAATTGGAACAATTACACAGCCGTTGATGCGAGAACCCTCTCAAGATCAATGCTACACAGAGCAAACAACACTACGAATTGGTATGATGCGATGACTTTAAGTGAAGGAAGCAATAATGAATGGAACAGCACAAAAACTGCGCGGTCGCATGTTGCCTGCAGAACGCTTTCCGCGTAAAAAGTTCGGGGAAGTTTGGATCATGCACAGGGAGTTATGACAATTCTGAGTCGGCTTCGTTCATTCGACACTTGATACCCCCACGGCAATGGGTATGACACGGCTTTGTTGATGCAGAGCATGGGAGCACGGACGGGAGGGCCAAGAGACAGAGTTCAGGCTGGCTTTGACTTTTGCTGTGGTGCATTTGGTGGCTGGTACTATGTTTCGCCGTTAATATTTCTGGGGCGGCCGACGGGGTCCGTATATACAGGACTGCATTGCTGAGCACCGGCAGGCTGGACTGGCGCAGGTCCACGGTGATAGATGACAGCATGTCCTCGAGCCACCTCTACCGCATCTTAGAGGTGGATGCTATCTGGTAGATACATAAATCTCAATCCTTTTCAGCTCCGTCTAGCGCCTGACGGCCTCAAATGCTTTTCCCACACCTCGTAGACTAACGATGTCAACCCTAGACATGCCGTTCCAGCCTCTCCTTGTGGCTCCTCGCTCGCTCGCTCGCGCACTCAGTTCGCATCTCTAACCTCGGGCTGACTCTCACAAGCTCCATCCGACCCTAGCACCCCGCTCCTTCAGTACCCTCAACAACACCCCAGCGTCTCCCCCATCGTCCGTGTCCATCAGCGCCAGCACATCCGCGGCCGCCACCGCGTGCCTCGCCCACTTCTGTGCCTCGTCGCCCTGGTCTGCCACATACAGGTCGACCGCCAAGTTGAACAGCACCGTGCTCAGCCACTGCAGCTCGTCTGAAGGGTAGAGCTGTGGGCCGATATCTTCATCTTCGGAAACCTCAGTACTGTTGTTCTGCAGCGGGCCTGCGTGTCTCGCCGCCGCGGCCGCGTGGGCCGCGGAGCGTGCGATCTGCGCGGCTTCCGTAACGATGGGCTCAATTAGGGCGAGGGGGGCGCCATCGTCGCTATTGGTGGCGTCGGAGTTGGAGTTGTACGAGTCCAAGACCATCTGCACGATGCAGCGGATCCAGCGCGCGGCTTTGTCGATGTCGTAGTCTGGCTGGCCGCGCATGGTGGTGACGAGCTTGGCGAGGAGGTTGATGGCGTTTTTGAGCGGGAGTCTGGCTGGCATTCGGATCATGCTGGGGTCTGGGTCTTTGGTGCTGTGGTCCATGGCAGAGGAGAGGACGAGGTCGGCGAGCAGGGCGTAGGGCTTGGAGGACGAGGTAAGGCGGGGGACGTCGTCGATGAGTTGCGCGACAGAGATTTCGCTGCAGGGGAGCCCGGAGAGAGCGTCGGTGAGGGTGATGAAGAGGTGCGCTTCGAAGGCCAGCGGTAGGAGCGTGGCAGTCTTGGAGGTGATGTCTTCCTCGGCGTTTTCGAAGGCGCTCAGAAGATCGATATGGTCAAAAAGAAGAGCTTTGAGGCGACAGTACCTCTCGATCGAGTTCTGGTAGAGATGACATTGCAGGCGTCCAGTTTCAGGCGGATTACGAGCACTGTAGGACGTCCTAGGAATGTCTTCGATTGTGTTCAAAGACTTCCAGTCCCTAGCCTTGGTGGTGAACAGGATTGCTTGCAAGAACAAGCTATTAGCCTGATGCACTATCTTCTGGCTCTTCTCCTCTCGGATTGCATGTGGTGGATAGGTGACCGCTATTGAGTGGGCAAGCAGGTCGATGACTATCGATGAAGGCCACTCTCCAGCGTGCTGCAAAGCTTTATTGAAGCTGGTCTTTTCGAACCACTCACACTCCCGCAGGGGACATGCCGAGGAGCCATCGCCGGATTCGTTACCGTTGCACTTGGCAGAATAGGCTGCTGCGACTCGAAATATGCTGGATAGCATCGACAATGTCACGAAGTCTTCGCTGGAGCTTTCGTCCAAAACAGACAGGTGCAGCTGCGCAGTGCACCTGAGAACGGCGCAGGTGTCTAACTCGGAGGGAAGGTCGTAGCTGTACTTGTCAAGTACACGTTGAAGCAGTGTTGCTCCCCTCCGCTTGCTTCCGTGTTTCATGGTCTCGCCAACACAAGCTAATAGAAGCTGTCGCTCGTGTCCCGGACTGTTGACAAGAGATGCGACTGCTTCATCGGCTTTTGGGTGTCAGGATTGCTCTAAATGTGGATCAAATTACATACCAGCGCTCTCGTCTGCCGTCCTTAATGCTATTATATAGTGGAGGTAGTTACTTAGCGGACTGGCTTTTGCAGGCTCTGATAGTTCTGAGTAAGCTTGTCGTGCTCCCTGAAGATTGCCGACGCTGATATAGCAGCTTATGAGTTTTCTGTCTGTGTGAGCACATGATCTTTGATCTGTGAGCGTTTAGAACACCCTACCTCTGCAGTTTGGCCTTATTCCGCTCTCCAGCTTGTCGAAGGAGAGGGTGCAGCGCGATCTGACAGAAGGATATCACAACCTCGTCGGGCGGATCTGGACCACTGTCGACGCGGCGCCACAGGAGCTGCGTGATTCAGCAGATGTTCAGACCGTTCTAATGCCACCTACCAAGATCGCAGCATGGGCAGCCCCAGTGCCAAGTACCCGTTGCCATGAACTATGAATGTCGTCTAGGTCCTCGGGTAAGGACGGCGCTACTGCACCTGTGGTCGCCTCAGGGACTGACATCCATATAAGGGTGATGATGGCACCCTCGGTCCGCTCATGTTCATCTTCGGTCGTGAGCCGCAGCACCAGGTACTGCTTCAGTGCTCGCTGAGCATGGTCAAGGCTGGAACAAATGAGCATTGGAAGGCGTGTTCATGCGGCGAGGACTACCTAAGTGACTTTAGGTGGTGCAAATAGTGCATGATACTGTGCCAAGGTGAGCAGCTTTGCACTGATCTAGGTTGAATCGTGCTCACATTTTATGATTGCTTTCGATGATATGGACGCTCTGCATTACCTTGGACAACACTGAAAGGTGAGTAGATTTCAACAGCTCAGTTTCATTCGTACCAGCAAAATACACATCAGGATTCGCTCCTGGATCTCTGGTCAATAGCTCAATCTCGAGGAGCATGACTGGAAGCCTGTGTCCGTAATCCTGCCTCCGTAAGATTCAAAAGACAAAGGGGCGAATCGGCCGGAGCGTACCTGCTTGAGGGTTGCAAAAGCTTGCAGCGCTTCGTCTCCAGTCTCGGGCGTGTTCATCGATAGCAAAGCTCGAACTATACTCCTGTAAGCTTCCTTCAAAAGCGAGCTTCTTGGGAGTCCCGACCCAACGTATGCATGCTGTTTAGTCTTAGGTCCGCCGCAGTCACTAATTCGTTCTTGCTGTTCACGACTTCAGTCATGTCAATAGCCCTGCGAAGCCACCTGGCTGCGATTTCTGGCTGTGCTATACCGACAAAATGCGTGCCCATGTCGTAAAACAAATCGGCGGCTTTGGGGCTGCAGGCGAACTTTGAGTCGGATGGTAGGCTGCACAGAAGACCATGAAAGTGATCAGCCATGTCCAGTCGTTCCTGTCTCCATGCCTCCACCTGTGTCAACTCATCATTTTCCACCACGTTATTTTCTTACCAGTGTTATTCGAAGCATAAGGAACTCTGCTTTTGTTCGCAGCAGTTCGTGGAGTGTAGCCGCGTTTGAATCTTCGTGTTGATCCTCTAAGGCGCGCTGATGCTCTGCGAGCCGTTCAATAATCCTGCCAGCCAGATCGATATGGTTGAAATCTGATTCAGTACTCAGCAGAGCAACAGGAGTCAGTAGTTATTCGTCGTACGTAAGCACCCTTTTGCAGCTCGAGACCCGGTCCGGAAGGCTTTCGACGACGCTTGGTTCGTTAGCAACAACCTTTCGGTGAAGAATGGAATCATGAAAGTACCCGCTGTGTCGTGTGGGGCTCGCGATGCACTCTCGAGCAGGAAATACGCAAAGCAACGAACTGCAAGAACATTAACGACAGCCTTGAAATCTCGTCTAGCAGGAACCTTTTGCGACCAGCCCTTTTGCAGCAACTCGTTCGTCTTCTCTGCTGAGATTGCAGCAAGTATTCCACAGCCGTACTCCAAAGTCCTCAAGAGCAATACGCTGGGTCGGCGAGACATCCTTGCGATTCAGAGGTAGGGAATGGATACAAAGCTCGGGGTCGGGGAAGGCGATGGAATCGTTGACGAGGACATTTGTGGACCATGAAAGAAGCTGAGATGCATGATCTTCGATAGTCAGCTAGTGCCAAGTCCAGCAGCCTCAAGCTCCATACCTAGGATAGCGTGGGCTTTGTCGGTTTTGTGAATGGACGGTCTGTGAGGCGACATCAGAAGAGAGATGGACACGGCCCATGAGAGTTGGCACGGACAGCACAGGACCTGGGGGAAAGATGAAGGTCCAGAAGTTGAGCAAAGTACGCGGCAGCCCGGCGCCAAGGAATAGCTGGGGAATGACCCGGCAGGTGCGAGCTCGAAGTCACCATTACCGACACCAAAATGTTGATACCAGGTAGATTACCTCCTGATAATGGTACACAGCCTGGTATGTATAGGACCCTAGTATGTGCACCTCCATTCTCAATATCTAGCTTTTCGGTGGATCCATTGGCAAGAAGTTGCCGACTATCAACGATGGACTGAAACGGTCAGAGCAAGCAGGAGACGATACTCGGAGGACTCACATGTTGTGGTTATCTCGCTTGATGGTGAAGGAGAAGCAGCAATGTATCTCTGCATGGTCCGAACCCGCTGTTGGGCTTCGGAGCGTACAGCTGGTTAACATGGCCTTTTGCTGTTGATCGAAGCAGATAGCGCAGAACTTCTCCCAGTAACTGACCAGCTGATCTTCGACGATGACCTCGTGGATAGCGAGCTTGCCCTGCATTTCGGTCAGCATTCCCATCAAAACATATGGCGCGACTTACGTCTCGTAGAGACTCGATAGGAACACGAATGAGCTCCGCCATCTCCTTGTTTCCTCTAAAAATCTCTCCAGTCCTTCGCCAACAGCAAGCTGGAATAGCCATGCTGGCGAAGACACGGTCGTATTCCATCAAGTTCCGCTCGAACCACATCTCTACCAGCACTAGTTCGATATCTGTTAGGCTCTGCATGCGCTCTCTGAACTTCGGTCGGAACTGGTCTAGCTGCATTAAGATCTTGTGCCTCGACGAGTGCTTCATGTTCTTCTCCATGTACTTGTTCAACCGCGCATAGCCGTTGACGTAATTGAACGGCTTCAGCAACCCTGCATCGTATTTGGCCTTCAGTAGCTTGTTCATTCGCTCTTCCGGAGGGTCGTTGCCGGCTGGGTCTGCCGCGGTCATGTAGTATTTCTCGCGCGCCTTGTCCGTGATCGGCTTGGTGCTTGGAGGTCGTGAGATGCCGGCGCCTTGCATGGCTTGCAGCTGGCTTGGAGCCATGCCAGATGCTTGTTGTGGATTGGGCGCAACAATATCGGCACTGTTGGGTCCAAAGGAAACTGCGTTCAGGTTCCCAAAGGAAGGGTCATTGTAGGCGCCGCGGAATTCGTCGGTGTTATACATACCCCCACCCTCTTCAAGAAGACTGGTGCTCAAGAAGTCGTTGAGCAGATTGTACTCGTCGGTTACCTCGTTGGCATTGAACATGAAATTGGGATGGAAAGCGTGCATGTCCTGGAACTGATTCTGCGGGCCCATCCACTGGCTATGATAACCGAATTCTGTCGTCTGTCAGCCCGCTCGTCCAAGACTCCCCTGACTCAACTCACGACCCTGACCACCTCCGTTGGCGCCAGATGGATGGGCTAGGTTGCTTGGATTAGCCAAGGGCTGGTTGTCAGCGGGCGCTGGTCTCAACCCCATGTTGTTGTCCTGCATGAGCTCCTGACCATTGTCCTCCAGCATCGAGCTTCCTGCCATGCTGGGGTTCGCGGCGAAGTCATTCTTTGGCGATTTGGATTCTTCTACCCCTGCCCCTTCTTGTTCGCTTTTGGACTTCCGATGTCCTTCTCGCGGCTCATCATGGCACAAATGTCCTATATTTCGTTTGATGCAGCGCTTACAGGGGCGATCCTGAGACAGAAGCCCAACAGGGCGCTGTCAGCCGGCTGAAAAGGAGTCTGGGGGGAGTGGTAGGGTATAGGGGGTCGTACAGAATCGCAAGTCATATGCTGTGTATCAGTTGTTAGCCCATGGATTTCTCGAACAAGTACCGAAGGTTGACATAGCACGTAGACAGGGATGCAAACGGGGATCGTACCGAGCGCCGGCAATAGACACATGCTGTTGCACTCTGTTAGTGAAGGGGTTCGCGACTGCAGCATGCGTGGAGCGCACCATGGTTCACCTTGCGTTTCTTCTTGGGCGGATCGCTTTCTGAAGCCCTGCTGTCGCGGTGTGCCGAGGACGGAGAGGCGTCCTCCGCGGCGACGGAACTAGGCTGTTCTGATGCAGACCCATTGCCTGCGAGGTCAGGCTCATCGTGGAGATCTGGCATTGGCCGATGGGTTTGGAATCGGACTCGAGTCTGTGTCGTCGGCGGGCGGAGCCAGGGCGGAAGACAGGCAGCGAATATGCAGCTCGAGGGCGGCAGCACATCGCGCACGCGCAAAAGGGTGCTGGATCGATGCAGCTGGCTGCGTGCACCCTGTGACAGATTGCTGGAGTGATCACAAGAATTGAGAGGTCGCAAACTGGCAGACCAGTGCCTGGCTCATAGCACACCAGCGGCAGCGGCAGCTTAGCGGGAGCTCGAAAAGCCCCAGCCCCGCAACTCGCTACAGACTGGGCGCAAGGAAGCTAGGCCCAATGACCCCCACTGCCCCCATCGCTGACCACTGGCCACACAGCTGACAGCACTTGCAAATTGGGGCGGCCAAGACTGGTCTCCAGCGCCTGCTGGTTGGTACACCTTACTCTGGCTACGATGGGCATGTCTGAGTCTGGTTCCGAACCCTGACCTTTGAGCTCCTACGTTTACAGTACGTGCTACAAAGCCAGGAACGGGACAGGTGACAGGTACTTGCTTCTGTGAAACTTTTATTGTACAGGTTTCGATTCCTCTGAAACCGCGCTCGATTAATGTTTTACATGTTCCGTGTCTGGATCTGGTTCTCATTAGAAATCTTGAAATAGCTGTGTCTGACCCCTGGACCGCCCATTCTTCTGGTCGAATGATTGTTCCAGAAGCCCCTTTACAGATGGTACCCGTGTGTCACACACAGCGGGGCGGCCTGCCACGCGGTAGATCCATCGCTGGCTGAGGAAAGGGTAGGCTAGAACCGATCGGTTCAGTGTTAGACCTGTACACTTGGTCGCATGCGCTTGCGACCTTTGGAGCCGCTGGGAGTGCTGTCCTCTTCCCGCTCCCGAGCACGCTTCTCGCGCTGGTCGAGCACCAAGCTGAGCACGTCGAAACCGAACTGAGGGTACTCCAAGCACATTGCTTTGAATTCTGCTTCGGCCTCGTGGCGCAGGACGTGAGAGCGGGTAGCCCAGAAAGCCGCGACCGGCTTTCGTATGGTGACATCGTCTGAGAGAGTGTTGGCGTATACGTATCTAGCATATGCAATCTCGCCAACAGCAGTTGAATTGATGCGGTGGATCTTGGAATGCGCCAGGGTCTTCAGCTCGGGAATTTGAAGCTTCTCGGCGAGAGTATAGACACGCGCATGCTTGAGTAGTTGCTCACCTGTGTCATCGATAGATGGGAGGTTCGGATCGGTCTCGAGTCCGTCAGGTACGTTGGTTAGTCGTCGCGGGAAGTATTCTCCCGTGTACTGGTATTGCAAAAAGCAGCCAAAAGCATCGAGAGATTCCTCTGGAAACGACAGACTGAGATTGCTGGGCGCAAGCGTCGCAAGCTTGGACTGGAAGAAAGGTGATCGCTCAAGGATAGCGCGATGTGCCGAGAGAGTTGTCTGCTCCTCTCCGTCGCCGATGACGAGTTTCACGACCGGAGACCGTAGGTAATCGATGAAAGCGGTCTGGGGATTTGCGGCAGCTACGACTGTCTCTTCAGCGCTGTCACCTGTAGGCTCGTCGGCGATCTCGGCAGCATCGTCCTCAGCTCCCATTTCTACATCTTCAGCGGTCTCTGGCACTTGGGTTGCGCCTTCTAGGTCGACCATGCTGGCGCAAGTGGCTTTTTCTCAAAGGTGCGAGGTATCATAAGGATCGTCTAGGGTCGGTCTAAGCGTTGAACGAGCACAATAGAGAGTGACTGGTACGAGACGACGAAACAACACGACCTGCGCAGTTTGCGGCGGGGGCTTGAAGAAGATGGCTGGGGAAGTCCTGGGTACCTCGCGCGGGCGCGTTTGCAAGGGTTAGGGCACGCGTTGCGGCACAAGGCAACGAGGCTGCGGGCTTGCGGTTTCGTCGAATGAGCATCAAGAATTGCGAATGAGGTGATCGCGTGCTCCTCTTTTGTGCTTCGACTCAAGGCTATTCGAACGTCGACTCACTTTCATCCATATACACTGGCCAACGAAGCTGAACATCACTCAGAAACATCAGTCCGAGATGGCAGTGATATGGATTTGAAGAACGGTAACGCGCATGAGTTGTATTGAATTCAGTTTTGCGGATGGGGGACGATAGCAATCACGAAATTGGGCCTACCCTCTCAGCTCGCCCGTCGATCCCAAGGTTGAGATCCAGAACTGATAACGTTGCTGCCAGTGTGAGGACTGCGGTACACGCTTCAAACTTGGTCTGAGAGCTTGTATCTGCTCAGGGCCTATCATGGCACACAGGGCTCTCGGAGGTGCTTAGCCTTGTTTGGGGTATTGTTTAATTCCATGTTGCTGACAGCCAAGCCATTGTTCCCTTCACAGCGAGGGCAGAAGTAAGCACTGGTGCTCAAGACGCACAGGCCATTTTACGAATGAGCACGAGCAATCTCTTTTTTGGTCTGCGAGCTACGAGGGACGAGTTCCCTGCGAGTTTGGCGCACCGCGCGCAGAATGCATCCGTTGCATGCACGTCCAGGGTTACTGTAAATGCGATTGAAGTGGTGAGTCATGCGCGCGCACATGCGTTAACTATTCCTTCTGGCCAGCAAAATGGTCACGAGAACACATTCATTTGGGCATTGTCGGATCGTGGTCACTGTGCAGCTCTGCAGCGACCCGGACAAGGCGAGTGGAGACGCAGAAGCAAGCACGGAGGCAGCCTGTCGCTGCAGCAGAAGTAATCGGGCCCGATGGGTGGCCGCGACAGGTTGAAGTGGAGAGCGATAGCGGGGAAACAGGCTGCATGTTGCCACTGACCTTAGCTTCAATGAAATGCACTGGACTCTGAGGCTGTGTTGGTAGCTGACCTGTCACATGCACGCAGGACAGTCAAGTCGATTTCCTTGGAAGCGACGTCGAGGGCAGTGATGGCAGTGAATTTTAACCCGACGAGGGCATGTTTGCCACAGTGCTAGTTGTATGTGGAGGAGGCCGCCGGACTGAGAATGGCGACAGGCGTAGTTATCTTGCCGGAGTTGGCGATGTCCGTGCTGCAGCGAAATTTTCTTGCGTTGGCGATGGTGTCTGGTCTTGATTCCTTCTTGTTAGGCTCCTGCATGTGGTGAGAGGTTGGGGAAAAGCAGGGCTGGAACAGCGTACGTGGGGTTCTGGCCCTGCGCTTCTTATTAGCGCGGTTGAAAAATGTCACAATCAGACCGATGGTTAGTAACTGGCGATAAGATTAAGGAGGGAGAAAGTGTCGACCAGCCGGCGGACCCGAGTCGTGATGACGGATCAGCAGCACAACAGCAGCGTGCAGTGAAGCCCACGAAGCCCACATGGCTTCGAGGGGCTATGAGGCGGTTTTATGGCTCATCGCCATTGGCAGTGTCGTTTTCCCGTTTACAGGCTGGAATTCCTACTTGTGATAAACTGGTCGGGGATGAGCCTATGGCGGATCTTCGGCCAAGCTGGTGACGAAGGGTCACGCGGGACTTGGAACCGTTTGCCAGGGTCTTTCTCCAACAGAACGTGGCTAGCCATTCATCTAGTGCAACCTCGATACATGCCATTGGGTGCGGCTCAGGTAGCATCCACGGCCTTCTGCAGATGAGCTAGCCGTGCATGATGCAGCCTCGCTGGTCCGCGCGTGTCCGATCTTCTAGTGCAGGGGCACAGCTAACGACAGCTAACCGGGGGGGGTCTGCTGAGGGGCTCCCGTAGACTAGGAGCGAGCTGGCGGAGCCCGGTCTTGGCAGCCCTTCGTTCTTCTTCTTCTCGCCATTGCGTGATCACTGTCCACAATCAGCTCATTGTTTTTTCGCCTCACCGCCAGAATGATCCAGGTAATCAATGACGAGCCACCTGACACATCGAGATACTCCTCGTTCCTTTTTGCCTGCACAGTGAGAGGCCGTGATTGCATCAGCATCCCAGAGCAGCGAGAGCACAGGGGTAGACGCTGGTCTTCTCGCTCCTCCCCACATACGCGATTCCCGACTTGTATCTGATGTGCCCAAGTGGAAATTATCGGTGGCCGCGAACCGTCGCAACGGCTCACATGTATGTACTGTGTACGTGCCAGACAGCGCTTCCGCCCCTCGGCCACGGTCTGACCGTTCCAGAAAAGACATGCTTTTGTAGTCATCGACAGCACTCCGCCGCTCCTCCCAATTTCTTTTGATTTCCGACTCCTGCCTCCGTCCTATTTATTTTACCCTTTTTACCCCAGGTTTCTGCTTTTTTCCTTCCCTCTCTTCGTCTCCCACTGTCGCGTGCTGCCACTCCCGCGTCTTTTCTTGCAACATCTGGTCGCGTGCCTGAAACTTACCCTGCTATACCGCACCAACATGGGCTCCATGGGCAACCTCCGACCCAGTGTGGCGGAAAATACGCCTCCTATCTCGCCTCCCAATGGCGTCGATGGCCTTCCAGGCTTCTCGACCCCTCTCTTCCCAGCCAAGCCCAATATCCTTTTCGTTATGGCGGATCAGCTTGCAGCACCACTCCTCAAGATGCACAACCCCAAGTCTCAGATCAAGACCCCCAACCTCGACAAGCTGGCCGCTCAGTCGGTTGTGTTCGATTCGGCCTACTGCAACTCGCCCCTATGCGCACCCTCTCGCATGTGTCTGATCACCGGTCAGCTACCCTCCAAGATTGCTGCCTACGACAATGCCTGCTCCATTGGGTCCGATGTGCCCACCTATGCCCATTATCTTCGAGCTGCCGGGTACGAAACTACTTTGGCTGGCAAGATGCACTTCATTGGCGATCAGTTGCATGGCTATGAGAACCGGCTGACGGCTGACATCTATCCTGGAGACTACGGCTGGGCGGTCAACTGGGATGACCCAGGCCGCAGGTTGGAATGGTACCACAACAGCAGCTCCATCTACCAGGCCGGACCCTGTGTGCGCACCAACCAGCTGGATTACGATGAGGAGGTCTTGTACAAGTCCAAGCAATATCTGTACGACTATGCTCGCGAAGCTGATGGCAAACGGCCATTTTGCTTGACCGTCTCCTTCACCCATCCCCACGATCCATACGCCATTGAGGAAAAGTACTGGGATATGTACGAGGTTGTGGACATTGACCTACCGGAAGTGCATATCAACGATGAGGACCAAGATCCTCACAGTGCGCGACTGCAGTACGTCACGGAGCTCCGCGGCCACAAATTCACTCCAGAGCAGATTAAGCGTGCGCGCCGAGCCTACTACGGCGCAGTGAGCTACATCGATCACAACATCGGCGAGCTGCTTGACGTGCTCAAGAAGACAGGTCTGGCCGATGACACCATCATGTAAGTTTCCGTTCCCCTCCCCCAAAACCCTAAAACTTGTTCCTTGGCTAACCACATGCAGCATGTTTTCGGGTGACCATGGCGACATGCTCGGAGAGCGTGGACTGTGGTACAAGATGTCGTACTTTGAGAACTCGGTTCGCGTGCCCATGCTCATCTCGCATCCCAAGCAGTTCAAGCCGCATCGTGTCTCGCAGAGTGTGTCAACACTTGACCTGATGCCCACCCTGGTCGATCTCGTCGGGAGCAAACTGGTGCCCGGGCTGCCAATGGATGGCCAGTCCGTCATGCCGCACCTCTACGGTTCCGGTGGCCACGACAACGTCTTTGCCGAGTACATGGGCGAGGGGACTATTGCTCCACTCATGATGATTCGACGAGGGCCATGGAAGTACGTGACCTGCCCATCTGACCCACCTCAGCTTTTCAACTTGATCCAAGATCCTCATGAAATGGTGAACCTCGCCACCAGCACCGACCCAGACACTCTGAAAGTGTTCAAGTCTCTCGAAGCCGAGGCCAACGCCAAATGGGACTTTGGCACCATCACCGACAATGTCCTGGTATGCCAACGTCAGCGTCGTCTTGTATGGTCTGCCCTTCAGCAGGGTCGCTTCGAGAGCTGGGACTGGAAAGGTGATAGCCGTGACGATGGGAGGCTCAAGTACATTCGTTCTCAGATCCCACTGGATACATTGGAGCGCAAAGCCCGTTACCCGCCGGCTGCCATTCCGGGACCCAAGACCGTTCACCAGTACAACGAGCCGGAGATTCCAGCATACTTACGAGCCAAGAAGCTGAAGGAGGAGTTGGCCATGCGCCCAGCCGTCGGCAGCATTGACCACAACCCTCAAGCATTTTACTGATGTTATTTGTATCGGTTGATTTGCATTTGGTATTAGCGCGGCGTTTTGAGGTGCACACGGCAGGGGCAACAACATGGCTATTTGGGTGCTGACTTCTTGCATTATCTGGAAAACCTCTGACAAGCGTTTGGCATATGAAGCAGAACACGGCGTTATTTGGGAGCGATATCCGCCAATCACAAGCATGGCTTTCTTCTATACTGAGCAGGCTTACTGCATAGCGACAACGGCTGCTTCTCGGAGATCGGCTTGTACAGAGTTCGGTCTAGACGACTTTTATGTGACATGAGAAGGAAAAAGTGGGCTTGCATGATCAAGGAACTGAGGCGGACGCTTGGTGTCCAGGACTGATGAGAATAACTTTTGCAGATACAGAAAGATGTTGACTTGAAAATGAAAGAAAAAAAGGCCGGGATAAAAAACGCTAGACATTTTCTTGCCAGCCAATGACCCCCCGTGTTGCGCGCTCTTCCTCGTGATAAAACGATGCGGGCGAGACGTGTGCGAATATATAAACGCCAAAATTTCACTGCCTGATATTGGCTGGAGAACACGTTGTGATTCGTCGAGATCGGATGGAGCATTTTGGAAGATGCAGGCGAATCTGATAACACATAAGATATGCAGGGATGTGGCAGGCCGGCGGACGTATACTCGCAACTTTGAAAATCTGGCCTCGTCCGTTAAAATGATTATCTTTCAAGCATGACGCATCGATACAAGTACTTTTCTGGTATTCCGAAGAGCAGCCCGATGTTCCTGAAGACGGTAGTGTAGGACTTCCCGCATCCCCAGCCTCGTAAGCTGAGCCCAGCCCGCTTGTTGTGCTTGACGACGTGTCGCAAAGAGGGGCGAGTTACGTCACGTCGATCGAATTGACGGGGGATAGGACAGTTTCCAAGTCCTTGCATTTGCGCGCCCGGTGTCGTGTATGCGAAGATCGACACGGAGCAGAAACCAAGCCCGAGTCCTGACTTCCTCCGTTCCGTACGAGTGGAGCACCAATTCAAAAGTCCGTCCATCCAGGCCAGGACTGAAAAGATTCACCAGGTAGCCGGGACATTTGTCTCACACTCTTTGCTTCCACCTCCAGTCCCTTATGCGTCCACTCATTTCGCAAAGTGGAGATCATAGCCCAGCCACTTCCGGCGGTTCACCTGCGCGATATCGAGGGCTGGCCAGCCATAAGTGAGTGGGAAGAAGAACACAAAGCCGTACAGCACGGCTGCGAGAATCACCGCCACCGCAATCCACGTCGGCAGCAGGCTCTGGCCCGCCATGCGCTCCTTGGCCGTCTGGAACCTCCGCCTCCCGGCTGCCGCCTTCTCCTGCACTGCTGACGGAACATACTGCTTCGATTTCTCGCTGATCTTGGAAGCTACGGCGGTGGGGGAGTCCAGGTCGACATTGGGTTCGACGTTGAAGACAAATTCGACAATGGCTCCGGCGACGAGGCATGAGGCGAGGTGCGCGGGTAGGTAGTGATGCAAGAAGAGCTGACGACCCATGAGGTAGAAGGGAAGGTAGTGGGCAGCCCAGCAGAGGAAGAAGAAGCCGGTGCTGTTGTAGAGACGAGAACGAGTTCCTGTGGGCAAATGTGAGCGGGGGACTGAAGTGGTAGGGGGAAGAAGGCACGAGGAGGGAAAGGCTTACGCTGATCAAGAGCATCTATGCCGCGGCGCAATGAAAGCTGGTCGGCGGCCCAGATGCCGCCAAAAACGGCGAGGATGGCCGATGCGATCCAGTAGCCTATCGGGTTACCGAGGAAGTAGATCTGCTGCCGGGTCGACTCCTGGGTCCAGAAACTGACGCCACGAAGCAGGAAAGGCCACTGGAATGGCAAAGAGGCGTATGGGTGTGAAGAGGTAAGTGCATTGTTGTGGGCGAACATGCTGCGCTGCAGCTCGAAATACTTCTTCAAGAAGGGCACGTGCTTGACTTTGCGAGGCTCCTTGCTCAAGCGCGGCGAATCTTCAGGGATGTTCGCGATCTCGTCAACGTACCAAATGTTGGAGGGCTGCTGAATGTTCTTGTTGCCGTTGATTTCGGCCTGCTTGTGCGCCCACTCGGGAAGTGGCTTGGTGTGCGTCCACATAGCGACCCTGGTGGGGAAGTGGACCAGCTTGAACTGGCCGGACTTGGAGCGGAAGGGCGTCTTCTTCTTCCCTTGTTCGATTCTCACCTCAAACAGGGTATCATTGTGGCGCTTCTCGGCAGCAAGCTCTGGGCTGACAGTAGTGAACTCTTGGTTGGTGGGATAGTATGGCGACGCAACATCGTGACTGAGAAGGAATGTATCCGTGCCGACGTGGCGTAGTTTGACAACATCGTGGTTCATAACAGCCGAGCCACGATGGGAGCCATCCGGGTTAGGAGTGTTGGGTAATATCTCCCAAACATTATTAGTGTCGTTGAAAGGATAGCCGGTGACCTGCTGGCCCTGGCTGGAAATGCGGCCATCGTCGTAGCGGAGCGGATACTTCTCATCGTGGCTGTGGAGGAAGACCTTGGTATCCTTGTGTCGCATCGTGATCTGGTCGTAGTAGAGGATGTCCAGAGCCGAAGCGTGCATGATGTTGTCGCTCAAGGTTTCCTGGAATTCGGGGGTCATGAAGTCGTCACCGGGTCCAGACCGGGTGAGAACGGCGAAGTGGACTTGGAACCAGAAAAGATAGAACATGAATGGCACGATGACCAAGCCTACAGCTCGAGCAGCAAAGTGCTTGGCAAATGTGACCATGTCCAATGCGCCCTCCTTGCGATTGATATCGAGCAAACCCCACAAGTCAATGCAGACGGCTGCGCCGATGGTGACAAAGATGAAGGTTCCGACATATTTGACCGAGATGACGCAGCTCATGCTGAAGCCAGTCATCAGTAGCCACTTCCACCACTTGCGGCCAAAGGGCAAGTGTCGCTGCTTGTAAAAGCGAACATAGCAAAGCACGCTGGTGGCCATGAAGAAGACCAAGGTCGCATCGAGGAGGATGAGCCTGGTTTGACCGATATGGGAGTTGTCGAAGAGGACTAAGCAAGCCGAGAGGACACAGGCTGGGAGGGAGTAACCAGACTCCCACATGATCAAGAAGACGGTCGGGACAGTTAGAGATCCGAGAAGCGCAGGCAAGGCTCGGTAGGCGACATAGGGAACGTTGTTGGTAATGTAAGAGTCGCCAATATTTTCGAACTTGAACTCGCCATCGTATCCTACGAGCCAGCCAACAAAAGCAAAGAGTAGTTTGCCGAAGGGAGGGTGCACATCGAAGAAGTAGGTGCGTTGTAGGTAGTAGGAAGCAAACTAGTGAGCTATTCAGCATGCGCGGGTCCGACCGTTCTCAGATGGAATTGTTCATACCTTTCCAAAATGCACCTCGTCGAAGACGACTTCGTTCGGGTGACTGATGCCAAAGAATCGGGTCACGAAGGCCAATGCAGTGATAATGGCCAATGCCAGCTTATAGTCCCACTCGCTCACATTAGCCTGTTTGGGAGAATCGAGCACACTCCGCAGGTCATCTTTCGGTTTCCCATTGGCTTTCTGTTGCTCTTTAGGGCCGCGCTGGCGTAGAGTGTTGTTCGGCGTAGACATAACGGCCTGTGGTCGGAGGGTGGGGAGAAGATAGTGAGGCACAGGGCGAAAGTTCGAGTGGGAGATGGAAACTAGTACATGGGAACGAAGGTCGACGCAAAGAGTCCCTTCACATAGAAGTTTCAATTGTGACGACAGCGAAAGAAGACGAGGATTAATGGAAGAGACGCGTAATGGGTGACAGAGTAGGTGTCCTGAACAATTTCACGTGTAGCTGCGGAGAGCACGGGGGCTACCCCTTGTCACGCCAAGCTGGCCTGATGGACATGTAGGGCTGTGGCTAGAAAGGGGTCCAGTGGCCATTCTCCCATTCTCCTAATGATAATCATGATATGGATGGCGCTATGCTATGCAGGGCTATGCAGGGCTAGTATATACAAGCTAATTCTCCCTCGAGGGGTCCAGTCACTCGTTGCGATCCAAGATGCTCAACGTCTCCAGTTCGCGATTCACAAGTCGGTCAAACTCCTCGCGATCCATGCCAGTGCTTTTCGCCAGGCGATACAAACTTTTCATCGTGGTTCCAATATGCTGTCGGATGCCAATGTCAGACGCGTTGTACCTCTCTGCTGTGTCTTCCAGGCGGGCAATCGCGTCAGAACCTCCTCTAGAAGAAGGTGAGGTGGGCACCGGCTGCCTAACCTCAACATCTTTCTCATCCGCATCGCCCGTATCCATGGGATCCTGATCTTGATATGGAGGTGGGCTGGTAGTTTGTTCAGTGTGCACGCTGGCGCTTTGGATCTGTGCCAGGGCGTGCCCGTTCAGGGTAGACTCGGTGCCGTTCTGCATTTCCTCGTCCGGATCATGGTTGTCCATAGCAGGCTGGACATTGGCGTATCGCGCGTAGTAATCATCTTCTGAAGGACCTGCCGCACCTGGCTGCACTGACGACTTCCTGGCTGGGGTCCGGCCATCCGGAGTCTGGTCATACTGTGCCCAATAATCATCCTCGTCGTTCTTTGGCACGGACAGATTGGAGCCAGGCCCGGCAAGCCCGGTGTCGGCTGCTCGAAGCGCCTCGTTCACGATCCTGGTTGATGATGTGTCGTTCGCCTGTTGAATAGATGGAGACCACGAGTCATCGATTATGGGTGCAGGAAGCAGTTCGGCCAGCTTCCAGCCACTAGCATCTTCCCCACCGGAACACCAGACGAATATCGGCGCAAACGGCCATTCGGCCAGTTGCATTTGGGCTCGTAATGTCTCTTCGTCCTCACGCTTGTATGTAATCGGCTCTACGTCACCAACCTCGATTTCACCCGACACTGGGTGAGGTTCGAAAGTGGCATTTTCCACCTGTTCTTTCAGCGTCTCCGACTTGGTGCGATCCCAACATAAGAGTCTAAGCCAGTTATCGTGAGGGTCCGATATGAGTTGTACTCGTTGCCGTAGGATGGGTGACAAAAGCGGTAGTAGAGCAGGAGGTGGCCTTGTCGAGGCGAACGCCGTCGGTAGACAGGCCAGCAGAGGCGGTAGGAGTCCTTGAGGGTCAGGAGGATGTATGAGCTCGACCATCTTGACAGCTGTCTATCGCTTAGCCATCGGCTATGTACTTGGTCGCGCAAGAAGACAGTGCTTGCGTGAGCAAACCTCCGAGGTGCAAGCTGCGGGGGTAGACTATAGCTTCGTAGAGATCGCGAGCAGGCTCAGGGGAGCTGTATGAAATCGATGAGGAACCAATGATCGCGATCGTAGATGTAGAAAGTTCCGTATGATTTCCCTGCTCGTGGAAAGATAGCGTGGTTAGCAGCTATAGGAAATATACAGTGTCTGCGCGGAGAGATGGACGATGCTGGACCAAGACATGCGCAACAGCCGCTCGCCCGATGTACGTCAGAAAAGGCACGCGGCTACCACCGATCACATGTCAAGTTGCGGGGTGGAATCCCGCATCTTGGCCAATGTTGGATGTTGGATGTTGGATCGCGTGCAGTTCGCCTTCTAGAGTTCTCAATGTTTAGGCATGCACGTGTCATATTTGTATTCAAGAGGATGTTGGGAAATGTGTAATAGCAAAAACACGTCGGACTGTTCCGAGATAAACTTGAGTTGCTCCTGAACCCATCTCAGTCGTATGCTACCTTTCTGACCGCAACATTGGCCAGGAAGAGGCTAGAAGGAGCTGATGTGATCGAAAATCAGTTTTATAAAGGTATTATGTACGCTTTGTTCACTTAATTTGAAGCTAAGTAGGTCGAATGTTGACGCTCTGCACCCGGCAGGTTCCCTCCATTTCGCTCAGAATCGAATGCCTCCTCCTATTAAATAGCTCACTAACATCACATCGGGTGCGACAGAAACAGTAATGAGTAAAGGAAACTCGTCGCAGACGGGCGTAACGATCGTAGCAAACTGGTGTCTCCCTTCTCCCGGTCCCTGAACGCTGACGATGACCGCGCCCCTTCATATTTAGTACCACAGTGGTGGTTTTGCCGCTGGCGGTCTCTTTCTTAAATCCTGTCTGTTGCAATCTCGGACCTCATTGACAAGACCCACAGAGGGTATCGACATCCTTTTCCCGTGGCTTCCTTGCGGAAACGACTGTCCAGACTCAATGAAAAATGCGGGGGTATCTTGATGGTAACGAATGTAGTGTTGTTGGAGTTGAGCTCTTCTTCCTCGACTCTGTTGTCCCCTGGCGTGAGCCCGTAAACCTCTCTTGTTGCTTGTGTTGATGTCATTCACGTAATCGATGCTGTCCCAGTGATTCCCGGTAATCCCCCGTAAAGCAATCCCTGCGCTTGATCCGGTCCACGAAACACAACGCTTGCTAAATGGCAGTCCTTCCACGGTGCAAGACAAAGGAAAGAGTCGTTGAAAGATGGCAGGACACGAGGTCCCGCTCAACTAAGATCCTCCTCGCCCTCTTCGTCGTCGTCTTCTTCCGCACTTTCACTGGCCACTTTGTTCTTCTTAGCCGGGGTTTCGTTCTCGTTGTTGGAATCAGCTTTGCGCTTGGTCCCAGAACCACCGCTATCCGACTTCTTGCTGGCGGGCGTTTGCCCGTTCTCGGCGAGAGGGTTCTCGCCCTTTTCCATAGCAGCGACTTCATCGGCCGTCAGGAAGCGGCCGCCAGGCCCGCGCGGTCGGCGCATGGCATGGTTGTGACGAGACTCGTGCAGATACGGCTTACGTCCCTTCGAGGTCAATCGCAGCTGCTCTTCTAGCTTCTGACGAGCAACGCGTCGCTTCAGGATGCGATGGAACTGCTTAGCATTGACGTAGAGTGGGGACTCTTCGGCGCCGCCAGCGACTATCTCCTCTTGAGGCTGTTGGACCTGGTGCGGCGGCGGCATCGCTGGAGGAACAGACTGACGGGGCATGTTGTGGTTCATAGCTGGCTGAGAGACTTGGCCATGAGGACTGCTCATGTGCTGGCTCATTCTTCTTTGCGAGTTGCTCATAGGAGCACCCTGTTGCAAGCTGACACCTTGAGCCATCGATGGCATTTGGCCTGGCGCAAAGGTTAGCGAAGGTTCGTGTGGAGAGATGCTGTTATACATACCAGATGCAGCAGCTGTGGCCATTGCTGCAGCCTGAGGGACAGTCATGCCATAGCCTTGAGGTAGGTTGCCAGGTACACCATATTGGGGGTAGCCCATGGATTGGTGGACCGTACCGGCCGACTGTGGTTGGTAATGACTCTGGGTCTGCGATGGGAGAATGGGCGATGCTTGATTAGGGTTGTGTTGCTGCATGTGCGGTTGAGGACCCGACGGCGAGGTCAGAGCACCGGGACCAGCGTTTTGTGGAGAGGTCTGGTAGCCGCTTTGCAAGTGTGGGTGCTGAGTATGTTGATATTGTGGTGGGTATTCCATCTTGAACGTGGTTGATGTGGGTTGGAAGAGAGGTTAGGTAAGTTGGATGCAGGTGCGGATGGCAGCAGCGGGCCGCAGGTAGTTGCGCACGATAACAGGTGCAAGAAGCTGCAACCGTGGCCACGGTCAGGTGAGACTGGACCAGCTAAGCGCGACGAGGTGCGGCAACGGCGGATTGCTGAGCAGGCTGAGGCGCGCTTCTTGGACCGTGTTCCCTGGAATTAAAGCGACAAAGGGATTCAGTGCTCTGATTCGAGGAGCTAGGAATATGTAGGTCGAAGGCTGGTCCCCTGCGTTAGCAGCTAGCGCAGCAGCGGACGGTCACTGGATCAGACAGTGGGCACCAATACTAACCTTCGGTGGGACTACCAGTGATGGGGCGGGTTGCTTATTGCTTTCTTGAGCTCGCAGCGACACCTCACACTCCCTCGATATCATCCAAATATCAAGGCTGTGCTGAAGGGAAATGACGTGCCGGTGAGCAGGGTCCGCGCCTCGGATTGGGCTCTCGTGCAGACCGGGTTAGAGTCGGTGTCGCGCTTGATGCGTTGTCAAATGCGGCACAAGCAGGCAGTGAAATGTGGCTGTGGCGCAGAGACGTGCCCGAGCGACTGCTTCTGCCCTGAGGTTTCTTTGCGCGCTCGAAGCGTGTCGCTGGAATAACACTCAACGAAGGCTCGGACCGTTGGCGGTAGTATTACACTCGCGACGCTTGAGAGTCGCGATTCTAAGTGGAGGCGTGGACCGCAGGAGAATGATTCGAGGGCGACGACTAGATGCGCGTGTGATTCGACTGGCGAGCTGAGGCGACCGCTGTCGTGTATTAGTATTGGTTCTTCGAGACGGTAAGTGGAATCATTGGAGGGGCCAGGCAGGGTGGGCAAGCTCTCGATGCGGTCATTGGGGTCCCGGGTCCGCCTGCAGCTTGATGCGCTGGCACATGCAACTCACCTCTTAGCACGGTCTCGGTGTGCCACAAAGTAACGGAAGAACCACGTCGGGATCTATTCTCGTGCGGCCGATGTCTTCGCCTTGTGCCGGTAGCGAAGCTGGAGAGCGCGGGCGGAGTTCAGTCCGCAAGGGCTTAGGAGTTGGTATGCGTTGCTGACAGGCGGTAACGTCGCAATGGCGATGCGCAGACTGTGTGCAGCCGTGAGCTGAGGTGGACTGTAGCTATGCGACTCGGTACATGAGCTCGCGTCTATGGTTTATTCTGCGACGTCACAATAGCAGAATAATGGGTATGTTGGTCGAATGGTAGCGGTGTAGGCGGAAGGATAGCCGCGGATGGGGTGTTGGCTGGCTAATGAGGTGGCGACTTGGAGCTTGTCGCGGGCGATTTTGTCGCGACGAGACGTTTATTGGGAGACTACTGTCGGCGGCGACGCTGATAGGACGTTGACAGTGTTTACCAGGAACGGGGATCTGGTGATTCGTGAGGGCGCAAGCGACACTCTGAAAATCAGCTGATTTGATACTCCGTAGAGGCAGGAAAAGTGATTCGTTGTCGAAAAGCTGGGGCGCGACGAGGCGCTGAATGGTCGAGGAAAAACAAGTGCGGCCCAAGTGTGAGACGGTCAGCGGGCAGCAAAACTGTGGCCGATGCACGTGAGAGAGGCTCGAAAGTAGCGCGACAGTGCACGATCAATCAATCAGTGAATAGAGAGCTGATTGGGCCAGTGATATAGATGAAGCAGTGTGGCGATTGGCCCAGTGGGAGAGATGGGAAGGGAAGAGAAGAAGAGAGAGATTTGGTTGGCGGGCGAGCGGCTAAGAAGGGTGATCGTGGATCGGATGATGGCGCGATGCCTGAAGCAAAAGAGCGCGAGGGACAGAGTCAAACGAGGTGCCGATGGCCGACGGTCGAAGGAAAAGAAAGCGGGGCGCTTGAGTCCTTGGGTCACGCAGAGGCTCACAGGCACACTGGGACGAGTTGGCAGCGTGGCAAGCAAAGCAAGGCGGTGCTGACACGGGAACATACTTCACCCGCTCCTGCCTAGCGTGCGCGCCGAATCCACGCGTCGCATTCTTACTCCTGCCCCACCAAGCTCTTCCTTTCTACTCCTTCACTTCCTATACGAATTCAGGCGAGATCTGGCAAACGAGAATCCGTACAAGAATCGGAAGGGGCCAATGGAGGGTCTCATTCTCGAGTCTTGCACTGTGTAGCGCGTCGCTGCCTTACTACGGTCCGTGTATGCATCCTCGGTTAAGCGTTGGACATGATGCAACATTCGCTTCTATCTGCCCGATTGGGCAGCGAATCTCAGCTCAGTAGGATGAAACCGTCCTTAGTCGTGTTGCCCTGAGCATGAGCAATCCGAAGTGATGCCAAATGAGAAAACCACACTCGGAGCGACTCACCTCAGACTTCCCAGCCTCCTCCTCCGATACTGCAGACCGCCTGGGCATGCGCCTCAAAGAGGCTGGGGGCTCGTTTCCGATGATCAGTTTTGACAGGGATCTTGTTGACCACCCAGTCATGTGAAATCTTCTGACCTTTTCAGGCAGCCGCTTCTTTCCTCGACGGGTCTTCGGCAGCTGCTGCGTAGCCGGGTTGGTCGGCGTTGCCTCCTTACATGATCCGCCTCACCTTCTGCCTAGAACTCAGCCAGGGAGAAGCCGTGAGCATGGAATCAGCGATGTCCATTGTGATAACATGCTAGCTACAGCCAATGAACGCCGGCATCCCATATGAATTTCGGCTTCACCTCGCTGATTGGCCATGTCCAGGCATTTTTGTGATTGGACTTTCGTGCGTACATCGTTCAAGGCACCAAAAAGCCGTCGCGGTCCTCTGTGTGATAACGGTGTTGTCAACGCGAATGTCGCCCCAGCGGAAACGCCCGAGTGAATCGTACGGAGTATGGCCCGGGATGGTCGAATCCTGAATCGCTCTGTGACTGCAAGCAACAGCAATTCGATTTGGTCATTTGATTTCTCAGCCTTAACTTGGAGCTACAGCCTCGTCACTGCTTCTCCAACTCTTGGCATTCCAGTTGGCTCTCTAAAAAAAAGTCGCAACAGATGCGGTTGCGAGCCCACCATGTCTACCGTACGGCACTGTGAATCATGGTCAAGTCATATTTGTAAGTCCCATGAGCGAGTGACGGCAAAACTCATTACTTACGTCTACAGGAAGTTCGAGCACTCGAAGACCTTTGGCCAGATTTGCTCCGCCGCCTCCAACGCTGTTTGGGATTCTTCCAGCGACAATGCTCCTCAATCGTCTCGGTCCACGGTAGCTGGATCCGGCCGGGCCATCGTCGGCGCCAACGAAAGCGTTCTGACATGGGACATCAAGAAGGGAGAGCTGGTGGATACATGGAGGGTAAGCGACGACAGTGCTCCTGTCACGGTTATCACAAGATGCGCCGCTGCACCCGATCTCTACGCGGTCGGGTATAATGACGGCAAGATCCGGGTCTGGGACGCAGTGACATCAACGATAATCATAACATTCAACGGTCATAAGTCCGCCATTACACAATTAGTCTTTGATAAGCCGGGGGGACGTCTTGCCAGTGGATCCAAAGACACGGATGTCATTGTATGGGACCTGATCGGCGAGGTAGGCCTATACCGATTACGAGGGCACAAAGACCAGATCACGGGTCTTCAGTTTCTCTGTCCGCAGCCAGGCGAAGCGGACTCGGCTTCAGACGAGCCCGCAGCCTATGATCACATGATTTCCACAGGAAAAGACTCCCTCATAAAGGTTTGGGATCTATCAACTCAGCACTGTGTTGAGACCCATGTGGCGCAGACAAACGGGGAATGCTGGGCGTTGGGAATAGACCCAGACGCATCTGTCTGTGTGACTGCGGGCAATGAGGGTGAGTTGAAGGCATGGCTGATCAATTCCGCAGCGATGAATCAGAAAGCGCCGAACGCTTCCAATAATCAACAGAAGATTCTTATCGATCGAGGGACGTTCTACAGATCAGGAAGAGAACGGACGACCGGCATAAATTTTCACCCAAAGCGCAATCTGCTTGCCGTGCACGGCACCGAGAAAGCCGTCGAAGTCTTTTACATACGGTCCGAGATCGAAATCAGGAAAGCGCTGGCACGCAAGCAAAGAAGGAAGAGGGAAAAGGCAGGCGGCGAACTGGATCAGGCCAAGTCGGACAACGCTACCATTGATCCAGCCACAGCGTCGGTGACCGACCTCATTGTGCCTTACCTAACCATTCGCACGGGAGGGAAGGTTCGATCGATAGACTGGGCTGGTGGCAAGTCAGGCAAATCAGTCTCAGTATTGGTGTCAACTACGAACAACCAGCTCGAGGTGTTTGATGCAGTGATAGGGGATGCAAAGGCAAAGAAGTCAGAACCTGCCGATTACAGCAGAACTCTTTCGGTGGACGCGCCGGGGCATCGTACTGATATCCGTTGTCTGGCATTGAGCTCCGATGATAGAATGCTCGCAAGCGCCTCTCATGGAAGCCTCAAGATCTGGAATACTCGAACACAAAGCTGCTTGAGGACACTCGACTGCGGCTATGCGCTCTGCGCGACCTTTCTACCAGGTGACAAGATTGTTGCCATAGGTACAAAAGAGGGTACGCTCGAATTGTTCGATATCGCTTCGTCTATTCTGCTTGACACTATTCAAGCCCACGAGCGAGAAATCTGGTCCATGCAGGTCTCGCCTGATGGCAAGAATCTGGTCACTGGGTCGGCCGACAAGAGCGCGAAATTCTGGGACTTCAAAGTCATTCAAGAAGAAGTACTTGGAACTACTCGCAAGGTGGCCAAGCTCACGCTGGTGCATACCCGCACCCTTAAAGTCGCAGACGACATCCTGGCAGTTCGCTTTTCTCCCGATTCCCGCCTCATCGCTGTGTCCACCCTCGACAATACCATCAAAGTCTTCTTCCTCGACAGCCTCAAGCTATACCTCACCCTCTATGGCCACAAACTACCAGTTCTATCTATATCGATTTCGTACGACAGCAAGCTCCTTGTGTCGTCCGCGGCCGACAAAAACGTCCGCATCTGGGGTCTCGACTTTGGCGACTGCCACAAAACCTTCTTTGCTCATTCGGACTCGATTCTGTCTGTCGCCTTTGTATCGACCAACGATGACGGCAACGGTCATCACTTTTTCTCTTCATCAAAAGATAGAACTATCAAATATTTCGACGGCGACAAGTTCGAGCAAATCCAAACTCTGGCTGGCCACCAATCCGAGATTTGGGCACTGGCCGTTTCCAACACCGGTGCCTTCGTCGCCAGCGCTTCGCACGATAAGTCGATACGTATCTGGCAGCAGACCGACGAGCAGATATTCCTTGAGGAAGAGCGGGAGAAAGAACTCGAGGACCTCTACGAGTCTACCCTGCTCACTTCTCTGGAAGCCGACGAGCGCAATGCCGCGGAAGACCCGAACGCCGAGGGTGCCGTCGTGGATGCTTCCAAGCAAACCGCACAGACGTTGATGGCAGGTGAGAAAATCGCAGAGGCTCTCAGTCTTGGTCTCGAAGACCTCGAGATCGTACGGCAGCACGAGGAACTACAGTCTGCAAACCCGAACAAGACGCTCGCACCGCCACAGCGGAATCCGATCCTCGCTATCGCGCAGAACAACATTTCTGCCTCCGAATACGTGCTAAAAACCTTCGAGAAGATCCCGGCTGCATCGCTACAGGACGCACTTCTTGTACTCTCATTCTCGCAGTTACCGGCGCTGTTTACCTTCCTCGGCTTGTGGGCGGAAGAAGGCCGCAATGCTGCTCTGACATGTCGCATATTGGTGTTTATGCTCAAGGTTCATCAGCGGCAGTTAGTAAGCCAAGGCGGGCTCAAAGCCGACCTAGAGACGCTAAAGCATAAGCTGCGAACATTACTTGAGGGACGAAGGCGTGAGGCCGGGTGGAACCTTGCCGGCCTACGAGTCCTTGGTAGGCGTGTTGCCGAACAGGAAGACAGCAAAGGCTGGCTAGAGGGAGTAGAGGAAGAGGTACCCGTGAAAGAGACCAAAGGTATCAAAAGGAGCTTCATCAGTGTGGCCTGAGCGAGAGAGGCAGTGACTTGAGAGCACCTTCCTTTGCAGTTTGCGTGGTAGGCTTGGCCGTACCGCCCTGGGCATGGGCCTCTTCTCCCCCTCGCTAAAACGACTGGATATGCGGCATAGGACTCTCGGCGCTCACTTATGCTCCCTAAGGCTTTGTCCCTTGTACCGCTGGTATACCACAGAACTCTCAGGAAACGAGGCTTTGAGAAAACGGATCAGCGGTCACTTAGCAGACCTTCAGGTCTCGCTTGACTCTATTTTCGAGAGGAGCTGAACCGACTAAACGAAGTCTGTGTCATTTGAGGTGGTTGAGACATCATTGAGAATGGTACAAGCACCCATGCCGGGGCTGAAGCAGGACGCTTCGTTTGAGTAAGGCAAGAAACAGGTTCTTCGAGATGATGACGCCTCATCGAAGCTCGCCCTGGCGCTGTAGTGCCGGATGTAAGCACAATCTTCTCGTGGCAGGACAAGTCGAGATGAAGGAACATGAGAGTCGTGATGCGGACAGATTTGGGAAGGAGATAGTGACTGGTCTTCGACAGCAAGCGGTCCCAGGTATTGGCTGCGTGTGTTGAGGTCACGGGATGGGTATACAATCAGAGTCTCCTCAGTGCAGGTTGACTTATCCCATTCAACAAGCAATCTGATCTGCCCACACTGGGCTTTTTCCCAGCTTTGAATCAACTTCCTGCTTCTGTATTCGCCAATCGAAGTGTTGGCGGCAATGCGTGCGCGCCCTTGATGTGTCATGTCTGGCCCTGTGATCACTGTGTCGATTCGCGATGTCCGAGCCGCCGTCCATTCGTCCAGACCTCTCACCCGAAGATCCCCAGCAGCTGTCTCTAACCACTCCTTCCTTCGCCAGCGAACTCAGAGCCACGACGACAAGCATTGACCCTCTCCCAAGAAACACACCTAGCACCACCGGTTTCTGGGCCTGTATCCAGCTCATCGGCCTTGATGTCAGTCCTCCTCCCCTTGGAATCAGGAGTGGTCGACTCGTGGCGAAATCGAATGGTACAAGCGCCCACGAGAGCTTCCGTGTGGGAACATTACAAGCGGCTGCGGCTAGGCATTGACGTGTAAGGCATACATGAAGCAGGATAATCGAACACGTGGCGAGTTCGAGGGCCCGGAGCGGCATCGGTGAGTGGAAACTCGCTGGTGTCTCCAATCGATACTCCGTTATGAGCTGTGAGAAGGTATGCAGGGCGGTGAATTACAGGTCACCAGAACGAGAACGTACTCGATGGACGAAGATGGTACCATGTTAGAGCTGATGATGGTGGTAGCGGAGAAGCGATAATGATAGCAAGATGAAACGAAGAAACGTTGGAATCGCAAAGGAGGCACTGTACAGAAGGTGTAAAGCACGACAGCTCAATCATGGAAGAAGCTGTCAGAAAGAGAACGTCGCACAAAGAAAGCGCGTGCTCGAGAGAGAAAGACAGGCGGTATACAGAAGGAGCGACCCGGCAGAGAAGCGTGCTCGATTTCAAGTCTCTATATGTTGGAATATTTTTGCTTTGCCTCTTGCGCTGTCCATCTGAGCTCTGCCCTTCTGTCGGGCCATCGGTCTGCCGAGACCATCGGGATGATCTCGAGGCTACTTGAGCGGCTGTTGCTGCGGATGGGTCAAGGTAGCCTTTCGGCGACGAGAAGATGGCCTTTACAGGCTGGAGTCTTCGACAGAAGAGGAATGCCAAGCAGTAGTGGCATACCGCCTGTCTGGAGGCAATTGTAAACCAAGTCGAATCTTCTGATGCTGCTGCCGGGCTGCGGTCCCCAGGCCGAGCTGGTCAGATGTCAATTCGCTGATAGGGATGTATGCAGCAACACCGAGTGTGCGGCAAGGCGTAGTAGCACGCCCGGGCCCATGATGCCAGAGAGTGCACGGGTATAGGATGATCACATCTGTGATTCCGGCCAGAATCAGTGCCATATCCTATCGAATATGGTGTGACAAACGGCCTATAAGGCTTCGAGGAGCGTTTGCTGCTCGGGAACGCGTGCCATTTATACATATGCGTCCGTAAGTACTGCGGCAGGTGGTGGAAAAGAGGGTCCGACATGGTAGCGGAAGGTGTGGAATTTGAACCGAGTAGGACACCGTGCAGACATGTAGAGATGACTGCGACCAGGGATCGGCGAGTATCTGCGCTCAAATTGCTGCCCCCCAGAACACTCTAGAGGGTCATCTTTGTTACCAGATCACTTGGCTAGGAGCCACTCGAGTCCCTCCCGGGGCGGCAGTGTGACCATGGGGGATGGAGACTTCGATAATGACTTGGGCCGATCGGAAGGGGTGCTGTCGAAGTCCAGCTTTGAATCCAGCTTGGTCGTCAGGGATTCGTCCCAGATATACTGGCGGCATATGTCAAGGACATAAGCCCTGTCTAGGGTCTCGCGCTCCGCACAAAGGTCCAGGACTTTTGAGCCAAGCTTGAAGGTCAGCGAGGAGGTCTCACCGCAGGCTGTCAACATGCTGGCCGACCAGACATAAGCCCTTGCATGTTTCTTGTTATAAGTGACACCTTTACACCAAATGTGCGATATTCTCATCCTTAGGGCGCCCGTGAGCAGCCAGTGCAAGCCACGATCGGTATCCATAGACACGCAATAATCGACTAAGGCGGCAGCAACGAGCTGCTCCAGATGTTTCAAGCCTGTGCCTTTCAGCAACTCCTCCAACTCGTAGCCCAGAACCTTCAATCGGCGAAGATCTTCGGATTTCTTTTCTCGGTCGAGCTGGAATTTCTTCGAAAGAGCACAAACATCTGCCGCCAACGAGATGAGGGGACAGTTGAAGCAGCCGTCCAAGGCAAGATCACCCAGTTCACGAGGAAGTTTGGAGATGGCAATGCATACTTCGGCAGGAAACGGGTGCTTTGGATAGACCGACGTATCCTGGACCGTGGCCATGACCACCTGCTTATACAGCCAAAAGGTGTTGAAACCGATGACCTTGGTCTTCAGGTACATGTTGCCGTTTAGGGACTCGAGCCCGCCACGCATGGATATGATGCGGTCTAGGCCTTCGAAATGTGCTTTCCACGACTCGTAAGAGCCGAAGGTGACGTCGAGGGCCATGAGGATGGTGATGGTCCATAGAAGGACCTCTGTGTCCTTGTCAGCGAGCAGTCGGCGACGGAGTTCGAGGAGTGCCATGTGCTGATATTTGAGGATGATGTCGGTCTTCTTGCGCGAATCGTATAGGGTTCGATCTTTCATGCCTTCAGCGAAGGCCACGTTGGCGCAGTACCACATCGGATCACTCATAGCTTCCTGCAACATTTCCTGAAAGCCGGATCTGTCTTGCCAGCCATCGGGAGCGTCTGACTTGTGAGCGTGGATGGCGAAGCTAAAGACTTCAAAATAGTACTGAATAGAATTTGCGACTGCTGAATCGCGAGGAACAGGGAAGAAGTTGACAGGCGTGGGACCGGATACTCGCTGATCTGCAGGAATTACTTCAGTCGGAGGAGATGAGAGCTTGTCGATGAGCAAGTGTTTCTTGCGTTGCTGTGATGTCGAAAACCGAGCTGGATGCAGACTACGGGTGTTTCGGGATGAGGCTATAGAGCTCTTGTTCCTTGCGGTCCTGTCTGGAGGGTGATTCCTGTGCTGCGCGCCACACTGGTCGCAGCAGCATTTCCCGCCCAAATGCTGTTCGTGTTGCATGGTGGCCGAGTGTAGTCGTGTGCTATAGTATGGAACCATCTGGAGCGGCCGTCGTGGGTGCGCGCAGCAGTTTTACGAGATGGCTTCGCAGGCTTTTGTCAAATGTCGATATACCGGTGACCCAAGCCCCAAGCATTTGCTTGTCAGGCCCCCAATAAGCGACATCGACAGACTTGCAAGTCAATGTGCAAGCCTAGGGCCTGCATGAGTCGTCGAACAAGCAGACGATCGCAAAATCTGCGATATTCATAAACCGCGTTCGACGTCGGTGAGGCACAAGTTTCACGGTGGCGGCAGAGGGGCTGATGCTTATGCCAAGGCGGGTGCCGGTCCGTATGTGGCTGCGTCTGTATAGAGCTCACGTGTTTGGCAACCTGGACAGTGTGAGAGTAGATGTAAGTGCGTGCGTAATGACGTCTGTTGAACAATTAGAGGGGCGGTGAAGGAGGCGAAGAAAGCAGCGAGACAAGACACAAGAGAAGATATGGGGGCAACCCCAGGCATTTGCTCACTCCAGGTCTGTGGGGTGTCAGCCAGCTGAGGTAACAGCCAGGATCGAAAGATGGCTTCTTCCACGTGGACAGTCCTTGCCCATGGTTCTGCCACAACAAGCATCAATATTGGAGGATGGTGCGGGTAAAGGTTAGGTGCTGACATGCGGCGGGAGGCTATACTGTCCCTGGGGCTGAATCTCGCTTGTTCGAGAAATCAAACGCTCCAAGTGACTGGAAGCGGCTCAATTGTGCTCACAAGAGCTTTCTGTATCAATGGCATGGCCGTAAGCCTGACGCAGCGTCGTTCGCCTCACACACAGTAGGACCGCTACTGGCAGTTGTTACTCGCGACGAACGAAAGGGTTCAACGGGCCAACAGCTGTGATCATGAATCTTCCGGCGCGACCCAGGACTGCACCATCGATGGTCCAAGAATACCTGCATCATAACTTCGGGTCGTTTCCAGAGAGCGAAGATGAGACTAGGAGCAAAGCCACTTCCACTGAAGCCTAAAACTTCCTTTCCAACTTCTGCCGTTTCACCACGACTCTTGGTGTCTGTAACGCAGCCTTACGACTCCTCCGGCAAGGCTACCGATTTCCTTCGTCGCAAGATTCTTTTGCAAGCGTTGATTATAGAACACGATTCAACGACGACATTTGCTTATTGCGCACCGGCATGAGATAACACAGCCGGCGCCTAAGATGATGCACCCGTCGCGACAAGCGCGGGTCGACGATGAGCCCGAGGTAAGCACCCACTCCCCCACATCTACTGCAGACCTGCTTGTTCACGCTTCAAACAAAGGCACCTGCCCCGGGCTCCAACACCCACTGACCAGTGTCGATAACCGCAGGACGACGGCCCGGGTCTCGACCTTGCCAGCCTTCGTGAGTTCATGCCCGCCAATTCTTCGCGCAACGCAATTTAACATCTCAACAGCCATCGACCGCAATTATGATATCCCTGCTGCCACCGCTGCCGGGGCCGGCATCGCGCCCGAACGAGCCTCCGCGCTCCTCTCTCAATTCGACCGCAAGCGCCGGGCCGCCGCTATCGCGGTCCCCACCGATGACACAAAGGTACGTGCCCGGCTGCGCGAGCTCGGCGAACCCATCACCCTCTTCGGCGAAGGCCCCGGTGACCGGCGAGACCGCCTGCGAGAACTGCTGAGCACGCTTGCCGACGATGGTCTGGGCGAGGATGTATCAATGCACGAGGGAGATGAAGCCCCTGCGGACCAAGAGGAAGAGTTCTACACTGAAGGAATTCCGGAATTACTAGAGGCACGGAGAAAGATGGCCAAATACTCCCTGCCTAGAGCGGCAGCGCGAGTTCAGCGGCAGAGAGAGGAAAGTGGAATTCCGTTACGGACGCATATCAAGCATCGCAAAGCCATCAAGGAGAGACTAGCCGGCTTCGAGCTATTTGGCAGTCAGATCGCCGCAGAGCGACCTGTGAGCATCACCCGCTTCGCTCCCAACGGCGAGGTCCTCGCGGCAGGCAATTGGGCCGGCGGTATCAAGCTCCTCGATGTTCCCAACCTCAACGAGGTCCGAACCCTACGTGGCCACACCGGTATCGTCGGCGGCATCAGCTGGTTTCCCGGTGCCACACTGCCCACATCCACCGTAACACCCGAGAACGTCAACCTGGCCAGCGGCTCGGGAGGGCAAGGCGGCGCCTCCGACATCCATCTTTGGAACCTGACTCAGGACACCCCGCTCTCCACGCTCTCGGGTCACACCGACCGCGTCTGCCGCGTCGAATTCCACCCTTCCGGCAAATACCTGGCCTCCGCGTCCTTCGACACGACCTGGCGTCTCTGGGACGTCGAGACCACGACCGAGCTCCTCCTCCAAGAAGGGCACTCGCGTCAAGTCTTCGCCGTGAGCTTCAACACCGACGGATCCCTGCTCGCCTCAGGCGGCTTCGACTCGATCGGCCGCATCTGGGATCTCCGCACCGGCCGCACGGTCATGATCCTGGACGGGCACATCCGCGAGATCTACAGCCTGGACTGGGGCATCGACGGCTACCGCGTCCTCTCCGGCAGCGGCGACGGCTGGGTCAAGTGCTGGGACATGCGCGCCGTCCGCGCCACCGGCGGCCTCGGCGCCCACAGCGGCAACGTCTCGGATCTGCGGTGGTTCAAGGGCCTCGATGGCGGCGACGTGTCGTCAATTGTCGATGTCAACATGGACAACGGCACCAAGGAAGAGCGCACGCCGCGCAAGGCTGGCACCTTCTTCGTCAGCAGCGGCTTCGACAAGAACGTCAACATCTACAGCGCCGACGACTGGGCGCTGGCCAAGCAGCTGAGTGGACATTCCGGCAATGTGCTGAGCGTGGACGTGAGCAATGACGCCAGGTGGATCGCCAGCAGTGGGCACGATCGGACCGTGAAGCTGTGGTCGAGGAATGACATGGAAGGAATATGATGTTGACCGTTCACCGAGTTTTTGTCGACCGACTTATTAATGGAGAGAGGAGAAGAAAAAAACGCCGCGGAGAACCGCTGCACTGTCGCTAACTCCGCAGAAGGGTGAATGAATCTCAATAGCGGCACTCGGCTTCCACTACGACGAATCCTTGGGTTGCAGCACGCACGCACGACAGTAGCGAGAAGGAGCGTGTGCCGTCAGCTTGGTCAGATCGGAGAACACTTGAGAGGAGACCTCAGTCTGACAAGAGCAGATAACAGTACGCCTTCAGGGAAAGCATGTATACCATGAGGATACCTCCAGACAGAGATGACTAGAGCATCCCAACTCTCTGTCTAAAACTACTCGGTCACCGATCTTACGATCTTCATCTTGTCTATCTAGGTTAATCTCTAATTCTGCTATGCTGATAGACGCAACCTTTGATCTTTGCTTTTTAGCACTGATGTAGGCCCCGCTTCGCGTGACTGATTCCTCTCTCTGCCATGACATCGTGATTATGCTGGGTATGATGCTGAACGACAGCCACGACCTCCATCAGTGTGACGTTGAGAACTGATCGAGGTTCCCATGGTAGTCCTTGTCACTGGTTCTCGGGCACATCAAGTCAGAGTCGTCTTGTTTCGACTAGAGGTCCCCGAAGCGCCCGCATGTCAGCTGAGAGTTGAACCTTTCCCCAGATAGCCATGCTTTGTTTGCAGTCCGAGGACTCGTATGTCTCGCCTGGTATCCACAGGTATGACCTTCGGATCCGTCAAAGACTTGGACACGATGAAAGACTAGCCTTCGCTTAACATCACGGGCGTCTGGTACCAGAAGCAACGCGACGCACACACCGGATCATCTCCAGACCGTCCAGAATGAATCTCACCTTGGTCGTTGCAGGAAGACCCGAGCTCGAAACCACAGCGTTTCACCAGGTCCAAATCTTGGACACCGGTCTCGGAAGAGCAGTCGAGCACCCAAACCTCATCGTGATTTACCGCTGCTGACTTGTCGGACTCGATGGACGTCAAACTATCAGTAGGCTCCGTGTCATCATCACCTCGCTTGCACCATGCACAAGGTACGGGAAGTCCTCCGTCGGGCAGGCTGATGGTCTCACCCATTCTTCCTGGGGAGAGGTTCATGTACTGACAAGCACAGTGCTGGTCGCAGTAATTGTCGTATCGGTCCCTTGTCAAGTGGCCGTAGCGATTGCAGGAATATCCTCGAGGAGCACTCGCGCAGGCTTTGGTGATCTGAGAGTCTCGCACTCCGTCGAGCTCGCAGACGAGGGCATAGAGATGTCGCTTAAACATACCTCCAGCCTCAGCGTCTCTGCCGAATAGTTGTACTGTGCCCACATCTTCGGTTGAGATGTCTTCATGCTCTCCGAAAATGTCATGTGACAATTCCTTCGCAAGGGCTCTGCTGGGGTCAGGTCTCGCTCCAGCCGCATCAGAGACTCCAGGAAGCTCCCAGGTCGCAGAAACCTTTTCATCGGCTCGTGGAACGCAATAACACTGGCTGTCGCAACGCAAAGAAACCTCGAGCGATACCGGCTGCCCAGATGTGTCACACGAGTACGCTTGAGGGGCACTGGCGCAGTACGTGGTGTGGACAGCCTTCTCTTCATCAGTGTCTGGCCCAACACAAAACAAGTGCCACGCGGCATCCTCAGGGGCTGGGCCCTGAGTGACGGCCTCAGAGTCGAGTGTGGCAGTTGCAGTGGTCATAAGAGCTGAGATGGTGCCTTCGGGGTTGGTGTCAGAGTTATTTACATCGTTGTTTGGAAGTTCTAGGGATCGCTTCGAGCCGTCCACATTCTGACAGGGTGTGTACGCTCTGGTACCGAGAAGAATGCATCTAGGCTTCGGGTCCTATAAAAATCTTAGGGGACATTAGACAGAGGGTGCAATGGCCTTACCACATCAACACAGATGCAATTGCTTTCGCAGTACTGCTGGAACTGGAGTTTGAACTTTGCACCGGTGCTGGTACAACTATAGGAATATGGAGCTTGCGTACACCATGCAGTCCAGGTAGCATTGGCGGTCCATCTTCCTTCTGAACCTGTCGCGCAAACAATGGCGTAGTTGTGCAGCTCAGCACGCTTTACATTACCGCCAACCAGAGACAGGGCCAGGTCTGTAGTCAGCTGAGGCTCAGAGGTGTTGGCTTCGATCCCCAGTGGAATCGAGCGGCGAAGGCCAGGGGAGCCTACACCTGGGCATCCAGGGATGAAGTTATGTTTGATGGTATCAATGCAGCGTGGACGTGGGTCCATCTGTTGATCGAGATTAGCAAGCTGTTCGGCACAAAGAGACGAGGATGATGACAACGCACGTTGTTGCATACACAGCGTCTCTCACAAATTTCATGGTTCTGCACCCGGTAAGTCGTCGTTCCACTGCTGTCGCAAGAATAACCCCAAGGCGGTGACGTGCAGAGTGCTGTCCTCGTGCGATTCTCCTGCAGCCACTCGCCTCCTGGTACGTATTCTCTATCCCAGCAAGCAAGGGCCCAGTTGTGTAAAGCGGCGCGGCTGACGATTTCGGGCGAGCCAATGGCCAAGTCACTGTTGTCACTCCCTTCTAAAGAGACAGACCGTGACTTATGACCACCTATAGATGCAATCGCGGCAAGATCCATCTCGAATCCGCCTGCTGTGGTGCGAGTTTCCCGACCACGAGGAATTCTTCGGGTGTAGTCGACGTAGTCAAATGGTGATGCGGCTTCCAATCTCGCGGCCTCGACGACCTGACGACGTGAAAGAGTCGTCGTGTCCCCACTCACTACGTCCGGTTCGAAGCAGCCACATTGCTGATGACACTCGTCGTTATCCTTCCGCCAGGTGAGCTTGCCGTCGAGGTTGCATTTGAAAGTGTATTCTGAGCGACAGATGTAGGTGAACTGGATGTCGCACTCCTTCCAGAAGTCATACACACAGCAGAGCTCATACTTGTAGGGATTGGCGGTGGAGAGATCTTCGATACTGTCGGCACGACGGACCAGGGGGTGAGGAAGGTCAGGGGCAAGGTCGAGGCCCTCAGCAACATCTGAGTCTTTGTGTGCTGACGAGTGCGACTCGAAGGAAGCGTGCTCGGTGACCGGGGATTCTGCAAGATCAAATGCGGCAGACTGGAGGGACTGCTCGTCGATGGGTAGCGGCGGGGCAGACGAGACTATTGAAATCAGAGTCAGGAGCATTCCCAGAAGGCTGGCAAGACCTATTGTCTTTGTGAGTTCTTTTCTTTGGTCACAGATGCGTTGGGCAAGGCTTACTCAGTGAGCTGACATCCATCATGGCGGTGATGCAAATAGCAGCGCACCTACTTGATGATTGGTTCGGGGGAAGTCTTGAGGAGGTGGATGTTCGTGGTAGATGATCTGCTGTGATAGGCTGGCTTTTCCAAGAACTGTTGTCTGAAGGATAGAAGGCACAGCATGAGAGAGCGCGAGAGTCAAAGTAGTTGCGAACAGTTGAGAAAAGTGTCAATATAAGAATCTGTCACTTCGCTGCGCATACTGTCGGCTGTCCAGTGCATATGGCGAAATGAACGCAGTCACTGCAATTCTTGAGAACCACGTGGAGTTGCGTCACTCCTGCCGTCGATATCTGTGGCCTTCATGCCGCTTTCAAACCAGGATCGTCCACTACTCTGTGCTCACCTCTTCAGCACATCGTTCTGTCCTCGGGAAGGGTCGCCTCGCCCCGGCGGCTGCAGCCGAATGAGCTGCAGCTTACCAGCGACTTCCTCAGGTACCATCAGGCTGTCAGTGCGGCTGTCTCGCTCCAGTACGAACCTTTGGGTTCTTGTGCCACATATGCTACGGGACTGTCGAGCTCGCGCCTAAAGTGAGGCGGCAGTAAGGCTGTCATAATGGGACTGCCATCTGGTGCTCCGACCCCGGGTCCGTGGGCCTCACGTCAACATAGCAGCTCGCGTATCGGATCATCGAAGCCAACAGGCAGGGTCATGCCCCTGCAGCAACTACACGATGGCGGTTTCTGAAAAGGAGGTCGTGGCTCGAGTGTTGCCACAGCTCCTGCCTCAATCTCTATCCCAGGCGCCTGAATATGTCGTCAATCCATAAGAGTCATCATTTCGTTGTGAAGGTATCCATGTCGTCGACATCATTTGAATCGCTCTGCCAGCAGGCGCAACAGGGTCAAGGTTTACGTGTTCTTTGGTCACCTGCGAGATCGCGCGTCCTATTCGCGCAGTGACTCCTGTGGGTCGAGATTCAGATCAAGACGTACTTGATGGCACGAAAAGACCTTCTACGAGCTGAAGGATATGCAGCCATCAGGGATGGAAGAATCAATCGAGTCTGCAGACCTGAAACGATGTCATCTCAAAGGTGGCCCCACGATATCCGAATGTGGCTTAGCTTACTGCTCAATCAACCTGCAGGAACTGCGAACATGAAGTAGAAGGGCAAACGAATTGTTGAACGTGGTCATCAAGAAGAAGTATCTATTAACCACGCTGTTCTCGGAACGTCGTAAGCTATGGGTCTCGAATCGCGCTCATGAGACCAACACATTCTATCTGCGCTTGAGCTGGCAGTTTCGTATAGAAATCCAGCCCCCGTGACACCCGCTGACTGCGAGTCAATTTTCATTAGTTTTGGTACAGCTCGCCTCCCGCGACCAATCCCTTTCACTGCTGCTTTTCTTGTGCAGATTGCTGTGCCTGCCCTCTCATCGCAAAATCCTCGCTGTGAGAGGCGGTGGACGTCAATGGGGCCCCGCCTGCCGGCTCAGGTTGCACCGAACGGGCAGAGTCCATTCGAACGGCTTGACTGGTGACCTGACCGCTGCGAGGATCTAAAGGCGCGTCGCCAATTGCTTCGATGTCTCTCGAGCGCTCAGAGCTGTTCATACCACGGCCGAAACGGTCGAGGAACCGATTGCGGTGCGTCCCAGCGCTAGACATGCTGCCACGGTGAACCCCCTCAGGTTGCTCGGTCGATCGTCGGAAGAGACCTCCATGAGCGTGGTGAGGAGCAGCCAACGAACCGGCGCGCTCGCGACGCGAAGCTGAGCGGCCTGACGCCCTAACTACAGACCCGTTCTCATCCACAGACGGCTCAGTCGAGCGACTACGCTCCTCATCTATCCGGTTGGTTTCCCGGATCACCGATCGGTACTGAGACGATGAGCGGTCGTCGTAGACATCAGCCATATCATCACCCGGAGCAATGTCACGCATGCCAAGGGAGAAGTCTACCCTCTTCGCCATGGTGCTAATGCTTTCGCCACGAGGTCTGCCGAGTTGACCACGGGATGTTCGGCGTCGTAGGATCGACGGATGATTGCGCAGAGATGCGTCGGCAGGGTCGGCTCCTTCCGATGTTGGGCCACCATTAGAGTCTGTCGCATTCGAGTTGTACGATGGTGGTGGTCCATTCGGGTACTGAAGATACATAGGCCGATCCAGAGTGTAGCCCGCGTTGTTGCGGTACGGACCCTCGATGCCGTGTTCCTGCATAGCCATCATTAATGCACAGATGAACTTGTTGCGCCGCTGAAGACGAAGGAGCTCATTCTGCCAATTCGACTTGTAGAAGAAGACCACGTTGAGGGTCAAAGAATATGCCTCTGTCACTTCTCGAAGCTCGGTAAGGATGTTGTTCTGGTACTCCCGCTTTTCCGAGCGCACGAATTCGAGAAGTGTATTCCGAAGGCTCTCGATTTGTTCGAGGCTGGTGCCAAAGCGAATAACGACTGGCACAGCTTCGGCAAGGCCTCCTGAGCGGCGCATATTGAGAATGAAGAGCGTGTTCAAGTACGAGTTTGGTGCCTGCACGATCTGACCCTCCATTTTCTTGAACTCAGTGTAGAGAAGACTAATCTCCTTAACAAAATAGTCACTAGTAGAAAGCTTTTGTTAGCACACCGGGTCGACAGGTAGGGAAGCGAAGGTGCGTAATGATAGACTTACTCTCCCTTGAGCTGCGCTCCAGTGCTACCATAAATAGAAACACGGTCCCCAACGTCGAAAGGATGCTTGACGAAGACGAAGACGATAGATTGCAGGAATTCCTGCGCAGTAGCCGAGAAAAGCCAGGATAGAGCGAGAACCGCAGATCCTGCCGAGGTGAGGACACCAGCAGCCGAAGTCGAGATAAGGGACACGAAGACCAAAACGACGATGACGAAAACGACAAACAAGAGGACATCGTCCAATTTGCTGACCACCGAGTCCAGATCCTTCAAAGATGCGGTGATAGCCTTCCGTTCGCGACCGATCTCGACGCAGACAGCTTCCAGCTCTTCCATACTAATGTCGCCATTCATGTCCTTGTCGAACATGCTGAAGGCTGCGTCAGCTTCATCATCATTATCAAAGGCCGCTCTAAGGTCGTCGGATGAAACAGTGTCCTCTCCAGGTCGGATGAAGGTTCGATACAGGCGGCGAGCGAGCACCTGCGATCCAGGGGTGGAGCGAAGGAGCTCAAGGACAACTTGCGAGGGGGAGCCGCTTTTGGCGACTTTCTGACCAGTGAAATCTCCAGCAACGGCACCTGCGACATCGCCAACTTTGGCAGCCGCCTTGTTCGCTGCGTTCACAGCGATGCCTACGTAGGCGGCCGGGGTGCGAGCGCCAGATGCTGGACCGCTGTCCTTTTCCCGGAACTCGTGGTCCTCAACATCAAGTTTCTCTTTACTATGGATGTAGAGTTTGGTGAGAGAGCCGATCTGAAATTTGTTCAGTTCGATACGGTCGGCATAAGTTCGGAGATGGAAAGAAATGGCAATCAGCTGAATGATAACCTTCTCCACCAAGTTGAGGATGGCGCCGACGAAGAGAGAAACGATGACCTTGTTCATGGTGCCAGCCCACTGAGGTAGACCACGCTGGCCCTGAATCCGGTGGTTAGACATGATGAGGGGAAAGCTCAGTTCGATGGCCAAGAACCACAGAAACAGGGTCAGGTGAATCTCAAGCTGCCGGCCAAAATCGCGCCACTTCTTAGCATTGTTGGTGAACAGGCTTGCCAGAAGGCCCAGTGGGAAGGGCACGCATTTCGCGATAATGCGCCCTGCCCAGAGGGTCAGCCAAACAATCTGCAGCCAGATACCGAACCACAGCAGTTGGACGCTGCCAACGTTGGCATTCCTCCCCGGTGCGGTGAAAATTGCTATAAACACAGGCGTGAGGAGAAGAAGTGTAACTGGAACAATGTAGGTGAAGTACCGAACAAGCCAACTCGATTCGTGGATGTATTTGAAAAATCGAGCGATTTTGGTGGTCGGATGCTCGGGCGGCTTGTAGACAGCGGTGCGCTCGTGCAGAGGGTTCGTGGCGGTATCGAAATCGTCGATGGGCTCGATCGCTCTTGACCTAGACCGGTGCAAAGTTGCGGAGGTCCTGCTCTCAGCCTGCTCAATGCTGACCAGGCGCTCGGCCTTCTTCATCTCTAGCTCATCTTGCAGACGACTTGACTCCTCTCTGTTACGGGAGGGAGACTGGACGTAATCATCATCTCTGGGAGGCTCTCGGCTGACTTCAACGCGTAATCGTTGTCTCAGGGCTGCGCTGTCGACCGACGTGTTGTGTCGGTGGTCATGACCGACGACGGTAGCCTCCTCATCGGACGACCGGTTGGTGGGAGCATGCAAGTCGAATCGAGGCCGCTCATCGGCAGGAGTGCCCATGTTGACGTACGGTAGGACAAGAAAGTGACCAAAGTGAAAGCTACCAGGCCAGTGGTGGCTTCACTTGAGGGGTTCGCGTGGCTGCAGGGTCGGGGTAATGAAAGTTGGTGCAGTAATTGGCGAGAGGAAGTGAATTATGAGGCGGCCCTGGTATTACAATGTTGTTGGGTCGCTGAACGATTGACAGACCGAACCTATGGATGCGTATGCTGGAGAAGAGGAGATGGCTTCAGATCCAGAGACGAAAGCTGGAGACGAGATCGCATAATTCACTACCTGCGTTGGCAATATGGGTACCAATATGGGTACCAATGGGTACTCACATGCCGCAGACACGCAATGACGACGTTGGCGAGTTTTCGATTCGAGCAACGGCGGCGTCTTTTTCGGTCGGTGGGACCCCCACTAGACCGGCGGGACATGGAAGTGGGCCCTGGTGGCGCCCAACAAGCCTTTGCTGCGCCTGTCAATTGGATCGGGTGAGCGACACCAGGGTCAGCCACAGCGCCGAGCGTGCCCCCTAGCGACCTGTGCATTCGGGTGAGACAAATTCGTACTGACTGGGCCCAGTTATGCAGAAAAAAATCTACCGCACGAGGAGTCTGTTCTTTGACATCGCTCGATCGCTTCCGCTTATGTCCATGTGCGTTTATTCGGACGATTTTCTACTACTCACAGCGAGCATAATTGAAGATGCACAACTCGTGAAAACCAAGGATTCTTGGACTGCTGAAATTACGGAGGTATGCTCCGCCGAGCCCATTCCCTTGCCGAGAGGGATTGACATTGCCCCCTGCCAGTGCTGCCTTCCACACGCAAAAGGCTCCCACTTCTGGTTGGCCGTCGTTCGAAGAGGCATCTCTCTTATCGGCGCCCCCTTGTTACAGACCCTTGCAAACCATACAGTGAGGCACGGGCCTGTGTGGATCACCAAAGTAGTGCAACGTACCGAGGTTGTGTATCGCCTGCGCCGGGCCCGAAGAACCACTTCTCCTGTCCTGAAACACGCCCACTTCAGCGTGGAAAAGATAAGAGATGGAACCGCATCGTTGGCGGTAATAATTGGCGATGCACAAGAACGTGAGGATAATAATAGGGGTAATGCTCATCGAATAGGACCCATCATACACGCTCGTTCCACAGTTTCGCGCTCTCGTTTGATTTCGTGTCGGTCCCCTTTACCTGTCCCCTTTGTGGTCAGATTCTTGTTCTCGTGAGCGCCAATCGTACAGAACGCCGGACAACAGGATCTAACTTCGCCTTGGCCGGTTGGCCTACTACGGCTGTGTCAAGTCTGACAATCTACTCCCGTCATGTTGCGCAGTCTACACGACGTCTGGTCTCCAATACATCGCTTGCTCTTAGTCCAAGCTCCTGCGAATATTCGACTCTAGTATTCAGCCTCGACCTCATCCTCGTCGAGGGCATCGGCAGCGACCTCCTCGTAGTCCTTCTCCAACGCCGCAAGATCCTCTCTCGCCTCGCTGAACTCGCCCTCTTCCATGCCCTCTCCAACATACCAATGAACGAAAGCTCGTTTCGCGTACATGAGATCAAACTTGTAGTCCAAGCGACTCCATGCCTCCGCAATGGCCGTAGTATTGGACAGCATAGTAACGCTGCGGTCGACCTTGGCCAGCTCAGACCCCGGAACCGTCATGGGAGGCTGGTAATTGATGCCGATCTTGAATCCGGTTGGACACCATTCGACTAGCTGGAACGTAGACTTGGATTTGAGAGTACCTGCTGCCGCCGAGGCATCACGAGGAACAACGTCACCTCGATACAGCAACGCCACAGCCATGTATTTTCCCTTACGCGGGTCGCATACTACCATCTGGTTGGTTGGCTCGGCACATTGGAGAGTCAGATCCTGCGTCTGGAAACTCTCGTGTCCAGCCCGCTTGGTGGACAGTAGGGGAGCGTAGCTGATCAACGGATAGTGGATGCGTGGGTACGGGACTAGGTTGGTTTGGAACTCGGCAAGATCGACGTTGAGAGCGCCGTCGAACCTCAGACTAGAAGTCACGGACGAAACCACCTGCGCTATCATGCGATTGAGGTGACTATACTCCGGGCGAGGGACGTCAAGGTTGCGCTGACAAATGGAGTAGATGGCCTCATTGTCGACGAGGAAGGTACAGTCGGAATGCTCGATGGTCGAATGGGTGGACAGCACGGTGTTGTAGGGCTCGACAACGGCCGAGGCCATCTTTGGTCCCGGGTAGACAGCGAATTCTAATTTCGTCTTTTTGCCATAGTCAACGCTGAGCTGCTCGAGCAGCAAAGAGCTGAAGCCGGAGCCTGTACCACCGCCGAAAGAGTGGAAGACTAGGAAACCCTGTAGGGATGAGGTATTGTCTAATCCGCGTTAGAAGAGAGGCTGCTTGTCTGTGCGACACGAGGTACCTGTAACTCGACGGATCTTGTCCAGCACTGACTCGACCATCTCTTTGCCAACAGTATAGTGGCCGCGCGCATAGCTATCAGTCATGTCAGCGGGATCAGGTACAAGTGACAGAGCAGAAAGACTCACTTGTTCGATGCATCTTCCTTACCACTGATGAGTAGCTCTGGATGGAAGAGCTCCTTGTATGGTCCTGTGCGGAGCTCGTCTATGGGAGATGGGTCCAGGTCCACGAATATGGATCTTGGGACATGCTTGCCGCTGTTGGTCTCGCTGAAGAATGTCTGGAACGAATTGTCGCTGTTCTCGACGGTGGCATTTGGATCGGGGCGGCCATCAGGTCCAAGGCCATGCTCAGCTAGATACCTGGTCAACCTTTAGCTTTTCTGTGATAAGCTACAATCTTGTGGGACTGACAGTTCCCATGCTGCTGTACCGATCTGGGTCCCCGCCTGCCCCACGTCTTTCTGCTGTCAGTGAATTGCTTTCAATACAACGTGAGTGGAATATCGATGAAGACAAGGCGGTGTGGGGCGTATCACGACGACACGGTATCGTCCTCCACTCCCAAGGCTGGTTGTTGAAAACTGGTAGACATACGTAGATGAAGAACCTATGTGGCACGAGGTCAGCTATGCGTGCGAAATGTATGGAATGACGGGTTGAAGGACCCTTGACAGCGTCGGCAACGTGAACGCGGGGGTGGCTTTTCGGAGAATTTCCAGTGTTAAGTTCAGGGGTAAGACTCAACGTCAAACTTACCTCGCCGCGAGGCATAACGTGCTCTCTGCCTGTCGAAACCTAACGGAATCAAGAAATGGCTGCTGTGTGAGAGCTGGATCCCAGGTAACAGAGAAGCCAGCCGACAAACGAGTGGGAGTATCTCAACGGCACTCCGTAGTGTTTGCTATGAGTTTGAGGCGGTCAGTCGGAAAGGCTGAAACGAAGCCTTGCAGTGGTACCCTCGGCAGATGGGATGATCTCAGCTCGTCCTGCCTTTGAGGTCTGTCATACATGGTCGGCAGTGGGAGTGAACTCGCCAAGCGCCTTCTGTTGTCAAGGCCCATGGGTGAGTCTGCAACCCACCGTTATTTAGCAAGCGAGGCACAGTTTCAAGTTTACTCGCGGCAATGTGAACCACAACACAACGTTTATATTTCTCTGAGGCTGAACCATTCCCACGCCGGAACACATGTATGTAGGAGCACTCATACATACATTTGCGACCCCGTGCGTGTTGCTGAACCTTACTAAGTCGAAGCAAATTACCACTCTCGTCATCCAGTAAGCATAACTCATGATCTGATACCCATTGCTCATGAGCCAGGCCGTCTCTCATGGCTCTGTCTCGCACCGCCCGCAGAGCCTGCACCTGGCAGCTCTGGTCCTCAATGGCCTAGCCCAATATATGACTCCCGTGCTCCATTTTCCTGGTTCATCTCCATAGGTGGTTGATAGCCTGGCGGCTTACCACCGTGCTCTGCATTCGCCATCCGTTGACGCCACTGTTGGGCCTTTTCCAGTGCTTCAGCATCGGTCTCCTCGTCGTCAGCACGATTTTGCTTCTCCCGTCCGCAAGGAAAGCAGAAGCAGCATAGTTGTGCGAAAGTTGACGTTATCAGGTCTGTCATGATGGCTTGGGCAATCGATAGGGTCTTGGCGGAAGTCGGCAAAAGTTGTGCTCAATTCGAGGCGCCGATGTGGTCGAAATGATATGAGTCGAGCAGCGATTTGCTGTCTTCTCGAGCGTTGATGAGGTCGATCTTGATCGCGCCAGTTGAAAGATAGCACGCTGAATGTATATACTTTGCCGCCGAATGCACGTTTGTGACGCTTGCGCTGCCAGAGCAAACTACTGAAGGCGTCTGTACTGAAGATCCCGCACAGTATCGCCGTGAAAGAGCAAAGATTGTCTCTTGATGGCCTCGAGGTGCATTTGCTGAGCAATTGGGGAGGTTGTCAGGATGTAGCGACGTAGGGGCGAAGTAAGGCTGTGACAACAGATCTGAAACGCCAAGGAGTCACGAGTTTCGTTGGTCAGGAGAGAAAAGGCACGGGCGTCTATGGTCACCATAGCTAATTCAAGGACACTCTCCTGGTCGACATTGCCGCATTCATCTGGGGGTTGACGATGCACAGTGTAGGCTAGATACCGACGGCATTGGCCTTCTCAACCACCTATTCTCAAGCGCTATGGGGCACAAAGAACCATGAGCTTCATCAAGTCGATTCTTGCTCTAAGCTAGCGTGACCAAGAGCCATCGTGCCTTGTAATCTAACTGAGCTACTCAACTCCACGGTTGCCTTCGCCACTGTGCCTGCTAGAAGGCGGTTCATTCGTAAAGCGATGCCCAACCCGGTGGCAATTTGAAAAGTTCGATCTCGTCCGTTTTGCGATTGAGCGCGTTCTGGTCCATCGCCCCAAGCCCCGACGGATTAGCTTCGTAGCGATCGATTAGCCCGACCTGCCATTCCTGGAAAGTCCTTGCCGACGCTGGCAAGATATCAGCCGTGCCTGTCAAGGTCTCCTTCAGCGACGTCAATTCAGAGTCGGGAAGCGCCAGCTCTTCAAGCGTGGTGCTGTTCTCGTCCAGCATCTTCAGTGCGTCGTCGATCTCCTTGTAAAATACCTTCATTGCGCGATGGACCGTGGGGCCACGCCTTGAGCTGGAATAATACAGATCGGGATTGAAGATCCAGCACAGTAAGCCGGCGCTAGCACCTGCATGTACCACAATCCGACGCGAAATGCTAGACTCGATGAGCTGCAGCATCTGTGCACCGATGAAAATGCTAGCATCAAAGCTGTCAAGATCACCATCCGGTTGTGCCTTTAACGCCAGTCGGGACTTCCATAGGCGATGGCTGGCTTCTGTAGCATTGAGTGTGCCTAAGAAAGCGCCGCAGCCTCCACAAGTCAGTGCCGAAGCCTTTCTTTGGTGCTCGGCAATATCGTCGCCAGTAGCCTCCTAACACGAATGTTAGCAGTATGTATCTTGTCTCATAATCCCTCCAGAAGCCACAACAAACTCGAGCTGCGAAGGCGAAATGACAAGGCAGAGTTATTGATTGCAGCAGGTCGACCACGTCATTTCGGACGGGTTGACGCTGCAGCGATACAATAATGTTTTATCTGCGGCGATTGTATCAGAGGCCTGACAATGGCACCGGAAGGTGTAGCAGGCCCCTCTCTTTTCGCCAAATTGCAATAGAGTAACAACGAATGGGCTAAGAGAGTTCTTACCTGCATGGCCTTGCTATCGTCAGCGTGAATCAAGAACGAGAGTGTATCAACAAGCCCAATATGGGGTTCGTTGATGACCTTGCTCTGCGCCGAGAAGCCCTTTGACTCCGCCGCCAACGTGTCGTCATGGTTGTGTTCATGAGGTTTGTGGCAGAACCACAGATCCATCAGCTCCGCCCAATTTTCACTTGGGAGGTCTCTCCACTCTGAGATCGTGCCGCTATCAAGCACAACGCTGGAGCAGCTTTTGCACTGTAGCTCAACTTCTGAACTTAGCGAGGCGGCCGTCCACGGAACCTGTATCCCAGGTGAGGCATCGATTGCCTGTTGAAGCTCATTCAAGTCTTCAATCTGCAGTTTGGTCGACAAGTCGGTTCGCCGCTTCTCCGGAAAGGTGATATTAGCAGTTCCCTTGATCTGCGTCGGCAGATAGATGCTCGCGGTGGTATCTCCGTAGATGAATGTGATCACCTTCTTATCGGACGAAAGAAGAACCTCAGTGCCCTGAAATTTATCCTCTTCGAGCGATGCATACAGCGTGAGCTGCCTGATATGCAGCAAGAGTTCTGCATAGACGTAGATTTCAGGCATGCTGACTTGTGGGAAGAGTCGAGTCCTAGGCCCTGGAATGGCGAAGACGAGGTAGCGTCGCACAATGACTCTTGCAGCACATTATCCTCGAGATACGGGTATGATGCGATGCTGATGAGTTCTGGCTTCTTACACCGTTTTTCGACGAAATTTTGCAGATGTAGAACGATCTCTAGGAAGATGTCGAGGTCATCTGTTGATATTCTTCGAGGCTTTCCTATTGTGGTATGTGGCAAAGAGGGGCTAATCTCACGCAGGACAAAAGTATCCTATTGGGACCAGTCAAATGCGCCGGCGTACAAAGATCAGGCACATCTCGTAGCTCGTCACACAACAGCTGCATCATATTTGCTTCATATCTCCACCCTTATAATAGTTTGTAGGTATCGCCCATCACTTCACGATGACCCTCAAGTACTTACTCTCAGCCCTCGGTTGGGGATTGAAGTAATCGTGCTTTGTCTCGATATCCTCGATCGTGGTCTCATAAAGTTCCATATCGAAGTTTCTGAACACAGCCGCGAGGGTGAGGTAGATTTCTGCTTGGGCTAAATGCTTCCCAATACATCCTCTTGTACCTTTGCTGAAGGGAACAAGGTACTTCTCCAGCTGGTCGCGCTGCGCTGAATCCAGCCAACGCTCAGGTCGGAATGTTTTCGGTTGCGGGAAGACGTCCTCATTATCGTGCAGGAACATTGGGATAGTGGACATGGGCGTACCCGCTGGAATCACCCAGTCCTTGTAGACAAGATCCTCATCTGGGGAGATACGTTGCAGCCGATGAAATGTGCCGTAACTTGTGCGAAGCCCTTCGGACACAACCGCAGAAAGGTATGGCAGACGTTCTAACTTCTGCAGCGGAGCAAGTTGGCCATCTGGCATAGCTTCAAAGAGCTCTTCCTTCAGCTTAGCAAGGATTTGTGGATTGTTCAGGATGTGGAACATAGTCGAGTACAACATATGGGTGGTAGTCACCTGGCCAGCCTGCACAATGACCTGCCCCTCATCTACCAGCCGCTGCATGGTTTTCTCTTCAGGCGGTAGCTGATCGGTCTTGATCAGTTCGTGGAAGATGGTCGGATGGTCGGACGTCTTGTAACCTTCGTTCTTCCCGTCCAGAACGGCTGTCACTTGATTGACCAGGCCAAGCCGAAAGTTGATGAGGTGCATCATATCAGGGTTGAGCTTCTGCACCACGGAAATGGGCAAGGATTGCATCATTCTCAAGATGAAAGGGAACTGCTTGTTCAGGTGAGTCTGCTTCGACACGGAATCCACAATGTCGGCCCAAACGCATGCGAAATCTTCCTCCTCTAGGCAATTGAAGGACTTCCCAAACGTATAATCGCTAATGATGTCTAGATTCATCGCATTAATCGCGTACCGGAGATTGACAGGCTCCTTCGTAAGCCGAAAGCCATTCAGGCGTCCGCAGAGCTTCTCAATGGACGATTTAATGAGTGGCTCGAGCTTGAGCACCGACCTTTTGGAGAAGAATGGTCCCATCGGTGCACGACGGAGCCGATGCAGGTCATGATCGATGGTCCCAAAATGTGCCGTCGTCGTCCCGAACATACCACAAGACCAGGCCCATTTTTCACGGTGTTTGGTTGGCCCTGTGTAAATGTGGTCGTAGTAGTCTGGGTCGTTGATGTGCAACTCATACGGGTTGATGCGCACTATCGGACCTGTGACCAAATGTCAACCACAACGAGCTCTATAGTCTCGCCTCGCAAGCACGAGCAGACTTACCGTACTTTCGGTGCATTTCGGCAATCCTCCAGGAATATCTGCCCTCTTTGACGACATCGTACCAGAATTCATACCACAACGTCAGCGCTGCAAGTTTGGGCCCGGGGAATTTCGCTAACGGGCTGAAGTAAAGTCGATATACAGCGCCTATAATGAGATAAGCGGCAATTGCTCCAGTAGCCAGAACAATGGTCTGAGTGATTGTAAAAGGGACAACGTCGAATAGCGCCATCTTATGCCCCAGCGGTACTTATACAACAGATGACAGGAAGGTTTGCAGTTCAAAGCCGAGGTGTCCTTAAGTTCTCATCTAAAGCATACTGAAGGGATCGCAAAGGGAACGTTGGACGAGGAGCGAGGCGTGTCCCCATCAGAAATACGGCCGGGTACGCGGACGGCAGATCAGCCCCCCGAGATAGCGGGCACAGCATGTTCATGCCCAGTGGGGCGGGGGATCGGTTACCGCATCCCGGGCGGCGTTAGAGCCCTCATACCGGTGATAGAGCACACTGTATGGCCCGAACTTCAAGATACTGCAGGGATGTCTCCACGTACCTAGTCTACACGAGGTAAGTTTTGAGGACGACAAGAGACAGATCGCCGACCGCTGAGGCACTAATGTCGCTACAGCTGCCGAGTCGAACATTGTTAATCTGCGTCGAATGGCTCAATTGACATCGCTTCCGTGCGTGCGCGCATGGCTAAAGCGTGAAGTTAGTGAAAGAGATCTCATTGCGTAGCATCGTAAGGCGTTGGTTTTGGGCACAGGTGGAAAGCGGGAGCAGCCGGGCTCCGGGCGCATAGGCGCTGATCCTCCGAACCATCGGTGGAAAAGCCCCGAGGCATTAGCTGATTCGGCTACATGTTCGCGTAAATCGCTATCATAGCTGTGCATGACGATAACTTCGCTCCTACTTGTATTGCAGATGTTGAGGTTGAATCTATTGTCAAGCACAGTCAGATATTGTCAGATATTGTCAGATATTGGCCGAACTGAGGAGGTGTGACATCCAACGCCATTAGCATATCTTCAATACAAGTACATGCATCCACGAGGTTTCTGATTATTGACCATTGCTTGCCACCTATTGTCCCACAAACTCGTTCGAAGACCGTAACTGCGAATAGACGGAACTCCGAGAATGCTGTTCTCCTGCAAGTTGCCATGCTGAGATACCGAAGGACTCCTCCGAAGAATGTACTCAAGCCGCACTGCGCCAGACTATCGAGTCTCTGGACCCAGGACCCCATCGATTTCACAGCTCAGACTTGTCGATGTACATCACGAGACGGGCGTGCGGCATACGTGACAGATGTTGCCGGGTATAACCCAAGTCTCCTTGCCAGACCTGGCGCAGACGGGACATTTTCTCCCTCTGGACTATGTCAAGTCAGTGACGAGCAGGAGGGTTTTGGAGTGGCTACTCACCGACACCGTCCGAATGCTACTGCTAGCATCCTTTACAACGCGTTGCCGGGAGAGGGCACTAGCAACTTGAGGCTCGTCTCCACCGGAGATCATATTCACGCGTTGAGTAAACATAGTGAGTCCCTCCGCTGCTGTCTGAAAGAGTGAAGCTGAAAATGATGAGCAGGCTGTTTGGCGTTCTGAGTTTTGTGAGCAAAACTTCGTCCTTATATCCTCGTTATTGTTCAGTGCTTCTGTTCTCCACCTGTGCTGATGCCGTCAAACATAGATGGACACGTACGATCGGCCCAACCGACACCAACAGGTGTCTGCTCCGTAGTGACCAACGACACCCCCTCAAGAAGGATATCTTTGCAAAGTGACCTAGCTCGACAACAGCGGACGAAGCGACGGACCGGGACCTGTTGTCGCTTCGCCTTCAGAACTGGCTAGGAGATGAGGCGGAGGTCTTGTCGAACAATAATGCGGCGTCCCGCGCCAGCGTATCCCCGACCCTCCACTTTGAAGAAGCCATGAGGGCTGGTGTGGCCCTAGTAAGGTTCGAAAGACTTGTAGCGCAAGAGCTGGCAAGGTTTGATTTCCAGGCTTGTAACACGAGAACGGCGGTAGAAGGAGGTAAAGCCTACCACTAGTTGCAGACAAAATGATGTCCGAATAGCGTTGACTTCCAAGGCTGACAAGGTCAGGGATAGCTGTCAATTATGGTTACACTGCGGCCCGATTGATGTTGAGATCTGTCCTCCATTTCTCCTTCACGTGTTCGATAACGGTCATCGGCAACAGCGGCAGTTTTGTTTCAGGGATCCAACTCAGAGCGTCTCACGGCCCTGCGATTCGATCAGGGCTGCATATGATGCAAGGTCTCATTTGATCGAGGCAAGGAGTGCCAAACCAGAAGCCGACACGGTCTGGTTCTCAGGGTCTAAAAGCTCGGCCGTGAAGTCGCGTACCGCACCAAAACGAAGGTGGTTGACAAATCGGTCGTTGACAGGTACGAGATCAGCGAGGTGCATGAAACCAGCACTGATATGACCATCACGATCATCACGTAAATAAGATCCGAAACTTTGAAGCTCGACTTATACGTCCAAAACCCTTGTAGTCATTGCAGCTTGACGTTTGAGGACGTGACTACCCTAGCGAGTCATAGACCAAATTTCAAAGGCGGTGAAGAGATCGTGTGGCTACCAAGAGTCCTGTAGAAGGAGACTGATCGCATTGGTAAGATGAGCATGGGAAGTCTGACCGGCACATCATTATTGATCGAGCTTTGTAGGAACCGCATTGATCCCAGAATAGAAGTCCCTGCATAGTGGCTATACTGTAATCTTGCTACAACTGGCTTCAATTTTGACATCGGGCCAGCCAACTCGATGTGTGACTCTTATGACAGCGTCTTGGTGATGTGGACGAGAACGAACCCCTTGGACGGCATCCCCTCGGGATCTAACAGGTGGATGAGGCGATAGCCAGTCTGTAGCCTGTCAAGTCGAATACATGCCCATGCACATACCTCGTCTTTAGCGAGGGAGCGATCGTCTTTGATCTTGAGCCTGCAGAGTCAAGGGTTAGCAAACGGTCTAAGGAAGGGTATGCATTTTAAAGTTGTTTGCTTCATGCATGATGTTTCCACTGCCCGGGCGGCATCAACTTCCGTATCGCGTGACATGATCGCGACAGGCCGCGGAAGCGGGCCGGAAGCTAGGGAAGCCAATGTGACCCTCTCTATACGAGAATCATCTAGATGGGAATGTCCGATGACTAGGCGAAGACCACCGCACCCATGGCTCGCCCGCAGAAGATCTGAGCACATGATCGGACTGATAAGATGTGAACTGTCATCAGGAGGCCCTCCCCTGGACCGAAGTTGACCACACATAGACTCGTTGAGCCACTGTAGCAGTACCGATCGTGCTCATTGAGCAAATCCATCCGTCGAAAGGGGATGAGTCCTGCTTGTTGAGTCGCGTAGTACCGGAACTCATTGTCACTGGAATGACACTGCCGGAGTCGTAAGAGGCTAGGGCTTATTTGCACGTTCCAGTAGGTCGGTGATTCTGAAAGAGCGGTATCTCCAAGTCGACTGTACCATCTTGCTCACCGTACAGCCATCATCGCTTCGGCGCAATTTGCTCAATACAACTCAGTGAAGGAAAACGACGGCCCGACTTACCTCAGGAAACTCAACTTTTCGACCACCCCCACGTTGGTCCAAGCAAGGGCCTCACCTTCGAAATCAGGCGAGTCAGACTTCTGCGTCTTGGACCGGCGCTTATGCTTCTCTCTTTCCTTCTTGTCCTGCTCTTCCATCTCGGTGTCATTATTGACACCCTCTCCATCCTTCCCTGAACCCGGTGGACCATGTGTGTCGAGGTGCAGTTCGAATTTGAGGTAGGGTTTCAGCTTTGCGGCTTGCGACGCATCCTTCTCGCGAGGTAAAGGAATGCTTTCGGCAGCAAAAGCTTGGATTCTGAGTTCCGAAATTTGCTTTGTAGGAATCGTGGTCAAACTCGAGTCACCAACACCACCATCCTGATCGCGATATCCGTCTGGCTTCAAAACCCAACCTTCGTAGCCAGCGAACATGCCCTCATTCAACATCATTCCTTCGTCTAAGCGTTGCCAATTCAAAGCTACCATCTGGGCGCCATGTCTCCAATGAAACGCAGGGTCATAATTGGAACTAGTGATGCGAGTACCCTTTGGATAGATGCGTGTGAGGTATTTCTTGTTATGCTCGAACATTGCAGGACCATGTGTTGGATCAGGATGCATACCATGAGCCTTGCTCTCTGTTAGGCTGAAAACATGTGTTGGAATGGATGCCTCTGGCTGATCCCAGCTCTTGAATGAGAAGGCTCTCGTGAACATGCCGAGCTCTGAAAGCGCGGGAAGCATCTTGGCTGGCTTCTTCGCAGCCTCGTTGCTGCCCTGGGTTGTGTTGGTTTGAGCAAGTTCGAGCTTAGTGCTTGGGTCTGCAATAATCCCCACGGATGAATGCTTGACCTTGACCAAGATTTTGTTTCGCAAGGAGGCTGGGCTTGGGAGCTTGTCAAAGCCTGTTTTCATAGCATCTTCCATGTCAACGAGGCAGTCTCCCCAGGCCTCTTTGATAATCTCGACCATAGTCTCCTGCTGATCCAGACTTGCATGTGTCTCGAAGGACACTATCAGAGGTAGATCCGTCGCAACAAAGGCAGACTTGCGGATGGCTGCGCAGACTGTGCGAAAAGGAATAGCCTGTGTCAGCGTCCATCCGTGGACGACCTGTGGCTCTGATTTGAAGGGCTGTGAATCATCGCCAGGAATAGCTCCTGGATGGGCGTGGTGAGAAGGATGCGCATGGTGCAGAGAAGCAGAGTCGGGTGGGCTTTCAACGGTCTCCTTCTCTTGCTCCTTCCTAGAAGCATGTCCACGCATCTCGGAAGCCTTCTCTTTCATTCTCCGCCACTTTGAGCGCTTTGGAGCCGAGCCTGCCTTGGCCACATCAAAGTCCTCATCCGAGCTGCTGGCACTGCTGTCAGAATCATCACCGTCCCAGATATCAATCTCGAGGCAACGACAGCCTCTTTTCAATACATTCGTGTATCCCTCGGTTGTAGCATAACCGTACAGCTGATGGCCGGTCAGGTAGGTATTGTGAGATGAGCTGATATAGTAGGAGGACAATGGGTGACTCAGGTCAACTTCTGGTGGAGGAGCCAGAGCGGCGGCAGCGGGAGAGCGCATGTACTCCCAGAAGGCATCTTCAGTGGCTAACTTGACACCATCCTGGAAGGTCTGTTCCTTAGCATGCGATTGATAGATCTTCTTCAAGTGCTTTGTCGTGGGGTGATCCGGCCTGAACTCCTTGACCCGACCCTTTATGGCTTCTTCTGTTGGACCTCCACCTCCCCCCGCTCGCAGGGGAAGGTCGGCCTCCTTCTTATCAGCAGTCATTGGACTAAACGCTCAGGATGTTATCGAGGGTTTATAGATCTAAATGTGTGAGCCTGCGACCGTATCGTCAGTTGGTCAGGCTATCGCTACCAGCCGTATCAACGTTGCAGGTGTTCGGATTAGGGGTCGTGTGCTAGGGCAAACAGAAGTCGACGCAGAGGAGTGACACATTTGGTGCGGCAAGCGCCTCTTCAAGGCTTGTGCCTACGCATTAACATGTGGTAGGATATCAGCGGTGCCATGATAGCCGGCTGCGTCAGTGACACATCGTCCGGCGTTTCTGCAGGATCTACAAGGCTTGGATAGCTCGAGAACCAACTTTGGGGGCGCTGTTCCGTTGAGTTGGGCGTGCCCTCGGTGACCTCATGGGCGCCAAGCCGACTATTGTTTGACCCACGTTTAGTGCCGATGGCCCCTGCCCAGCCCCGCGGCTCATCACTACAAAGTAACAGGCGCACATGAGTACTGCAGACAAATTCACTTTCACCACGGCCAACGACGGTGTTCTGCAAAGACGCTTATGGGCCGGAAGCATGGTATCCACGAGGATTGATTCCCCAATAGCTAGCAACATGGACGATGACCAATATTCGCTTGCTGGCTATGCCTTCCACTCACCCTCTTTCCCGGCAGCGTGAATCACTATGCAGCCTTCATAGTGGACAGCTTCTCGGCCAAATACTGTCTTGCCTGCCCAAGAGCGCCACACGCACATACCCACTGCAAGTACTGCGGACTCGGCCCTTGAGCATTCAATTCAGGAACCGGGATCGTGGCTCGCCTTTCATCCTCGCTCAGGTTGACTGCAAAGTTAGCATATTCAACTAAACAGACATGCTCGGGAGCCCCAGGCAGGTCTCACTTACCCGATGGCTTTGCACTCTGTCTGCAATCTCTCAGAACTCGCAAGGACATGTTGCACCTGACGTTGCCACAGCCATGGCGCACACACTTGACTCCGCATCGGATGGAGGCCTCGAGGCGTCTCACTGGACCGACCACACAGGTTTGATATCACGCGTTTGTAAAACACGTCTAAGATGCGGTCACCTAATCTCGCAGAGTTGAACACAGGAGCTCTTGGCAGCGGCATCGAGCTCGCGCGGAATTTGGTATTCTAAATCGCTTACCACCAATAGGCCGGGTCTCATCCCGGATCTTCTCCTTGACAGACAATATCATGATGCATAGTTGGGACTGGCAAGCTCCCCCCTCAATGGTTACCAATTTTGATGCCGTTCAACCCATTCGTGATCTTCGGTCCCACCACGGCCTTCTCCAGGGCCTGCAATACATCCTTCTTCAAATCCGCTGCGTCCTCCACGCCACAGCTTAGACGCACCAAATCATCGAACACACCGATGGCCTCGCGCTGCTCCCGCGGAATGCCTGCGTGAGTCATGGCACTCGGTACCTCACACAAGCTCTCGATACCACCTAGGCTTTCCGCTAGAGTAAAGATGCGTGTGCTTTGGCAGAACAGTTCTGCTGCCGCGTGCCCTCCTTTTAGCCGAAACGACAGCATGCCGCCGCCCATACCGTCCCGGTGCTGTTTGATCGCAATGCCCCGCTGCTTGTGGGAATCGAGTCCAGGATAGTTGACCGCGATCACATGCGGCGAGGCTTCCAACGCCGTGGCCACGGCTGTCGCGTTCTTACTTGCCTCTCGCGCGCGCAAATGCAGGGTCTTGACGCCGCGGTGCGCAAGCCAGCAGTCGAACGGACTTGGAACTGCACCGATCGCATTCTGGAGAAAGGAGAGGCGCTCTCTCAATTCGTCGGAGTTAAAGGCTGCCACGCCCATAACGACATCTGAGTGGCCGTTAATGTATTTGGTTACGGAGTGCACAACAATATCGGCACCGAAATCGAGTGGGTTCTGAACGTATGGGGAGAGGAAGGTGTTGTCCACTACAACGAGAATACCATGTTGATGTGCGACTGTGGCGACATTGCGGATGTCGACAAGCGAGAGTGTTGGGTTTGAAGGGGATTCTATCCAGATGAGCTTCGTAGAGGGTTTTATGAGCTCCGATACGTCGAGTTCGATAGAGGGCGAGAAGGTGACCTCTACACCATGCGCGAGCGCGACCTTGGTGAAGTAGCGGTGTGTACCACCATAGACGTCGCTCACCGAGATTACATGGCTACCGGCGGCAAGAGATTGTAGGATGTTCGCAGTCGTAGCGCTGCCAGAAGAGAACGCGAGGGCATAACGGGCGTGTTCGAGTGCCGCAATAGCTTCTTCGAAATTGTCGCGGTTGGGGTTTGAGGAGCGGGAGTACTCGTAGGCACCGACTGGTTTGCCTACGGCCGTCTGCGCGAAAGTTGTGGAGAGAGAGATGGGTGCGATTACAGCACCAGTCGATGGGTCGTGGGCGGCGCCAGCGTGGACGGCAAGAGTACCAAAGTTATGGATGGGAGACGCAGGTCTTATAGGAGTGTCGATGGCACCCTCATCGTTAGTGAGGATTCGTTCATGCGGTTTGAGCGGGCGCGGAGACAAAGTCATTTTTATGATGTGAAGGGGTTTGCGCAACTCGAGTCGGGAGCCTCGGGGAGGTGTCAACAGGTAGGAGAGCTTTGCAGGACCTGGGGGCGAGCGACGACGATCTGGAAATGATAGGAAGCTCGAGAAAGGTAAGAAGCATCAATTATTCAACATTCGCTGACGCTCATGGTTGTTTTACGCAAATGGTCGAGGCAGTAAATTGTAAAATGACGTGCTTGAAGGACGTAGAAGGGCGTTTGCCCCTCTAGGCACCGTGCGTATCAAATTGCGGATGACAAAGCCAGCATCGCCCACAAGCGAGGACTGTAGCGGTTGCAAGCCTATGACTACAAGAAACCAGGCAGTGAATTGAGTCGCAAGTCTCGCGTATTGCCTCCCAGTCGTGGCCTGTGCTCCCCACTTGGCCACCCTAGCGTGACGCTCTACAACTGAAGTCGGTCCTTGGTCGGCTTGCACCAATTCACCACCATTCCTCTCCTCCAAGGCCCGCTTCTGCAATAGAGGCCTCGATGCTGTACGGCGCCTGGGCACGAGCTCTGGCGTCCGCATTCTCAGCCAATGCTGTGGTGGATGTATCGCTCTGACTATTCCAGGTCTCCCTCTCTACGCGGACCCTTACCACTGTGCCTGGATCAAAGAAGTACTCGTTCTCGGGCGTTTTCCACACCCATACCTTCTCTGCATCCACGCTATGATCGTCAGCCAGAGCGCTTGAACGGGCCACAACAACAACTCACTAGACACACTCATCAAAGAGCATCGTCTTAGGTACGTAGATGTCATCGAAGAATCGAGTAGACACTATTCTTCGTCAGCGCACCGTCGTCATCCCCGTGTCTGCAGTCCCACCTTGAATGCCTTCTGGCGTGCAGATCTTGACTTCTGCGTTGATAATTTCGTTTTTAAAAGGGCGAAAGACAATCATTCGGAACTCGACTAGAAATCATGAGCATCGTACCTAGATCGGCCTCGTGGTCCACGTACCCTTGACATTGGCGTTGCCGGTGCCGTGTCCAATGAGTCCATCCGACGCTTTCAACAAATCGTACATGCAGATGCAAAAGCCGACCTTGGGCACGACCTGTTGGGTGTGAGGAAGGAGCTAAACTGCCAGATAGGCCTTAACCAACCTTGTTCGCATATTTCTCGTTGATTTTGTCCTCAATCTCATCCCGGTTCTTCTTGTAGAACTCGTAAGGTGGAATTTGAACCAGATCAGAGAACGTCGTCTGACCCAGTCAGTACTGACGTGAGTATCCCGAACCTAACCCAACGACTTACTAGCATGAACATCTTGCGGCTGGGGAGCGCTGGGCGAGAGTCGTCCTGAAGTAGAAGGATGCTTCTTGTGCATAGTACTGGTCTACCGCGAGCCAGGTAGGAGCCTTGTCAATGGGAACCACGCTGTGTTGATCAAGCAGCCGACCCGAGCAGTATCATTGCTTTTGCGTCCTCGGGCACATAGTCGAACGCATGGAAATGAATCTTCGCTCCAGGTCTAGAAAATAATATATAGTGCGGGGGCAAGTTTCGCCGGACCGAGTTTCCGCAGGTAAAGCAGGTATGTCATTTGCCATCAATCGTAATGGCAGCGGCACAGATTCTTCGACGTCGTCTGGGCCTGTGTATCAAGTGTCTATACTTGAATACGTCTGTCCGGACCTGTCTCGTCTTTACCGAACCCGTTGCACCCTACAGGTGTCTTCGACCCAATGTATCTTGCTACATTGTGTTGCTAGCGTTTGGATGTCGGCTGTGCTTTTGTCACCAAATGTCTGGTCAGCCCTTTAATTTCCCCCCTCCCCCACCACCTCCTCCGAGAAGATCCGCCCAGGACCAAGACCGACATACGCGGGGAGCACGAGGACAAGGTCCTGGCTTTCAAAGAGGAAGAGGAGGCTTCTCCCGAGGCCGAGGCCACGGGTCGCCCCAGTCAGGTGGAAGAGGCAGACACAGTGGAGAAACAGTGAAGCAGTGGTCGTCGTCGGGGCCATCGGTTCTTTCAGTGCCCCGAGGATCACCTTCTACATTTGAAAACACACGAGTTGAACAGCCTACATCGTTCCAAAAGCGCAGCCACGAAACCGCTTTTAGTGACGGGGCACGCAAGAATGCTCGTCCACCCGCAGCCCCCGCTGTCCCGAGTTTCACAGCCGGTCTAGCAGACCTCCTAGCAAGCAAGACATCCCATCCTTCACCTCAGAAGCCACAGCCAACCCCCAAGGACAAGCCCAGAAATGCGCTGGGTCTGACACCCTCGAAATTTGACGAATCAGCTTCAGAGGATGAGGATGATACGGAAGAAGAGACCCGGCTAGCGGATAATGCAGGCGCGCATGATCTCCAATTTTCATACAGAGGCCGGACTGCCGCATTGAGAACCCCGGCAGAGATAGCCGCCTGGATTGCCGAGCGCAAAAGCCGCTTTCCTACCCAAGCGAAGCGCGAGGCCGCACAGAAGGAAGCTGAGGAGAAAAGGAAGAGGTGGGAAGCAGAGAAGCAAGCGCGAGCCGAAGCTTCAAAGCAGGCGCGAGAGAGACGCCAGCCAAACAGAAAGCTGGTGAAGCAGCAGAAGCCTCGTTCAGCATGGCTGGGACCGTCGAGCACCGAGTCATCAGCTGTTGCGGCAGCCAAACTCAACGCGGAGAGACTGCGGCGCAAGGCTCTGAAAGCACAGCGTGATCTCGAGGCTGCGGAAAAGGCTTTGGACGGGACCGATAGCGCGAACGGGATTCAAAATATCGACGCCGGCTCCGATGACGACTCTCTGGGCACTGTTAGTGACTCCTCAGTGCTGTCGAGCGACGCCAGCCTCTCCAGCTCCGAATTCGAATCCGACGATGACAGCCCTCCGGAGCAGCAAAGCAGTAAGAGTACGGTTCTTAATGCCTTTGTGGAGTCCAGTATTGCTCCAGGAGCTCACAAAAAGCCCTGCTCGCGCTTCCTCAGAACCGGTACCTGTCCGTATGGGGCTAGGTGCCGTTACTCGCATGATCGGTCAAGAGATCTCAATAGAACATCGAAAGCGCAGCCACCTGCGAAAGCCACAAAGAAGGGCTTGTTTCAGGTCATGGTCGAGAAAGAGCAGGAGCAAGACCAGAGAAAAGTGCTTGCGGCGATCATCGCCTTGGGACAACAGGGTATACTTGCAGACCTTACTCAGAATGGTAGATAAGTAGATCTCTCATATGAGGTTGAGCATGAACCATGGTTTGTGTGAATGTTGCAGAGACGATGCTCGATCCCTGTTCTCTTGCCGGTCTCCGCGTAGGCGACAGCTAGGCGAGTGCAAGCATCTCGCTACGCTGAGCTAAACTCTGATCGGTGTTGTACCTGACGATCTTCCCTGGCAGAGGATCGGGTCACATTCTCAATTCTCGATGGGCCCACCGCAAGCTGCCTGGATCATCAACGTCATGAGCAAGCCTTTGGTGCTTGGAACCGCAACATCGCAATGTTCTCGATCTCACTTAGCGGGCTGGTGGTCTGATGGGCTCTAACTTGGTGCTTCTTGTACGGTCTCTTTTCTTTATCACTACTTCGGATTTCAACTTAGCGATACTGCTGTATTAATCAATCACGTTCTTTTTTTTTTTTCATTTACAGTTAATTAGCAATCGTCCTGCTCGCTGTTGCGCAAAACGAAACGATCTACTAGACCAGTTCATTATGGATGTTCATGCGTCGGGCATCGTGACCACTGAGCGTGACGATTTGTCACTTACATATCGCGTCCTCACCAAATTGATGAGACCCTTTCGACCCAAACTGGCAGGCATACCAACCAAACCGTATCCGTCCTCCTCACCAAAGCTAGAGCCGCCAAAACTGGGTTACGATGTCAAAGAACATCAGCGATGTGGCGTCTATATCTATGATATAATCACACAGCATGGCAAGCAGACGCCTAAGCGCCGTCTCTTTTACTTCGCTGGAGGTGGCTTTCAAGGCATCCCGAGCGACAACCATTGGAAATTCTGCGCTGAACTTGCACGCCAGCTCTCGCCCTCATATCAGGTCAGCGTCGTTAGTTATCCGCTCGCGCCACCATGTCCAGCGCCCAAATCTCTACCCACTCTTCGCGAGATGCTGCACGCCCTCATCAGTGAGGCGCACGAGGCTCACCAGGACGTTTGCCTGATGGGAGATTCTTCTGGTGGAAACATTGCCCTCAGTCTTGGCTTCTGGTGGGCATCACAAATGGCTTCCGAGTCTAACTTGCCGCCGCTACATGCTATCTTTGCCATGTCTCCCGCCGTGGATATGACGAACGCCAATCCGGAAATATCAGAAATCGATAAGGTGGATCCTCTACTGACTGCAAAGATGACTGAGGATGTGGCCAAAACTTGGGTTGCCGAATGGGAGAGGAATAATCCACACGTCTCGCCACTCTACGGCGATTTCAAAGTCCTCAAGGCCAGCGGCGTCAAAGTCCACGGCTTGATTGGCACGTACGACGTGCTTGCACCGGACGCGCTCAAGTTCCGCGCCGTCCTGGCAGAGGCTGGAATTCCTGGAGAGTGGCTGATTTGGAAGAAGCAGATGCACTGCTTTCCCCTCGCCTTCAAATTTCCTATTCGAGAATCTAGGCAAGGAAAGGATTGGGTCGTTGACGTCCTGCGCCGCGACGTCAAAGTCGAAAAGTCATCATGAAAGACATTCTGTATCAATGATGCTAGCAAGTCATACCTGCAATCACGGCTGTTCGCCGGGGTATCATTCTAAACTCATTCCTTCCATCTAACGCCATGCCAGCAATTGCGACTCTACCGTCTCAGCAAAGGAGCCTGGAGAGGCCCGAACCAGTCACGCACCATCTTGAGCGCTTTCCAGCTGACAGGAAACGTACTATTACCATGAATCATCAATGGCAGGACCGCAATCAGCCAAAAGAAGCAGACGATGCCAATCGCAGCGTGCAGGTTGAATAGCTGCAACAACGGCAAGAATAACACCAGCTTCAGATGATAATATCGCGCATACAGCCAGTTGCGGATAGGTCTCCGGTCTCTTCTTGCCGCGATCTGTGATGCATTCCACTCAATACCATCCGCCAAATTCCAGGCCACACGCTGGTTGATCTTGTCCCACGTCGTATCGTTTGCTTGCTGTATCGCAGCAGCTGCGAGCTGCGAGCGGAGTTGCTGGTCTCGGCAAAGCAGCAGCGTTCGCTCCACAAACATTTCGACGTCCTGTGGCGGAACCAGATAACCCGTCTGGCCATTTCTGATAATTTCAGATGGCCCGCCTTGGTCGCGTGCGACAACAGGCATGCCACTGGCCATTGCTTCAAGGACCACAAGCCCGAAGGTCTCGGTGATGGAACAGTGCAGAAACAAATCGGCCGCGGCGTAAGCTCGCGCGAGGTCAACGCCGCCGAGGAAGCCGGCGAAGATCGTCCGATCCCTGACGTTTCTGAAATAGCTCTGGACCTCCTGTTCAACAGCGGGGTTGCGGTTGCCACCAACGATCAAAAGCTTGAAAGCCAGACCGGCTTCTGCTAGCTTCTCCGCAACCTGCGCGAGAAACTGGAATCCCTTTTCGGGAGCAAGCCTGCAGATACAGGTCAAGATGATCTCTCCGTTCGGCGCAAGTCGCTTGCGATACTCCTCATCACGATGTGACGGGTGGAATAAGGTTGTGTCTACACCGCGACCAAGCAAAGCAAGCCTGTTAGCTGGCGCTCCGACCTTCTCGAGATATTTGCGAATGTCCGAACAGGGATAGAAAATGGTGTATACTGATCGGTGGCTGAAGAGGAAGCCTTGGACCAAACCCAGCAGCCAAACCGCGAATTTGTCCATGCCAGGAGGAAAGATGATCTCGCTATAAGCGGACAGGTCGGTCTGAAAGTTGCAGACCACGGCAGGAGGCTCCTGCAATTGTCGAATTTGGAGAAGAAATTGGAAACCAACGGAAGCTGGACTGGCCAGATACACGAGATCTGGTTTGAATGTGCGGGTGCAGAGGCGGTCATAGCGGAATGGATGGACAACGGTCAAATCTGGATTGTAGGGCAGAGGCTGGCCATGCAGACGAACATTCGCATATGCCAGTCGACCAAGGTTGAAGCGTTTCTCATCGATCTTTGGCGCGACGACTGCAACATTGGCCCCGTTTGCACGCAGGTATTCGATGAGACTGCGTGTCGTGCGGCTGACGCCATTGACGGGCCCCAGAGATTCGGTGGCGAGGAGGATGCGTTTGCCGCGAAGCTGTTCGGGAAATTTGTCGCGCCCATCCTGTGATTTCAGAGTACTAGGGTGTGTCATCTCATGGCGAGGAAGCAGAGGAGACTTGTCGCCGACGTCCTTAGAAGCATAGCCCATGGTGATAATGGTGGCGATAGAGATGAGGTTGGCTTGGGAGCGGCGCGGCAATTCTATTGCCACTGGCAGACCTCTCCGTTTTTGTTCCCAACATGAGAAATCCTGTCTCGCCCATGTTGACTGCCTATTACTATATAGTACCAACAAAGCGTCCCATGACTACCGGGCGCTATCGGCGCACCACTGGGGCAGTCTTTCGAGTGTTGACATCGAGAGCGTGCGCGACGTTGAGATTGACAGCACGTGGGGATATCGCTGGGTGGTTTGTGCGCAATCATCGATAGCATTTCCGTCCTTTCGAAGGTGGTCGAGTGTTAAGCGCAGTCAGCCAATCAGGGCCCGAGACTCAGGCTGCGTGCTTCAGCCTCTGGAGATGGATGGCTCTGTACCGCGTATGCGCACTGCCGCCAACGAGTCTGGCCTTACACCAACTGTGCAGAAAGCCTCGTGTGTGCGGTGCATGCGGATTTCTTAAGCCCTTCTTTCGATCACTTTTCACTCCGGACTGACGGCCTTTGAAGCTGACCCCGACCCGTGACCCGTCAGGCAGATTAGTATCACGAATAACCATTTTTGGGCAATCGATCCGGATGACTCTCATTGATACAAGCCTCTTACCGTGGACACATCTTTGGCCAACATGTATTGAGAATGATAGCTCGCCCCTGCTATAGCGTTTCAACATGTTGGAGCACCGATCATTGACGTGCAGCGGTTCGCGATAGACCTACAAGCTCAGTCCTGCATATCCCAAGGACCCTGCAGCGAACTCAGGAATGATTGCGTCAATGGTCAGCTTACTGCCTGAGGGCCGACTAACAACGCGTCTTGCCTCAGCAACATCTGGAGCTCAGGCTCAGGGCAAGGCCATTCCCAAAGTAGGATAAATTGAAGTCACGTTCTCACGCGTCGATTTGACGTCACGCGTGGCCCTCTGATCTCTCTTGCTCACGTCTCCACCACTGTGAACCCTTCCTAGTCTGCAGCGGACCGAATCGCTGTCGACCATGCCAATGTTCTCCTTCATCAGGCGAAATGGCACTGGAGAACAAGTCTCCGTCTACACACAACCGGCTCCTTGGTATGAAGGTTCCGCATCCACCCTCGACAAATTTTCATGACGACTTTCCCACTCCATCTCCGAAACGTCAGAAAACAGCGCCGTCCAGCCCACGCAAGGCAAATGTTGGCGCTGGCGAGGCTGCCGATCCGACGGGCTTGCCTCATGACAAGCGCGGAAGACAACGAGCCCCCGGCTCCGAAGAAGAAGATGACAATGACGACCTTAGAATCGGGCAGGCTGAAGTGCCGAGATCTACACAATTGGAAACTGTGTTACCTCCCATGCAAACTGATGAAGAAGCTATTGAAGCCTACGAGGCCTATAAAGCTGGTCAGCAAGAGCCCGAGCATATCACTCAGTCGAGACTCGGCAATCGAGCCTGGATTCGAGGGAAAAGTTCAATCTATGTCGACGCATTTAACCTGGCATTAGACACCGTCCTAGAAGAGGAAGGTCACTTGTTCAACGATGCGGAGCAGCAACTATTCCGAGAGTGGAGGGGCCTCGACTACGAGTGCCAATACTTGTATGTCAGGCTCTTCCTTAGGAAGACGAGCAAGTGGTTTCGCGTGAAGGATCTACAGTACTATGGCGATGTTGCAGATATCGAGGGCGCAGTCCAGCGGTTACAGCAGACTCGTGCGTTACCAAAGTCCGAAGAGGGCGCTTTCCAAGCTCCTGGTGAGCTCGACACCCCTGAAGGCAATGAGCTAGGCGAAAGCTTTACTTTTGCGGAATGCTCTTCTGAGCACATCACTACGCTTGACGAAGCTAGTAGTCTCTTGTTGCTCGATGAACTCAAAGTCCTCGCTAAAGATGCGAGGGTGCAAGGCAAGAACAAGCGTGAGCTTCTTTCGAAACTTCGCCAGACAAGCGGCGCTCAAAGAGGCCTTGGCTTCAGAAGTCTCTCTCGAACAGAAACAGAAGAGTCGACCGAATCCGCAGGCTCGGACTCAGGGGCTCGGACGCCAGCCTATGATGAAGATGGTGATGACTCACGTGAGTCAAATCGTGATGCACACTTTACCAAAAAGATTCTTGATCAAACTGGGCGGTGCATCAGGCTATCATTGGCGGCATTGAAGTTGTTTGAACGGGTGCACCTCGTGTTCTACCGAGACACAGAGTGGACTGAGAAGTCACTCACTGTGCTAATCCTGGCGAAAATCTCTCGACGAAATTTCCCAGTATACATTGTTAGCCGATCAAACAACATTTTTGAATCACGGGCAATGCTTCTTGAGTTCGAGGCAAGCCTTCGGACACAGTTCAGAGTTGACAGTATCCTCGAGTTCAATGGCACTCCTGGCCGCAGGCAATTTGACGAAGTCCTTACCATCTTCGAGGCCGTGTATCCTCGGTGGAAGGCGCTTCTGGCAAAGGAACAGCAGAAAGAAGACCGCTTGTACGACACTGGCGAAGGGGCCTATTTGCGGCGCTTCAGTCCCGCCTGGGTCTACACCCGCATCGTGCATAAGGCACAGTACCCATTGGCGCGCTTCAAGGAGCATAAGCGCGAGCACGAGTTGATGTCGGAGCTCTTAAACCAACGCTTATTCCATGCAGCAAGGCGAGGCTCGTGGTATCAACGCAAGGCTCTACTGGAAGAGCACTATATGTATGCATTAATGCCGTCAGAAGGCCGACCGGAGGATTCCAACAAGAAGCACTGGAAGCGAATTGCTCTACGGACGTGCGAAGAAGGTTTAGAAGACAAAGAGTGCCATATTATTTACCACTATGACCTCCAGAAGCGGATCCGAAAGCTGGAAAAGCAACTGCGGATTCCCATGCGCGAGCAGCACGACTTTGGTCATGTCATGCTAGCAAAGGCATCAGAGCGCACCGTGGTCGGAATCCAGATGGAGCGGGATGAAGCCACTGGACGCCGGAGCAGCACAGGAGGCTCAGGTGGGAAGACTGTGTGGGTCGATACTCACGACACCAATGAGCCGGTTACAGTGGAGCTCATGTGCCTGTCGCATTACCGCCATGTGTTGGGGTGGAAGGGCTATCACTCGGAAGGCTCTATCCTCCGGACCTTGTTTGGGTTACTGTTCTGCGATGTGTTATTTACTTACTTGCCTAACGTCTTCCAGACGGCTTACCAGACCTGCCCTCTGGACTTGCATACCGATGGCTTCTACTCGGCAAGGATCAGTGAAATCAACGCTCGTGTCAACGATCTGAGCAACGGTATGGCGGCGGAGATCATGCAGCGAACATGGTCAGAGCACTACGAGCAGCGTACATGCATAGTCGGTGTACGATGGGATGACTATGAGCTAAGCGACTTGCTGGAGATTGTTGGCTGTTTCGCCGGGCAGTCTCTGGGCACAATCATGCGTGTGATGGCACAAGAATACGCGGCGAGAGGGGGTGGAGTGCCTGATTTGTTCTTGTGGAAGCCTCCTTCGGCCGAGAGTAAGGATGACGGCGAGGTCATGTTTGCGGAAGTGAAATCACTCAACGATCGACTGAGTGATACACAGCGGCTCTGGATATCGGTCATGCTCGGTGCGGGCGTGAAAGTCGAGTTGTGTCACGCCGTGACCGAGAGCGACCAAGTTCCAAAGGGAAAGGCTTAGATGCTAACCCTCAGAACTGTACAGCACAACTGCAGGATTTGACTGTTGTATCACTTGATGCAGTTGCGTGACTTGTCCGAAAGGTCCAGGTGGCGAGCTATCATACTTCACTGACCAGCATCAAGACTTTCGGCACTCGCCTTTCACTGCGAACCCGGATCTACGTGTGCATAAGCAACGCAAACTCGTCGACTTGCCAAAGCCTGAAATTGAGGGCATTTAAGCCGGCGTTTTCCGAATGCAATTCTGTCGCCAGCGACTCGATCTTGGCCGCAGACTACTGTTGCCAACTTTCTTTCTGTTTCGAATAGACCAGAAGCTTGGGCTCTGCCTCGCTAGTATCTAGACGACGGAAGATCTGATGTTGGATCCTTGACAACGATGCTCTGAGGGAAAGCATCACGGACAAAAAGAGCTATAATGCCCGCACTTATGCACGAAATTCACGAAGGAAACATGTGTCATTGGATACGCAGCTGCACTACCGGCCTTCAGCGGGCGACCCCTCGACGATCTGTGCAAGAACAACCAATATCACGTTACTGAGGCACATCAAGCAGCACGAAGAGCGAATAAAGATTGACTGGGCTGCACCTGACTAAGGACGGATACAGGCACAAGGCGGCTCCCCGGGGCGTGTGATTGGTGGGGGCGTTGACAGGACCGGGGAGTGCTGCACAGGCCACCTTCGGGTCGTTCGATGGCTGGTGACCTCTCACATTGCCAACAACCCCTCCATCTGACCTCCTGCGACCTTCTTTCCGTACATATAGCCGCCCATCGAGCTCTCCCGTCTCGACTTTCTTTCCTCCATCAGACATCGATTGTTTGACCTTCTCCTATTGCTTTTCTCTATTTTCATATACGCTGCTTCTAATTTAAGATTGGCTGGCCCAATCATCATCGTCGTCCACTATACAACTGCACGTCATTCAAGCTACTATCATAATTGTCAAGGCTGAGCCTTGTCCCGATCGTGGTATTCATAACAACACTGTCAACACCACCAGTACAACTCGTCAACCAATATGCTTGCCTCCAGCAGAGCCGTGAAGCCCAAGCTTTCCCTCAGCATCAATACCGCACCTCAGGCAACTCGCCCGTCACTCTCGCTCAAGTCTCCTGTCGCTACTCTGCGAAGTCCCATCTCTCCCAGCCCAATTAGCCCGACTGCTCGCAACACCCGGCGTAAGTAGCCTCTTCTCTACACAAATTCTCATGTCAGCCTTGACGACGGAGTTTGTTTGGGGTGCATTGTATACACCTTGGCAGACTTGGTGAATCTATGTCTCGGCGCCGTTCGATTATTTGCGGTCCAAGAACCAGACCTGGCCTGCTAACGATTTCAGTCAACCAACGTGGCTACTCGACCATGCAGCAGCCCACCTACTCGTATGTCAACAGCAGCAATGCTCGATCAATTCTGAAGAAGGGTCAGTCTGCCGCTTCCCAAAGGCGGCAACTGTCCTTCGATGACAACCCGACAGTGCATGCTGTATCTCCAATCGCCGACAAGGAGTACTACGGTGCGTACGCTAAAATGTCGCGAGAAGAGCGAAGGTGGACCGCCAGACGATGAACCGAACATTTCGGGCGAAGTGGACGAACTGTTGAGGCCTTGAGCCTGCCATTGTACTGTATACCATGATAGTTACCATGGGTTACGACCATTATGATATCCTCAACCAAGAATTGTCAAGCAGATAGTGCATCCAAAAACAATTACCAGCGCGTTATCAAATCTGTTCTCAGTCTCGCACATGATACACTCCATCTTCATCCGTGAGACTTTCGGCTGCTGAGCCAGGTATATGCCTGTCATCCAATGTCGACACAGCCTCCGGGACCGCGGTCAGGCCTGTGCAAAGGAGCTGTTCGCTCCATGCCGAGCCCCAGCCTCTGTGGAGACTTGGCGGGGTGAGGCTCCTCCCAACCCCAACGCCATCTCTTTGCCTCACGACTACACACAGCATTCGCCTTCTGCATCGGAAACTACTACGGAGTGACTCGACATTCTACGTTCAGGGCAGAGATGAATGCTGCTCACCAATCGACTAATTTCCATCCGTTTCCCCTGACGCGATTTGTGCCCAGGACCTAATTTTGGCTTGCCAGATTAAGCGCCAACCCCAGCGGCAAGGCACGTTTCGACTTCCACATACCACATACTGCAAGTATGTAGAAGCCGAAGACTTCTGTATGCATTGCGGTGGTTCCAGTAGGTCCAACGGGGCAGGACAGGACAATTGCTCAGCCAGACACTCTGGCTGCAGACCTGCGACCGGTTCTGCGCAAGCAAAGGTACGTCCTGGCATCGCCACAGCAGATTGCGATCTCGGTAGCCCCTGCTGCAGATCTGTGTCTTGTCAGAAGCTCGGAGCATCTGTTCAACTGTATGTTCGTCAAATGTACCGGTCCTCGTGGCGGCGCGTAATCAGATTCCCATCGAGTTTAACACCTTCTCGAGAGCCGCCCGATCCCCAGAGACGACTGGTCCAGGGCTTTGCCCTCTGCAGACTCCCCTTGCCAAATTTACACTGAGCCTCTCTCGCTAGGGATCGCAGCCGGCGTTGGGCTGTTTTCATAAGCGCGGTTTCGAATGGGCTCTCATACGTGCAAGCCAATGTGGGATCTTTCTGGTACCCCAGCCTCAATGCTCTCGAGCACCCATGAAACCCGCACAGCCCAGGTTCGCGCTTGGGTGTCGCCATCCGGTAAGTCTTGGTCGTGAAAAGTGGTGCCATAAGAGCCTCGTCCCATATCTAGAATATGAAATTGACGCCCGCGTGTTTGACCTTGGTTTTCACGTTTGACGTCTTTGGATGAGATTGTTCTTAAGGCAGCATACGTACGCCCGATAACCTTGATTCTTACAGACAACACGATATCTTTTCTGCTCTGACCTCATCGCCTAGCGATGGTCTACTTCCGTACTTGATATCTTTTGATACGGCTGCGACCAAGGTCGTCTTCTGTCGGGCCTGACCTTCGCTCAACCTACACAGAGATCCTCTCAACAACGCTCGTTACTCCTTATGCCAAAGCGCACTTCGAAGCGGCAGACCACAACTAGACCGGCTCCCTACAACTTGCGAGCTTCCAGAGCCAGTATGACAGCCGCCATTGCGCCTCCCATGGGACCGTGGGGTTCCCATCAGCACAGCATGTCTTGGTCGGACACCATGGGGTACCACCAATATAGCAATGCTCAGGCCATGACGCAGCCTTATATGCACCATCTTCCAGCGCCAGTCCAGCCTCCGCAGCTCACACAACCACAGCCTGGCCAAAGCGCACCATGGACAGCAGAAGAAGACAACACGCTCATGGACGCAAAAAGTCAAGGACTTGGCTGGAATGACATTCACCAACGTTATTTCCCAATGAAATCCGGCAACGCGTGTCGTAAACGACACGAACGCCTGATGCAAAAGCTTCGAACCACTGATTGGGACGAGGACCGTATCAAACGAGTCATGACTGAATACAACACTGTTGGCGTCCGTGAACGATTCTGGACCGTGATTGCCACCCGTGTGGGAGAGCAACGGTGGGAAGACGTAGAGCGAGTGGTATGTGAGAACCTCTCGACGCGCAAACGCACTCTAACGTCGCACTAGTGTTTTCAACAAGGGTTGAAAAACCTGCGAACCTCCAACTCGTCCCACTCACGTGGTCGGTCTCGAGCCAGCTCTGGTCACGTCGAATACGACCATGGTTCGTCTCAAGGAGACTTCGACACAAAAGCATATGATACCCACGATGACAGCGGCTTCGGAGAAGATCTGGGTAACCCAGGGCCTAGTCGTCGCTCCAGCCACACACACTCGCTGTCAGTTCCCCACACAAAATCGCATGCGTTGCCCGCCGTGGATGCATTGATTGGTCATTATCAGCAGGTCCACCATACACCAAATTACCACCACTAGACAGACTATCTCAGACCAGGCCTTGTCGGATAATATCGTGCATGACGTTATGAGGTGGAAAGGTAAGCATCGGGACGGATCAATGGATGCAGGAGGAGAGGATGTTTGACCGTGCTCCGGTTGATCGGAAGAAGGGGAACACGTCTTCCGGAGATGATACCCGAGAGCATGAGCTGGGCAGGTGGAAATTGCAAGTGATTCCCATGTACCATTATTACAGGAGTTTTTCGAGCTACAAGTCAGTGTTCACAGGAGTCAAGAGCATCAGGAGATCTGCTGGCTGCGTGTGAAACGCTAATTCCTGCCATTGTCCATTGTCGTTGTCCATGGTTTGTGAGTGGTGACTCTGGTGCAGCTGAGTTGTTCCTTATTCGGCGAGTCACCGTGCCTTCTGTAAGCAGCTCAGTTTGTGCAGATACTCGGCGCCGAGCCACTGCACATTCACTGTGCAAACTTTAAATCAACCTCATCGCATCTCTCGACTGGGGCCACCATAGGGTGCTGCTTTCATTGCAGTGTTGTTGTTGGACCCCAAGCATGAACAGCTTCACCCGTGAGTGGTGTCCCGAAGTTGCTCAGAAAGGCTTCAATTCCCGGATTCCGTCTATCTCCTTCTAGCGTCTTGGCAGAGTCCACCCGCCAGCCATGTGCGGAATAGCGGCCGAGCTATTCACGCTTCCCTGCCGGCCGGTGGTCAGGGACCGATCAAAGCTTCGTCAAATTTTTGGATCCCGGAGTCGTCAACTGCGCCCTCGTAAACCCCATTCACCTCCCTCCACCGCCAGATTACATCCCACAACCCCGGGTTTTCTTCTTATCGTTCATTCCATTTGCTTCTGGATACTGTCCTTCAGGTCTTTCAGGGGTCTTTTGGCTGTTAATTTCTTGTCCGCACCTTGGTCACATTGATTGCAAAGTCCAAGGGGCCGAGCCTTGCGCGTCTCGTGAGTTGTCAAGCTTGGTCTCGAAACTCTCGACCTCACGCCTTTCCGAGATCTCCACTCTCTTACTTTCCCTCACGATTTTCAACGTTGTGCTAGACTGCTCACATTACCTCTGACATCATGGCGACGGTTACGGAGAGCGTGAAAGAGACTCTCGTAGGCTACACCAAGCCTGCCGAGATGTCTGCGGAAGTTCGCAACAACTGGTTGCAACATGCTAAGAGCGATGACAAAGGCGAGCTGTACATGGACAGAGAAGCTTTCATTGATGCTATTGCACCTCCTGATGAAGACTACGTGAGTGACGAACCACAATGATATAGTCTGACTGAAGTTGACACGCCGCAGCACAAGATTCCCCGCGCACAGTATGGCGCACTCTTCCTAGTCGCAGATCGTCGCGGCGCTGGTCGTATCACTCAGGACGAGTACGCTGTCTTCAATAATACCCTGTTAAAGCCCGACGCAGCCGAATACTTGATGTGCTTCCGACTCTTCGATGTCAACAACACTGGTTTGGTAAATGTCGAAGACCTGCAGCGCATTTACAACGAGCAGCGTGGCAAGAACAGCTTGGCCTTTGACTTCAACGGACCTTGGGCGAGTCTCTACTTTGGCGCGAAAGGTGCCCGTCATGCTATGACCTACGAACAATTTGCACAGATGCTTCGAGGCCTGCAGGGTGAGCGTATTCGACAAGCCTTCCAGCACTACGACAGCGACAAGGACGGTCTCATCACTCCCGATCAATTCGCTGCTATCATCAGAGAGAACCAGAGTCACAAGCTGTCAGACCATATTCTCGAGAACCTACCGACGCTCTGCAACATCCAGAACGGAGCCAACATCTCCTATCCTGTCATTCGCGCATTCCTCAACATCACGAGAGAAATGGATCTTCTTGATCTTATCATCCGCAACGCCACCCGAAAGTCGTCCGATGGTCGAATTGACAAGGCCGGTTTCCTTGAAGAGGCTCAGAGAGTCACTCGTTGGTCACAATACACTCCTCTGGAAGCCGACATTCTCTTCCATTTCGCTAGTCTCGACAATCCATCCGGCCGCTTAAGCATCTGGGACTTCACAAAAGTCCTTGATGCGTCCTTCCAGCTCGGTCCACGCCTCTCAGGTTTCTCCGAGAAGACTGAAGAGGCTGCCTCTGGCCTGACCAACTTTCTTAACGGCGCAGTCAAGTCTGCACACAAGTTCGTCCTCGGTTCGATTTCCGGTGCATTTGGTGCCTTCGTTGTGTATCCCATCGACTTGGTCAAGACCAGAATGCAGAACCAGCGTGTCGTTGGCCCTGGTCAGCGTCTCTACAACAACTCTATCGACTGCTTCCAGAAGATCATCCGTAATGAAGGTTTCCGTGGTCTCTACGCTGGTCTACCGCCTCAATTAGTCGGTGTCGCCCCCGAAAAGGCCATCAAGTTGACGACCAACGAAATGCTGCGACTCTCTTTCACCAACAAGGAGACAGGTCGGATACCTGTTCCGCTAGAGATGGTTGCCGGTGGTACTGCTGGTGCCTGTCAAGTGGTAAGTTCTTCCCTCAACATATGCTGGTCACTTCCTTTGCTAACAGCCTCTAGATCTTCACCAACCCCCTCGAGATTGTCAAGATTCGTCTTCAAGTGCAAGGAGAGCTCGCCAAGAAGTCTGACGCCGTTCCCAGACGCTCTGCCATGTGGATCGTCAAGAACTTGGGTATTGTGGGCCTCTACAAGGGTGCCGCCGCTTGTCTGCTCCGTGACGTCCCGTTCTCGATGATCTACTTTCCCGCCTACGCCCACCTGAAGTCCGACCTCTTTGGCGACGGCGTCGATGGTAAAGAAATCGGTGTCCTGCAGCTAATGGTGGCCGGCGCTATTGCTGGTATTCCTGCCGCCTATCTCACCACTCCAGCCGATGTCATTAAGACGCGCCTCCAAGTCGAAGCCCGCAAGGGTGACGCAACCTACACCGGTCTCGTCGACTGCTTCCGCAAGGTGCTCAAGTCCGAGGGCCCCAAGGCGTTCTTCAAAGGAGGCCCGGCACGAATTGTCCGTTCCTCGCCCCAATTTGGTTGTACCCTCGCAGCTTTTGAGGTGTTGAAGAAGCTCATGCCCCTTCCGGCACGCTTTGACCCTGAGGCGGCCCGAGACACCGACATCCATGGCGCTCTGGAGCCGGGCGTCGGCCTGCGTGAGGCTAAGGCTCCGCTCCCCTACCTTCGCGCCCGCAACGCACTGAAGTTGCTCAAGGATATCGATAAGGACTTCGGAATGTACGGTGGCGTCAAAGTTCCGTCAATGTTTGAGAAGAAGTGAAGGGTTTAGATAGTGAATCCCGGTTGGGAGGCGGATTACGAGCACGGCAAGGCGTTCATCAGGCGTCGAGTTTCACGATATGATCCGTGAATTGCATAGCGAAGGCCTTTTCCCTGGGTAGCATGGGCACATCCAGGCAGTGAATGCCTTTGAATATTGACTGTTTGGGCGCGGGGACTGCCTCGTTGCCTTAAAAATCTCTGCTTCGATTCTCTTCCGCAAGATTTAGTCACCTGCGGCCGTGACTTTGATTATTGACCAAAGGTCGACAAAACAACGGGAGGGCTCCCCCGGGCCCATATCAGAGGCTTTTGGACGTGGTCTGATATGAGTCCGAGGCGCCCTCCCGTCGGGTTTGTCGACCCCTGGGTGGACTGTCCTGATGATTTGGCCACTTGAAGCCGTGACCCTTCACTCACCAAAGGTCGACGAAATCGACGGGAGGCCTCCTTGGACTCACACGCGGTCATAGCTGAAAGTCTTTCCTCTTGAGTACGGGGAGGCCTCCCTTCGATTTCGTCGGCCCCAGTGATTACTCTTCTATTGCCTTGTTCCTTCACTAGCCGAGGCAACGCGATCGATCGCCAAGGCCTTACGATTACTGAACCCCAGGGCAGCGTCTAACTTTCCAACTTCCTCACTACGATAGAGTATGAGTCCCCGATTCTTTATATTGGGGATGCTCGACTGCCCTCAGGCCTGCTCGACTCCCGAGGTGTTCTTATACCGAAGTGCATCACACCATTAGCCAACACCCTCCATCCCCCGTTCACCATGGCGACCACCAACCCCCCCAAGCAGCCCGTCGCGCTCATAATCGGCGCCTCCCGGGGCATCGGGCGCCAACTCGCCCTCTCCCTCGCACAAGCACACTACACCGTCGTCGTCTCCGCCAAGACCACATCCGACGCCTCCGCCATCCCGGCTGCCCAGTTCCCGCCGGACCCCAACTCCCCACAATCCACCATCAACACGGTCGTGCGCGAGATCCGCGAGCTGGGCCACACGGCGCTCGCCCTGCCCTGCGACGTGCGCGACACCGCCGCCGTGACGGCGCTGGTCGACGAGACCGTCTCCCGCCTGGGCTCGCTCGACGTGCTGATCTACAACTCGGGCGCCATCTGGTGGTCGGCCGTGGCGACGACGCCGCTGAAGCGGTTCCAGCTCATGCAGCGCGTCAACCCGGAGGGCCTGTACGCGGCGGTCGCGGCCGCGCTGCCGCATTTCATGGCGCGTCAGGGCAACCGTGGGCGTGTCGTCGTCGTGAGCCCGCCGATTTACTCGCGCTTCTTCCGCGGGAAGACGGCGTACGCGGTCGGGAAGGTGGGCATGAGTGTGTTGACGAAGGGGTTGGCGATGGATTTTCAGAGGATGGGCGAGGAGGGGAAGGGCCTGAGTATTACGAGTTTGTGGCCGGGGGCGAGTATTGAGAGCGCGGCGACGGAGCGGGCGGTGAGAGCGGATCAGGATGTGAGGAGGGACCTGAGGAAGCCGGAGATCTATGGGGATGCGGTGCTGGAGATCTTGAGGGCCGAGACGGCGGTGGTGAACGGCCGGTTGTTGGTGGACGAGGATTGGTTGAGGGAGAGGGGGTGGGGGGAGGACGATTTTGACCGGTATAATGTCGTTGAGGGCGCGAAGCCTAGGAGGATCATGCCGAGGACGTTCCCGGCGCTCGAGGTGGAGGAGCAGGATGACGAGGGGAGGAGAGTTGACAGCGTCAAGATGCGTGAGGGGAGGAGCAAGTTATAGTATTTGCATATGTATGGCAATCACCTGCTGTGAAATTCAGTCCACACCGAACAGCTTGTTGTCATCGATGTGCCACATTTGCTTCAACATGCCTTCAGCTGCCTGGTAGCTCACACTCACCGCCCTCTTGAGTACTTCGGCTTGTGACTCCCGTGTCTTCCCGGCCACTTCTTTCCACGAAGTCTTCTTTCCAGCAATCTCCACATCAAGCAGCTTACCGTTCTCCTTGCGAACCACACCGTTGACGATCACCGTCTCGATGTCTTTAGTATCGCTGTGCCTGAGTACGGCGACCAAGGGATCGTAGTCGCCGGCGCACAACATGCTGACACTGTTATCGTAATCAAAAATGACGATGTCGGCCTTTTTGCCCACAGCGAGGCTCCCAATATCGTCCTCCATGCCCACAGCGCGTGCTCCCTCGATGGTAGCCAGGTTGAAGGCTTCCTGGGTCGTTGCACGAATCGTCTTCGGACTTCCACCCCGGTCCAATACCTTCTGGTTGGTTTCCTGGCGTTTGAGCTGCAGTGCTGTCCGCGCCTGGATCAAGATGCTCGAGCTGTTGTTCGCGTGGCAGTCGACCCCTATGGACGCCTTGATGCCAGGCTCAAACGCGTTGAGCGAGCCGAGTCCCATCTGTGCTTCCGTCTCTGGAGTGGTGCTCAAGTACTGTCCTTCCTTAGCCATGAGCTCGAGATCCGCTCTCTCCAGACCGTTGGCATGGCTGGCCACCCACTTGATACCGCCTCGCTGGGGACCTTTGAGTAAGTCATAGCTCTGAAGGATCTGTACAGTCGAGGCCAAGCCGAAAACGGCATTTCTGCAGACGTGACTGGTGATGAGTTTGGCACCCAACTGCTGGGTCTGCGCCCATATGCCTTGAATCATCTCTTTTGGTAGGAAGAAAAGATCGAAGCCTAGGCCTGCACTGACTCGCCCGTCGATACCTTCCTTGCCGCCTTTTTTGCTCCACTCACCGACCTTTCCAATGATGTAGTCAGGCCAGACATCCATATTCGGCACCACGGTTTCTTTCGTCCATTGCTCGATCCGAATCGCGGGGCTCACAGCGACAACAGCGCGAATTCCACTTGCAACAGTCGCGTCCATGACCTTCTGTGCATGCTCGGCAGTATATGATCCATGTGAGTGGTCGAGAACGAAAGTTGTGCCGGCATCCAACGCTTCGAGAGCACCGGAGAGCTGGCCGTAGAACATGTCTTGCGGTTGGTAGTTGAACCCCTGCATGTTGCCAGAGGCCATATAGGCGAGGAGCTCCTGATCTGCATGACGGCCCTTCAGCTGAGTTTGCCAGAGGTGGTGGTGGGTGTCAATGAATCCTGGGGAGAGGATCTTTCCTGTGCAATTAATTGTTCTAGCATTCGAAGGTACGTCGAGGTTAGTTCCAATGGATGCAATTCGATCGTTTTGGATGAGGATGTCGGTGTTAGCTGCGGCCCTGACACTGTCATCAGCCTCGTGGAGCAGGAGAGTCCCGTTGCTGAGGAGAATAGTGTTGGACATGGTGATCCGTAGCTAAGCTAGGTGTGTATTGATCTTCGATGCTTTCTTTGGGGCTGGACCAGGAGGTTTGAGTACGACGCATTGGATCGAAGCGCATCCTCTGTCAAGAGTATGTCAGCTCTCACGGTGCTCGGTCTTGCCAACCATAACTCCGCGCGGAGCTCGAGTTTATTGGCCGGAGAGCGACGACCTATCACATTCTACCAACCGTGCCTCGATTGATACGAGTTCTGATCTAGAGGAAGTAGCTTGACACCACACAGCTTAGCTGACATTTCTCGAGTTCCAGTAAAAGGCAATCTGGCCATGCTCGGCCTTCATCGGAGGCGAGAGACCGCGAGGCGGCTTGTTGCTGCCAGCGGTCCCCGATGCCCGGGCCACTGCTGAAAGTCAGTAGCAGGTGCTGGTAACTACAGTGGGCACGGAGCAACACGACATCCGCGTCCTCGGTTTCGGCCTCGGCGCTGCGTGGATGATCGACATTGCCATGAATACGATGCAGCGCATGCTGGATCGATATGAAACTTCGAAGTGCTTGATAAGTTGAAATCTGGTCACCATAAAGGGGAATCAAGTTCCAGACGCAACGACCCGAACCTCTCTAATACGTCCGAAACGATGCTCAAGCTACGGCACTCTGATCCTGTAAATAAAGGGACTTGGCCAATGCGTCAACAATGCAGCTGTCTACTTTCTTCGAATGACAACAAATTGACTTGACCAGCTACCGTTGCTTGACCTCACTACGCAAAGTGCTCCGCCCTTCTTTTCCAAGCCTTGTCCTCTCAATCGCGTATCCAGCCCACAGTAATGCCAAACCGCCTCCAAAGACATACAGCTGCGCCGGCTCGTCGACATTCTCATCCACTCGGAATTCGGGATCCAGCCAACCCGTGCCAGGATACCAGATGGCACTCAGACCCGCCAGCATGTAGAAGCTGCCAATCCAGGAGCTCAGAAGGAGATCATGCTTCACGCTTTCGCTAGCAGCAGAGGACGGAAGGCTTCCTGCCACAGGACGGAAGAGGATGTAGAGCGTGGTCACTGCCAGTAGGACGGAGAGGGACATGGTCTGTCCATTGTGGAACTTTGCGTGGGGCGGCCAGCGCGGGTTGAGCACATGAGTGTGGTTGTAGTCTGCGGCAGTCAGTCTGGTGCTCTGCCAGTGCAGCGACACGGTGGACGGGCAACGTGTTGCTCTGCCCCTGAATCGAGTTCTGGCGAGGAGGCGAGGCTGCGTCTAGCCAGGGGTGTTGGATTCGCGGCCCCCGGACCAATGTAGCCCCCACCGACAACGACATCTAGTATGCTGACGTACCGGCAACAAAGGATCCAACGCTATAGAAAAGCTGCGACAGCGCCAAAAGTCCTCGCCCAAGCGTCAGGCTCTGAACAGACATGTTCGAACCGACAGAGGGCAGTCGCCAGACCTGGGCTTCGGACTCTTGGGGCCGCGGTCGCGTCGTGGCCTGCTCGATGCGACGCTTGGGATGCTAAGCGAGGTGATAGATGTTCCGTGAGGCTAGACTTGAAGAAGAGGCTTTCTGCGACCTGCGCCCCGAAGATCGAACTTGTACTGCTGACGGGACCGCATAGGCGGCAGATCTGTATTTGGGGACTGAGCACCGGCTCAGTTGCTGCCGATCTGGGGAGCAGATGAATGTTGAAGTAGAATCATTCTGAGTGGTTTAACTGTAACCACACCGAGGCTCTCGCCCGAGTAAACCGTCTCGGGCGACAGCAGCGCCTTGCCAGCCGCCGACCTACTAAAAACTCCAGGCACACAGCCTCGCCTCGCACACTGCGGGCCCGGGGGGGGCATCTGCTCAGCTAGCCATGTAGGCCGGCAGCTCGCTTGCTACCAATAGGCCAGCACCGCGGACGACCGACTGCCAGATCGCCCCTGCCCATTGACCCTATCGGGCAATATATTAAAAATCTTTTTAACTGGTGAACACACCGGTGTTTAGGCCACCCACCGCGCCACGGCAATAGTGTTGCACCGCCTCGGCCGTCCGATACACTACCTAGGCGATCGGCAGCTAAGACGCCCCAACTTCGGCCTACCAGGCGCCCAGCCCCCAAAAGGCAAGCCTAATCGCGGGCGCGGGTCCCTGACCGGGAGCGTTCCCAGCACAAGAAGTCATGCATCTTCTGCCACTCTGCAGACCGACACCCATGTCGAAGATCGTCTTACGTATGTAGTAGCACTAAGCACTGAAGCGATTACCTAGTGACACCCGGGCTTGACGCTACGTATACCGTACCATCGGGACCACCGAGGATCTGCTTTAGGAGAAGTGAACGGTCTGTCTGTACGTAGTACAGTATATGGGACGGCAGGCCAGTTCATTAGGCGAGGTCCGAAGGTCAGTTTCAACCCAAAGCCCCCAAACGCTTGCCATTCTCGTCTTTTGCCGCTGATTCCGTAACCGGCAGGATAATGCTTGCTGGACATACCACAGACATCCTGCCCTTAAGCACCTCTGCTACACACCACATATTAGGGGGCAAGCAGCCTTCGTTGCTCAGAAAAAGTCCCCGTCTGGGATAGCAGATCTTCCCCGCGCCGATTCAGCAGGCCCAGCCGACCCGCCGTTGCGCTATCTCTGTCGACTGATGCCGGGCTCTCTCTCTCTCTGTGTGTCACTGGCGCACACACGGCTCTATCGAGCTCCTGACTAGCGCAACCAGAGATGCAGTAGGTGAGCGAAAGATGGAGGAGGCCGTGCCGCGTCACCCGCTTCCCCATGAGGCCCAAAGACCAGAAGTTCCGCAAGACTAGACGGAGGATGATAGATAGCCTGAATACCTCCGTACATGATCCCAGGGAACAAGGTTTTTGTTGCACACGCGATGCTCACTCTGATGCTTATTCTGCGAAGTCTGTTCTAGTAAGTTGGGTCGAGTGTTCTTGTAAAGACAGACCTTTGGCGTGGACAGTGTCAACACCGCAAGGAGAATGAGGGAGAGGGGAAACAACGGATGGACCATGTGGATGATCGCGTTAATTTGGGGTCTTGTCGGCCTTGCCGCTTGCTACTGGTATGCTCATCATGTTCGTAGCTGGGTCTACCGTGGGTGCATCTCTCCCCTCCCAACCCTTGGAATTTTATCGCTGCTTCGTGTTCATGCTCTCATAGCGGCCCTCTGTCGTTGTCTCGTTCAAAGACGCATGTCGGTAAACGCCATCGCTATGCAGTCCGAGTCTTCTAGTCTTCGATGATTTTGTGACTGGCGTTTGGGAGGCCATTGGCCCACCAATCTGGTGCCATGCTCTACTTGGGTCCGCTCCGCAAGGAACGGCCTCCAGGCATTAGACTGGCGTCAATGCCTTTGCCGGTCCCCGAAGCCAGCATGGCATCTTCCTCCCACTCGGATGAAGGCCCTTTCTTCTTGGTGGGGGGCGCTCTAGTCTCGAGGCCAGCGTTGAGCATGTTTATACGCATTAATTTCAGGTACGCTTCTTTGGTGAACTTGTCGAGCATCTGTTCGGCTTCCTTGTACGTCTCGGCCCGGAGATTAGGCTGTCGGCCGACAAGCAGGTTCTTCTCAATGTCCAGACGAGCATCGAGCTTTTCGGACTCGATCAGCGAGATAATCTCATCCATGAGTGCCATAGAGATTCGATGATCTCCATTTGTAGCTCCGGCGACATTCGACCGAACCGCTGCTTCACCGAAAACTCTCTCCATGTTGTCGAGGTTGACGGTGCCAAAGGGCTCGAAGTATTGGACCATGCTCTTCTCGCGGATTTTGCGGTAGATGCGGCCCACATGGGGTTGGAGGAAGAGATCGAGCAGGTAATCGTTGCGATATGATTCCAGAATCTCGAGGCACTGAGTATACTTGCAAGCCACGAAAAAGCTGATGGCTCTTCGAATATGAGGCTCGAGCTCGAGGAAATTCCGGAAAGTGACGTTCTCGAGAACCCTCAGCTGCAGTTCGGATCGAGACATAGAGGCGAGGGCGCAAAGACCGCCATAGACGGCCACATCGTTGGCGGACATTGTTTGGTTGAACTGATCTCCAATGGCTGGATCCGTTTGAAGGAAGTAGTTGGCGGCATCCTTATACTCTCCAGCACACATGCGCTGCAGAGCAGTCGTAGGATAAACGAGGACTTGATACCGGCTTGAATCATCTGGCTTCATCTGGAGGTTCTGGATCTTGAGCACCTGCGACTGGACGGCCATCCAGTTGCGTTGTTCGACGGCGACCGCGATAATGCGGAAAGCAGTCGAGGCGATGTGGGCAGGAGTCGTACAATAGTCCCGCATGCGCGAGTACGCCTTGGAAGCGTTGACGAGGTCACCGATGCGGTAGTAGTGAGAACCAAGGTCCTCGTTGCCCATCTGTACCAGTTAGTCTCGGCCGCTTCGATCTCAGCACCATGAACTCACGCGAATGCTCTCTTTGATGAGGTTATTCTTATACCCCTTGAGCTCGTTCTCTAGCCGTAGAGTCTCTTTAGTGTTCTTCTTCTCCTGGTCGACCGCCCAGCTGGTATCTAGTAGCCGCTCCGTATCGCGGTAGTCGGGAACAGCCTGGAGCAGAGCCACAGCATCGTAAAAGTTACGCACATCTGCGCCCTTCTTGGCTTCCTTGATAGCGAGCTTCGCAGCCTCCTCACGCAGTGGGGGACAGCAGGCGCCGATGAGGTACAACCGTCTAAACACCGTTCTGCCTGCCAAAGAATCAGCCGCAAGATCGTCAGGAAAGATCGAAAGTTACCAACCGCTGTAGTTGGCTATGTATGATGTCAAGTCGAACTTTGGGGCTTCTGCGTGATTGTCAGTCGTAGTTCGAGCAGGTTGAACGGTATGTTATACCGTGGACGGTGATCGAGTAGGCCGGCTGCCCGACAGAGGCCGCGCCTTCTGCCATCTTGGGCCACGGGACTCGATGGCTACTCTCTCAAGCACAATCTATTGCGAAGAGTACACAATGCTCGCGCTACGCATGCCGACACCGGTGGATCGGAAGCGAGTGTAGAGGTATGTCTAACAGAGTGACGATTAGACGCGCAGGTGGTTGACGCGGGCGAAAGTGTAAGGCTGTCCCGCGCCCTCACCAGGCTGAAGTCTTGGCGCGTACTGGCCCCTGTGGCCCGCGCTTGCGGCGCTCGTCTACCGCCCGGGGGTTCTGCCTTAAGCCCCAAGAAGGGGAGCCTTCCAGAACTTGTTGCCTCATCGCAACCCCCTTGTCCTGGCGAGTTACCCACTAGCAGTAAAAGGCAAACAGAACTTTCCCAAGTTTACCAGCGAAGGGTATTGATAATTAACAGGCGCTCAGCGCTCTGGTATTCCTAAATTCTGTTCAATACAGCTGTTCCAAGCCGTCCTGGAGGGCTTTGATGGGTATCTCAAGTACTGCCCTAGCATGTCCCAAATTTTTCGTCGCTCAAACGCATCAAAAATGTAAATAACATCAAGACCCTCAGTCTTGACCCAGTCGCATCAGCTCAGTCAGGTCCACCTGTTGCTGACCCATCTCCTCAAAGTCCCAGGGACCCTTTTCGGCATCTGTAGCATTGAGAAATCCCTCGGCCCTCTTGAGAGTCTCAACGTCCAGGTCGGTGATGTAGCCTTGGCCACCAGGAAGAGGTAGACGAACCTCAAACTCATTGTTGAGCATGAGCTCGTCCTTCGCCAGTCTTCTTGGACCGTCGAAAATGCAAGTTGTCCGCCTCTTCATGCGCATCTTGTCGGCGCTCATGCCCCACGCCGGAGGATAATCCTTTCTCTTCTTGCGGCCTTTGCCAACCAGTGCCACGCCACCTTGCGACCAAGTGAGACCCTTTTTGTGGGACTTCTTAGTGATGGCACCATTGAGAACCACGCGGTTTGCTGGTTTGCTGGACCTGACGCCCGACTTGGTGCCTCGACCAGTGTAGGAGGTGTCATCCTCGTCCTCCTCATCATCTTCCTCGTCTTCTTCCTCTTCGTCGCCTTCAAAATTGGTGGGGTTGTCTTCCATCCGAATCATGTGGCGATCAAACGTCTCTTGGACATTCTTGTCGTTGCCAATGGCTGTCAGATGCGAGGCGTTGATATCTTCGCTGGGCTCCACCTGCTGAACCATGCGGAGAACACAGTCGTCGAGATGCTCGTAAAAGTCCTGAGCGTTGTTGAAGATCACCTGACAAGTGGAGCATTTGCCACTGTTCTCTTGGTGGTACGGATCTACCTTCTTCGGCGCTGCAGTTGGGCTCCGTTTTCGGCTGTTAGGAGGAGTCTGCTCTACGCCATGCACAGACGTAAGGTGGCGCTTGAAGACATCAGCTCGGTTGAAGGTCTTTTCAGCCGAGGTGCCAGTGTCGGGGCAAAAGCTGCAGACCATAGTGCCCTTGTAATGGGTCAGGGTATGACGGTTTTTGTCGTACTTGCGAGCGAAGCCCTTGATGTGGTACTCGCAACTAGCGATGGGGCACTTCTCGGGCCTCTCGGACTGATGGGTCAACATATGCGCCTTCAGATCCTTGAATACCTTGCCGCAGTCCGGAAAGGGGCATCGTCGCTTCTCGCCGTCCTCATTCAGATCCGATTCGGGGCTGGCGCGGGATGCGACAGAGGAGAACGAGTGCATCGACGGTCGGCGACCCATGTCGTAAGGTTGCTGAACAAATCCCGCATTGTGCATCGGTTGCTGGAATTGCGCAGGATAACCCCATTGCGCCTGGGATGAGGCTGGCGAGGCAGGCTGTGAGAAGTGTGGGTAAGCCAGGTGGTGGGCAGAGCCAGCTGGGGAGGCAGGGTTGTTGAAATTATTGGGTTGCATGTCCGACCAGGTTGGCTCAGGATATGCGCCCGAATTGATCAGTGTGGGATCTGTTGGGAGACATGTTAGCGCGTGGTTCAGATTCGCGTTAGTCTTGGATGACAAAGACACGAAATAAGAGGAGTAAGGAAACCAACAAGATGATTCGATGGGAGGCATGAAGCTTCCGCTGCTTTGGGCAAAGAAATGGGTTTGGAATTGGCCGCTGGGCGAAGCCATAGATGAGTGTTGCGCATGGGGCTGAAAGTGCTGCTGCCGCTGAGCTGGCAGTCGCTGATCCACGGGCGACACCGTTGTTGCGGGCGTTCTGGGGTAGGCGGAGGCTGGGGTGGAGGGGGATTTGAAAACAGGTTCATGCGAACTTGATGGGCTAACGGACGCGCGCAAGACCGCATGAGGTGATGGGGAAGTATGGGTTGCAGTATGAAGCACGGTGTTGGCAGCAAATTGTTGTGGTGAAGTGGTAGAGCTCAAAAGCGGCGTGACAGGAGAAGAAGTCGAGGGTTGAGAGATTGGCAAGCGAATAGTCGATGATCGGTGCTGAGAAGAGGAAAGATCGGCACACTCACCCACAAAAGAGCCCGACATTTTGTCATTTTCGGCGAAGCCAGAGTAGCCGAGGAGATCATTTTCGGACATGTGGTTGTAGTCTTGCTGATAGCTGTCCTGGCCGACGATCGCTGGCGTCATACCAAGCCCGTGCATCGGATAGGCCTCTGTGGTGAAGCTGTCTGGTTGCGACACCATTTGCGTTGGACCAGAGTAGGGAGATCCAACGGTGGACGACGAAGCGCTACGAGATGAGTCGGTCGAGGGCATGAGACCAGGCGCCGCGAAGACACTGTTGTTGGACGCCGAGCGCGTCATCGGGGGTTTCTGGTGGGTATTGTAAGGGTAAAAAGGATTCAGTTGACCAAAGGTCTCGGTCTGAGACCAGTCAAAATCCATGTTGGGGAACGTGCTGTTCATCGAGTCGAAGTGTTGCAGTTGATATGAGTCGCGTCGCAAATGCCTTGGTGCGAGCATTTAGAGGGACACGGGAGCACAAGGCATTTATCAAGTGGCAGATGGTGCGGGGGGCAGAGATGGCCGTTGAGTACCTTTGGCAAGCTTTGGGATAGATCTGGGCGAGATGGGGAACACCTCCAGGCTATCCGATAACACGAGATGGTGTGAGTCTGGACTTGAAGCTCGCGTTTAGAGTAGCGGAAGGATGTTTTCGGCCGGAGGCTTGCTGGAAGCTGCAGATCGGTGCCTGATCAAGTAAGGAAGGTGTGCGGGAAGCAAGCGATTCCGGTTGGCGAGACTCGGAGAGAGGGGTTCGCAGTGGGTGGGCAACCAAGGTCTAATATAGATAAGAGGGGTGTTGGCCGTTGTTGGTGTCGACGGCGATGTTTGATGTGGTGTAGATGAGGCAACCTCTTTTCTGTGATGATGGACGATCTGAGGGGCGAAATCAAGACATAAGTAATTGCCTGGCCGGGGGTCGCAGTAATGGCATCGTGATGCGGTGCACGGTGCAGGTTTAGTCGAACCAAAATGCCGCCCAGCGAAAGCGACTGAACGCTGCCCTACGGACTCCACCCTGCTAGCGTGTTGCTTTCTTCGGTGTGCCCAGGGAATCCGCTGCTCCGCTGTCATTTCAAATCTCCGTAATCTAAAACTCAGCCTCGAAGGCTTCGGCCTCCCCTAAGGCGCCCGCTGATTCGTGCTGCGCCCGTCTGTCCCCACCCAGCCCCGTTGGCCTGACACTCGTGAGGAATGCACAGACGGGTTGATCATGGGCAAGAGTGACCCTCTCCCCCTCCGTACACCACCCCCAGCCTTCTCGAGCAACGCTCTGGAGCTCCGGGAGAGCCCAGACTGCGGCCCGTCTTAGCTTAACGGCCGGCGGTCTCTCAGGTGACGGAGTTCTAAACATGGAGTGCAGTTACGTAGGAAATCGCTCAGTCGGCGGTCGTGTTGCAAAGAAGCCAAATCTTCTCCCAAAATATTTCCAGGGGAGAGGGGCAGAGAGGACCCCTGGATCCTGAATGCCGCATACGAGGTGGATGTGCCTACTTCCCCTTGCTGCCACGTGGGAATGATGCAAGGTCGATGAAAGGCCTCTTGACTGTGTATGGGAGGTCTACGCCTGCCGCGCCCCACGGCGTCCTGAAGTGCAGCAGCAGTGCACTGTCGCCAGCTAGGACCTGCCGAAAGTAGTCGCCTAAACCCAAACAGCGCAAAGGTTGGCAGCCATCATCAGCGGGTCGCCAACACCCGCAACGAATCACCGTCCGATCGCATGCAGAGGTGCGACCGAATCGAGATACAGACCAAGTTCTTTTGCATGTCCGACGGCGCGGATGTGGGGGGGTCAGATGTCATTACTGTATCGTACGGACGTCCTACCACTTCCCGGCGTGGATGAGAGAGCTGATTGGTCTCTTCGTTAAATTTCGAACGAGCGGTGGAGGAGATGCGCTTTCCAAGCTTTCCAGGGATCTTTGGTGCAAGCGAACCTCCGCTGATTTGCCAGGCATGCCACGTCGTGGCTGGGACTGAGGCGCAGTCGCACTTCATTGGATGATACGAAAACTCGGATGCTATTTTCAGCTTCGTGGTCACCGGTACAGCCATAGTCTGTGGCGTAAGGCAAGAGTCTTGTGGGCATGCTCACCGTCTGATGTTCTGATGATGCAGAGGTGGATTGTCCTCAGACGCAACAGCACGTCACCTTCCCTGGCGTGGATCCCAGGGTCCGTCCCACTAAGAAATCATCATAACTACTGTTCTCTGTCATGCGCATATGCATGTGCATCACCTGGAAGACCTTGAGACCACTGTGCAGATGACAGCACGACATGTGATGTACGTGCCGTCCCAGGCACAGGTCAACACCACCAGAGCGTGTACAGTTTGGAAAGTGGACTCAATAGCACGAGATGGTGTGTATCTAGCAACAACTGTTGACTGACCAAGTACGTATTGGTGGGTCGCGGAACTTTCCTGTCCCCGTCAATAACTTCCTCAATCCCTTGGCCGTTCTCTACACTTGAGTCAAGCACGTGTCAAAAGGACAATATGAAATGGTTCCTGGTCAGATTGCAGGCATATGCCTGCATCGTATGAGACGCGCAGTCGAAAGTGAGATCTCGCGGTATGACGGGGGTTGCTGATGACACAGTATCATCGCTGGCCCAAGAATACTGCGCATGGATCTCTGACTGCTGCTGCGACTTGCTCGGAGCGGCAGAACGGAGCCCCCGGAGGCACTACTACATAAGCAGCGTGCGCTCAGGTGGCCAATAGCGGATGGAGATGCCCTAAAAGCGGATCCTACGGACACTCGTTTTCCCGGTTCCACACACCCCGATCCCAGCAGCATCCTGTTGGTTGTCCGCGCACTTTTGTCTGCGAGTGCAGTCTTTTCGCAATCGCGGGGACCTGCGAGCGTTGCATCTCTCTCCCTCGCTTGCACATCAATACACATCATCAACTACCCAAGTTGGCAATTGTGGTGTCCGGTCGTGATGCTAAGTTCCCGCCTCGAGTCATCGACTCGACTTGCCCAGCCCTCGGTTCCTCTTTGTGAGATGGGGTCAAGCACTGCACTGCACAATCTAAGATCTCGCACTCGGTGAAGGCTAAAACCAAGACCAAGTCTGCCTCGAGTAGCCATCACAGTGTCGAGAAAGCCGGTCCAATCCAAAAACCGGCGTCCCCGAACTCCTTGTCATGCCTTCTTCACCTCCCTGCAAGAGGTGAACGAGTCGCCGGCTTGGGATCAGGCAGTGGCATGCATTGTGGCGTGCGTACCATCACACCGGTGTCGTCGCAGGACCACAATGCAGTCATGAACAGGGCAGGCCCCTGCTTTAATTCAGTACCTCGTTCAATGTACGGACTACACGAGTACGAGTGGGGTCTGAAGTGCCTCATACCGCGCCCTGAAGAGGGGCCATTTTTCTTACTAAGTCGTGAGAGCCACGTTGAACCCTTGGATTTATTTCTCTGCAGCCCTACTGAGCATACGGGCTTTTCACCGCCGCTCCTGCTTGGGCCAATTTGTGGCTTGCTGACAAGCGAGGCGACAGAGGTCGACTGCGGTCTGGCCGCTGTCGGCCAAGGTCGTCATTTAGAAGAGCATGAATCAGACTGGACATATTTCTCTCCCGTTGCAATCACGTGGAGGGCATCTGCAGGAGCTCATGTTCCCCGAATCCCCTAAACCTTGATCTCGTACGATTGGCGGGCACTGCTTATCTGGTTGGCCACCCCTTCGAACCTCTACACCACAATGTGGTCACAGCTTTGATGTTTTAGGAAGCTTCACTGGCGCGACCTCTTCCCTCCACCCCCATCCATTTAGGCTCTGGGCATCTAACATCTTCATGCCGGATGCTTCGCACACTTTGATCACCACGTCACGAACCGCCTTAACTTCTTCTTCGGTGGCTCCGTTATTCAGAGCTCCAACGAGATGTCCCTTGAGTTGAGGGTTTACGTCTTGCGGGATCAAGCTGGCCAGAACCACTGGTTTTCGGTTAGCTAAAGCTTTGCACTCGCGAAACGGCCCTTGCGACACTTACTGTACGAAGTTTCCGGAGCATTGAGAATACCAACTGGGCTTAGCACGTATCCATACTCAAGCCGTGCCAGTAACCCGAGGTCTTCGGTGCCGCTGCGATCCATTTGACCCATTACCCGTCCAGTCACCTTGCCGTAGACCTTATCGAAAAACTTCTGCCCCCTCTGCAAAATCTGGGCGGTGGGGGTCGTGTATATGTCGACGGCTCTATTGGACGGTGAATAACCTAGAGGTTCGTCGAATAGATGCTTAGGTGTGACGCCCTTGAGCGCAAACAGAGCATTGATGGTCTTGGGCAGGCCAATGATGGCAGATGTCTTCACTAGTGCTTCACGTGTTCGTCTCGCGATCTGAAGCTGCTCCTCTTGCGAGGGTTTGCTTTCCTTTGCGCCGCCTCCTGACTCGAGAGCATGGCTGAAGACCTTTGGAATCTCGTCTGGCCGGTTTAGCGTCGATAAGGCGGTGGCGGCCAGAAGGTACCAGGTGTTGGCGGGTAGCCGAGGATAAGTTCTAATGGTTGATAGCAGAGTCGGTGTGATAACTGATGGCAGGCCCATTCTGTCCAAGGGCGTCCGGCACCCTCTCTCAACGATGCGGGTATGAGGAAGCTAATCAAGACAAATTCCTCATTCGCACTTGAGCCAACGGTTGTCGTGCTTTAAAGAGCAGCATGATCGGCCATAGCTATACAGCCGATGAAACACGGAATGGCGCCGAAGAGCCAGGAGACAACCCCAACTCTTCCCCACCCCAATGCCCAGCCAGGGTCACGCCATTGAGGGGATCATCAACGGCATCGGCGTATCGCCTACGACCTCCGCTGGCCTATTCATGACACTCACTGTATTGATTCCGACACTGTGCCGTCAAGAACTGTCGTCGATGCATGCATCAACTTTCAGAGCTTTGCCATGCATAGCCCATTGCTCGTTCTGGTCCCACGGAGCTCTCCGAGCGCATCGCCCAATATTAGGTAAGCCACTGGGCGAGCCAACGCGGCGGGCCTAAGTGAGATCGACCTATGTATGACATGCACTGATGAATTCACCCTTCAAGTTTGTAAGTCTACGTAGAGAACGAAAATTACACCCTCCGATTGTGCCAGGGCGGATCGCTGTGTCACCTCATCCATATTGAGGCAATCTCGAGATAGCAGTACATCAGTGAGTACTTGTCGCCAGTCGTTGACAACCAAGGTTACGCCCCCCTGAACCCTCTGCCTACTTCTCGGGGAGTCACATCGTCCAACATGGCGACGAGGACATACACGCAGGAAGAGCTCGTAGCTCTCGGAGTTCCTTCATCCCTTCTGACCGAGCACATGAAGACCCATCCCCCGCCACCCCCGTTCGAGGTTGTCAGTGATATGAATGGCATGCGCAAGGCTCGCATCGTCCATCTAGAGACGCGGAGGCCCGATTTCCCGATCCCGGGGGCAATTCCAGATCTCGTCGAGGAGAACGATGTCTACGTCGACTATCCTCCACAGAACTGCAAGATCCAAGTCCGGGTCTATGCGCCTGTTGACCTCGGCGAAGCAGCAAGATCGTCTGGACTGCCAATGATAGTGCTCATGCACGAGGGCGGATTCATGCTAGGCGATATCTCTGACGAAGAGCATAATGCCCGTCTCTTCGCTTCGTCCTTCGACTGCATAGTCCTGAACGTCGAGTATCTCCTGGCGCCGGAACATCCATTTCCCATAGGCGTCAAGTCATGCTATCACGTCCTTGAAGCACTAGCTTCGTCCCCAAAGACCTTTCACAGTCTAGCCAACCCTTCGCAAGGTCTCATTCTGGGCGGCTCAAGTGCAGGCGGCAACCTGTCAGCAGTGCTTGCGCATCATGCACGTCAGCAGAAGCTCTCGATCCCTGTAACTGGCCAGTGGCTGGGAGTGCCATTCATTGCAACTGCCGAATTGATCCCGGAGAAATTCAAGCAGATGTTCCAAAGCCAAAGCCTTCGAGTCGATCCAGTTCTCGATCCGGGTGAGGACGAGGCGACAAACCATAAACTCTTTGAGGTCTGCCAGGTTAAAGACCCCAGTGATCCTCTTGTAAGTATACTATACAGCCTTCTGACAAGGGATCAAATTCCAAAGCCACGATGTGTGGTAGTGTTCGTTGCCCGCTCATCGCGGATTCGCGACTGCATTTTTATCCCGTGCTCCACCGAGATCTAATGCTTGACACAGATCACCCCCTTCTCGCCTGCACTCTACCCGCCAAACAGCGCGAACAACGATCCATCCCTGCCGAAACTCGCCAAAGCCTTTATACAAGCTGGCGGACTGGACCCGCTGAGAGATCATGCCATCGTGTACGCTAGGGCTTTGGAGGAGGACTGGAATACCGATGTCCGGCTTCTGGTATATGGAGGCTACGGCCATATGTTCTGGACCAATTGGCCTTTGCTGGAAGAAAGTAAGAGGTTCTGGAAGGACACTGTCAAGGGGTTCGAATGGTTGCTGGGACAGCAGGCTAAGAGGGAGTGGTAGATCAGCCGTGGCTTTGTAGGCTGGACCGTGTTCGCGCCTTCAGAGTCGGGCCCGGAGGATAGAACATACTTCACTGCTACTCACAAACCAACATCATGGTGACATGAACAGCTGTGATCTCATACTCCCACTAATCGTGGATACAGCTCATCTAGTGCCAAGAATTAGGGAGGTTTTGCGAGATAATCGACCCATGATGTTGTGACTTGTCTCTTATTCTTCTCACAATACTGTACACCACGAAGGCCACCTCGAGTCTGAGATTCGCAATGCCTGATGCTAACGCCGACGTCATGAACCTTGGGCTCTCGTCTCTTCGGTCAGCGGTCAAGCGCAAGTTCTCCGCCGCCCGTCTAGCGGGAGACCTCACCTTCTCCGACACTAAATTGACTATCCTGAAGACACGACAAGGAGTGCCTGTAAGTCGCAACGTCTTCCTGAACCAACAGAGCTGATCGCAAATGGCAGTTCCAACTTCGGTACTGTCCAGCCTTGGCGAAGAAACCCATCGATAACATCGCTCCTCCAAAGGACGAATCCAAGGCTTCGAAGCCCAAATTCGATCCTTTTGCCAATCCAAGCTCAGAGCTCCTCGTCGCTAATGTGCCGCCGCCGAGCCCATCCCATGCTCTCGTTCTGAACAAGTTTCCTGTCATCCCGAACCACTTCATCCTCGCCACGAAAGAGGACAAGCCGCAGACTGACCTCTTAGATCCCGGCGACTTGGCAATGACTTATGCCTGTTTGGAAGCCTGGCCAGAAGATGAAACGGACTCTGGCTCCGCCGACGACGAACTATTTGCCTTCTTCAATTCTGGCCCTCACAGCGGTGCGAGCCAGCCACATCGCCACCTGCAGTTCCTCCCAATACCAGACATGAAAACGGGTCTCACAGACCCCGATGCAGCCTCATGGCGACCTCTCATCGAGAGCCTTTCAACGCCACACGCTATCTCGGAGCCCTACCAGCTGGCTCACAACCCGACTTTCCCCTTCACAGCTCTATCCACAGCGCTCCGTCCGGGCCTCACCCCCGCTGAACTATACGACCGCTACATCACTCTACTTCGTGCGGCTTCGCTTCTCACCGCCGAAACCTCACACGTCCCATCGCTACAAGACCTCACTTCTGCTCGCATCACCGACCCGGAAGACTCGAAACACGTGTCCTTCTCCTACAACCTCGCGCTCACGAGAGATCGCATGGCCATCTGTGCGCGTCGCGCCGAGGGCTTTTCGATTCCTGGCTTGCCAGACAGTCACGTCGCCCTCAATTGCACGGTGCTCGCGGGGACGATGATGGTGAAGGAGTGTGCGGAGTGGGACGCACTGAGGAGCGCACCTGAAGCGTTGGACGGGCTGCTGGCCGAGATAGGATATCCCCCTTGGAGGGAGGACGGTGTGAGGTTATGACTTGCCAGGTTGTGATCTATTGCTGCTTGTGGTATCAGTGGACTTGGGGGTAGGCAGCCCATACATGGTATCTGTTAGTGTTGAGCGGAGTGCCTGCCTTACTGCCCGTGATTGCTCCCTGCTGCCACCACGGCAACCAGTAGGGTTACCAGCCTTGCTTCTCTCAGGTACGGCACCCCGTGCGCCCTGGGTCAACGCTCCACAGATGCGATCTAGAAGCGCGACAGGATTCCACTGCATGACCATCGCTCACCCAGCCAATTCTCCTCACTTGCGACCATGCAGTCACGAGGGCGAAGGGGACCCGGACACCCACTCGCGGAACGAAGCATGGAAGGCAAGTGGCGTGATTGTCAATACGGTCGTGACTCTGCCTGGATGCACTAGTGACTTTTGGTTTCCCGTGTCAATCCAAAGATCTATAAGCTAGAGAAGGCCAAAACAAACATGGCGCAGAAGAAGCACGGACAGTATTCTTGCTGTCCAAAACAAGGTCTATCTGCGGCCGCTGTTCAATACCTAAACTAAAGATCGCTAAAGACGCAAGACGCACTGCCCAACGCCGAGCTTGAAAACAATTTTCCTTTCTATGATATCCAGCTGTACGTACCAGAAAAATTCCCTCCTCTTTTAAAAAGCTGAGTCAAGTCATCAAAGGCTCCATCAAATCTAAGCCCGCGCCAGCCCATCCACCTTCTTCACCGTCTCGACCTCGGTGACAACGCCGCCGTCAACGACCGGGGGGCCGACATAACCCTTCCTGGCACGGAAGAACCACCACGCCGTGACGAGGATCGTGAAGCCACCCCACAGCAGACAGGCATAGTTCATGGTGTCGGCCGAGGTGGGCAGCGCATAGGGGAAACTGTAGATGACGAACCAGACGATCATGTAGGCGCAGGCGACGGAGTTGACGACGAAGCCCAGCAGACCCTTCATGTGGAAGGGACCGTAGGCCTTGATGCCGCGGCGCTTGTTGATCAGGTTGGGCAGGATGGCGGCGATGTAGCTGCTGGAGGACATGAGGATGAAGGAGCCGACGAAGGCGTTGAAGGCCGTCAGGCTGCCGACGTAGATGGCGCCCAGGACGGTCACCAGCACGGCGGTGATGACGGTGGCATTCATGGGCATGCCGAGCGAGGGGTTGACCTTGCCCACGAACTTGGGGAACGGGGTGGCGCCGTCGCGCGCCAAGGTCCACAGTGTGCGGCCGCAGGTGACGTACAGGCCGATGACGCAGATGGAGATGCAGATCATGATAAGGGCAAGGAGGCCGGTGGTGCCGGCGGCGGAGCCGGTGGCTTGCATGTAGATGGTGGCGATGGGGTAGGGGGACTCGAAGAGGGCGTCAAGGTCGTTGATCGAGTAGAAGATGGCGATCAGGTAGGCGAAACCGGTGATGAAGCCGATGCCCATCTGGCAGAGGATGGCGATGGGCACGTTGCGCTGCGGGAAGGGGATCTCTTCGGCCAAATGCGAGGTGCAGTCGGGAGTGCCGACCGAGTAGGCTCCATTGAGCATGCCGGCAACGAAGACGAACCCGTCAGGATAACCCAGGCCCTCGGCGGTCCAGTCGCGCCAGACGAAGGCGCTGGAGGCATGGCCCAAGCCGCCTTCGCGGTTGGGCATCACTGTCACGACGATGAGGGTGATGAGGAAGCCGGCGAGGATGAAGAAGATGCCGATCTTGTTGAGATGCGGCATAGCCGAGTTGAACAAGCAGACGGTCGGGCATGCGATCCAGGTGATGATGACGTACGTAACGAAGACGTGCCACGCCTCGGAGACGAAGTCAGGGTGGTTGGCGGCGTACATCTGCACCAGGGTGTTGGACTGGGTGGGTTCGTCAGCAATAGCTCAGCGGGCAGGGGCGCCTAGGAACGTACCAAGATGGAGGTCATGGAGGCGGCGCCGAAGGTCCACGCCAGCCAGTTCCAGTAGCCGGCGAAGAAGCCCACGGGGCGCCCCCATCGCTTGCCTGGTGTCACTGAGGCCCATTGATAGACACCCGCGGAGGAGGGAATTGCGGAAGCGAGCTCGGCAATCGATGCCGCAACAAACCAGTAGAAGAATGATACGACGATGAACTCGAACAAGACACCTGTAGTGGGGTTAATGCAAGCCCAAGGGGTTTATCTGCAAGGCTTGTACGTACCTGGGGGACCACCATTGTAAATGGCGACTAGGATAGAGCCTCCGATGGCGGGCCACACGTTGCCGACACTGAGCCCGACGCCACAAGCAGACCACAGACTGAAGTTTCTATTGACCTCTTGCACGTGGCCCGAGGCGTTGATCAGATGCGAGTCAGGGACAGCTGCTTGGTGCTTGGGTGTCTCCTGCGAGCTGACCTCGTGCGAGTTGCTCTGATGCAGCTCTTTGTCCGCCATGGTGTGTCGGTCGTCCGGTACACAGAGTGTATACTGCTGGGGAAAAAAAAGAAGGTCGACAGGAAGGAAAACGTGCAGAGCCGCGACGAGTTCAAATGAAGATGGCTGACTGCCACCACGTCGTATCGTCGCTCTCAACAAACTTGACTAGTTGATCGAGCAGTGGACACCAATCGCGAAATTCTTACTCACTGCCACAGCACTGCTAGGGGCGAGCTAATGATTAAAAGGAAGTCCCTTGGAGTCCCTTGGAGCCACGAGGGTCCTTCGGCTCAGGGCCTCGGCAAAGCGTCCCTGAGGCCAGTGGACGGCGAGTGACCTGGGCTCGCTGGGGGGCCCGCCCGGGCACGATCCCTCCGGACGTCCGCCGTCCCTAATCCTTCATCATCCCGGTAGCCTAGATGCAACGTGGGTCTTGGCGATGAGATGAGGACATTCCACCAGGTGGCCAGCCCCCGTGCCACGGGAATTGGCCCCTCTCTAGCGAACAAGGACCCATTGCCACCGTTTGCCACCGATTGCCAGCGCGTGCACATCCCAGAGCCCCTTGAGCAAGGTTTGGTACTTTGCTAGGGTGCATTGTACTGAATGTATGCAGTGCCGCACTTTGCACAGGCGCACGAGCGAAAAGCTGCAGAAGAAAAACAGCCCCAAGCACCCGGGGCACCCCGAGCACTCGTCCTCGCGCAATGCCAAGTTCACACAATTCCTAATCCCGGGCGCCATCGGTTACGGAACCACGGTACCCTGCACGGAGTACCTGAACTTCTCGAGCTTCGGATGCCAGGCCTATCGCTGTAGCTGTCTGGGCATGAACTGTGATGGGCATGGTGACTTTCCCAATTCATGATAGAGACACTGGGCCAACTCCACCTGCAACACTTGCGCAAGCCATGTTTGCAAATGTATCACTGGATAATTAATGGTGTGTACTCCGTACAAACGAGTTTACCCCTGACTGCTTAACCTTGCCCGGTGCGACACTGCTAGCACAAGTAATATCGCTGACACGCGAAAAGGAGGGAGCATCACCTGTCTGTCCCTTGTGCCCGTTCCCATCCGCAGCGCTGGAAAAAGTCTGTTCAGACTGGCGCTGGGGATCGCCAAAGTTACGCTCTCCAAGAGCCCGACTATCGTACCCTTCCCACCAGCCAGCAGCTCAGAATTAATTTCTGGCTACATCTCCACCGAGTCAAGAATTGGCTTGCACTCTTGGCCCCTAGTCTTCTGTACGTAACTTTGGTAGCGGCGAAGCAAGCCCCCGTTGCTCTATGGAGCACTTCGCTTCTTGTGCAGTGCCAATCTCTGCCTCTTGCCGACGGCTAAACACCGTATGAGGACTCCTTGACTAGACAGGAGCTGGCTACGGGTCTGTCGGCACGTGGTAGGCCCCTGCACTATGTTGGTGATTGGGTCGGCTCACCATCTTGGACACCAACGGGCCCAGAAGAAACACGCTCAAGCATCCTGATCTGGAGGGAGCTCGGTTCGAAGGAGGTGCCACCGAATGATACCGAATACCCAAGCGATCTACTAGTCCCCGAGACTACAGCTTGGAGTCTCATCGCGATGTCCTGACCCAAGGACCCAGCCGAAGAGTGGTCTCCTCAGATAAGGTGGGCCATGAATCACTGAAAGATAGGATCATCCTCCTCGTGCTGGTCTTTTCCTTCGCTGTCAGGTCCCTTACTCCCCAGTGCCGCGTTGACCACAACAATGTCTAGCCCCAACCCCGGCTTCGTGGAGGAGTCATGGTCGCTGTATGGAGTGGGCATGGTGCTCATCGTCCTACGACTGTGAGTCGACATTGATGAACCACATATCACCCCACCATATGCTGATTGTTCCATAGGATTGCCCGCATACGACGTCTCGGTATCCTCGGCCTGCAGCTCGATGACTACGCTGTTGCTTTCGGTGGTATCTGGTACACGATACTATGCATATCCTTCAACAAGATGTTGACCAGCGGTGGCTCCAACTTGCTGACCCCGGAAGAGATTGAGGCCTTGACACCCGAGTCCATCGATGCGCGTGTGGAAGGGTCGAAATGGGTCTTTGTGTCAGAGCATGCCCAGCTGCTGACCATCTGGAGCATGAAAGCTGCTATGCTGTGTCTCTATGCTCGCATTACCTCGGGCAGCAACCTGGTCCAGAAACGACTTCTGAAAGGCGTCGCTGTCTGGGTTGGCTGCGCTTTCGTCGGCGACGAGCTGGCCTTGTTCCTCATCTGCAGGCCTCTGAATCAGTACTGGGCTGTTCCGGCCGCGAATAGTGAGTTTGTACCACAGTGTTGCCGCGCAGAGACTAATAACCCCTGAGTACAATGCTCGACATACGAATACTACCAGATCGTCAATGCCATCTTCAACATTTCGACCGATGTCTTGATCCTGGCGATTGGCATCCCCCCGGTAATGAAGGCGAGACTGTCCGTTCAACAAAAAGTTGTGCTGGGCATCATTTTCGGCATGGGTGCCTTTGTGATCGTCGCAGCCATCCTCCGGGCAATTTACTGCTTGGTACCGGCGCTCGTGTCATACGTCTACATGAACTGGTACTTCCGTGAAGCCTCGGTCGCCGTCTACGTGACCAATCTCCCCCCGATATGGGCCTTGTTGCGGGAACTGTTCCCCAAAATCCACGTGCTGGGATACAGCAATCGCAAAACGACGGCTTCCAAGTCTGGGGGACCAACTAGCAACGCCAATTGGGCCACGGTGCGGAGTGAGAATCGAACGCGAAATAAAGACTTTGATTTTGACCTCGACACCGTCCCAATTAGCAAGGGGGCCATGGTGTCGACCACAGACCACGAGCTCGGGGAGCGAAACCTCAGCCGCGCCGACTCGCTGCCGGGTGAGGGCTCGTCGACAAGCTCTACGCGACACATGACCAAGCATGAGATTCGACGCGATGTTACCTTTACTGTCGAGCACATGTCGGCGGACGAGTATGAGCCGAAGCACGATACTCGAAACCGCTAGGAGCCCCTTCGGTGGGTGCTGCTAGAGGAAACGACCTGTACGACTACGAAAAGAAGCGATCACCAGTTCGATAGACAGCTGCTTATGCCTTTTTGTTATGCCGCATGAATGTATAGTGTATAGTGGAATACAGTGAAAATTCAATGGCGTTCTATTCAAGCACATGTCGTTATCGTACTGGCGGGCTCCAAGCCCGAAGTGCCGGGCAACTGCAATTTGTGTGTCCGAGAATAGCGTGTATGACTGTGCATTTCTCCAGCAAATCGACTAATTGCTTACCCGGGGCCATGGCCATCCTGACCGTGTAACACAATCGAGGACGAGGTACATCCTACAATGGTCCAGATGTATGTTGATGACGTCTCGCGAAATACGATGGAAGCTGCTGGGCCATCGCGCCCAAAGAACAGTATACCCATTGCCGCAGCAACCCGTATCGCCACCGCCGTTCTGCCTTGTGGTGTGGCCTCGTGTGCGTCGTTGCTGCCGATGCTAGGTTGGATAGTGAGTGAGTGACTGCCGACCGCGCTTGACTCGGCTAGCCTTCCCTAGAAAGAATGCCGAAGGGTCGCCTAAACTCAACTAAGATTGGTGCCTAACCTCACCGGGACTGATCTATCTTGCCCTCCGTACCGACACTTTAATCAATCGACCTAGATACTATCTTACTACCTCTGACACAGTCCGTCTCCTACAAGAGACCTAGTTGCATCTTGAAGTACACTCTGGCTCCTTCTGTAGGTGTCGCGATGCATCTTGGCACCTTTTCTCGTCGGTGAATCGGGTAGCGAGTCTTCTTCTGCCTCGATCTCTGGTCCTGTTCATCTGGTCAACCAATCTGAGTCCTCGGGCAGTTCTCACCACTTTCTGCACACTACAACCGACGCAACAAGCCGTCCTGCAGCATGAACATTGCACACCACTGGTGGTCGGAACTCGCCGTCTCCTGCTCTTGATGAGCCAGTTCCTCCATTCGACTCCGGCATCTTTTAGGCGGCACATAACGTCTAGTGGCCGTTGATCGTCTCGGACCATGTGGTGCCAAATTTGCACAGCAGTGCTCAAATGCCGAGCACTCTGTTTCACCATGTCAATGCCAACCCGCGACTCCAGCCATCTCTGCGCTCTATTGCACTCGAGCGACAGATTTGTCATGGTCCCAGTTCTGCTGAGGACGCTCGGACTGTGGCGCCCACATGGTGATTTGACAGCGGGTTCGGCTGCAACTATCCGCGTGCTTCTATCTCGAAGTGCTTGAGTCGCATGATGCCAGTGCCGCCACGGTATCTGCACATTGCTGCAGCTCATGTTACTGCAGATGCGCGTTGTGAGTATGGGCTGCCACTAACAACTGCTACAAGTGGCCGTTGACCTTTGCAGACGAGCTATGCCGTCACAAACAGCCGTAGAGCAATCAGACCTTCTGCTTCAAACAACACTCCAGCAATCGAGTAGCACAGCCCACGACCCCCAAGTTTGCTTCTTTCCATGTCCATCGCCGTCCATTGAGCTGCTACTTCGGCCATGGGCCGTGAACGCTGGCGCACCGTCATACCAGCCATGCCAACCCTCTCGAGCTCCAGGTGGGTGGTCCTGAGCTATGGTCCAGGGGTTGTCGTTGCAAGCTTTTGGTTTCAGATTACTGCCGAGCTTCGAGAGCACCCAACATGTCCTTCCCTTTCATGATAGCTGCGGATCAGACAATGCTACTTGCCGTGAGGCTATCCGCCTTTGAGCATCATGTTCTCTGGTTATGTTGCCATGTTCATCCCAACCGCGGCATTTGATAAATGGGCATTCATCGGTTCGTCCTGCATGCGTCCTCGAAGCCTCGAGGTACCTATTCGCCGTTCAGAGTATCCTTTGTCACGTCCCTTCCTTCTCACGCACCCACTCGATGCGGAGCACTGCCGCCTCCACCCCGAGCCCGTCCCATGAGCAAGGCTGCAGGAATTCGAGGGGTCGCACAGCTTCAGATCTGTCGACCGGCTCCTGATTCCACCTCCTTGTCCAGTGGTAGCATTCCGCACAAACCTAGCAACCTCAAGAGCCGCAGGCTTGCCTTCGTTCGTTTGATGAAACATCATGACTTTCCAGCGACAGCGATTGCCAGCACGGGTACTGCTTCTCCAGTAGCTGCGCGTCTGGTCTTGAGCGTGTTTGTACGGCGAACGGGGCCTGGTCTTTCGTACTATATCGACTTTTGACTCCATGCACAGCGGTCGGTATTGTCCGACATTCTCACTGCCAGCGTTTTTCTTCTGTGCTTCCTCAATGAAGGTTTCCTGATGACCGGCTCGATGCGCTTCGAGACGTGCTGTCAGATTTCTCAGACGCCCGCGTGCATGACTTGTCTTCATGCCGTTGAAACGCCCGCCACAAGGAAAAGGAGGCTCGGCGCGCCTGCAATGCCCGGGCTGTGCTCGATTGAAGTGCAGCAGCGTCATCACAACAGTCAACGGGCCTTGTTGCAAGAGCATGGAACCGTGACAGCTTCAGCAGGTCACCAGCACACTCACTGCGCGCCACTCACCCCACGGGATCGTGCACTCCAATATCATAACCCCGGCTTCTTAAACCCCCTTGGAAGTTGCAATCCGACCAGCCCCTGGAGCGCAGGACCTTTGACAGTTATGCAGTCGCCGTATGAGCCTTTTCGATCTGCCATGGGCACATTCGACGACCCGTACTCTGGACCAATGCCAAAGGTGGATGGATCTGTATGCTTCACCCACGAGCAAACGATGGCGCCGTTACATTACCCGCGTCGATCCCCCGCCACAAGGCCCGTTACTTATACGCCGGCAGAGACTTTGCGACGGCAAGGTACCCCTCTCTTGACACGAGACTCGGGCTCTTCTAGCGGTTCTTCTCTCTTCGCACCTACTCCGACTCCTCCGCCCCGGAATCTTTACGGACAATGGATGCTTCCAGCGGAGGATGCGCAAGATGGCAACAGCAACTCTATGCCCTCCGATAGAGCTTGGAGCTCGTCGCAGAGTCTTCATAGCTATAGAGCGTTGGCTCCGAAGATCCAGGATTCTTCGCTCGCGGTAACGTCAGGGCTTTGGCATGAGGAGGGACAGGGAGGCTCGAACACAGCTGCAACGATATCGTCAGGAAGAGACCAGAAACCTGGATTGTATAGCTCAAGAGCTCTAGCGCAGACTGTTGGAGGTACTGGGATAGTGGCCGAAATAGTTTCGCAGCAACCGCTTCTGCATGATCAACCCACCTTGGCCGGCAAGCAGACCTTAGCACAGTTTCGGGATGCAACCAAACCAGCTACCATCCTCACCGACAGCACCGTGCCAAAAACAATCCCAGTGGCGACAAGGGACGACTTTGCGGGTGGTAGTGGAAATCTCCCAGGCAACAACTGCGTTGCAAGTATCGGTAGTCCGCGATCAGACCTCAACGCCGACCCTGCCAACGACTTCGATTTCCTTCTTGACAAAGACATCCTCCACAGACCTGCGACGGCAAGCATAGATCACGATCGTTCTGGCAACATCGAACCCCTCCTCACCTCCAGTATGACCAGCATGCCCACGTTGCAAGGCTTTGGACCGATCTCAACCAACCGACAATCTCGACGACCGTCAGACCCACATTCGAGTCATTCAGCCCCTACAGCGTTTGCCAGTATGCTGTCTTTGCAAGACGTCGAGGCAGACGACATGGTCCCCGGAGAGAGAAACGAGCCATGGATGGGCATTGGCGCGCTCGCAGCCCCGACAATCCAACGAAAGCACAACCTCGAAGCGTCACCACTCAATGGGGCCCTCTTGTCGACAAACGGTACCGATATCGCCATGCCACACTGGCCAAACGACGACACATTCTTTCCAGGTCACATGCAAACGCAGCCCTGGACGTACCAGAACCAATTCGACCCCTCGACTTTCAGCGCCTTCAGCGCCGACAACAACAACGCCTTCTCCTTCGACAGCCAGCCTTTCGACCTGCTCGCCTCCTCTGACTTCGACACCCCTTTCCACGCCGCGCCTCTTCCCGCACCTCCCGTCGACCCCTACCACAACACGCTCTCCCACGTGTCCACCGGCACGGGCCCCACCACGCTCCTCGACTCCGACGAGCACGGTCGCCGAGACACCCGGCGCGACGACGAACTCCTGTCTCTCCGCGCCCAGAACGTCTCGTACCGCGAGATCAAGGAGAAGCACGGCTTCAAGGAGGCCGAGTCCACCCTTCGGGGTCGGTACCGGACCTTGACCAAGAACAAGGACGACCGCGTCCGGAAGCCGGCTTGGAAGCCTGAGGACGTAAGTATCGCCCTTTCTTTTTCCCCCCAAGCACCAAGGGGGTCGCTGAAAAATGCCGGGCGGCCTCCCTGGCCACTCAGCCGCGACCTATCGGGCCTGCCCTGTTGTGCCCTCGAGGAGTCCTCCCCTTGATTTCGTCGACCCTTCCAAAGTTCGTTCTTCTTTTTTAGTTTCCTTGACTGATATCTGTTGTAAATATAGGTCCAGATCCTCGTCGCCGCCGTACACAGCTACGCGCAGGCCAACGACCTGCCCGACAAGGTGACGTGGGTCGACGGCATGGGCTTCCTGTCGGACGATAGCGCCGTGGGCAAGATCGCCTGGAAGAAGGTGGCGGAGATGATGGCGGGCATGGGCTGCTACCATTACGGCAATGCGACGGTCAAGAAGAAGTACGTGCAGCTGAGGCAGGAGATGCTGCAGGGAGGGAGTGGAGGTGGTGGTGGTGGTGGTGGTGGATGAGGTTTGTGTTTTGTGTTTTCTTTTATCGTGGGTTGAAGAAAGCTGAAGGTCTAGCACGGTTGTTTGTGGCTAGGCTGTGTACTTCTCATGGAGCGCTGTTGCGCAATTGCGCATGTCAGCGCGGTGATTTAGTGGACGCGGCATGTCAGGAACTTGGTTGAGATGTGACTAGAAGCACAGCACGGCACGGCACGGCACGGCACAGAAGTGTACGATACGACGGCATAGATCAGGAGACTGTGGTGCACAGCACACCACACCTGTAACAACAGTAATGACAATGGGCATAGAGCTGTGCCAAATACCGCCGTAAACCTCCTCATTTACACACAATGCTCCTCGGATGTGCACAATAGCTTGCCTCGCCTCTAACAAAGCCTGTCTACTTTCACGGCATGGCACAGTACACTCAGGATGCAGCACGAGAAGGCTCCGGAAGTGCTAAGCATAACGCCAGACTCCAGCCATGGGAGGTTTTGATGTATCAATCAATCAAGCAGTCAGTCAGTCCCTCTCATTCAGAAATCGATGGCTCGTTAGTTGACCTCGACCTTATCCTTAAATGATCCCGTGTAGTATTTGATTGTCCACTTCTGCGAATTTTGGACTGTGTCCATCCGCTTCTCGGTTTCCGAATGGCTCTTCTCGCCCGAGACTTTGCCATCAAGTTTCCCTTCAACCTGTGCAAGGCCTTTCGCCCACTTCTTGAGAAACCCCAACAGTGCCTCACCGGCCTCCACTTTGATACCTAACCCGATCTCGCCGCCTAGCTTCCATCCGTCATTGATTACCGTGGATAGTTCCGAGCCCGTTGATTCGTTAACCTCCACGGACTCGAAAAGCGCGCGGGCGGTGGCTATCACCGACCCATTCGAATCTAGCAACTTGTCGTCGATCTGCAACAGAAGTGACTTCTCGATCCAGTCCGGCTTCGCTGGTGTGTCAAAGCCGTCGTAGATGAAGCCCTTAACCCGCAGCTCATAAAGGCTACCACTGCGCCCAAGTGTCCGTGGAAAGGGGAATCTGACAATCCCCGCTTCAGCCAGTCGAGACTCTCCACTGGCTAGCTCAACGAGTCGGTTCTCTTTGTTGTCGACACGAGTCTGGCCCAAGAAGCACCACCACTGGCCAGCCAATGGTTTGTCATCGAATCCGAGCAGGCGCACCGTCAATCCATACATTCTCTCTGTCGGCCCGGGAGACCGACCACCAGGAAGTCTGCGAGTACGTTTCTTGACACCGTCCCTCTTCTCCTCCGGGCTGATGTTCCCTTTCTTCTCCTCCTCTTCCAGCACTTTGGTGACCTCTCTACATTCCTTCGGAGTGATATCGTCGCTGTTTCTCGGTTGAATGGGAGGTACTCCATTGGATTCCGCATGGATATCCTTTGCGATCTGGCTGATTGACTCAGGGTCTTTAATCAAACCCTTGTTAACGGAGCGCTCCAGTGAAGCCAACTTGCGATCTGCATCCCCGGTCGCCGCTGCCTTGCTCGCCATTTCGGCCATTTTTAGTGCTGCCGCCTGGTTCAGAGCGTTCGTTGCAAGCCCAGAAGCTGTGTCCAGCCCTTGGGCTGCCAGCGTTTGGGTCCCTGCCAGGCCAGCCATGTCTCGGAACGCGTTAGCATTACCGACAGCGCCGAAAATTCCTCCAAAACCCTGTGCTGGAGGCGCGGGATTGGCATTCTGGAGATTGATGAGTGTATCCGGAAGTTTGGTCGGCGTTGTCCCAGTATTCGGGTCTCCTCGGCGAGAGGTGAGCAGGTTGGGGTCGATGGTGCCGAGCTCGGGATCTGGATTGTTCAATGCCCAATCGAGGCTTCCGTAATGTTCCTCAAGAGCTTCGCACTCATCCATGAGAGTCTGTGCATACAATCCGTCGGTTGGCAAGCTGATATGCATCGGATCAGTAGGCGGTCCGCTTGTTCGATACCAATTGTCAAGCTGCTCGGCGGTCTGCAATTCAGGCGTACCCAGAAAGCATCCGGCCGATACTCGAAATATGAGAGAATTGCCAGCCACGCCAATCGGGTTCTTGTCGACAATGCTCGCGATACTGGTCGGTGGTTGAAATTTCGGTACATAGAAGCCATCTAGGAGCATGAAAAGCCGGTCACGATCCATATACCACCATATCATCCGATGATAGTATTCGACATGCTCGTTCAGGTGTTGCAACAGCTCAACAGTGTCGTGAACCAATTCGATTCGGAGGTTCTGGGTTTCAAAGAGTGTCAGAGGTGACTGCAGAGCAGCACCGTTCCGGTCAACCGCCCCACTCGTTGAATCAACCAGATCATTGGCACCCTGACTCAGGGAAATGGAACGAGTCAGATGATCAGTCTGATAGGTGTATTTGATGCTCCTAACATTGGCAATAGAGCCTGGCAGAAGATCGCTGGAAGCCTGAATGACAAGCGTGGTCAATTTTGCCCGGGTAAGGTTCATACTGCTCGTGTCCACCTGAAAGTCTACCCGGACTTGTCTGCCAAAAGCATAAGGCGTGGCTAACGTGAAGTCAGCTTCCAGGTTCTGATTGTCGATGCCCAAGAGCTCCAAGGTATTGCACCATTTAGCTGCGATGCCTGGGGCGTATCTGCGCTGAAACTCGGATTCGCGGCCTGCTTCGACTACCGCTGCCAAAGATTGCCATGTCGCTTTCGCTGGTAGTCCCAAGAAGGGCGTCAGCGCGGTCCAGGCGCTTTGGTTGAAGGCTCCATGCTCGTTGTCGCTGGGTTGGGCAATACCAAGTTCAATGTACACAGATCCATACATGGAGCGTATTGTGTGATCAGCACGGCGACCTGCTGGAATGGTGGACCCCTGAAACCCGGAGAGTACGTCACGGAGATATGCCATTGCGTGGTTGAAACGTCTGAGTATGTCATCATCAATTGCTCCACGGGCGAAGCGGCAACTTACCTGTCTTTCAGCACCTGACGGATGGTTTCCCTCCAACGATAGATTCGTGCCATGGTGAAAGGTTTCATCGTGAAAGGAACAAACAGACATTCTCTTACCCCAGCAAACTCGGTATCCACTCGTTGATGCCTCAATATGTTGTGGTATATGACGGTCAGGCTGTGCGCATAGTTGATGTTTCGGATGACCTCGACCGTCCCAGTCACATCCTCATCCTGAGTTACTTCCTGCACCACTGTGCTTTCGAATTTCCGGACGGACTCTCCATGCCGTTGGATAGCGTCTCGCCATTGACTTTCCTCTTTCGCTGTTGCATTTCTGCCCCCGGACTGCTCGCTGCTGGAAGTCGCAAAGGACGCAGCTGCGCCACCACCTACGGCGACAGGGAGCTGACCCAGGATGCCCCCGGCAGCGAAGGCTGCGGCTTTGACGCTGCTGTCCGAACTGCCCTGAGCCCACTCGCTAAGATTCGCAGCTACTGCATTCTCGTAAGATGATTCGTGGTTCACAGAATCCGCGACGGTTTCTTGAAAGTCCTGGGCTTCCACTCTAGAAGCACTCTCTCTTCTCGCCCAGGAGATTTTCTGAATACCTGCAACAATCAGAAAGAACGACTCTCAAGATCACACCATACAACTTACGCCTCGTTTGACGAGGTGCTAGAGTCAGAGTCTTCGCCACACCACCTAGACTATAGCCATTGCTTCGAGTACGGACACGGAACTCTAGTACGTGTCCTCTGGCAACAGTAGTGGCTTGGTACCTAATACTTTCGCCGTTCCACTGCAGAGGCTGTGCGGCACTCATCTCGATACGTTCATGAGTCAGCTTGCTCCAATGCGCTTGCAGGTCTTCCGGGGGATGATCAATGTACGTGGCCAGCCCTTTACTGAAATTGGTGAATATCCCCCTGCCGTTCAGAATAGCAGGAGGCGCAACGAAGACCGGCGCCACGGCAGCAGCTCTCATGGATACTCGTGGCGGGTGGCTAGAAGATGTGGTAGATGCTGAAGAGGTGGCACTCTCCCTGATAGCCTCCAGCATCTCTTCGGGAGGGTCGAAGTCCAGCTGTGCAGGCTCCTCGAGTTTGGCCGTTGCTTCAGCTGAGATAACGGGCGCCTCGATTCGGAGGATAGAGAAGAACGATCTTTCGGACAGTATCCTCTGAGGGTTGCTGAACGGTCGGCAGAAAGCTCCAGGATCTTCAGTATAGATATCGGGGTTCGCTGCGAGTTCTGCAGCCGAAACGTTAAGCGGGACTCTGTTTCTCCCTTGTATCACTGGCTGGTGGCTTGAAGACGCTGGGATTTGGCTGCTAGTAACGAGGCTGCCAGTACCATTTTGTTGTTCTGGTGTTTTGGGGCGAGGCAGGAAGATTGAGCGTGTCTTGTCAATCGACTGGTCGAGAGCCTCGATTACAATTCCCAAAAAGGGGGACTGTATGCCCCCACCAAACAACATCCATGCCCATGCGTTCCATGGGCCTGGTTTGAAAGTTGCTGTGAACCTGCCATCGACGGCCACCCGCATGAGCTCCCAATTCAAGGCCAAGATAGCCCCAGGCACGTCAGACTCTAGTGTCTTTGATGCTGTGGAAAGTTTCGACTGCGCTTTCCATAACTCGTCGAATCCAGAACCTGCCCATTGTTTTGGGGCCGCATCTAGGTCCCAAGGTGCTCTTTCATTTGCGGAAGTCGGTCTGCCGGGGGGAAGGTCAGTGAAGCGGATTGGAACGACCAGCAGCTGAGCGAGTGAAAAGTTGATGGGCTGTATCGACGGATTCAGTGATACAAGTCGGGCCCGTCGTTTGATGTCACCTGGGACAACCTGGGGTTGCGGTGGAACAGTCTTAATAAGCTCAACTTCGTCCTCCTCCACTTTAAGAGTTCTCTCCAGAATATCTTGAGGAATAGTTCCATCTGTGTTTCCAGCTGGAGGCTTCTCTTCCCTCAGAACGACCTTCTTTCGTACCACAGGCCGGCCGTCTGCGTGGAGGAAATTGACTTGCACCGGCTCATCGATATCAACATTTTCCAGAAGAACAACCTTCTGAAACTTCCCGTCTACAGTATACCTCTGGGCATCATGAATTAGTAGCGGAGGCTGTGGTGATGTTGAATCGCCGGGTGTGCTAGGTTCTCCAGCTTCATCGCCTGAGTTTGCAACGAATTGTCGTCTGAAGATGACATCAAAGATGAAGTTTCTCGAACCCGATTGTTCGTCTCCAATATTTTTCTCTGGTGCGATAGTCAGCTTGACCTTGCGAAGGGTAGCGTTCGTTGCCATTATTGACGAAGCCAGACACGGGTTGGGTGGATTGAATCGGTTGTCGGTGCTTTATGTCCTGTCCTGTGGTGGACGAGCATGGACTGGAGCTGGTAACACATATATAGGTGACGATGCATCCTTTTTTAGACATCCTCCGACATTTTTGGTGAGTCTCCTGACCGGTGAGCATGGCATCTGCTGGGCCCTCGTACACACTATGTTCCACAGCGTCCTGGCGCAGGAAGGCATGCCAGCAGCTGAGGCGGTGTCGACGCGCGAGGCTTTCGGGTTTCGAGGCTCATTGTCCTAGCCTGTAGCATTTCGAGTTGGGCTGCAGTGCAGGAAGGCCAAGAGGATTGGTACGAGACTGTACAGTAGTGAGAGAGAGGACAATGCGGAGGACGATATGTCGTGCCGCCATTGGCTTGGCAGCTGAAATCGATACGATGAGATACATGGTATGCTGCAAAGCTTGAGAGACAGCACTCGTTCAAAGAGGAGGCCGGACGCTTGAGTTGGATTTTAGTAAGCTGAGCTTGTCGTATTCCGTAGAACTATTGCTGAGATATGAGTAGGGCAGGAGCGACCTTGCGGAAAAAAGCGAATCCAATTGCCATCACTGCCACACCAAGCCCGAAGCGGCCTCCCTCCCAGATTTGCGTAGACGCAGTCAAAGAGAGGAAGGACCTACCTCCCAGGTCCTCCCCGTGGCCGGTCTGATGTGTCAACTTGTTCACCATACTGGATGAAATGTCAAAAATGGTCTGCAATGACTTCGAATGCCACATTGTTGGCGGCGCGTCAGCTTCTGTATTCAGTGGCACACCTGCCAGTGACACGCTCCATCGTGTCGCTCTCATGATGATATTCGAGTCTGTTACCTTCACTCTTCCTGAGGCAGATAAAGCTCTTGCAGCCTACCTCGTGAAGAACATGATGCTACCGTCTGTGTTGAAGGCTGAGCCCCTCAAGCCACTGCCGGCGATGATTTGCCAAAGCAATGGTCATTTGAAACGGACCACCCAGCATCTGATGCGCCATTTGACACCTCATACAACCACACCGATGTCTTGTGCCATCCGCCAACAGAAAAGAACATCAGATCATGCAAGACACCGAGATGCGGTCAAGACAGCCCCTCGAAGGTATACATGACAGACGCGGAGGCGCTCGAACCCCACGAGGCGCCATGAAAACAGGGGTAGATCCCTGCCACCCAGACGTCATGCTTGTGCAGTTGCTCATATGACGCTCCAGCTAACAAGGAAATGCGATTATTCTTTAATTTACAGCATTCTGCACAGCCTCGAAGCAAGCAATCTCACTGAAAGCAGGACAAAATTCCTACCGTTAACCAGGATCAGCTGTAGTCAACGTTGGACGCACTCTTTCAAGGCCAAACGTGCGCCATGCCCGAAGAACCTGGCGGTAGCGTAGGCGGCATCAAACTACCCACGGAAGAGGACCTCAAAAATCTCCCCAATGATGAACGCCTGCGACAAGCCGCCGAAGTCGCGGGTCAAGCAGCCTCCGCTGAAGGTCTCGTCAACAGCCTGAAGAAGAAGGCGGCCGCCATCACGAATCCCAAAGAACGCGAGCGGATATTGACAGAGGCCTACAACAACGAAGTCAAAGCAAAGGGCTTGAGTAAAAAGGCCAAGATACTGCAGAGTGGCGGATTCCAGGGTGTCGTGGCTGGCGGCGGCATCGGGGCCGCCACGGGCGTCGGACTGGGCACCGCCGTTGGTACGCTGGTTGGAACCGCAGCCACCATACCAACGACACTGGTGGGCGGACTAGTCGGCGGGGGCGTCGGCCTGTTCCACGGCCCGTGGATCAAATTCGGCGGCAAGGACGGCAAGGAGGAAGTCGTGCAGGTACCGCAGGAGTCGATCGACAACGGCGCGGTGCTGGTCGACGACAAGACCGGCAACGTCACCGTCAAGGATCCCGCCGCGCTCAAGGACGCCGCGGCCGCGGCAGAGCAAGCTGCGAAGGTCTCGGCGGCTGCGCAGAAAGACCACCAGCCTGAGGAGAAGCGCAAGCCGAAGAAGCTCGAGATCCGGTCGAACAAGCAGGGTGGTGCTGCCGATAAGGCGGCTCCTTCGCCTCCGACCGCCAATGGGGACAAGGGGGAGAAGAAGAAGCCGAAGAAGCTGGAGGTGCGGTCGAAGAGCTCGACTCCTGCGTCGTGACGACGGCTTTCAGAGTTGAGCGGGGGATCAAGACCCTTTCCACATCACGAGCGTTCAGCATTTGTTGCAGTTATTGCATGAGATTTTCTGCATTTCAACGTATTCTTGCGCACCTTACACGTCTCCTCTAAAAGCGATCTCAGCATGGTTGGTTGGGGCGACTTCGTCAATACGTGCAAAATCTCTGTTTCAGGGCAGTTGGTGTTTAAGGCGTTTGGCAAAGTCTACCGCCAACGACCCAGGTCGGTGGCCAGGGAAGAAATCCACTTGCGCTCAACAAGCCTCACTCTTAAGCCTCACCGGTACTCATGGTACTCACGGACGACCCTCACATGCGAATGATGATGATCCCGGCGCCGACGCTCCCGCTCCCGCTCCCGCTCCCTCTCCCACTCCCTCCTCCCTCTCTCAGCATCACACCTCAAGCGCCGCACATCCCTCCTCTGCCTTGCCACCTCTCGCTCCCTCTCCCTAAGATCCCTCTCCAGGCACCTCCTCTCCCGCTCCACTTGCTCGCGCATCCTCTCCGCCTCAGCAGCAGCAGCAGCAGCAGCAGCACCACCCCCAACGATGCCAAGCTTGAGCTCGGGCTTGGACTTCACATTCAGCTTCAGCACCAGCAGCTCCTGCACCTGCTCCCTCAGCTCCTCCACGCCACTCCACACCCTGCTCCGCACCTCGACCGCCCAGTCACGCTTGACGTCCCACGCCCGCCCCTGCTCGCGCGACAGCACGTCGTCGACCACGCGCTTCACTCGCTCCGCCGCCACGCCAATCGTGACCTCCACAGCTTGGGCCTCGCGCCCCGCGGCTTCTAGCGCTCGGGTGTCTTCCCTGGCGAGGAAGGCCTGCTGCTGCTGCAGGCGCATGACGCGCTGCTCGAGCTGCGTGACGCGCGCGCTTAAAGTGGAGAGGTCGGAGAGGGTGCCAGTTACGAGGCCCAGGCGGGGGTGCGTGGGCGTGTAGTGCAGCGTGGTGAGGAGGAGGTCTTGCAGGGCGGTGAGGGAGGTGGTGAGTGTTGTTGAGTGGGTCTGGGCGCGGGTGAGGTGGGACAGGGCGGAGTTGGCGTCGCGGTGGGGATGTGGACTGGGGGATCTACGCTTGGCTCTGGGGGAGAGAGGTGGTGGATGCGCCGATTCAGGGCGTTGGTGTTGGTGCGCCGCGGGTGAAGGTGTGCGCGCTCGGTGGCTTGGGTTTGGTTTCGGACGGCGGGCCGATGGGCTACGGGCTCGTTCGGGAGAGGGAGACCTGTCACTGCCTCGTCGGCCAGCTTGTCCATTGCGTCGACGCGGAGGTGGGGTCCGGCTCCGACGAGGCTGGTCCCGCTCGTCACCAGCTCGCCGCCCTTGCGCATCGCGATGCTGGGCAGCAGCAGCACGACGCACCCGCTCCGCCGCCTCCTTTGTGGCACGATGCAAGTCATCATTAGCCTGCTCTCTAGCCCTCCGAGCGTCACGCCTTTCTTCGTCCGCAGCCGCGCGGTAAGCGCGCTCTTGGGGCTTGTCGACATGTTTGTGGTTCTGGGGAGCGTCAGCATTGCGATTGCGCCGGTGATCATAAGGTTGCTCCTTCTGCTGCTGGTGCTGGCGCCCAGGGTCTTCCCGCTTTGGGTCAGATGGTGTCGCAGGAGCGCTATGTCTGCGGGCACGAGCAGCCTTGGCTTCAGCTTTGGCTTCTCTCTTCTGCTCCTTACGGTATTCTTCAGCCGCCTCTGGGTCCGTCAACCTCTCGTAGGCCTTCTGAACTTCTTTGAACTTCTCGGCGGCAACTTCCGGATCCTCAGGATTCTTGTCTGGATGATACTGCAGGACCAGTTTTCTGTATGCTGCTTTGATAGCAGCTTCTGTGGCGTCTGAGCCGATGCCCAGAATCTCGTGTGGTGTTGGCATGCTTGTGCTTACCAAAGAAATTGAATTAGTTTCAGGGCTTTGACGCCGCAAGTTCGGGGTTAATGTGGTCAATATGTGGTGGAGAGTTGGGGGCAGTCTCATCGGAGCAACAATGGACAACAATAGGGCTTTGTCAAGGCGGGTATTCGCGCTTTATTCGAGGCCATTATTGTACAATGACATATTGAAGCTGCCTCCTTCTGGACTGGGTACCAGAACAAAGAGTTTGGCCCGTCCAGCCACGAGGGGGATGGACGAGCAGGTAGCATGAGGCACCCCAGGGTGACTCAAGCAATACTCTCGAACCGTTCTTGATCCGAGGGAGGATTAAATCCACCCAGCCAATAATTGTCCATGAGATGGGCACCGGCGGGCACAATCATGTATTTCTGTGGGCATTGAACCTGAGTTAGTCAAAAGTCGCGAAGTCCGGGGACTGCTTAGCCAAAGACCCGACTTGCGCTGCACGACCGATACGACTGTGTCGCTCTCATGACGAGTTGCTGCTAATGATGCTGCAATGGAACATGGGTTCGGCAGGGTCCGGATGCTGGGTAAACTTACAAAAGGAATATTGCCTTCAGTGAGCAGGCCAATATCGGTGATAAAAACACGATAGTCGGTGCTGTCTTCGGCAAATCTGGCGTCGACTTCATCTTGGAGGGCATTGTGCCTTTCTGCGATGCGCGCGGCCACCTGGCTGTCCCAGACACCTTCTCTCCTATTGCATGAGCGAAGAAGGCGCAAGGCCTCTTCGCGAAGCTGTGGGTTTCTTGCCCGATGGGCAATCTCAAAAAGGACGGGGACAACTCCAAGAGAAATGGAGAAGACTGGCGAAGGAGCAGAAGGTCTGATCGGCTGAGTGACGGCTTCGCCGAATGACGATGATTGCCATCCAGATTGCGACTGAAGAAACACCTCAGCAAGTTTGAGAATACCCATGATTTCAGGTTCGAAAGAGTCAACAGATGGTATTTGTTTGTCGAGTGAGTCAATAACGGTTCTCATGACCGATTGATAGATCTTGAGTAGCAGTAAGGCTTTATGCTGTTTGCCGTCGCTGCCGGTGATGATGGTGTCAATCCGACTGACTGCCTCATCCCACAAGTAGAACCAATCGCGAATAGCAGTAAATTCTGGTAGCAAAGGCTCTGGTACCTCGGCAGGCACGTAGACCATATGCTGACAGGCAGTATGGAAGCGGTCAGAAAACCCAATCATTTGGTTAAGCAGGATCTGAAGGTATCGCATGGCTTCTTCCACGTCGGAGAAATGGTCTGGCAGCGGTGGAAATTTTTGGGCCACGTCGGGGTAGACTCTGAAGATGCTCAGATCCTCAAGTTCCATGACCTGGGTTTGCAGTGCCAAAAATATGCTCGGGAGCATGTCGTCCGGAATGGCGGCTGAGCTTGGGTGACAGCCCTGCCGACCTCTGGCAATTATCCTCAGGCCGGACAAAGCATGCTGTAAAGACTGTTCGAAATCTCCCTTGAGGCCTTCTAGCGCACAGAACATGACACTGGTTAACAGTAAAGCATCGAAGGACTCGTCAGGTGCTGTAATTCGGATGGCGTTGCGAATCGACTTGTTGTAGTGGTGCATGCTGAAGTCAGAGAGCAGCGCTTGGGATGTGTCGGGGCTCGAAAAGTACTCGTGCATGCTACTGAGAGCAAAGATTCCATGACGCACCGCTGGTGAGCGCTCGGCGACTTGCAAGATGATTCGGGACCACAGTTCGGAACGAAAGGGACTTGGTATCTCTTCTGCCGAGCGATGCTGGAAGTGGTGCAGAGAACGGCGTTCAGACCGGGTGAGGCCAGGAAAAGGGGTAGGTTCTTTCTGCGCAGCATATACGACGAACTTGACTGGATCATCTGGCTTGACTGAGGGGTCGGTGTAGTGGCATGGTCGCTTCGCCTTGATGCATCTTTGGCAGTGTGGAAGGGCTTCATCACACTTGACGTGACGCAGTTTGCTATATTTATCGAGCAACATGAGTCAGTCGTCGAGGTCAAGATAGATATTGAAGATTCTGGCAGAAACTTGAGCACCTGGCATGAACATCAAGCTGGCTATGACGGTGCTGTTCCAACATCCCCCCTTGAGCGGTAGCCTGTGCGAGAATGTCGAGATAGCAACTTCCCTAGCTCGGAGCAAATAGGAGATCGAGGTACTTACCATGTACGGCAGCCGGCATGAGAGCGTGGTCCTTGGACTCGGAGGCCTTTGTTTGGGCGAACGACCATAGTCATTCTGGGCGGGTGCTAGGAGGTTGGCGGGGGACTTGTCCCAAAGGAGAATGATATTGCGCTGCTCATAGACAATTCTTGAGCACAGCGAAGGACTGAGCTGGCACTTCAGTATCGTCGAGCTTGTGGCCCCTTGAGGAATGTAGAAAGCCATGGCAGACTCTAAGTATAGCAGGAATCTAGAGCCAAATCAATGGTCACCATAACCCCTAAGATAGAGTTCAGGGTCAGCCTGGAGGTGAGTCCGCAATCTTGCGTGACAAAACATCGGTCCTCGTGCCATACGTATCGTGTATGCCCTACATTGAGTGACTCAGTCGAAACACAGGATCTGGCTAGCTAGAGAACACTGCCTCGATTGCAGTGACACCCTGCGACGAGGTGTAGGTAAAATTAGGTAAGGAGACAAGCCTCTGGCTCGTAGACGGTAGCCTCTTTAGGCAGCAGGCCGGGGCTTGGATAGGGGCGTGATTGGCCGCAATGAGTGATGCCTTGGCTATTTTTTTTTGCTTGAGTCTTTTAGGCGTCGTCCTCGTCCTTGGGGCCCAGCCCGAAGCTGCGCAGGTTGTCACAATACGATATGCCGTCAAAACAGCATACAACGATGCGCAGCAGACCCCAACTCTCCTCCGCGTCATCGCTGCAATATTGTCGCAAAGAAGCGACCTCCTCGTCCACTGGGGATTACTGACGACAGTGGGTTGCACCTGCCAGCCGATGCAACGGCCGTCAGCGAGGATGGTGGGCGGTGGGCGCGCCCTTACTTTGCACTGAAGCTTCCCGAAATGGTTGACTGTGACGCGTCACGCCTCCAGCTCGAGGGACCGGGCATTTATAAAAACCTTCCTTCCGGATATGGGACCAGCAACTAATAGAAGCTACAGCTGTGCTGAATTGCCGACTCTCAGGCTTGCGTTTTGATAGGATGAAGAACCTAGCTGGAGTCTTGTTGATTTCGACGGTGCGCATTTCCAACCCCCTCCTGCCGTCAATACGAAAAAAGCCGTTACGTATGCCCCGGAGTACTAGTACCCTTCTCCAGCAATTTTTTGCGCTGTAGCCCCCCAACGGACGAGCCACTCATCCACATTCTGGTGACCTCCGAGGAGACTTGTTTGCCAAACTAGACCGGGTTCTAGAAGACACAAAACCCAAGTGGACGGTAGCTCTGATTAACTCAGTTCCACCAAGGCGATTCCTAGAGTACATACTTTGGTTGCCACCAGTACGATCGAATCAATGGATCTCATCATTCGCTTGGATAACATGGAGTCCAGCCTTCCGTTGTCGATCCTTGACAAGAGATTAGGATTTCCATCAGCCTACACTCCTTGGATACTTCTCCTACGACGAAGCAGCGGCATAATCCCTCACTTCAAAGGGGACGAATAGCCAATAGGTTCCCCATGCTCTTCGCATCAAAGACCTCACGCCTCTGCCTCGGTTTCGGTCCCACCATCTCGATTTCAGCCTCGGTCTCAGTTTGAGATCCGCAGATAGCCCGTCTCATGTGGCGTCAGGTAATAGCACGGTCCATTGTGGAGCTTTTTCATCTCCTGCGTCACAGGCCAGCCGTACCCATCGAAGCCGCGGTTCAGCATGATATGCTTGGTGAGCCCGCACGTGCCAACCGCACTCATCGTGCCCTTCATCTGCAGGTGGCACTGACCGTGCCGTGCCACCTCTCCTGCCAGGTAATGGCAGTCGCCCTTCGGACGACCAAGCTTGTCACTGTTTTTGGTAAGTTAGCTGCTTTAGCGGTGCTGCACAGGAAACGTGGACGGAGCGCAGGGAGGCAGCTCACTCGAAGAGACCATTGCAGTGGATGAATTCGAAGCGGAGATTCTCGGTGTGGTTTGCGCGCGTGGGGGGCGTTGAGTCGTCTTTCCAGCACGTTGACGGTACGTTCGATGGGACATTGGTATGAAATCAAAAATGAGGTGTTGTTGAGACTGGTCGGCAAGTTGGGCGGCAAGTTGTGATAAGATATGCCTGTCGGAATGCGGCATTGCCTGGCGCTGCTACGACATGAGGAGCGACCAGGACACTGCTGACGAGCAACAGATTAGTGGGACGCATTATTTCAAGTTGGACGGCAGCCGGGGGACGAAGTCGTTGTATCGAAGAAGAAACCTGAGAATCAGCCATGTGGAATTCATTACCAAAAGCTGTGAGATGTTGTGACTGGAAGCTTTGACTCGGGCAGGTCCCGGTTCTCAGCCGATTGTGGATGTGGAGCGTCAAGTGTACCAGAATATCGACACAACTTCGTGCACTTTATAGCGAGCATGACGCCCATGCTCGTTAGCGGCCGCCCGATGCCTTGCAGCTTCGACATCCACAAGCTTTCCAACTAGGCCGCCAACAGACCTTCCTTCCAGACGTTCACCACGCCTTTGTTCTCCCACAACCTCTCCAGCTTCTCAGTCACATCCCCTTCAACGAGCACCAAATCCGCTCGTTTACCTTTCTCCACCGTGCCGCGGTCGTTGAAGCCTAGACGTCTCGCGCCTGCCTCGGTCGCGCTGCGCAATGCCTCTTCCGGGCTGAAGCCGCATTTCGCCACATACATAGCTATCTCCTGCCACAAGCTGGGACCGATGGCGGTTCCCTGGAGGCCGGCGATTGCGTCCGTCCCTGCGACGATGTCGATGCCTTCGGCTTTGAGGCGCTTGATCGTGGTGTACGCGTGGTCGATGGTGGCGCCTTCGGCCTTGGCCCCGAGGAAGGCGACCATGTTCTCGTGCTGGGCGTCGGTGATGAGGGATCTGGACTTGGCGATGCTGGCGAAGCGCTCCCGCCAATCCTGCTCTTCGCCTGTGAGGGACGTGAGGACCACGACTGTGGGGACTACAAAAGCGTTGGTCTTTTTGTAGAGCGAGATGATGCTCTCTGGCGGTGCTTGATCGATGAACGTGTGTGCCTGTGGACGTCAGTTTGGTTGTCGACATTGAGTCTGGAGACTTACTAGCCCATCAGCGCCGGACTTGAGGATGATCTCCGTGCTTTCGACGGCAGTGGCGTGGCCAACGACCGGCATGTCGTGTGAATGGGCCGCCTTGACCACGGCCGTTTGCAACTCGAGCGTGGCCACGGGGATGGAGTTGGTAGGGAAGGCGAGCGAGCAGCAATTCTCTTGCATTAATTTGATATAGTCGGCCCCGTTCTTCTTGTGATTGGCGACAAAGTCTGGCGCATTGTCCACGGTCAGTTTCGGCCAGGTGTCGACCTTGGCTTTCAGCTATGCTGATGTTAACACGGCGCTGCCTGGTGCTGTGTTATTTGGACCTTACTTCATCTGTGGGGTGATTTGCGAGCACAATTGGCTTTGGCCATCCTCCATCGATGGTGGCACCGTAATGTGCACTTTTGAGGCTCGACAAGGTCACCCTGCCCGCCTTTCCATCCTTTCTGGCTTTCTCAACTTCGCTGTCAATGCGCTTTTGATGATCATAGACTGTCTCCGGATCCGAGTGCATGCAACAAACAGTCGTGACGCCGCACTTGAGAGGGTCCGCGAGCACCGTTGCGATATTGGCGCCGGCAGGCAGATGTAGGCCATAGCTGTGAATGTGAGCGTCGATTAACCCCGGCAATAGGGTGTGTCCTCTGCCATCGATGACTGTCGCCCCGGTGGGATACTCGGCTGGCGGTGTGCCGGTTGACACTGATTCGATCAGGCCCGTGTTGGCATCGAATATGACAGTAGCGTCCTGGTGGGTTGCTTTCCCGTCGAAGAGGAGCACGTTGCGTACAACGGTTTGAGACATACTGAGTTCTTGTGGTGGGACTGTGCAAGCAGCTGTGCTGCTGGCGTGCAGTGACGGCGACTTCGAATGTCCCGCTACTCCTTGAAGTATGTGTGTTACTCGAGGCGAGCCCCGGTATAAGACGACGTTGAAACAATCAGGAGAGGAATATACAACAAGTCTTGGAGATGGCAAAAACTAACTGTGACATGAAGGAGCGATACCTCAGAGCTTCAGAAGGGGTTAGACCTGTCCGCGAAGTACACTTGCATCCGAGAGCTAATTAGGTATGATCGTGGAATGGAGGGCCTCATTAGAGCCGCAGATCATATGGTTGTCGCGGGGCCCAAAACTTCAGAAGCCAGCAGCTATGCTGAGCTATGCTGGGCTCGTGGCACTTTCACATCGCTAACTGTCTGGCTGTCGCACGATGCCGGTGGAGATGAAGCAATGACTCGAAGAATGGAATACTTACCTGGTATGTAGGCGGGATGCGGACGGCGGGGGAGCTGCGGGGAATCAGGACATTCTCCAGAAGCCAATGCAAACTTGGGTCCACGCGAGCCAGGACCTACAGATAGAGACGAGAAAGGTGGTAACCATCTCTTGCGATAATGTTTCTCTTGTTACACTCGTCGTCCAGAGACGGACATGCGGTACTGACTTAGACTCAAATCATTTCTGAATAGCATATCGAAGGATGTCATTTCATGCCTCTCTCTATCCATAATGCTTGTATTCAGTCAGACTGTGACAGAGCACCATCTCTAGCTCAGACTAACAGCGAAGACGCAGACATTGCTGTAATTGTCAGGCAGCCCTTGTGGCCAGATAGATACCGAACGCGTACTCTGGTACAGGGTTTGCAGCAGACGCGCCCGATCCCATGTCCTGCTCGCGTAGCCTTCCTCTTTGAGAATGTCTTCCCCAAGTTTGACCAGCCGATCGTTGAATGCTTCGTCCACAACCTGTAGCTTCTCTTCCCGTACACTTCCACCATTACAGATTTGGCGACTGCGCTTGCTCATACCCTCAAAGGATGGCTCACTCGCCTTCTCCTGCGTCTCCGCTGGCCGGAACGTATCGTGGATCCTATACCAACCGCTCACCCTCTCCTCCTGCCCAACCCATGTCGAAGAAGGATAAAAGAAAATCACAACACATTGCGCAAGTGCAAGACCTGCAAGATGACTTCCAACATAACCGCGAAAGCCATTTTCGCAAGCAGCTGGTCGCTCTCCAGCAGGACATGAATATGATCACGCACTCCGACCCCTACCTAGCTGAGTTGATCGAAGACTCTCCAGAAGAGCTGCTACGCATGGCCGAGCAGGCTGCTTCTGGCACCCCATATCAATCAGAATTGTCTTCGCTTGCGGGCAAATGGTATGCAGACTTCGTCCATGAAGTCAACAGTGCGAAAGAAGACAAAGAGCTCGCCCTTATTAACATCACAGTACGTCATCCACAACTATTTCCCTGCCACCGCGCTGACACAAATAGAATGTCCACGAACAGAAACTCGATCGCCTAAAATACGAGTGCGACTTTCGACTGCATCTCGCCGCCGAAGAGTTCGATCACATGACCAGCACCCTTCGCGAACGTCTCACCCAACAATTGTCATCCAAGAGGCACAGGCTCTTGAAGGAGAAAGAGCAGTTAGACATAGCAGATACCAATGCGCTATTGCTACATCCGAGCCAATTCACCATTACCAACCCTGCCAGTCCTGCCGGACAAACCAGTCGCAAAACCCGCACCACGCGCCGTGGTGAGCAGGATGACCTCAATGGCTACCACGATGTCGCCGGCAAGAGGAAGCGCAAATTCATGGACGACGATGTTGGCTCTCCCTCACGCAATGGCGCGTCCACCCCTGCTGGCCGTAGAGCAGCCGATGCGCTCAATCACCAGACTGCGCCACTGTATTCTATTAGCACTCTTTTCACCGAGAAAGAGCTCAACTTCCAGTCACACCAGGCCCAGATCGCGGCTCGCCACTTCTTCGCGACATCTCACAAGGAAGGCGAGACCAATGGCCGCAGCAAGCGTGTCAAAGATGATGGTGATGCCAAGTCTGCCGGCTCCAGTAACGACAGCGGCGATGAGGACGAGGAGCTCGAGGCACCCGGCATGGAACGAACGGCCAGCCAGAATGTCCATGTCACTCGTTCCACTCGCACCATCGGCGGTCTGGCCGGCCTCAACATTCTCAGCGATCTGGCAGAGAAAGCCTCGACAAGACCGGCACTGCCATACGCGACACTACACACCCATCAGCAGAAGTCTGGCACATTTCTACCTCAAGCAAGCCGTCTACTCGACTCCGAGATTGAAGAAGATCTCACCAAAATCACCCAGATCGAATCCCAACCTGGCGACCAGGTGGATAGGAAGGCGGTTGAGGAAGCGCTGGCTCCTCTCACCAAGAATCGCAGCAACCTCGCGCCTGACTGGCCGGTGTACATGGACGTGCATCTTCAGGCGTTCGACCCGCGTGCCTCATAGTGACATTGCCCGCCTGATCAGTGTACATGAGATACGAATGCAGAGTAATGAACAATCGGAGTTGATCAGACTTAGAGGGTGGCACCAATTCGGTTCAGCGACAATACAAATGGGTACGATATTTTACGACAGGATCACTTTCATGGATTCCTTCGATGGCAGCAGGCGAGACGATGTGTTGTGTCTCGCGAAATACATGGCGATCGGTGCAGGACCTTGAGTTACTCGACCTCCACGTGGCTAGCTTTGTGACCTGCGACCACAGCCTACACTAGATAGCTTCTACCAGGACAGTGTATCAATGCCAGAGAGATCTCAATTGAGGTCAATCTAGTCTCCCGAGTCCTTCATGCCCGTGTCTTATCTGGCTAAATGTCGAGTGGTGGTTCAGATGGTCCCGCGCGACCACTGCGCAAACGTAGCCTAGCTTCTGTACCTGGACTGACTGAGGAATGTTGCGGTGGCATTGCCGAAGCTTTACCCCCGGACACTTTCTAGTCGATCGACGTAACGCTGATGACATGTTCGGGGCTGCAAGCGTGAGGACCGAGTGGCCCCGGTTGCAACGCTGCCCTGGATCGCCGCCGCGGGATACCCGTTTAGAGCGTTTCCCCGTCTGTCGAGCTTGTCTCCCCGCACTTTTCCCTGCAAGCTGTCCCTACACCTAGCAAGAAAATTCAAGGTACACACATGTCACGGCACCCAGCCGAGGCCGCACAGCTCCGGCTCAATGCGTGGTCATAGGTAGTACTACTACCAAGCATGAACGATCGCGTGGAGCTCAAATACAGCTCACGGTAAGCTCAGCTGCACCTTGACCTATCCTTCCCTCGTCTCGCCGGCAATTCCAGCTCTCGTAGAACTGCTTCATTCCAAGGCAACAAGTATTCGTCGACCACAATGCGTGCCTTCTCCACCGTTGCAGTCGCTGCCGCCAGCTTTGTTGCTGCTGCGGTAGCTCAGAACGCGACGAGCACCGGGTCAAGCTCGATCCCAGAGTACACACTCCAGGCGGAGAACATTACCGCGAAATTAATTCCATACGGCGCGAGACTCACCTCGTTGGTCGTACAAGACCGCAACGGTGACGAACAAGACATTGCTGTCGGCTACGATGATCCGGATCAGTACCCGATTGATACAGAGACCAACCACACTTTCTTCGGTACGCAAATCATAGCTTTCTCAGAAGCCTACACTAACTTCCCCAGGTCCAGTAGTCGGTCGTTATGCAAACCGCATTCGCAACGGCACCTTCGAGCTCAACGGCCAGAACTATAGCATCCCCACCAATGAGAACGGCGGCCTCGACACTCTACATGGCGGGACAGTTGGCTACGATGCGCGCAACTGGACAGTCGTTACCAGCAACGACACATCGATCTCGTTCAGTCTGCTCGACACGGGATTCGAAGGCTTCCCTGGCACCGTTCTGACCATCGCCACCTACTCGGTCCTCTCTTATCCCTCAGGCCCACAGGGTGAGATGCGACCTCGTTTGACGGTCTCGCTCGTTTCCTCTGCCCTCGATGAGCCTACCCCAATCATGCTGTCCACCCACATCTACTGGAACCTCAATGCCTTCAAGTCGCAGACGGTTCTTAACGATACTACGCTGTGGATGCCATACTCTGATCGCTACGTCATGACTGATGGTATCCTGATCCCGACCGGTGAGATTGGTACAACCGCCTCCGAGCCTGGTCTCGACTTCACCGTGCCTAAGACTATCGGCGACGCTGTCGCGGACGCAGAGGGTCTGTGCGGTACCAATTGCACCGGCATCGACAATGCCTTCATCATCGACCGCCCTTCGTTCGTACCGGCCGAGACCAAAGTCAAAGTACTGAGCGTGTGGTCCGATATCACCGGTATTCAGCTGGATGTGTCCACCAACCAACAGGGTATACAGGTGTACACTTGCAATGGACAGAATGGTACCATCCCCGTAAAGCAGAGCCAACAGGACCGCAACAACGGCACCGACGATGCCGCTGGATACGTGGAGAAGTACGGCTGTGTTGTCATTGAGCCGCAGGCTTGGATCGATGGTATCAATCATCCCGAGTGGGGCGTAGACAAGTACGAGATCTTTTCTCCAGAGACGGGGCCGGCGGTGTGGTATACTAATTATGACTTCTCGACCTACTGAACAGAGTCGTCGCCATGGTCGAGGAGATCCGAGCAGACAATGATGCTACGAAGACAGCACGAATAAGAAAACCCGGAGAGACACACTACATTAGCCTCCCTATAGTCTTAATCCTACTGAAGTTCTGAAGGCCGTGGAGTCGTTCTAGAATGCTGGACGGTCTCAGTCACACCGATTCTCCGTAACATGCGATAATGGACTTTTGATAGAAGTGATGCTTCAAGGTCGAAGTATTTCGGTGCCAAGCCTGATTGCATCATTCCTTCCGTTTCCAGACGGTAAACAATCACCAGGCTTGGCAGGTTTTCGCGGACGCTTGAGACTCGACAACCACATCTGCGCCGGAACATCATCGTTACAGATAGCAGAAACATTCGCACCGCCGCTGCCACCACAAACTCCCGGACCTCCTCACGTAAACAGAATTGGCGGCAACCCGGGGTCTGGGTAACTTTGCCCAACTGCGCAGAGAATCACATTCCAAGATGCCTCGATCAATGTCCCAGGTCCACCAGTCCATCGAGGGCAGTAGTTCGCCCGACCCGCTCACAAACTCCTCAGAGTCTGGCAATACACTGCACTCAATATTGCGACCGAAGCGCAGATTGTCGTCCCCGCGCAAGACTCCTCTCAGCACCAGAAATGCCAACAGTCAGATGCCGGCAAGCTCACCAGCGCATTCGTACCTGGCCCCGAACTCACCATCTAAAGCCATTACAGAGCAGACTCTGAGTCCATGGAAGATTCGTGTCACGGTCGAAGCAGAGCCCGAAGACGGCGACGACCGCGCACAGATCTCTACACGAACATATCATGTGCCGCTCAAGCCGTGTTCCTCTCCAACTGAAACGAATGCGGTGCGTGGGAGAGGCAAGCAAGCGCAGTCTTCACCTGCTAGGAAGAAACGAAGCGGCACACCTGTTCGTGGGGCGCGGAATCGGCGAAAGAGTGTAACAGACCTCAATATCACAGTCCTTGGAGACGATGAGGATGAGGATGAATGGTCGCCAAATAAGAAGTCGTCAGCGAAGACTCATGGACGCTCGCGATCTGCCTCGCCTAGGAAAACGCAAACAAAATCCCGCGAAAGTACACCGGTGGTGGAGAATGTAGACGTGCATGACCCGGGAAGCTCGCTCCCTCCTAATGAACCGGACTTGTCCAGTGTACGGGAGATTGATCTCGATCGAGTGTCCGTCAGAGCACGTTCATACTCGACTAGAAAGAAGGAGACAGCCAGCCCAGATCCACAGACGTCCACAAAGCCTAGACCACAAGGTCGGATGAAGGCGACAAGAGACTTTTCCAACACCGGCGCTATAAGCTATCCGACCCCTTCGCCAACGCCCTCAGCTCCTGGAGAAGAGGCTGACGTAGATGGCGAGTCTATGGAAGGAGACGTTGGATATGACACAATCATTGAGAGTGAAGGATTCACCATGATTGACCTCGACTCTATTCCATCTGCACGGCAGTTTCTCAGCAGCCCTGACGAGCCATCTCAATCCGACGCGGCGGTCCGAAAATCGCATGACCGCGCTAGACAGTCGATTGGGGAGGTCGAGGCAATCCCGCAGCGGAAACAAGCGACACCATTGTCAGCTCGCCTGAGGACAGCATTCGAAGATACAGAACTCTCATCAAATGTCGCTTCATCACCACCGTCAGACAATAACTTCCTCCAAGTACAGTCTCATCGCCCTACTAATCTCCGAAAAGTCACACCTGACGTCTATTCTTCGCCAAAGCTACCCTCGCCACCCAGACAGTCGAAGAAGGATGTTTCCCCGGGAGCAGATACCTTGCCTCCAAGGCGAGTGGTCAAAGCTGGCAAAGCCCTTTGTGGTGCGCTTGCTGATCCAGAGATGGTTGATGAGAACCTTCAGCAGACCCCTAGCTCGACTAAAGACGGCTTTCTTCATGGTTTCAGTTCCGGCACAAAGCGCGAGCTCCGCGCTGGTCTCAGATTCGGCGAAGAGCTGGCAAAGAAATCCAGTACTGATGTGCCAGCCACGAATGTTGAATCGCGCACATCGCAGACAAATACGACACAGGGAACCCAAGTGTGGCGTGGCGAAACAGTTGTTCAGCATAGTCCGGTTGTGACAGACCTTGCGTCACAGACAAAGGACAGGCACAACGTTCCCAGCTCAGTTGCGAAACTGTCCAAGTCGCCGTTGTCCAATACCCAATTGAAGTGTCCGGAACTCGCAGACTACACGACCGAAACGCGGCAGCAAACACCTCAGAGCAAATCCCAGGAGAGCAACCCGCAACTACAGACCTCGAGAGAACGGCGACTTGAACATGAATGGCAGCTGGAGCGCGAGGCTGTCTCGCAGCAAATCGATCGTGCTACCCCTAGCAAGGTCATTGTCATCGACTCCTCTGATGATGAGGCCGACGTATGCCAAGACAATGTTAGGAGCCAAGATCAAGCAGATGAGCAGCTTCCAGTACCAGTTTCAGAAGATCATGAAGAAGGACGACGAGGAGGGCGCGAGACATGGGCGCAGGGCCATGGCCCTTCACGACCAGATCGTGCAGGCAGTCAAAAGCGAGAGCAACTTGACGAAACCCAACCTGTATCTACTCAAAGAATACCAGAGGCAAATCGAGAAGATTCAGAAGTGGATATCGTGGAGGACGAAGATCTAGTTGCCGATGAGACTGACATCTGGCTTCTTGAGGCGAAAGAGGGCTCCAGCTCACCACGGGAGGAGCATCAGCAGGCGTTGAGCAAGCCAAGACGCAGCTTGATACCCAGTCCATGGAAGAGAGGCGACGATGTAGCTGAGGCGAGTACAATGCTGTCGAATGGCGATCTCAGCGGTATGCTATGGCAACAACCCGTGGAAAACCGATTCGGCGCCGGTGAGCTTGCCCGACAGACCCAACGCATCAGCAAAGGCAAGTTCGACCTTGATCGCATGCTTTCCAGCCCTGTTAAGTTAGCGACCGTTGGACGGAGGAACCTTCAACTCCGAAGAGCTGATGAGCAACTGTCGTCTGATCCTGGCTCTACTTCAGAATCTGCCGAGAGTATCCTTGCTGAGGATCTGGAAGAGTCTGTATCCCATTCGTCAATGGCAAGCTCACCACCGCAACCTCGAACGATTCCAGTCAACTTCAACGATTCAACAATCGCGAATGAGGATGTCACGCCTCCGCCACTCTACAGGTCTTCACAAACGAGTAGTGATGAACCACGGCCCCCAACGCCTCGTTCTGCCCTCAAAGGAGGACGAGTCAGTGCTGGGCTAGAGGATCCAGAAACGTCGCCAATGAAACGTGTTATCTTCAACGAAAGATCGAGGTATCTGAGGGAAGATGGTGACGAAAGCACCATGAGCGCCAATTTGGACAGCCCTCCTGCCTTGCCCGCCCAACCCTACCATGCTTCTTTGCCAGAAGAAGAGATATCTGAAGAAGTGGTCGCCGAGAAGACACCCAAGGCGACAGAAAAGAATAGTAGCTGGGCTAGCTGGCTATGGCGAGGCAAGGTTGACAGCAGCAGTAGCGGTGCTAGCAGCCAACCTACTTCGGATGCTACTCCCACTATTCAAGAGTCCAGCAAAGTTGAAGAAGAGCTCAAAGCGGAAGAGGAGGAAGAGGAAGCTGAGTGGGTTTCGACCAAGACGACACTTTCCTCAGGCGTGCGAGTGCACGAAACTTCAACCAAGCCACTTAAAGCCCGTGTCTCGAAACCTCCTTCCTACCTTCTACCACCATCATATCCCTCGCTAGGGCGGACACAATACGGCCGATCCCATGCCGCGCCGCCTCTCGCCACCTCCGGCCACTTTACCAACGCCCACTTCCGCGTCCTCCACATTATTCACGGCAAGTCTCTGCGGCCCCGCTTCCACGCGCCCAAGACGGTGCGCCCGGAAATCCAAGCATTGCGCGGCATGAAACTCACCGTGGACGAGACCGAGGCCGGCATGGACGTCTTTGAGTGGACGGTGGGCGTGGAAGAGTGTCTCGTCCTGGAACGCTTCATGCAGGAGATCGAGTGGGGCTGGGTGCAGCACTGGTACCAGGGCAAAGCCGTGGAAGCATTGAAAGCCAAGGTCGCGAAGGGCGAGGCCGAGGCCGAAGCAGCAGAGGGAGAGGACTTGTGGACGGCGGAAATGCGCAAGGTGGGCTGGGTGTGGAAGCCGGAGGAAATCGCGAAGCATTTGGGCATGGTGGTCATTGGGGAGGTGGTGAGGCGGGAGGAGATGGAGATGGAGAGGGTGGCGAATCAGGCGATGAAGAGGGAGGCTTGAAGCGACGGCGGCTGCTGCTGCTGCTGCTGCTGCTGAGGGCGTGATACTTTGCTAACGAAGAAGCGTGTCTTTTGGAACAAATGTGTGAAATTTCAGCGTCGGCGTCTGGGTTTCGAGGTTGCTTGTGTTGTACATAGGTAGCTACATCTTCAGCTGTCCATTTCCATTTGAAGACTTTTGGTCAAACTTGTCACCACCTCCGCCACCAAATGACAATGGCCAGTCGTGCTATGCCGCTGTTGCAGCTTAAGGCACACGTCCATGCAGACCCCAAGCTGCCTGACTGACCATCTACCTGCCTATCTACCTGTCCGTCTGTCTCTTGCTTGTAGCCAGCCAGGGTACGACGGGTCCTCAACACGAAACACACCCGAGCCAAAAAGCGCGCGTCAACTCCTGCCTTCCTACCTTCCTACCTTCCTACCTTCCTACCTTCCTGCCTCAGGGGCGCCAGCCAGGGTTGATGCAGTGGCTGTGAATGGCATCATACATCATACATCATAACACTCGGGCCAGGTTCTTCTCATGGCGTGGTGTCTGGGTCTGTATTAGAGAGAGGGAAGGAGGGGGAAAGTAAGCGGGCGAGCTCTGGGGCCAGGACGGGACGGTGTGTGTGTACGGCTCAGAGGGTGTGTCATGTTACGAGGAGGACGGGTGGAAGGGGGGGAAGAGGGGAAAAGTCTATGCTGGCCAGAGGGTGGAGGCGACGGTGTCGGCGTCGGTGTCGGTGTTGGTGTCGGTGTTGGTGTCGGGCATATCTAGGACCGGTGCATGCACAGAAGCAAGTCAGAAAGCAATGTGAGGGCATCGGTGATCGGGGTTCATTCAGGCGTGTTGGAGGAACGGATTACAAGTCGATGAGGGAAAGCTCGTGAGTTTTCGGTACCGCGACGCCGATGGGCGAAGAGAGAGGGAAAGCACTCGACGCAGTTCATCACAAAGAGCCAGCATTCGTGTCAACATTGTCTAGACCGCGCATACAGAGGCAACAAATGTGAGTCTTGATTCAGGGTTCAGGAATGCTGATGTGCAGATGACGGGTCGATGAGAGAGAGGTTGTGAGTATTTGGTACGGTGACCAGAGTGGGTATGAGAACAGGAACAGGAACAGGAACAGGAACAGGAACAGGAACAGGAACAGGAACAGGAACAGGAACAGGAACAGGAACAGGAACAGGAACAGGAACA